TCCAATGCCAAATGCGCCTTGATGTAACTTTTCAATGCAGCCATAAACGGAGATCCATCTTTGGTGATTTTATTTCCTCGTGAAAGCATACGAGGTAGATCCTCCTGGCAATATGGTTTCAATAGTTTTGAGAGTAGCAGATCCATCAGGTATGTCAAAGCCAATGGATATTTGGATCTCTTTAATGATCTTTTGTATACCAACTTGGCGCTCTTCGGCTGTTGCAGCTTCGTTGATCGTGTTGGATGTGTATTGCTCGAATGATTTCGTCAAATCGTTTCCTTCCAACTTTAGGGCCGACACCCTTGTATCGAAAATCTGACAGACGTATTGAATGAATGTTTCTCTTAACGACAATGGCATGCGTGTTAATAGCAAAGGTAGACGCAAAAATACAGATTCATCATCGGAAGACTGCATGATTGAGACGTCCATGTCGTCTTCGGGAGTCGAGCGTATTAAAATTGCAGTGTAATTCGCTTTCTCGTAATTGACTTCCACCAGTATTCCATGATTATGTGTACTCTCCGTCCCAGACTCGCCAAGGGTCTCTTCTGTTGTATCCTCGACAGCCCATTCCGATTCTCTTCTAAAAACTTTCCATACCACCGTTTGCAGAGCACCTACACGAGCCAATGTATCATCTTCGGACCCTAATCCAACCCGAACACCCCGTAAAACATCACCTGCTAATATATCTCGAAATCGACGTGCATGTACTTGCAAATCCGCATTATTAAGAACGTCTTTGCCAATGTAGAGCGGAGAGGCGATATATGGAAAAAGTAGTGTTGTAAAGGGGATACTGAGAGCCAGGTGCCGGAGCCATTAATTCTAGACCCCGCAGTGATTTGGGACGAGTTTGTGGAATTGTTTGGCTGATCGCAATGTCTTCGGACTTATGAATGCTCAAAATGGGTTAGAAACTTTTTTGGCAATAATACTCCCCATGTTATAGGAAAGAGGATAATTGTACTTTGAGTTCAAGGTAAGATTACATAATGACCCAGAAACGCGACGCGGGGACATTTTGACTGGGATTTTATTGGTGCAGCATCATTAGCGCAATTTCCAAGATCCCTCAAAACTTTTCCACACGTGACATAACTTTCAATGGGCAACATGATTGCTGATCAGCATTTCAAAACTTCAATTCTCATCGCTCGATTTCAAGGTTTCCGTTTCTTTACTTGGATTCCAATTTAATGAGTTTGAAAACGTATATGTGCCAAAATCCCGAGTCATTTACATAATCCGACGTTGCCCTCTTACGACCACCATCGACATCGACCACTTATCGACCACTTTCATTGTATTTCTATTTCCCTCGTACGATATTAATTCCTTCCTTGCCTCAGGTATATGCATGGTTTTCGATTGCTTGGCTCATACTTTTTGCGGTGTACCATGTTCTTTGCACTATAATTAGATTTTGATCTCGTCCGAGCAACTTGGCAGCTCGAGCGGCAGCTTTGTTCCATATGCACTCCAAAGGAACTTTCGAAGAAGTAATTTTATGGAGCCATAATGTTCTGTCATTGCTTTGCGGCTCTCTTCACATGACACGAAGTTTTACATGGATCTCGAAGGCTATCTCTGCATGTAACGAGTGTTACCACTGTGTCTTTTATGTTACGTCAAGCTAAAGATGACAAGGACCTAACCTCAAAGTTTCAGGAGAGATCATTGGATGGCAGAAAGGCATAGACGCAACTGTTTAACGTTGATTCATTATGCTAGGAGAAGTGTCAGAGAACTTCATTCTGTGTCACTGGTAGAATGAGTTCTCAGTCTGTACCGGTATGCGGAGAAAGGCCAGGGAGTGTTACTCGCGGATAAACATGGTTTATGGGCAGTATGAGCACAATTAGTATGTGTATACGCTACTTCCACATCCAATAACCAGCAAATATCGTTCCGTACGCTCAATCTATGTCATTCTGATTCGATGACAGGACATGAGCATGAATGCCCAGAAAAGGATTCTGTTGAAGGCCATTGGCGCTAAGTTTTAAAGAAAGTATTTTGGGAAACTGAAGCATCAAGAATCTTGGTGAGTTTGGACTTGGTTATCCTTCTGAAATTACTTCCCCAACCACACTGACCTTTCAGCCCTTTTCTTTTGGGAATAAGCTGTTCTATTCTTGGTCAGGGCTTTCACGTCAATGCTTAAAGCCTTTCTGATACTAGCTTCCACCATCGAAAATTCTCAATCAGCCTATTATCATGAAAATGATCTTTTGGCATGCAACAATTTGGGCCTGAGTGCACATTACATAACCGCACGTAGTCCTGAGTAAGTCCTCAAGAGTTTGAGACGAAATCGGTAAACACTAAGTACACTAGATTTGAAACAGCCGTCGAGAATGATAGGGTCACCCTGTACATCGAATTCATGATTCAATCATCACAAAAAATACATTAAATACGCATTAGTAGCAAAAATCGTTCGATTCGTGAAATTCAGTGCCAACTTGTGGATATTATCGAAAGGTTTCGACAGATCCAAAACAGAGGAGTGGAAAATTTTGAATCGTCAGCGTCATATAAAGAGAAACAATATTTTTCAGTCATCTCATGTTGGAGATCGATGGTGAATTTGGATTAGATGAAATTGCTTTATTACTGTTTCACATGCAGATCGCTGCTTACAATAAAAGTAAATGTTGCTTTAGAATTGAAACCAATTCGCGTGCCCTACCGAAAATGGACATCTCCATCGGTAATTTGTCTGAGCGTAGTTTTTCCAGCGTCCCGTACCCAGCTTTTTCTGGAACGACCATAGAGTCCAATCTTTCTACTAATTTACTTCGGATGTATCTGGGGTTTTCTTGGAGTTCCTTGGCCATGGGTATATACAACGTTGATGGATCAATCATAGCGAGTCAGTCGTTCACTCACATCAATGTTCTCATCATTTACACTCGCTTATCTATATTCACAATGAAGTTCTCGTCTGTCCTATTTGTCCTTTCTACTCTCACATTCTCTACTGCCTTGCCCGTGACACGACGCGGTTTCATCAGTGGATTGGCTGTTCGTGAGGGAAACTCTACTTTGGCATTATTTAGCAATTCCACATCCTCATCGACATCATCAATATCTTCCAGTAGCGCAAAGCCAACCACAGAAATCAACCTTGAAAGTCTGAAAGAGGATGCTGCCGCAAAGAAAGCAACCAGCGGTAGCAAAAGTAAAGTTACAGCAGCACAAGTTAAATCAGCAGTATCTGGATTTGCCAACGATGCCAACACCGTATCAGCGGCCCTAAACAAACTTCCCAGTATGACGGACAGATCAGACATCGCCTCGCTTGCCGGAAAAGCATTCAATGCAGAATCAGACGAGGATTCCCAGAGATCTGTTCTATTTGCCGCAGCAGGCAGTGCAGGTTCCTCCGCAAACAGCAAAATCGTTAAGAACACTCCTGCAGTTCTCAAAGGCTTGAAGGCTATTATGGTAAATCCATCGATTATTTCTGTGAAGTATAATGTGGCTACTATCGAAGCTGCCCGGTGAGCATCTTCCACATTGACTCAAACCTCGGTTCATGAACTTATGGAAAATAGAAATCCCAATATTCTACCTAGTATCACACAACTCTCAAATGCAGCATTGAGTGCAATGAATTTAGCTCCAACAGCGCGGAAGTTCCTGCTACTGGACAATATTAGGCCGGCCCTAGAGGTGCATGCGTTGGATTATTTGACTCACATCTCTTGTTGCATGGCCAGGAGCTACTCTTAAAGGATAAATAAGGATTTATTTACCTTATTTCCATTTCTTCGATGTGCATATATTTACTTTTTGATGTGCGAGGAATCTGGGGGCGTTGCGTTTGAATAGGGATGGGATACCATGGGATCGGAGTTGTTTTTTAGGAATGGAAAATGCCAAGGTGTTTCTAGTAAATGGAGAATAATTCCAGTGTAAGGAAATATTAACTCCGAGATGCGGTGATTTTGCTTCCTGTCGCAACAAGTTGCGCCAATATTTACAAGTTTAGGGTTGAATAAAATTCATTTTCTTACATGTATCCCGCGCTCTTCATGATGCTCAATCGCATTACCACATATCTAAATCAGCACTGAAGGCTCCAGCATAGGTGGCGTATAGGATGACATAACATTTCCTCATTCCATTTCATTTAATTTTCCAGCTACTTCCAAAGGCCAATTTTCAAGAAGCTCAGCAAGATAAAATTGAGATCCGAATAATAACCAGTCTCAACTCCAGAGAATAACAATCTCAGTAATTTAAAGACCATCAAGTAATAAATGTATAGGGATGAAGTGTGGTATTTTGGAGATGGTGAGTTTCTGCTTTTACTTTGGCGTCTTTATAGTGGGATCAAGATATATTCTTCTGTCCTTCCTAGGTAATCTATGTTCATATATTCATATAGGTTCTGAATAAACTCATCAATGTAAGTCTTAATATGATGAAGATATTGCACGCAGGAATTTCCTTTTATCATATCTTCCCTTTCGTATCATATTTATCTAAGCCCCTCTCTAATCTCGTGTTCATTCCATTCAATGACTTGCCCCGTATTTAATCCTTTCACCGAGGTCCAGAACTAAGATTACATATATAATTCAGCGGGAATGTGTATAAGAGAGAGGAATATGGCTAGGTTTTTGGGGAGATTGATGGGGTAGTGAAGCGAGGATTTATGCATTTTGGATGTGTGGATTAATATTAAAAGATTAGGATATTCAGATGGTGATGGTGATGGTGATGGTGATGGTGATGGTGATGGTGATGGTGATGGAGGAGAAGCTATGGCTGCAAATGGGATGGAATCTTTGAAGAATATTTTAGATGTTGTTACTATTTGTGGAATCTGAATTGGAGGGAATGCTGTTGATGAAGTTGACTTGTGGAGGGTGACATTGTGGTATAATACATCAAGAATTGGGACGAGTAAGACAGCGGGCGGACAAAGATGACATTTATTTCTTAGTATATGTAATCTTCAATTTATATTTCCCAGCATCTCATAACTTTACAGGTTTTAATATAATATTATCTATCAGCCTTACTGGAGGTCCATCAGACAGACCAAGATCCTCTCCAGGTTGTGGTGCTTCTACTGGCAGCATCTTTATTGCTCCACTCAAAATTGCGCCCTTCGTTTCGTCAACCTCTTGGATCTCCTCCATGGTCATGGGATCTGCCAATGATATGTAATCCACCTCGAACCTTACTCGTTCCTCGGGCTTCAATTGATACTGTTCCATTAGCAGCAATTTCGCCAATTCCAATGCAGGTCCCAAGAGCTCATCTCTTGATCGATGTCCAAATTTATATCCCTGCTCGGCTACTTTGAGCACTTTGAATAGTGCCGTAGCTATGTTTCTTCTCCTCTTTCCTAAATAAACATTTCTTGAACTTAATGCCAGACCATCATGCTCTCTTTGTGTATCTCCGATGACAACTTTGGTATCCATGCAGAAATCCCTAACCATCTTCTTTATAACCACAGTCTGCTGAACATCTTTTTGCCCAAAATATACCTTCTCCGGCATGACAATATTGAATAACTTCATACACACAGTGGCCACTCCCTGAAAATGTTGGCCGGCTGGCCCCTCCAATAGCTCTCCCACCGGTGTGATTGTGACAAAGCTTCCTTTCGCTTTAACTTCTTGGCTCGGCGGCCCACTCGGATACATTGTGTCTGATGTAGGCGCAAATACCGCGGCAATCTTTCCCATGTTTCCATTATCAGCTAATTCCATGTCGAGATCCTTCAACATCTTGCAATCCTTTTCCCATGTCTTCGGATAGCTATCAAGATCTTCGTGAACGCCGAATTGAGTTGGATTAACATATATGCTCACTATCACATTTGAATTTTCTGCAGCAGCGAGACGAATGAGTGATAAGTGACCCTCATGAAGAGCTCCCATAGTTGGCACAAGACCAACCGTTCGATAATCGATGAGTTGTTTGCGACGCCATTGGCGAAGCGCAGGTACATCTCGGAAGATCTTAATGGAGGTACTCGGTATTGTAGGACTGGCGACTCGATGAAGCAAGGCAGACGCCGTCGAGAACATTCGCGGAGAACAGTATGCTCGAGTGGAGGAGTCAAAGAGGGGTACCACTGATCGGCGCATTGGGAACGACATGATCGCGAACAATTGAGCCTGTTGTACTCCAAAGTGAGTTTCGAAGTCAATTTGGATGAGAAACTAGTATGTTCAACCCAGTTAGGGCCCATATCGGTAAGAAACATCAATTTGAGTCATCCTGTTCTGTTATGTGCAGCGTAGAATGAAGCCTGAGATAATTTTCGATATTTGCGGGTGGGACGCTTATCCAGGAAAAGCTTTAGACCTCCCGCCTCACATGCCAGCGGGGCTGGGATTAATAAATGGCCCGAGCTCAACGTTTTTTCTGGGACGAAACTTTTGCATTTGCTTTTGCATCTGCATCTGAGGAATTTCTTGTACAAATTCTCGGCATTTCAAAGCAAATCTTCAACAAAACAGTAACGATGGCTGACGATGGAATGTTAATGAATTTTGAGATTGGGGAGGTACCAATAGTTCTCAAACAATCATTTAAAGGAGGACGTTGGAAGGATCGATTGGCTGCAAAGAAAACCGCACAGCACCGAGTCTCCAGGAGCACAAACAAGCCCTCGACGAGAGAGATATTTTCCGAACGACAGCATGATACTGGCGCGGAAGAGTACATTGGTCGCGAGTCCTCGTTGAGGGCCCCAAAGAGACAACGGGTTGACGATAATTACGATTCTTACGGTGGAAGAAATGAAAGTACAGCAGCTTATGCTTCCGGAAAACTTCCATCTGGCAGCATAAATGTTGGCAGGAGTAGGAAAACTACTTTCCAGGAAGAAACTAGGCCTGCATTTGTCGCTGGCAAATTACCCCCTGGTAGTATCAACATTAGTGGGAAGAAGGCGACCCCAATCCAGGAAGAAACCAGACCAGCTTTTGTTTCCGGAAAATTGCCTCCGGGAAGTATAAATTCTGGCGCAAAGAAAGCCATTTCTTTCCAGGACGAAAAGAAACCTGCTTACATTTCTGGAAAAGTCCCACATGGTAGTATCGATGGCATGCGAAACCGTGAAATGGCCGCTGTGCACCGCGAGATCGCCGAAGGCGGGAGGAAGCCAGGCCAGGTTGTCTCGTCTTTATTTACATTCAATCCTACTTCAAAGAAAAAGTTTGATGAACCAGAAGAAGAATCAGAACCGGCGAAACCGTCCAATGCGCCTTTGACAGAGGAAATGGCAACATTCACAAATCTAGGACTATCGAGAAGACTTGCCGCCCATTTATCCACAAAACTTGATATGAAAGCTCCAACTGCAATTCAAAAAGCATCTGTGACGCAACTGATATCGGACGATAGCGATGCTTTTATACAAGCAGAGACTGGATCTGGAAAAACCTTGGCATATTTACTGCCTATAGTGGAGCGAATATTGGCTTTGAGTGATAATGGGATACAAATACATCGAGATTCTGGACTTTTCGCCATTATTCTTTCACCTACAAGGGAATTGTGTAAACAAATCGCAGCTGTTCTGGAGAAGGTTTTACGCTGTGCTCCATGGATAGTTGGTACTACGGTCAATGGAGGAGAAAGCAAACAATCAGAAAAGGCTAGACTTCGAAAGGGTGTCAACATCCTTGTTGCAACACCAGGGCGATTGGCAGATCATCTTGACAATACCGAAGTGTTGAATGTAGCTACTGTGAGATGGCTAGTGTTGGATGAAGGAGATAGATTGATGGAACTTGGATTCGAGGAAGAGATTAAAGGTATCGTTGAGAAAATTGGTCGGAGATCTGTGGCCAGTGGCAATTCGGAAATGATGTCTCTTCCCAAGCGAAGAGTTACGATTCTGTGCTCTGCTACGATGAAGATGAACGTTCAGCGCTTGGGAGAGATCAGTTTAAAAGATGCTGTGCACATTCAAGCGGATCTATCGGAACAAGAGAAACAAGACAAGGCGAATGGTATTGAAGCCGATGATAAAGCATTCTCTGCGCCTACCCAATTGAAGCAGTCATATGCTATTGTTCCTGCAAAGCTACGCCTTGTTACTCTGACAGCTCTCCTAAAACGTGCCTTTGCACGAAAGGGATCCGTGATGAAAGCAATTGTTTTTATGTCTTGTGCAGACTCTGTCGACTTTCACTTCTCACTCTTTTCTCGCAGTGCCGAGAAGTCATCTGAAGCTACAGAAGAGGAAAAGGTTGATCTACCCACGCTGCCTAAATCGGAACTGATCAAAGAGACTATTGCGCACGGAGCTACGATTTCGAACAACTCCAACCCTGTAATTTTACACAAGCTTCACGGATCTCTTGCACAAAACATTAGAACGGCAACGCTCAAAGCGTATTCTGAATCTGCCGATCCTTGTGTTTTGATATGTACTGATGTTGCATCTCGAGGTCTTGACCTTCCAAATGTTGACTTTGTCATCGAATACGATCCGCCTTTCAGCGCTGAAGATCATCTGCATCGTGTTGGACGAACGGCCAGAGCTGGTCGTGAGGGTCGTGCTTTGATCTTTCTCATGCCCGGCACCGAGGAGGAATATGTATCTATCTTGGCTTCCGGGTACCGTGAAGGAAAGAAGGCCCTGACACATCACACTGCCGAAGATTTGATACAAAAGGGTTTCGGTGGTACAGGTCGCGAATGGGAAGAGAGGGCTACCAATTTCCAACTAGAAGTTGAGCGATGGAGTTTAGATTCACCAAGATATCTCGAAATGGCACGTCGTGGATTTCAGAGTCACATCAGAGCTTACGCCACTCACGTTGCAAACGAGAGACACATATTTAATATGCAAGAACTGCACTTAGGTCATTTAGCCAAAGCATTTGCCTTACGAGACAAACCTGGAAGTATCAAGGTACCAGGATTGAGACCAGCGAAAATGACAAAAGCAGACAGAAGTGTCGCGGCTAGGAAGGCGAAGAGAGGTGAGAAAGAAGAAGAGAAAGCTCCGGAAGGAGAAAGAGTACGGAAACAGAGGAAAATGGAGTTGGATCTACCTACTGTGGATAGTAATGAGGTTGCCGCGAGGATGAAGAGGAAAATGAAGGAACATATGTCTGCCGCGAGTGAGTTTAATATTGGTTGAGTAGTGGTTCACCCCATTGTTAGCACATACGGAAATACAACTAAAATTGATGCTCATTTCTATCAAATCAACTTGAAGAGACATCCATCTGTTCTTTTACATTTTTCTCGTCACTTCTTTTAATGATTCAAGATTTATGAGATCCTTCTTGTAAAATAACCTATGTCGCACAAGATCTTTGTGGCTTCTGACTAGATTACTGTCATCATCCCCGCGACGCAACCCAGAAACGGCAAGTCCATCCCACAGTTAATAAACCACGGATGGGAAAACATTGAGACAATCTCAGATACGTGATTGCTTCAGATTCAGATTCTTCGCCCACTTCTACGGCCGCCGATTGTTTTATCAGTAGAGTCAAATGGCCCTTTTTTCTCACGATGCAGATGCCAACGCCCTGCAGTAATGAATGGGCTACTCCTTTGCGAGTTCTGCCGAGGAGTGGAGATACATGTATATAATTCAGGTGCATGTATTCTGTGCGATGTCGTACTCAAGTTATTTGAAAATATGGGTGCTCGCTGCCAGGATTTGTGGTCTATGAACTGCTGTACTAAATATCCAGGCACATACGAGTTAACGTGGCGGCCGGATGGAAGGAGACAAAAGGAGTATTCAGTAACTAGGCATTTATTCTTTGGAAGGTTAGAGGTTGCTAATCTGCCATATCTTAAAGATATCAGAGCTAATGTATCATTTGCCACTATGATCCACTAACCGAGAGCCATGTAATCTTCAGGTCAATATTGGCAGGTGCTTCGCATGAAAGTTTGGATGTCATATCCAGCTAGTTACGCAATGTTTTCGCAGCACAAAGAATGGCAAGAGCTATAGATACTCATCCTGAAGATGGTGATTCATTTTTGTTAAATAATAATGAAAGAAAAGGTGGTCGAGTTGCTTTACAATTATTTCTGGAGCTCTTCCTCTACATCGAACACACTACGCAAGATTTAGTGCGGTATTACAACAAGATATCCATGTCCGCACTTCCTCAAACTATGAAGGATAGGGCCATTTTAATTCGTCCAATACGTTATCGATATTCTTGGATACACTCTTTGCGTATCGTACAGGATTTCCTGGTAGGTTGGGTCATGGAGCAATTAAAGATGGCCAAGGTCTGCGAAGGCCCTTCTTTGAGAATTGCAGCAGAAGCAGCCAAAACCGCTGTCCCTTAGGCCTTCAAAAGTACCAATGTTTACCTACAGCAATTTTTCACGATCAAAGGGTACTATCCCTATTATGGGAAGGGAGGTGGAAGCTATACCTACGATATCCTCTTAATAATAGCCAATGTGTACATGCAGACTGTCTCAGCAAACGCACATGAGCTTTACAGAAAGGCTTACTGTGCTGGCGCTTGATCGGCTTCGGAAAAGAGCAACGGTCTGGAGATACACCAAGCAGGAGTTTCTGGATGCATGTGGCACTCGAGAATGCCAGTCTATTGGATAGACGGCCGACGGCCTCTAAGGCCGCGACCACAATGACTCCATGAAATACAAAATATAGATCAAAGCAGGACAACAAGGTCTTCCTGGTAAGAGTTCCGGACTCTTCTAGCTGCACACTTTACCGAGAAATTTAGGCCATACCTCAAATACTAACATGCACATTAGAGGATATGATTGTAGTCGAGGGATCGGATATTACTCAGTAATATATACTCAGATTTAATCAGAAAAACATCGTGGTGTCAAATTTATTATTATATCTTAAAAACGGAGGTGAAAATCGAGGATGTGCAGTGAGTCAAATCCAGAACTCTTATAAAACATAATTAAGCAGATGATTATATAACTCGTCAAATAGCCAATTAAAAAGATGTACAAGTTTGTATCTAGGCTATTTTCAAGGAGACAGGCAGTCTCCTAGTGCATCCACAGCAGGTCTTTCGGCATATGACTTGCACCATTTCAAGCGTGCCCGCATCTAAAATTTAACATTTGACATCCAAAGTCGAATTGGAGCATTGTCTGGGCCAGTAGCCTAGTAAATGGCTGGAGCAGAATGAAGTGCCGATGTTTTTGTTATGTTTTGACGAACGGCTGGCTTACTGATGTCTGGGAATTGTAGGTCTTTTGAGAATTTTAGGGTTACTGTTCAAGGATGGGTGATCGATTAGTCTACTGTTGAGACTTTTACGCTTTCTATAGAATCTCTTTCATGCCATATCTCCCATCTTATCTCCGTCTATCCGCCTTCCCGCCTTCCCAACCTCACCTCTAATACCTTCCTTTATCCGCCCCATCTTCCATACTTTATTATTCCATTTATTCATTCGTATGCTGCGGAGGGAGCTTTGATAATCTTATCTTCTTCTCATTTTTCATCTGAAAAGAATTAAAAAACCATCTTGGAAGATTTATGAATGGTATTTTCTTTATCTGTGTTCATAATCGACCTACAAAAACACTTGCACCCACTCAGTGCTCAAAATCTGGCAAAGCTTCAACACATGGTACATCTAGGCTTATATTTGGGGTTGAAAGTAATGTTCTCATTATAAGTTCATGGACAACCAGTGTTTAATCATAGATCATTAGTCAAGATTTGGATAAATTCGTTTCTCTTAATCTTTAGGATACTTCTTCGCCCGCATACTATGGATTTGACATAACATACGGCTGTATTAGCCGTATACTACGATTTCATATGATCCGTTATTGTTAAAAAAAATCGAATACTGGCCGTACAACATATCTAAATTTAAGATTTTCCTTAGCTTCCAGGTTGATTTCTAGTTTGTCTCAATCGAGTTGCCCCCGCTTTCTTGCTCCCCCTCGTAATTACCTTTGCCACCTACCTCGTCATCTACCCCAACTATCTAGCTCATCGCCATCTCTACATCTGGAATAATTAAAGGAAAAAAACTGCCAAGCATATTAAAAGTCTAGTACCCTACTTTTGGGCCACCTCTCTTTCGAGTCACTCTTTTATATAAAAAATTATTATTTTTGTCTGTTAATAACTTCACAATCGATTAATATAATTCAATCAAGATTTAAATTATAAATTCATTACATAAATAATAATAATTCTTGAATCTTTAAATTTTTTATAATTGATTTTGTTAAGATTTATAAGATTAAATTTATAAATAAAAAGTTATAAATATTGAATTTTGTTATTTTTAATAAAGAAATAATTTAAAAAAGAAATAATTTAAAAGTATAATACTAGATTTACAATTTGTTTTTGAAATTATTATAGATATTGAAGATTATATAAATAAAAATAATAATTTGTAAATTATAAAAGAATAAACAAATATGACTTTTATAAGTAATAATAATAATAACAAGATTATACAATAATATTGATTGATTTTTTTAAATAAAATACAGACTTATTTCTTTGAATTGAAAATTATAATCTCTTTATATAATTTATTCAAATTCTTTTAAATCTTAATAAATCATTTTTATTTATCGATTTTCAATAAAGCTTTATTATTTTAATTATCTTGATTTAAATGAAATTACTCTTTACTTTAATAATTTTAAAATTTGATCAATCAAAGCTTTTTATTAATTATCTTCATAATAATTTCATTTATATTTTATATAATATTCAAAGGTTTATATAATAATATAATATTAAATATATACAAAAGAGTTTTTATTATTCAAAAACAACAAAATATAATTTAAAATTAAATAATACAATTATATAACAATGATCTTATAATGACTGTAGTTGAATAGTAAACGATTCAAATAGATATTTTATATAATATGAAATTAAAATAAAAGATATGACTTATCAATTTATTAGTAAAATAACTAAGTCAGAATGGCTTCACTTTTGCATTGATAATTAATTCAGGCCCCAAGCCGCATTTTGTCCAGATATGATACGTTTTATTACAGCCTTAAGAGTCCAGTTTTTAACAGTTTTGGGCTTTTCTACGGTTAAAGTGGCCCTAGCTACAGACAAGTATATCATGATCTGAGTTTAGTCATGGTATACGAATGAGAAAGTAATTACGGTTTGGTTTATGATGTCAAAATCCTTTGTTTTAGCTCTATGCTGAATCATAATAACGCTATAATCTTTGACGATAAAGACTAATTGAATAAAATAAAGAAAGAAGATATAGAACCATTGTACTATTTGAGATGTATCTAGTTCCTAGATGTTGAGATTAGACATATGTCTGAGGCAAGAACTATTTTACCGAGACGCTAAGTATTGTTCGGTTAACTGTATTATCTCTGAATAGTTACTAACTATTGTTTTCAAAAAAGGATAAAGTTGAGCTCAATTCTACTCTTTCAATGGAAAATAAACAACCATTCGAACATTAACAATCTCATCAGTCTTGCAAAGGGAAAGCAGAAACTACTGGTCTTTGATACTCAGTAACTAGTACCTTAAAGCAGCCATACGTCATGAACCAAAGAATTGTACAGCACCTGTACGCGTTAGCGCCAAAATGCATTCTACTTTTACTTGCAGTATCTGTATGCGTTATTATTTCAGAAAGAATCACATTATTTGTACCTCGTCACAACAACATCCCATCAATCAAAACATACCGAAAAACTATTACATTACTTACGATAGTAATCTTTCTTACCGTCGCCATGGATATCGCTACATTTAGGGAGGTCGTCCCAATGATTCCGACGCTGGTCGATTACGCGGGGAGGTGTTATAGCTGGTTAAGATATCTGGGGATAAGCAATGAATCTATTTTCGGGGCAGTGATTGTTGTCTTACTCTTTGGCTTAATCCTTTTATTTGTCTACTACGTTTCCAGTTATTTCTTCGGATTTTTTGAGCACATCTTCAGATCTTTCTTCGGATTTTTGGAGCGCATCTTTAGATCTTTCTTCGGATTTTTGGAGCGCATCTTTAGATCTTTCTTCGGATTTTTGGAGCGCTTCTTCGACTCTGTCATCGGATTTTTGGAGCGCATCTTTAGATCTTTCTTCGGATTTTTGGAGCACTTCTTCGACTCTGTCATCGGGATTTTTGCGGGTCTCGCTAGCATCTACCCTTCGGCAGTTATCGCATCTCTCAGCATCCTCTTTATTTTTTGTTTTACATTAAATTCAGATCTAGGAGAAAATCAGCGGTTTATTCTTGCTGTTATGGCATTCGGAATCATCACGTATTGTGTTATGACAGCGAGAAGGGAGGAACGACCAACAGATTTGACTAGAGTTCAAGCAGGCGCGGTTGGAGTTCAAGCAGGCGCGGTTGGAGTTCAAGCAGGCGCGGCAGGAATCCAATGAAAAAGTAAGTTAATCCATTCTATTTGCTGTTTCCTTCAGATTTTTATACTAACGAGTCTAATAGCTTAACAAAGTCGACCCGGTCCTTCGGATTCCCGTTCCATGCTTCTACACTCGAGAACGTCTCCAACGATCCGATCCTGGGCACACAGGTTTTATGGTAGGGGGGAGTCTGGGTTTCTGCAATTTGGGCATGTCATTCATGTCTTTCGTATTATGGTGCGCCATGGAAAGGGTTATGGGTTTTAAGGAAAACGTTTAGTGGGGCCGGATTGGCTGAGCTGGTACAACTGGAGTGGTTATGGGAAAACATGAATTTTTAAGAGCTGAATAGCTCAATTACCGGATGCATTGTACATACCGAGTCGAATGAATCCAATTCCAGAAGCGCTTGCGGTTCTCGGATTTGAGGTTCGTATTCTAATTAATGAATTTCCTTGCAATTTCTTCTTCCTCCCGTGAGATTTCTCTCGTATGATTAAATCCTCAAAATGATATGTGCTTTCTGTTCTTCAAAGAATGCTTGAACGCAAATAAAATCTAATGAATAGCTTTGTGATACTAGAGTGAAAAGAAATCCTTGCACCTAGAGCATACCAGTATAATATACTTTGAAACAATGTTAGCGGCAAAGAAAAAAAAGAAAAAAACTTAAGATAAATACCATAGCACAGTTACTACTTGCCTGTGAAGAACATTAATAGATTGTTGCTCATTTCCATCCATCCAACGAGTATCTCCTTTTATTCTTCCTTATTCATTTGTCGGTCAAACCCAACACTGCGGCTGGGTGCATAGGCTCCTCAAACTCAGACTTTCTCAGCTACAGCAACACTTATATCCACCACCTCCTCAGGTTCATCCTCAGGTTTATCGGAAAGGCAATTGTAACAACACCTATGAGCTTGGCTGCGAATGCGAGAATGAGGTTGAGATTTGGGGTGCAAACTCTTGGATGCGGTTGGGTTTGTGGGGTTCATAGGGGCAAATAGGTGGGATTAGTGGATGGTTTTGTTTTCCATATATTGAAGGAGGTAGGTGATGACCTGAGTCAAGTATGGATGCTAGATGGAAAGGAAGTTTTGGCGAACTGAGATTCAATGAAGGATATGAAAGCTTTGAGCGACGAGATGAAGATTTGTAGAATGCTGTAGAAGTGATATTTAGTCAACGTGCTTTTGTGTATATTTACATTGCTTTACAATTCTCTAAATTAGATACAATGAAAACAAATAAAGCCTTTTTTCGTTCTTTATTTTGACCAAATGTGATTGAAAATAGAGGGGTCGGCCCTTGATAGTAACACAGGGCATACGCATTTCGCTGACCCTTATAATCCAGCTAAGGAGGTTTGGATTACTGGGAGCAACATTGAGGCAATGGTTTATAAGAAAGGGCATAACTGTAGATTCTAATCCCCAAATTCCATCTTCATCAACAACTGTGCTGAATTTGTATCGAAAAAGGGCTGAGCCTGCCACCTATACATTTCGCTCATCGGGGGAATCGAGAAACTAGAGAAGATAATGAGATAGATAGCCCCTTTGAGAAAGATCAACAAGAGTCTCATGCAAGTGCACGCACTCTTGTTTGGAGACCATCAAACGAGAATTCAAGTTTACTACCTGTGAATATGAATACAATAGGTTAGATAGGATAAATTTTTCCAAGGACCAAGATCTTTCCTTACTAGAATGTTTTTAAAACATCATGATCCTCGCTAAATGGTGTGTTACATATCTTAAGACAGTCTTGTGGAGATTTGTGACATTGTGACAGTGTGCTAAATGTCGAAAAATAACTCTAGCTAGATGTGGTTCAATCAACATAGTAGTTAAGTTGAGTAATACAATGTTTAGCAGCGAATATGTTCACAAAAGGCTGCGCAACGGATACCCGTGGGGTGGGCTTTGTTCTGGTGGGTAGCCCATGGGCTGGCTACCTGCTGGCGGGCCGGGTTATTGAGGAATCTGAATGGGCACCCCTAGGCTACCTGCAGATTACCTGCGGGCTACCCATCAACCCGCAAGTTTCCCACCAGTTTATGGATTGATGGGTTATTCATGAATAATCTGCAGATAATCTATCGGTACTCTACAAATTTGTAGATATCCTACAAATGTCTATTTACAAATTATACTATCTTTATACAAATTTTCATGAATTGTATAGAACTATATAAACCCGCAGGGTTGATGGGCATCTTTAGATAAACTGCAGATAGCCTGTACGGGACGTGTTACTTTAAAACCTCAATGGGATATCCCATAGGGCGGATAACCCACCGGTGCCCGTGAGTTGCGGATTAATTTTGCCCAGCCTAGTTCACAATGACATGATGCATGTGCCCATCTCAAACATTAGCCTTTCTAGATCGAAGCAATAGTACCTGCTGACTTTTAAACTTTTGCTAATTCTGACGGTTCAAAAGCCCTACCAGTGAAAGTAGAGGCACGCAAAAATCTGGAGCTGGGGTCTAGATAGAATCTGAGAAGAGAACTGTGCCAGATACCTCGGTGATGAGCTAACACCTACCTGCTTGGTATTCGCTTGAAACTTTACATAGCATGCAGCTTTTCGTGTGGAGCGAATCCCCGAAAATGTAATACTACTTTATGAGCAACCAAGCGCGAAACTTGATTTTTGAGCTGAAAAAATGCCACAAATAGGAGACATTCTTTTGATAGGAAAAGAGTTTCCCGTGACGAATACACTCTATAGATGCATATTACTCGAGGCTTGGACCAAATAATTCATCTTAGATGTTGATTAGAACTAGCTATAGGTCACGCATCACAATGGGCTTCTTCATTGATCTCATGGAGCACTTTGATTCCACAGATCTTCCTTGCATGGCTCTAAACTGCCCATCAGAACTCATGCCATATAATCTAACGGTCACATAGTGCACCATCGACGTCATTCATCAAGTAATTGCTCCTATCAAGGCCACTACAAGCCCGCTAAATAATTTTCCAAAACTCTCGCCACAATCTTCAGCTGAGGACGTTCTCCTCCACTCTTTCCTTCATGAAAGATGTCCATTACTGTAAATGGGTATGATGGCTCAATGTTGTCTTCGCTTGGAAATAGAGAATGTTCTATCCCTAACCGCTGCTTGATTTGAACACGGAACTTCTTCATCAATTGGTGACATGCCAGGGTCAATGATATATAATCGAATTGTAATTTAGCGACTGCCTGAAAACATATCTTCCATGTATAATTCCATCATCTGTTCCATAGCAGGCCATTTGATGTCAAGAAGCTTGGTTCTTCTGCATTCCGCATATAGGTATGCTAATAAAGTGGTAACTGTATGGTAACAGCAATGGGTAAATCCAGCTTGTTCAGTGGCAGTAATTAACCGAAGAGCCACCATTCCACATTAAACAGAATTATGTGTGAAAACAAAGTCCATATCTTTGTGACGCCTGATGATTTGGAGATCAAGCTTCCTACCACTTCGTCAGTGTTGTGGATCGCACTGTTCATCTTCAATTGCCGATTCGGCTCGAGCATGCACCACCAGCTTTTCCAGCCAGACAGGTTCAGTAGTGCCATCTGGACGGATGGCACTCTCAGGAACTTGCATGGTACTCATTGAAATATTCGTCAACATTGTGTTCTCCGGGAATTGTACACCCCGTAAGTTTCCTTGCTTACTCAAGAAGTCATATTCCATCAAAGTGCGAGAAGTAGAAAGATATATGAAGTCAGCAAAGGGTGTTGGTCGCAGCACTTTGTTGGTTGCCATGGTCTGTTCCTGGTCATGACCTTGACTGAAAGCATTGGTATAGAATATAACGATAGTAATCGTATCATAAGACTGCTTCTTTGAGAAAAGATTTGGTGCCGTGGCCAGGATTTCATCATCGTCGCGATGAACAACCTCAAACGCCGAGTTGTTAATGAGACTAGCGCTAACAAGGTCCAAATTCCCATTCTTATAGCTTTTCCATATACCGTGCAAGAAGCCTTGAATACGATAGAGATCCTCGAAGAAATGAAAGATCATAAGGCTCATTTTCATCTCGACAGATTCATCCTCCAGTTCGTAAGTGGTTGACATGTCGACTGTGACATCCGAGCCGTCATCCTTGTCATCGGGATCCAAGACATCTTCAGTACTAAGCTTTTGAAAACGATCGGTGATTTCTATCCAGGAGGATTCCGAATCGGGCCTTATAGCCACAAGCTATTGCCGCCTTCGATAACCCTATGAATGAATTAACCTAGATACAACAATTACTCATCAACCAGGATACACACAAGTATACGTAGTAAAAACTAAGGAATCCATCCTCCTTTAACTCAAGTACGAGCTGCCGAGACTACCAAATAAATATTTATATGATTTATACTGTATTTGAAGAATCATAGAAAAACATAAACGATGAAGTTCGTGATTGAAGATCTAGTATTTCAGGCATTATATAAGAATAAAAAAAAAATGATATTGAAGTAAAAGTTGTCTTCTCTTCTTATACTAACTTGAGTAAATACAGAGGCAGAGTCCTGGTGAGAAATTTCTATATTATTTGTAAGATCTTATTTATATTTATTTATATAAAGAAGAAAGAGAGTAAAAAAAAAAAACAATTAAGAAAATAATATTAAAAAAAGATAAATAATCAAAATCGAAAGAAATAAAAAGACAATTTAAAATATCAAAGACGTGTTCACGATTTTATTTAAGAGATTGAATAAAAATTGATGTTTCTTTATGTAATAATTATTTATAATTAATATTTATTTAAATGAATATTTTAAAGATATAAACAGTTTTAATATTTGAGGTGATATATAAATAAATCGCTCGCACTTCAAAATATAATTATTTCATTTCAAGAGAAATCTCTGCATCCAATAAGTCTGTTAGTTAAGTCTATTATCACATTTGAATTGAGATAATGAAGAAATCTATTTAGTTTATTCAACATCAGCATACACGTTTGGTCTTACAATTCTTCTCACCAATTATATTGATACGTACCCACTAATCCTCATGTGTACAACAGATCAGTAATCAAAGATCAGCCTGTCACGAAATCATTTTATAGAATGTTACAGGGTAACAGTCAACCTGTCCATGTAAGCTTGGACCTCCTTGAAAAGCAAAGCAATTTGTATACAAATTTGTATGGTAATCGCTTCATATGGTCTCCCCACCTTCAGCAAGCTCGGACATATAGTCTGATCCTAGTCACGTGATGGAGCCTCGAGGAGCCCACGCTCCTGGAGGCTCCCGAAATGGATTAGTATATAATCAGAATAGTTTCATAGTTTAGGAGCTTCGTGCTCAACTTAGTTATCAATTAGTTTACCTACATTCCAATTGATCTAGTAACGAATTCACTTTCAAGTGGATAACCAGTGATTAATAGCCACAACTACCAACCATATGAAACCTCAGGCAGCCGCTGCCTCGACCAGATCGTTACACAGCCCCAAATAATCATACCTTAACACCGATTTTAGTCTCCTCCACATATGCATCCAAACTAATGCAGATCTTATTACGCATTTATACTATGTACGCTATGATTTATCATACTCGAAACTGTTTCAAAATCTTTACTCATAATTTGGTATATTGTGAGACTTAGGAAGAATTTGCGCGATTTGATCTTTCGATTAGCGAGGAATGATTGATCATCTCCTGTCACAATGCCACCAGGTGTGCCAATCAACAAAACGTGCATTAAAGCCGAGATTAGTGAATCGATGAATGATTTTCGATGCTAGATATAATCGCTCGCAAAGAAGTATATAAAGACCATAGAAACTTCAATTAATTTCTTTCTATAATATCCCCAACTTCACAGTTTCCTCAATTACTTGTATAATAAAGCACCTACTCTACTCGCTCTATCACATTCCAACCCAACCAAAGCCAAAATGTCTTCCACCGCCAAAACTGCAATCGTCTTAATAGACCCCTACAACGACTTCTTACACCCCGAAGGTAAAGCCAACCAACTTCTTGCCGAATCAATGGCCGATACAAACACCATTTTTCACCTGAAGAATCTCGTGACTGTCGCTCGTGCACACAAGATCCCTATCTATTATGGTTTGCATCAGCAAATTAAGGCAGGATTTTTAGCTGGTTGGAATCATGCAACTTCGACGCAGGTAGCTCAGAAGGAGGGTAAGGCATTTGAGGAGGGGACGTGGGGGGTTGAGATTTTTGAAGGGTTGGAGCCGGATGTCGAGGGGAATGCGGATGTGGTGGTTAGTAAGCATTGGTGTAGCAGGTATGTGTTGGCTGTTCTGTGCGGGGCTGAATGAGCGGCGGGAACTAATTGGAAACAGCTCCTTTCAAAACACCGATTTGGAGTATCAGTTGAGACAAAGAGATATCACGCATTTGGTCTTTGCTGGATTAACTGCAAATACGTGTATGGAGTCCACGGCTAGATATGCTTTTGAATTGTGAGTTAACTTTCCACTTGAGTGTATTAGACGATGGCTGATGCTGATGTCAGGGGATTTCGTGTGACCATGCTTAAGGATGCAACGGCCGGCTTTTCTACCGTGTTGAAGGATGCTGCTACTGATCTTATTTGGCCATTGTTTGCGAATGAGGTATTGACGGTGGAAGAGTGGAAGAAGAGTTTGGAGAAGTGAAGGGATCGTAAGAAACCTTTGGATTAGTGTACGATAACTATCGAAGTTCCTTTCCCTTAGCTCATTCAAGTAGCCTTGCAAATATTCATCTGCATTCGATTGTTCATTTAGGCGATTGTCGTTTAATACCGTAAAATTCTACAAAGAGTCCATAGTGCCAATCGTGATTCCAAGGGCCGTAGCAAGATTTCAGCCAGTTCTTAATTATGCCTCTCATTCCTAAATTTTCCACGCCTCCTCTCATAATTAACATTTGGTTGATACCTCTGAGGTGCATTTCATATTCCTCTCCGTCTCCATCTCCGACCTGATGTTTCTGTTAGCATGGTACTAGAACAATGATGAGAAGATTTACATTGAAATATAGCAAGATCAAGACCACAATGAGCATTTGATCCGTGGCACCTTCATTCGGTATGTTCATTTTCTCATTTGCTAGACGCATCGTTTCAATTTTGTACCAGATCAAAGTGCGTTTGTCAATGGGCTGCTTGCGGTCCAGGTGAACTGCTGCGCCTAATAAAGTGGCGTAGAATAACGGGGGATGGTGCAATGCAAGTTTTAGCCAGGAGAATGCTGGGCGACCCACTGGTGGACCATCTTCACATGAAGCAACCCACGAGCCTAGCTGTCTGATAACTTTCGATTGTTATTATAACTTTTCCCGTTATTTGAAGATGCTGCTTACAATATTCGAGAAGAGTTGATTTGGGAAGCGGGTCCCCGGTGGTATCTGGCAAGACAGAGAATGCATCAAAACCACCCACGAAATCGCTCCTTAATCTAGGCTCAAGGGAAGCCTGGAATTCTATATCATAGGTAGTCGTATGCTTCGAGAACAATATTGCTGCCACAGCTCCAGCTGCTCGAGTAGATGCGTAGCATGGCCTAGCGCTTGGTAAACCGTCAACTGATTCGAGACTAAGTAAAACTTCCTGTCCAGTAAGTATCCTTCGGTCACGAGCCGCTATTGTACTTTTATTATCCTGTTTTAAATCTCTCCGTCTTCTTCCGGATTAATAAACTTTTCTAACACCGGTAGCATGCACGTTGAGTACTCACAAGGGTGTCACAAAATGGCATTTGTGTGGAACACCTCGCTCCATACAATCATTACAGGGGTGACTTCGATTGCATTTTTGTTTCCTCCTATGGCATTCGGTACACGAGAGTAGTGTGCGATTTCGACTTCGTTGAAGAGATTTGCTCTGCATCTGTGGGGTTTTAGAAGTGTTGGATGTCATGGTGCCTGTTGCCCGTGAAAATGAATATAAACGATTAAAGTCGCCAAGATGCGAATTCACTTCTCGGCAGTGGGAGCTATCGACACTAATAAATAGCAGGAAGTGCTTATAAATTATAGCAGCTCCCAGAGTCTTCCAGACCCTTTCGTGATGTATCCAGAAATTCCTGCTTACAAATAAAATCGGGTTCAGAGGAATTTCGATAGGAAGAGGAACCTCATTTAAACTTTCAGAGCGATAAGAGAGACAGACACTCTGTAGATCAAGACATTGTCTTTTCTCCAGGTCGTTGAGGTCACAATAAATGAGGAAAGTAAATAGCAAATAGTACGGAAGTAGATGATGGTGGAAAAGCGGTGTTTATGCAGGTCCACGTGCAGCGCGCAGCCCCATGTAAATTGCACTGACCTCTATTCAAAATGGTCCACTTCCAGCTTCAAATATCGATGTAAGCTGTAGCTGAGTAGAGTCTATGGACGAGCTAAGAAGAGCTAATAGCATCCGAGTACCGACTTTTGCTTCCTTGAGCATCGGGATTATATCATGCTCACCGGTAGTTGCCCAAGCTTTTCAAAGGTACCTGCTCGTGCCGTCAGGGAAGTGTGAAAGCCAGAAGCCGGATGCCGGATACTAGAGACAGCAGGTTATTCCTCCTGAAGATCAACATCTTCTGGTCGTTGCATCTTCTGGTACTTGCATATTTTTCTGCCCAACACGGGTAATGGAGGTATGGGGGCAGAAGTCCTAGTCTGCTGAGTAAGCATTTAGTTCTATTCTACTAATGTAATTTTGTGCATCCTAGTAGTGTTCGCGGCCGCTAGCTTCACGCGTCCCCTGTCATTGACCCCTTCCCTTTCAGTCAGCTGAGATACGAGGATGCGTGTTTCGTGTGACCCCTGTTTATTGGTACCTTAGCTATGGCATTTCTTTGAAGGCTTCACTTTGAATAACCATCAACATCAACATCAACTTTGCTATCTTTCTACGAATACATGCCAATGGGCCGGACTATTCACTACACAGAGAACCGGATTTAGATTTTCATTATTCATCTGTAGAATATCCATCTTATTTACATACAAACCCCTTCCATTATGCTTTCTATCACAGATAGCTTATCAGACCGCTGCCAGAAGCTTCAAGATGTAAGCTACATCAATCTCGCGGTATCGATGTAAGGAAACTTTCTCAACCACCTTTTACCTCTATTCCATGACAATGTGCTAAATACTGCACTACATGAAGCTTCATCCTTATTGGAATACTCGTCTCTTACCTACCCCAACATTATCGAATCATTAGTCGCGGAACCTCCGAAGGGATATCACCTTTTTTCATTCTTCTAGGCACAACATCAGGAACATGCGCATTTGCCAACATCATAGTTCTACCAGCATCTCGTGCGGATGTGGCATGTTGTAGAACGGTTAGCACATTCGAATGTGCGGCAGGATTGCTAGGGATTGCCCAGGTTGGGGTTCAATGGTTCTGCTTTAGTATAATGTACGCAATGGGATTCATCCAACAACGGAGAGATGAATGCTGACAAAACTTTGACGTAGATTAATCCTTTTTATGGTATTCTTTCCAAGAACTCCGACCCTTCCTAACCTCGATGATAATAAACAACAACATACATGGCGCACGGCTGTCACGGTAGCTTTGGTATGCCTTTTCCATGGCTTCATCACCATTGTTATCAGTGTATCGTTGGCACTCGGTCGTCCCAATTCCCTTGGTGTATGGGCCAACGCGTTGGGCATTATAGCTACAATTCTAGCAGGCATACAATACCTACCCCAAATATGGTTAACGTATAATCTTGGCCATATTGGAAGCTTGAGTATACCAATGATGTTGATCCAAACTCCAGGCAGCTTTGTTTGGTCCGCGAGTCTTTTCGCTAGGTTGGGAGCCGGGGGTTGGAGTACATGGGGTGTATTCTTGGTAACAGGATGCTTACAAGGATGCTTGTTGGTAATGGGAATTTCCTTTGAGCTAAAAGCTAGAAGAGAAAGACAGGGTAGTGAGGATGAAGCTGTCAGTATAATACCTTTTAATTCAAAAACACTTACTAACGTCAACAGTCTAATGGAAGATGCATTGTTGGATATATTGCAGGCTCGCGAGAACACGATACGGATGATGAGGGTGGAACGGCTGTTGAGAGTACACCGTTACTGTCCGAGTCGGGGTCAACAGGAAAGCCGACTACAAACTCTACTCGGAACTCTGCATCTAGTTAAATCATGAGACACTTGAAAATCAACGTTTGTAATGTGAAGGCCAATACAATAGATCCTCTGTATACCTATTGAGAGTTGAGATCTTATGCTGTCAATATATGGCTTATCTGATATTTTATCGACTTGCTATATTTTTCGTCTTCATTTCCAGGCATTTGACCTTGGTATTTTTTACCTAGTTCTCTGCAATTAGGTCTTGCTAATTGTTTTGCTCCATTAGATGTGCTCAATCATCAAAAATCTGCATCAAGTTTGAAGGTTGACATGTGTGTTATTATTGTTTGCCTGCAATATTGCTTTCCCTGTCAAGTTATCGTTAATCGTTTCTTTATATCAATTTGTGGATGTGCCCCGCCAGAACTTAACCTAGTCTGCATATGCGATGCTGCCAATATCGTGGTATAGAAAAAGGGCCATTACGGAAGTGATATATAGCTTATAATCAATGGTTTTCATACCCTCAGGGATATATGGTTTAGTATGGTGGATAGCTTAACTATTATGATAATCCACTTTTCTGACATCGAGGAGCTTGATAGATTAACCCCACTATTATAGATAAGCCCCCTCTCCTCCATTAGCATACGATACTACATATGTCGTCGTGATATCTTCTTATTCTCTCTGCCATTCTTTTAGCCATCCCAATATAATATTCAAAAGTCTTTAGAGAATTCACCAGCTGTAGTAGCAAATACGATTTATATTTGTACATCAAAAACTATGTCTTGGCGAGAGATTGCAAAAGATAAGAAAGAGAGAATCGCCGCCAGTATTCCTTCGGAATGGCGTCTGAAAAATCAGCCTACTGATGCTTCTGTGATGGGATACACTGGCACTACTGATATCATGTCTATTGATGAGGTTGCCATCACAAACTCATCAGCTACTGATCTCGTGGCCAAGATGGCCATGGGTGAATTGACCTCTGTTGCAGTAACATCGGCATTTTGCAAAAGAGCTGCATTAGCTCATCAACTTGTGAGTAGCTCACAATTACACCATGGAGAGTATTAATGATAGCAAGCTCAACTGTGCACTTGAATTCTTCCCTGAGATGGCTCTTGTGAGAGCTAGAGAGTTAGACGAGTATCTTAAGAAAACTGGAAAAACGGTTGGCCCGCTTCATGGTCTGCCGATCTCCTTGAAAGATCAATTTAGGATCAAGGTGGGTGAGTTAGAACCATAGTATGGGTTCGACGCTTATTTGAATGTTTTTTAGGGCCTAGAAACATGTATGGGATATGTTTCGTGGATTGGGAAATACGAAGATCATAATTCGATACTTGTGAGACTTTTACTCCAAGCCGGCGCGGTATTTTACGTTAAAACCAACGTTCCCCAAAGTTTGATGTGTGGTGAAACTATCAATAATGTTATCGGCAGGACAGTGAACCCTCATAACAAGAATTGGTCTTGTGGTGGTTCGTCAGGAGGCGAAGGCGCAAATATTGCATTCCGAGGCGGAGTTATCGGGGTGGGAACTGATATCGGTGGTTCGATTCGTATACCCGCCGCGTTCAATTTCCTGTATGGTTTACGTCCAAGTCATGGGCGTCTTCCCTATGGAAAGATGGCAAATAGTATGGAGGGTCAGGAAACTGTGCATAGTGTTTGTGGTCCCATTGCACATTCGGTAGCTGGTTTGTTATATCCTCGTTGATATTCCGTGTCGAGGCTCATGATATGTCCAGATATGCGATTATTTGTGCAAGCGGTCCTTGCGGAAGAACCGTGGAAATTTGATGCTAAAGTTGTTCCCATGCCGTGGCGACAATCGGAAGCCGATGTTATAAAGTCTAGAATTCTAGATGGTGGCTTGACGATTGGATACTATGATTGTGATGGTATTGTAAGTGTTGAGTCTTTTGTGATCTTACTCCCTCGCTGTGGTAATCCCCTTACTGCACGAGACGAGAATGGTCTTGGATATGTGACTTGAATGGAGATGATCCAGGGACCTCGAAGATCCCGAGCTAGACGAGAGTGCCTAACATCGCATACTAGATAGAACACATATGAACAATTTGATGCTAACTATTTTAGGCATTACCTCACCCTCCTGTCCTCCGTGGCATTAAGACAGTCATCGATACTCTAAAAAGGAACGGCCATGAAGTATTCAAATGGATACCATACAAGCATGACCATGCCCAAAATCTCATAAACGCAATATATGGTGCAGATGCCGGAAAAGTAAGTACCAACTCACCATAAAACATCCACTGTTACCATAATTTCTTACACACTAAACACATCAAAGGACATCCACGGCGTTCTCTCCGAATCCGGCGAGCCCGCCATCCCTAACATATCAGACTTTGTCAACCCAAACAGCACGCCCCTTTCACTCAACCAACTCTGGGACGTGCATCTCCAAAAATGGACATACCAATGCGAATACCTCGAACAATTCCGAGTGATGGAAGAAAAACTCGGAAGGGAAATCGATGCCATTGTGGCTCCTGTGGCTCCTACGGCGGCGGTGCGTCATGATCGGTATATGCATTATGCGTATACGACTGTGATTAATCTGTTAGATTTTACGAGTGTGGTTGTGCCGGTTTTGTTTGCGGATAGGGGTGTGGATGGGAGGATGGAGGGGTTTAAGGCGTTGAGTGAGATTGATGAGGTTGTGCAGGGAGAATGTAAGTTTTATTTTTAGTTTGTTGTTGTTTCTGTTGGAGATGGTTATTGATATTTAACTAGATGATCCCGAGGCGTATCATGGGGCACCAGTTGCAGTTCAGATTATCGGGAGACGATTGACTGAGGAGAGAATTCTGGAGATTGCGGAGGAAATTGGGAGGTTGCTTGGGAATGAGATTATTTCTTAAATTGAATAGCTTTTCCAGATGATATTTGCTGTGATGAAACTTAAGGGAATTAATATGAGATTAATATCTACCTTTATCTCTTTTTCTGAGCTCATTTTGACTATATCTATCAATCTTATATTTGTGAATAACACAGAACTATAAATCAATTGATAGAGGTGTAATAGTTATAAGATAATTCCTCTGATTACCGACTAAATTTATCTTTATAATCAGTCTTAAAATTCTTTAGATATATAAGATTTTTTATAATATAAAATTCTATCAATTGAATTTTTGAGTCTTTTATAATCAGATTCTTCTACAATTAATTATATTCTTTAATTTTTTAATTTTTTTTTTAAATTTCTTTTAATTATATACAAAATTAATAAAATCTTATCTATTAAATAAATCAGTGATGTCTCGCTTCATTTGCAATTATATTCATACATCTATTTTTTTTATATCAATCGCCAATCATTGTTCCAAGGCACTCGGCACCGTTCAATTCTTAGTATACTCCGGACGAGCCGATGGGTCTAAGACTCTAAGAGCTTAATTATCAATAGCGTAATAATGCCCCAAAAAATCGGAAAAAATCGCATGGACTCATTTTTTTGCTCGGTCTAATGCGATCTTCTATTCTTGGTAAAGGTTTGGCAGTGCCAACTTGTAAGTGAAGAAAGAATGTTATCAAGAAACAGAACCTTGAACCTAGCGTATGCAGGTACATACTAATGAAGCTATTGTAGTTATTAATTTTTGATTGTGGCTTGTCCGATATACGTTCGTACCTACAGTAGTACGTAGTACGAGGTAGTACAAAGGCGTGGATCGTGGGAAGGGTTTAAGATGTTCGGGATTTTTAATTATTTTAGACATGTTTGTACTCTTGTATTTTGTCTTCTGTACACTGTACGGAGTACTCACTAGATAATTAGTTTAACAAACTAACTTTCCGAGTGCCAGGATTCCGGTGTCCTGTAGGTCAGCATACGAGCTCAATGATAAGGGAAAAGGGAAACAACACAAATACTCAGTCCAATACATTAGGACTAAATAAAATCTTCTTATCATATCGCTCAAATCACTCGACAAGCTATTCCCAATACAATAAATCAGTGGTGCTCTCCCGTCCTAACAAGCATGCAAGATCTGAAAATAGGACTAATAAGCGATTACAACCATCTTGGCGCTATCCACTAACCGAGCCTAGAAAGTCTGTGCATCATGTACCATTTTTCTCGTCCGCCTTTTCATCCAACCATTCAAATTCTACTTGAAGATTTCGAATCAATGGACTCGAATCAATGGATCGAGTATCCGTAGATACCATGTAAAAGAGGAAAGGAAAAAGGCTCCGGTGTGAAGAAATCTACCTAGCAAGTAGCGTGTTTCTCAGCTGGAGATACTTGGTATTTGATAGATGTCCTGTTGGTATTTTCTTTCTATCTCTTGTTCACTTGTATTCATATTCGTGTGGGTTTTCAGACGAATATAATTGTTATCAGTGTTTTTCACTACATTCATTTGACGATCTGATATCTATCTGTGCCTTGTTTTGAACCTGGCAAGAAGGTGCATCGCATCAGGAAGATATCTTGTTTTCTGTGGTTTGTTGATCATTATCATTCGAGAATACAAATTGTATCTTTCTCGCTTTAATTGTTTAATTTTTGCATTTAATACTTCATTTCCATCCACGACGACAAGATAGCTACTCACCCGCTCTATCATCTAATAACCATATAACCACCACAATGCACCTCAGCAACACCCTCTTCATAGTAGCCATAAGCTACCTAACAAGCGTCTACGCAGATTCCACAGACGAAACCGTCGGTTCCTCCTCCAAACGCGGTCTCGTCTTCGTCCCCAATTCCAAATACCCATCCGATAACCAAATCTGGGTACAACCAGGTTCAGATCTAGCATGGTACTATAACTACGGTATTGCCGCCTCTCCAGCCTACTCCAATCGCACGCAAGAAGAATTCGAATTCGTACCTATGCTCTGGAGTACCTCGACCACCTTCGTCTCAGACATCAAATCGCTAATTTCCGGTGGTCGCAACGTAACCCACGTATTAACCTACAATGAACCCGATGGAACATCCTCAACTGGCGGATCCCAAATTTCCGCATCAGTCGCTGCGGCGAATTGGATAAGTCAAGTAGAACCACTGCGCGCATTGGGTATTAAGACGGGAGCGCCAGCCGTAACGGGTTCATCGAGGGGAATGAGTTGGTTGAGTGCCTTTTTTGATGCCTGTACGACTTTGGGAACGAATTGTACGGCGGATTTCATTCCAGTGCATTGGTATGGGGATTTTGAGGGATTGGCTAGTCATATTGGACAGGTTCGCGGGACGTGAGTTTTTCCCCTTTCTATTTCCCCCCGTCCTCCTTCTCTCCCTATCACATCCCCTCCCCCAATTCCCCACCCATCTAACACCCACCCAGCTACCCCAACACCACAATCTGGCTCACCGAATACGCACTCAACGACTCCCCCCTCCCAACAACACAATCCTTTTTCAACACCTCGGCCGAATATTTCGACCGTCTCGATTACATCGATCGCTATTCGTATTTTGGTTCGTTCAGGAGTAGCGTGAGTAATGTGGGGTATAATGCGACGATGTTGGATCAGCGCGGTAGATTGACTGATATTGGGAGTTGGTATCTTGGTGGGAAGAGCACGGGAAATGTGCCTGAGAAGAGTGGCGCGGGGAGATTGTATGGGGTGGGATTGGGTTGGATGGTGGGTACGGTGGTGGTGGGAATGTTTTGGTTGTGAGGGGGATGTTGGGATGTAGTGGATTGAGGGGGTTGGGTGGAGGGTTAAAAGGAGATGGGATGGGACATGATATGATATGATATGATATGGTATGATAGAAATGGTTTGTATAGAGGCGTTTTCTGTCCGGTTGTATATTTCCTCATATCATGTTATATTATAGCATATTATATTACACACGATATAATAAGTAACAATACATCTACAGAGGAATAACCTCGCACACCTATAATGATAGAGTAATATATAAATAAAAGTTCTGTATACTAGACCACTACTGTTCTACTTGTGTATGAAATATTTTCAAGACAAATCTAATTTCAGTATAATATAATATTAATTTTAATATTAATCAAAGGAAAAAACCCTATTTAAATATTTAAATAAATTATAAAAGAATAAAAATGAATTTTATCTTTTTATTATAATAGTTAAATGAAAAAAAAATTTATTAAAAATATAAATTTATAAAAAAAAAAGTTTTATTTATTCAGTTTTTTTAATTCTTTTAAATAATTTTATTATTAATATAAAAATAAATTAGATCTTGATTATAAATTGTTAAAAAGAAAACAAATTATTAAAAATAAAATTAGAAATTCATCAAAATCAAATATTGAAAATAGTATTTTTAATTTTAAAAATAAAAAAATTCAAAACCCTCTTAAATATATCATTTTGTTTAAAAAAATAAAAATATAAAAAAATAAAATAAAATAAAAAAATAAAAAAAAAATAAAAATAAAAAATAAATAAATTCCCAAAGTGATTTCTTCTCCTTTTTACAAATTATAAAAATGATTAAATGTCATATCAATAAATAGCGTAAAACGTAACGCCCGCTCGCAATCACTTAATAATAACGTTAATCTTAAATCCCCACGCAAGATTCCAACCCAGATTCCATTCCAAGCTCCAAATCAAAATTAAAATCCAAACCAATCTCGGAAGAAACCTCTGCTTTCCCCCAACTTCCCAAATCCCAAAGAAGGATAGGGCACTGATTCAAGCTTTGCATTATCACCGCAAACGCTCAATAGAAAAATCAAACCTACTCACTCCATCCAACTACCCGACGACGGCGCCTGCTGCGAAGCCCCCGAACCAATAACTCCGTCATCCTCCCACTCATCCTCATAATCCGGTTCGATACGCAAAAGATTATCATCCTCATCTGTCCTCAGGAAACCAAACAACCTAGCCAACTGGCTCAAATTCAAGGTTCCGCCACCGCTACCACTCGCACCACTCTGTCCATTATTATCAATTGCCTTTTCACAAGCTCTGAGCTTCCAATCCTGCATACCCAGCAATCGCATATCGACGGAATTGCGAACGACGAGTCGAGTCATCCACGTCTCTTTGTTTTGGCCTATGCGAAAGATACGGCCGAAGGCTTGTTGCTCCACCCCGTGATTCCACCAGAGGTCGAGCGAGATGCATCTATTTGCGAAAGGGAAATTGAGACCGAGACCGCCGCATTTGAGACCGGCAATCAGAATCTGTATGTTGTCTTGAACGCGAAATTCTTTGATAGCTTTGCTCCGATGCTCAAGTGATGCGTCGCCTGTTAGGTACAAAAAGCCCCAACCTTCGGCTGCGCACATACGGCCAATGATTCGCGCCAGGGTGCGAAATTGGACATAAATAACGACCTGGTAGATGACATAATTGTTTAGTTTCCATTTGAACGATCAGGAGACGAGAAAGAGGGAGAAACGAAGTCAACATACCTTATCATCCGGAGCTTCTTCAAACCCCTTTAAAAGCAAAGCTTTCAGAGCTGTGGTCTTTGCACTTGGAATTAGTGGGAAAGCTGGATCATAATCTGATCTCGTGACCCAGGTGTTATCCTTTGTGAACGGTTCAAAACCAAGCGCATCCACACCTTTGCTCTTAATCCTGTGTGGACGGCGAGAGGAATCGTCGGACAATTTACAGCGCTTGTTAGTGCCACGAGATGAGCCTTCGGATTCTGCAGTCTGGCTAGGGCTAGAGTCCATGTTGTCGTCATCCGGAATCTCGAGATCGGTATATGGCTCAGCGGAGGTAAAGATGATATCACATTTGGGACAAACATTGAACTAATACTTCATGTTAGAATACTCTAGATACCAATAGAACGATGCTTACCGTGTCATCACCGTCGGAATCTTGAATTTGCGAGTGTAGGTGATTTGTTAAACAGCTCTGACAAAAAATATGTGAGCACTAGAAAGATATTAGCTTTCATTCCCATTCGAGCTTTCATGAGTTTCAAAACTTACGGTGGTAATTATAGGCTCATTCGGAACATCTGAGCAAAGGTGACAAGTGATTCTGGTATAAAGCTCCTCCTCGTTGAGAGAATCCAAAGCACTATCGAATTTGAAACTTTCACCAAATTTGGAAATACCAAAAGGAATAGCCTCAGCTCCCTTTTCACCTTTAGCTTTAGCTTCCGCTCTCTCTTCTTCACTTTGGGCAACCCATAGTTTGCATTGCTCGTAAAAGGTTACGTTCGTGTCAGAAAATTTGCCAAGCTCCCTACGAAGTTGCTCGACGTCTTCGGTGGTCCAGGATTCTCTCATTGTACGTTCAAGCATAAATGGATGGGAAGTGCATTGTCTAAGACGAAGTAGTTGAACAAAGAAAACTCCATAGGCGCGTTGGGCAGTGCCATTGGCCAGAAATACATTAAGGTTTGCACGGAAGCGGCTCTCTGTCTGTGGTAGCAAAGTCAGCCTTTGAATGTCCGAATCCAAGTGAAATACTTACAATTCGATAAATGATTCTTTCTTCTCGAGAGAAATTGAGCTGTTGCATAACAGGGTGAGGCTTAGGGAGCGTTATTATTGGTCGATTAAGGATGGTGGTCTTCATAGTACGACGCATCATAGCGTAACTGAGAAGGGTTGCAATACGATTAGTACAATCGTCAGCATCAGGATCACAGAAATATTGTTGAAAAGTCTTCCAATCCATCGAATAATTGGCCTTGAGAAAGCGGAGGTATGGGAAGAGCCTAGGTCAATTGTCAGCTTTTGATTGTTCCAAATTGAGTTGAACAATGAGACGGGCTCTAGAGACCATTGGCCAAATACGACTTTCCATTGTCCAAATGTGACTTGGACATTCAAATGTCAGATTTGCAGTGGGGTTTACTTACTCTTCAAGCCTATTTAAAAGTGGAGTACCGGTCAAACACCAGCGATAAACGCTCTTCAAATTTTGGCAAGCCAAGCTTGTTCTGGCAGAGTTGTTCTTAATTGCGTGGGCTTCGTCAAGAACGACTCTTCGCCAGTTAATTTTGTGGAGAGCACCAAGCTCTTCGTGGGCGTTTTTCCACCATTTCTTGTACCCATATCTAGCAATATCCTCTCGGCCCTTGCGGTCAGGGAATGGGAACTGTTTCATGACCTCTGTATAAGAAGTAACGACAATATCCAGATCCTTTAGGACAGCGTCAGGAATATGCATCGATGCCTTGTACTGCATAAACTTTGGGCATACTTTCTTGCATTCGACATGGGTTTCAATCTCTTCTAGCCATTGACTAATGACCGAAGATGGTACAACGATCAGTGTTGCTGTTACCCCACGTTCCCGATCTTCCTTGGTGGGTGGATTGCCAACCATGCAAGCAAGAGTTTGTACGGTCTTACCAAGACCCATCGAATCGGCAAGTAAACCACCATGAGGCGGCTCAGAACTCAATTCTCTTGAAACCATCCACTGCGCACCAAGTAGTTGATGATGGTACAAGGTCGATCTCATTCCCTTCACGAGCCACTTGCCACTAACAGCCTTAACTTGTGCATAACCGAAACTGCGAGAAGCTTGCAAAAGTTTTGCCTTGTCAGATTTTCCCTTACTCTTGCTACTACCTTCAGGAATGTTAGCGAACAATTGTTGAAGTTGAGAGGCTTTGGTTCGAGTTCTGCCGTCGATTTCTGGTTCCGGCGCAATATTGAAGATGGGGTCTTGGAGACGATCTCCGATGGCATCACAATTCATAAGATCATCCAGGATTAATTGTCCAATTTCGTCTTGACCTCCGCGAGGGCCCATGAATCGAGCGTCTCTCATGTCTTCATCAACCTTCACAGAGCCCTTTTTGGAATTTTTTCCTTTGTCCTTGCCTCTACCTTTGCCTTTTCGTACGGCCTTGGCTTTCTCGGTCTTCCTGCCTTTCCCGCCTCCCGCAGCCTTTTTCTTCTGCGCCTTGGCTCTTTCTTTTTCGGTTCTTCTCTCCTCTTCTCTTGCAGCAAATTCTCGAGCGTTTTTGGGTGGTGCCCGACGTGTTTTCTTGGGCTTGCGTTTATTGGTAGGGGCATCGTCAACATCGCGGTCAAACTCCTCCTGTAACATCCTAGCAAGGCCTACATCATCATCCACATTCTCATCTCCATTGTTACGGCTTGAAGATGGACCTCCGCCGTTATCAACATTTGGCACTCGTCGATGTGTCTCCGGAATGAAGAGTGTATCTTCTTCATCATCCTCATCTTCGGCCGCTCTAGCTTTGGCAGCACTGAGGCGATCCAACCTTGCAAGAGTGTGATTGATTCTGATGAGTTCAGCCTTCTCATCGAGACTAAGATTCCCTTTTCTCTTCATGTCATTGTTCAAGGCATTTCGTAAAATTACGAGATTCTCATACTCCTCTTGGGTCTCATCACCATCATTTCCTTGTGCATGCATCCAATTATTGTCATCTTCGTTGACTTGCATAGCATTATCAATCTCCACTTGCTCTTCAGTGTATGCCATGCTGTTTCGGCGTCTCTTTCTACTCTCGTTTGTTGATCCCGGAGTGTGTATGTCTTCGGCACGACTTTGAGCAGCTGGAGGAATGATCGTTGCTTGAGCCGCGAGCATTTCTTCTTCAGTTGGACTTGGTTCCCGATCAAACTCGAAAGTGCTCATGCCTCTCTCGAAATTACCGTTGGCAACATCCGAGGTGCTAAGGTTGGCTGGTGGATCTAGTGCTGGCTCATCCTTAACTACAGGGCTCCTATATTTCATAGCAGGCATTCTTCTCTCTCTAGGGCGTGCCACTCTGACCTCCGTGATAAAGCAGTCATCGTCAGAGTCAGATCCGACTAAGACTTGGTCTGGCTGCTTCGTTTGACATGATAGTTTTGGTGCCTGAAGGTGGCTTGAAGTCCTGGCAAAATGAGCATTGGAAATAAGTGGAGTCCCAAATACAGACGGACGCTGCCTGTTATACTGTTGTTTCGAAGCAAGGTTTGATCCCTGAGTGCTTGCATCGTACATATCGTCTGAAACCACTTGGCTTCTACCGTGATCAAGTGTGCCCTGGGATTCTTCCTTAACATCGAGATCTGGTGACTCAATACTTGGAATTACGACCGCGCTTGTTTCATCTGGATGCTGGCTACCTGTGAGTGAACCATCATTGATATCTGGTTCAACTGTTGGGCTTAATGTATCTTGCTGACTGTCGTTCGAAATGGAAGGACTTTGTGGAAGCACGGAAGAACTTTTTCGCCCCTGATGAGCTGGAGTGACATTTCCTCCATCTGGGCTGTTGCTAACCTCCGGACTTGAAGGTTCGTCAAGGACTACTGAGCTTGATGGCATAGTAAGTACAGGCATCTGTGGAGGTTCCTGACGAACGTTTGAAGTACTCGTATGAACTGTGGAAAGCTGGCCATGCATTTGGTGCTGAGGTTGGGCGGGAGTGGAAAAGTTGGCTGGCGGCTGAACTCGATGTGGTGTAAAGGGATCCTGACTATCGAAGACGTCAAGAAATTCGACAATATTTTCCGCGCCTCCGTAGGATTCTTCGCCGGTTGACGACATGTTATCAACTTGGTGTTTTCAAAGTGAATGCTTTACTTGATGTACTAGATAGGAAGGATGGACAGTCTTGGCAGGGAAAGAAATGGGGGCCTTGACCATTTTAGAAAAGGCAGAAGTCGATGCAATTTTAGTCTGAGACGAGTGAATCTGTAAATGCGTGGCTAAAGATGAAAACCGAAGCGGGGTTATGTGTTGGCAGCAGAAGCCGCTGATGATGCTAGCAGCAAAACTTGATGCTGAGAAGCTGGAAATTGGAAGTCCGGCTGGGCACGACAAGCAATTGATCTGTCAAAGAATAACAAGCTCAGGGTAATCTAAAAAAGAGGAATAGAGATAACGACTCCCGTATATTTTGATTCAAGCAGATTTGTTTGGAGATGAAGGGCTCTGCCTCGATTGGAAAATTATGTGTGCCGCTAAGGAGAAAATTGGTACGTGAATTTCGACGAGAAGGAGGAAATAAATTCTTGTGCTGCGGTCAAAGTGAGACCTTGTTGGAGAAGCCAAATCAAGGTGCACACATGTATTCATGAGGAAGCGCAATGTTCGAGAAAATGCTCAAAAGAACTGTGCAAGCTCAAGCTTTCGCGATCCGGAATGTGAAGGTGAAAACAAGAGGAGGTTTGGCAGTAGAAGATACTCACTATGTGATGGTATATCTAAAGTGATATTGTCATATGGTTTTAATAGACTTAAATTGTGCCTCACATAAGCAGCACTTCCAATCTTCCACTTTTGAAAGATGGACTGTCGCAAGTGGTGAGGATATGGAAGTAAGAGACTGCTTTCGCAGAGAGGATACTAATACTGAAATAGATTTGTTATTATACCAGTAAGTTAATGTTGTAATTGCCCTCAAAGTAAATATGAAGGTTATTGTTATAGGAGGATAAGAAGTGTAAGAGTTGAGATGAGGAGGAACTGGACTAAGCTAACCTACCTAGGTAGTCAAGTTTTGTCTCAATATGCTCAGAACACATGAGGAAGGAGCGACGAATGGAGCAGAGTATGATTGATCAGTTTCCACTAAAAGTTTTCTCCATGCATGCAGTTTGCTAAGATTTGTTGGGACGACGTTGTAATCTTATGGGATGATTAGGGTTGAAGGTATGAGTTTAGTTCGAACCATCGAGAGGTTACAGACATCATAATGAGACGAGAATGCTGGAATTTTTGTTCTGAATTAGTCCGTCAAAGAAGTTAGAATATAGGGATAATGAGATGGAAAGCTTCAGAGTATCACTGAAATTCGAAACTTCGAGCGAGTCAAACGTGGGAACGGAAAAGGCAGTAAAATGATAGTTTGCGACCGCGGCTTAGTGACTGAAGATCTTAGATCGCAAATTAATCGATGTAGAAAGCTTGATTGTGTCACTGTGGCTTGGAAATTGAAGAGCCAGGATGGCAAGCGGCGAGAAGACGAAGCATAACTTTATGTCCAAAATTTTATTTGAAAACGCGTCGCACGATTAGACTGTAACTTAGTGGCTATACTGGAAAATAAAGATTGAGATAATATGGGTGGAGGTAGGCTTTAGCAGGAAAACGGATTCTTAACATCTCGAGTGAAATAGACTGAAAAGTAGACGCAACGAAGGAAGATGCATCCGCTAGTATCCAGAGGATTATGGACTGTCCCTTCTGAGTTGAACTAGGGCTTAGGATAGGAAATGGGATATATTCAGTGATAGCATAACCAAGAATTATCATTAGGACAATATTACTCCCCTGAGGGTATCCTTGCCTCAACCCCGTCCACTCATGTCCAAAGTAAAAATCAGAGCCCAACTTCACATTATAGCCCAGTCGTCGCGCTGTCGCGTTTCTTGTATAACGCCAATACACACACACCAAGACGCCAAACTTGAAAGAGCCTATTTATCACTTGATCTGATAATGCTTGAGAACCAACCAAGACCCGTAGACTTAATTGCCACATACTGTTAAGAGTATGGAGCCGGGGATAGAGGATGTGAAATGAAGCCTCATGTATCCAAGTAGAACTTTACACCCAGGTTAAAAGACTTCTCGATGGCCTCACGCTTTGAAAGTACTACCATCACTACTATGCTTTATCGCTCATGCGAACGTTGAATAGTCGGGGTATGACAGAATTGGATTGAAGCAGAGGAAAACGTAAGTTTCAAGGAACAAGATCAAGACGAGGATTGAGGGGGAAAGACAATCAGGAAACTTCCGAATTTGAGGCCTGCCATTTCCGTATGTTTTATACTGGATGAACAAATCTGGACATTGAAATTTTCTAAAGACTGGTCCTGATATTTAGAGACAATCACAACGCTCTTGATACTAATATGGGAGTACTTGTCTGTGATGAGTTGAATGTATGGGCAATTGATTCCTTGAAAGTTGAGTTGGGGAATTGCTGCGACATAAGTCTTACAAGATATTGGCAAATGAGTGAGAGAAGTCGTTTGTTCGTTCTTAGTGTAATTATTAACAGCATCCACCAATATAGCCGAAAGCTTAATTTTCTAGAGCTGTGAAACACCGTGCACCAAAGTAACATACAACTAAACGTAAATCCTCCACCTCAACTTCAACTTCTAGTACTTCCAACTTGTACAATTTTCTTTTCTTGTATTTACCATTTATTTCAATGATCCGCCAAGCTTTTAACCACTTCTTCGTTACCAGCAATTCCTACATCCGCAATCATGGCCCCCATTTCTCCAGTCCGTAATAAAGAGGACAAAGCCACCATTCCCCTAACCGCAAACCTCTACCTCCAACTCAAACAATTAGCCATTGGCGACCATTGGCTCTCTCGTTATGTCCCCGCGCTCATTCTCCTCTTGGAAGGCTTTCTCTGCAGTGCCATAATCTATTTCATACCATGTATGTTCCGACCCCTCTTCCCCTCCCTTCCTTCTAGCCTGTCCCACATCCGCTAATCGTTGTCCAGACACAGAAATAGACTGGAAAGCATATATGGAACAAATCGACCAATATGCATCCGGTGAACGCGACTACACGCAAATCAAAGGTGGTACCGGTCCATTGGTATATCCAGCCGCGCATGTATGGATATACTATGCGTTATGGTGGATCACTGATCATGGACGTGATATACTTGTTGCGCAGCGGATATTTGGGGTTTTGTATTTGGGAACTCTGGGTGTGGTTTTGGCTTGTTACAGGAGGGCTAAGGTTGGTTAAATCTCATAATCGGAAGCGCAGAAGGGTTGGTGGGTGGGCTAATCTGGGTGTTATATATCTAGGCACCACATTACATATTTCCTATGCTTGTCCTTTCAAAACGATTGCATAGCATATTTGTTCTTCGACTATTTAACGATGGGTTCGCGGTTCTTTTCTTATGGGTTGCGATCTACTTCTTTCAGCGCAGGATATGGACAATTGGAAGCATAGCATATAGTTGGGGCTTGGGGATTAAGATGTCATTGTTACTGGCATTACCGTCCATTGGAATAATGCTATTTTTGGCGAAAGGAGTACAAGGAGCTCTCAAGCAGGCATGGCTTATGGCACAATTGCAGGTTGTGATTGCATTGCCATTTTTCCCAACAAACGCAATGGGTTATCTGAGTAGAGCTTTTGAGTTCTCAAGGGTGTTCTTATTCAAATGGACCGTCAATTGGAGATTCCTAGGAGAGGAAAATTTCCTAAGCAAAGAATTCTCCACAACTTTATTAGTAGGGCATGTCAATACTTTGGTCTTATTCGCAACGACAAGATGGCTCAAACCAGCCGAAAAGCCACTTATGGATTTGATTCGAAGTGCGCTAAGATTGGAGGAACCACTGGGACAAAGGCAACATGCTTGCTCGATTTCGATATCACCAAATTATATCATGACAACCATCCTGACTGCTACCACGATTGGTATGCTCTTCGCACGATCTTTGCACTATCAATTTTATGCCTATCTCGCATGGGCCACACCATTTTTACTCTGGCGCAGTGGCATGCATCCAATTCTTCAATATGCACTTTGGGGAGCACAGGAATGGGCCTGGAATGTGTACCCTAGTACTGCCATGAGTTCTTTGACGGTAGTCAGTATTATGTTCATTACCGTGGCGGCTGTATGGTGGGGAACAAGGCTAGATTTCGTCGTTCCCAAAGGCCAAGGAGGGGTCGACAAAAAGAAGTCTTGATTTGGTGTGAGCAGAGATTTTCTCGCTCCCTAGGATATTTGCCATATCATTCCTCGTCCGAATCTGATGGTGGCATTTTACCAACGGTCGACTCCTCGTCATCCGAATCCTCGATATATGCAGAGCTCTTGGGAAATTCCTTGGGCCTGTTGAAACGTGTTAATGAGTCGAATTGATCCTCATATAACGCGAAACCTACCAATAAGTTTCTTTCCGCCAAATGTGTTCGTCCCGGACGACATTTATGATTTCACCACCAATCTTATTCTCTCTCACGTTCGCGTCTTTGGTATCGACCAAGACATAACCACCACGTTTGATCCAAATTGTGTTGCGGAATCGTGAAGGTAATTCGACCAGGATAGCTGACTTGTCTGGGAGCGTACAAGAGTATAAGCTGTTTCCTTCAGCTTTGATAACACGAGCAATGGATTGTGTTTCCGTCAGTGTGTCTGGCGGGGTAGATGTTTCTTCAGCCGCAGCGAAGACATTGCGCTTTGGTTTGCCCATTATATTATTTTAATGTGGAGAAACGATTCGATCTGGAGAATTGAGGTGCGAAAAGATTACCCTAGGCCCGACTAAATTTGATGTGTGATGTGAAATGTCCAAGGATGATAAAAATTTAATAAGCTCTGGAATTTTCTTTTTGGCGGGGTAGAAATGGAATTTATTTTTCCGAAGCTACTCATCATAAAATTTTACTTAGCAATTGGAATTAAAAATAAAGTTTTCCCGAGTTTTCTGCATTAGTCAAGTAGGTTAGCTTTGCACGGAAACTTAGCCGAAAAACCCCGACTTTGACTTTCCTCCCCGCAACATAAAATTTCTCACCTGCTCCTAACAAGGAGTAAAGTTTATTACTCAAAAGAAGTTGTGTTGGGCAATTACAATTGGCGAATTTTGCAAGTCTTACAGGTTCAAAGTTTTCAAAGTGCTTACGTATCTTTTGTATCATGCTTATCCGAAATGTTCCCATGTTGTCCTGATGCATTTCAATATTTGCCGACATCCAATAACCACGTTTTTCTTTATCATCGATCCAATTTTTTGACAGGTTCAAGAAGATCCGGATGTATATCTTGTTGAGCTTCTCCATATTTGGCTGGGGATCACACGTAAGTAGCGACTAGCATTCTACTAGCTTTCTCCCCGTCTTTTTAGACCCTTAGGCTTTAGCTCTGAGCCCTTAGGTTTCCACCGGACCCAACAGCTAGACACTTTGCAATGTGCTCAGTTTGAAGAGCAATCAATTTATATTGATGAGCTCTTTTTCTTTTTCCTTTCTGCTTTCCTGCCTTCTTTTTTCCTTTCATCTCAAGTATCATCTCAATCATCATCTCGATCATAATTATACAACCATATATCACATATTGTGTCTACATAAATCAGTTGCCATATTGTGCAATATAGGGATCCATCAACAGTCGCAATGGCTGCCCACTTCTCTTCAATCATCGATGTCGTGTCATCGAGAGATGAGCCTGTTGCTCCCCCTCTTGCTGCCCCTCAGAAATCGGTTACCCGAACGTACCATTCCGTCCAACAACCTAATGCCATTGAACTCGATTCCATAAAATGGGCGCCAAATATCAATAGACCACCTGCTTCTGGAACGACAACACCCGGAGTAGAATCTGTGTCCGGATGGTCAACTCCTGGCTGGCAATCTTCGGTAACGCCAAGTGCCCTGGAAATCAGTCGGCCACAAACCCCAGACAACGAGCCGGAACATATCATTCAAAGCTTCTCCAATCCCCCCAAAAATAGGTTCAGAATGACATCAACCTGTTTGTTGAATTTTGGCAACGGTTTGAGTGATGCTGCAGCTGGTCCACTCATTCCGAAAATGATCATGTATGTTAGATCATCCTTAAGAAAAAAGGACAACTGCTGATTACATCTTAGCGCCTATGGTATTCAAGAACGACTAGTATCTCTCATATTCATAACCCAAGCAATAGGTTATATTTCAGCGGCCTTTTGCATAGATGCTATCAGAGCTCGAATGGGAAGAGCCAAATCTATCATGCTTGCCGAAGCTATCATGAGTATCGGTTATGTGATGATTGTTACCAATCCTCCGTTCCCTGTGGTCGTCGTGGCATTCTTATTCGTCGGATTCGGCATGGCAATCAACTTGTCTTTATCAAATGTTTTTGCTGCTAACCTCGACAATGGTACTAGAATGTTAGGATTCATGCATGGTGCTTACGGAATTGGAGGTATTATTGCTCCATTGTCAGCTACGGCGCTCGTCTCAGCTGGTATTTTATGGAGTCATTACTATTTTATTCCGCTAGGGATGACTCTCGTGAATCTGGCCTTTGCTGGATGGGCGTTCTGGGATTACGAGGATCCAAATGAAGTCGCCCTGCTCAACCGAACTCCGTCAGGAAACAAGCCAAAATTCAGTGCAAAGAAGGAGTTAATAGAAATGTTGAAAGCTGCCAAGCTAAGAGCCGTCTTGATTGGAGCTATTTTCATCTTCTCGTACCAAGGTGCAGAAGTTTCTATCTCCGGATGGGTCGTCTACTTCCTTCAACAAGTTAGAGGCGCCAACACCAACGCTGGTTATGTTACTGCCGGTTTCTGGGGAGGTATTACACTCGGTCGTTTCTTCCTATCTCCCATCGGACACAAGATTGGCGAAAGGAAGTTTGTCGTTATCGTTGTGGTTTTATCGGCTATTTTCGAAGGTCTCGTTTGGAGTGTTCCGAATATCATTGGAGACGCTGTGGCGGTTTCTATCGTCGGTCTCCTGTTAGGGCCCGTCTATCCATGTGCCGCTTACATCTTCACTCGCATTATTCCTCGCCAATACCAAGTTAGTGGAATGAGTGTCATCAGTGCTCTTGGTAGTTCTGGTGGTGCGATTGCTCCTTTCACTACCGGAGTGTTGGCACAGGCTGTGGGCAATTTCGTCTTGCATCCTATCGCTTTAGGCCTCTTCGTGGTCATGATGATTTGCTGGTTCTTATTGCCGACAGTGCAGAAGAAGGAAGAGTAGAAACACTGTATGGCAGCATAATGGTCGGCTCCGGACTGGGAGAAGACTTTGGTTTTGAATTTGGATATAACTACATGGATTTTTTGGTATTTGCCGGGTGTGCTATGGCGTTTAAATGATACCTAGACGTTGGGACTTGGCTGGCTGGCGTTTTTGGGGACACCATGGCGTCCATGATCGAAAGACTTGACGTTAGGACATGGGTTTTGTGATTTGTTTTTGAAATTTCTAAAATTTGTTGATTGGAAATCATTTTTTGATATTACAATACTATATTGCGGAACATCAATCAACAAGTTGTTATTCAGCTACTTCATCATAGCTAGGGAAAATAGATACTCTGATTTATATACCATACATCCTGCAAGACTTGTTACTATATGAACTTCACTTGGATGGAAGTGAATATCTATAAACTTCCATCTTCTGAACAACAAGCCCTATCGGAGCGGATACAAATCGGATGATATTCACAATAAGTCGGATCGGATAATGTAATGTGACGACTCGACTTGCTGAACCACGAAAATTTATGGTGGGGCAGATGACCCCGGATTTTGCATGTGAACCGCAAGGGGCCATAGCTTTTGTGTGGTTCACCGGTTGTGAAGACATCAAAAATTACTGTGAACGGAAGTATAGCTTCAAATGCCAGATTTCTATAAAATGTGATGATAATATGAGAGAGACATGAACTTCAAAACATGTTCCCATCACCAGAGTGCTATATGCTGTTTTCGGTGGTGCTGAATTGATGGAGATGATGGGGAATGCATCGCTTGTCCAAGGCCAAGAGCCGAGGCCCCATTTCTTAAGCCGAAATGCTTCCTCCCCTCCACAAACACAAAGATTTAGTTTCATGAATCGTGTTCGCCTTCTTGCAAAACACTCGGTGATTGTTTTTTGACCTATATACCTCTCGTTGTCCTCTTGAAGTTCTTACACATTAAATCTCCCATATTTCAGAGAGCAATTGTCATAATAAAGGAAGGAAGGAAGAAAGATGGCCTCAATCATTAAAGCTTTAGCACCGGTGGTGAGGCGAGTCGGCACATCTGCATCTGCTACGAGACCTGCAATGAGACTTAGTAGACAGAGCAGAATATATCAACAGTATGCACCTTATTATTCTACCTCCCAAGATACCTATCGATTCTAACACCAGCGCAGTGCCCATCCGCTTTCCGCCACCACTCGCCTTCGTTCAGACCCCATCGACATAACTGAGATTCCTCCTACTCCCATATCGCACCTTTCTGAAATCGAACTCGCCATGTCTGAATCTGTCTCGAAATTTGCGAATGATATCATCGCGCCCAAAGTACGGGATATGGATGAGGCTGAGAGTATGGATCCCGCGGTCGTGGAACAGTTGTTTGAGCAGGGACTCATGGGAGTCGAGATACCTGAAGAGTATGGAGGTGCGGGAATGAACTTCACCGCGGCGATTGTGGGGATTGAGGAATTGGCAAGGGTCGATCCTAGTGTGAGTGTTTTAGTGGATGTGCATAATACTCTGGTCAACACTGCGGTCATCAAATATGCGAGTAAGGAGTTGAAGAACAAGTGGTTGCCAAAATTGGCTACGAATACTGTTGGTTCATTCTGTTTGTCTGAACCAGTATCTGGATCTGATGCTTTCGCTCTTGCCACAAAAGCTACCAAAACAGATTCGGGATATACGATTTCTGGAAACAAGATGTGGATTACCAATTCGATGGAAGCAGGGTTTTTCATTGTATTTGCAAACATTGACCCAAGTAAAGGATACAAGGGAATTTCAGCTTTCATAGTTGAGAAGGGTATGAAGGGATTTTCTATTGCTAAGAAGGAGAAGAAACTTGGTATCAAGGCTAGCAGCACGTGTGTTCTTAACTTTGATGATGTGGAAATCCCCAAAGAGAATCTTTTGGGAGAAGAGGGTCAAGGTTACAAATATGCTATTGCCCTTTTGAATGAGGGCCGTATCGGAATTGCAGCTCAAATGACTGGGTTGGCTTTGGGTGCATTCGAAAATGCTACCAAGTAAGCATGATATAAGCATATATTTTCTGTTCAGTGACTAACAACTCATAATAGATACGTATGGAATGATCGAAAGCAATTTGGACAGCTTGTAGGAGATTTCCAGGGTATGCAACATCAAATCGCACAATCCTATACAGAAATCGCCGCAGCTCGTGCTTTAGTCTACAACGCTGCACGCAAGAAGGAGGCTGGTGAGGATTTTGTTCAGGATGCCGCTATGGCTAAGTTATTCGCCTCGCAAGTCGCTCAAAGAGTCAGTGGATTGGCTGTTCAATGGATGGGTGGTAAGTAAAATATTTCATATTTATTGCTCTCACTCAACACTAACTGTTTTGATAGGTATGGGGTTTGTTCGTGAAGGAATTGCGGAGAAGATGTGGCGAGATTCGATGATAGGATCTATCTATGAGGGAACGAGTAATATTCAATTAACAACAATAGCAAAGTTGTTGAAGCAACAATACAAGTCCTAGAGATAGAAAAAGAGAGGAAGAATCGATACCAATTTAGACTTATAGATGAGAACCAATAAAGTAGAATGTGCTATGAACAATATTTAGAATCAATGAATGACATCTTTCCGAATTTATACACACAGACTAACGCCCTTTCTACCCTCAAGATTAATCAATCGAGAAGTATTAGGTAGTACTAAGATAGTACTAAATCATTATATTTAAATATTACAAGTCTAGTACTCTGCTTTTGGGCCACCCTTAATTTGAGATACTTTTTTATATCAAAAATCATCATTTTCAATTATTAATAACTTTATAGTTAATCAATATAATTTGATAAAATTTGAATTACAGATTTATAATATAATTATAAATCAAGTTTGAAAATTTTAATTTTTTTTGAAATTGAATTTAGTAAGATTTATAATTTTAAATTTTTTTAAATTTGATTTATTTATAAGATTTATATATAAATTAAAAGAATCTTAAAAACTTTTAATAATATTTCAATAAAAATTATTAAAAATAAATAAAAAAGTTCTTTGAAAATATTTATATTTATATTAAATTTATTTACTTGAATTTATTTATTTGAAAAAAAAATATATAGAAATTGTTTTAATTTTTATAAAAATTAAAAATATAAATAAAAATTTGTAATATAATTAGAAATTTAAAATCTAATCTATTCAATCAATTATGATATAAACATTTGGAAAAAAAATTTATAATTCATTTTTAATAATTTTTGTTGAAAAGTTATTTTAGTTTTTAATGATTTTTAAATTTGTATAATTTTTAATTTTCAATATTTTAATTAATAAAATCACAAAAAATAAAATCTTTTAGTAAGTATACAATGAATTTATAATTAAAAATTTAATTGATTTTATTTACTTGTGTTGAATTATTAATAGATAAAAATCGTTATTTTTGATGTAAAAGGATGCCCAAATTAAGGGTGGCCTAAAAGTAGGGTACTAGACTTACTAGGGAGATTATAACCTAACATAGGTATCTATAGCGCAAATTGTCTGCAAGATTTGGTCTCTAGTTTGATATTGTGATAATCTAAAGAGTAATAGAGAAGAGAAGAGAAGGGAACAAAGATAGAATTTCAAAAGGAAGGTTTTTGACAAGTTCTGAAAGATCCTTTTGATTAATTAGAATTTATCATTCAAGGTATATTGCACAGATTATTTAGCGGCCGTTGTTGACAATTAAGAAAATAGACACAACGTTGGTAGTATAGAATTCATTAAGTCTGGGACATTCAACATTCGACATTGAATTCATTAGTAGGGTTAATATTCATTTTGGTTAGGTAGATAGATAGGTAGGTAGGTACCTAATAGGTAAACTAGATATGTGGTGGCATCAATCTATGTTGCATTTCTTGAAACTTTTGCGCTGAGGGACTTTGCTGCTTCTTTATTGTAATCTTATATTGTATATTTGAGGTGGTTACTGCAATGTCTTAAATCTTGCAATGAAAGAAGAGGATCGGGAAGATAATCAATATCATCTATTGTCGATAGAACGTAATGGTTTTTTCTTTATCTTCTATTCGTTATAAACTAGCATAGTTGATGGCTGAGCAGAGCAGAATAAACAAAGTATGATAAGGCTTTCATCATGTACAGACACTGTACTACCTACAAGCTGATCATGTCGTATCTCGTGTAGTAGGAAGGAAAAAGAGTTCACAGGTTCCATAAGGTGACTGATATCAAGAAGAATATCCGCGACAACAAGCTTCTGACCTTCTTTCATACAGATACACATTCGTACCTTATCACTGGAGCTTAACAGCTGCCATAACCTTACATAGCTCGAAACACAGTACGAAAGGACTCCTAGAGAATCAAACACAGGCTTGAGGAGGTGAAGATAAAAGTCTTTCTTTCCATGCATAACCTTAAGCTCCATCAAACCTAAGAAGCAAAAGCAAAAAGCTTTTCCGTGTGCTGACTTCTGAGCTTGTATTTATTTACTTTCTTATACCTTCTTAAGTCTTTTACTGTTTACATACTTCAGCCATTGGCGAACTCCACATTCAATCGACAATATTTGTTCTTCCCACCCCTTCTTCGCCTTGCCAAGGTTTCCTTTTTCCAACAGCAGCAACAATTTCATTTCGGGCATCAACAAACAAATCCCAGCCCACCCATTGCCCGGATAGTAAAACCCCACCTACTCCATCTCCACCTCGACCATCACAAACCTTACCATATTCAAAAAACGGGCAAACATCGTCTCTTCGCCCAGGAACCATTATTCATCCCCTACTCAGAGTTGTATTGAAAAAACGGCACAGGACCAAGCCGTCATCATGCAAAACAACGATGAGGAGGCTCTCAGCTCCGTCTACAAAAAGATCCAGCGCGAGCGTGTTCTTCTCAATGCCGCAAATCAAATGAGGCAGCAAACTGAAAATGAGCAAGTCAGAGCTAGGCTAGATATTCAAATGCGCGATGGTCGTCGAAACATTTCATACTTGGAGGAGCGCATGAAAGAATTACAAGTGCGGACGGAAGGTCGAACAGGTAGTGCGGGGAGTAGTGGCGGTACTGGTCGCCCGCCCAGTAGCGGTCTACGTGATGATGGAGCTAATCCGCCGCCAACTCCGCCGCCCAAGGATGCCAGAGGAAATCCTATCGAAACTGGGGATCAGGCCGGCTATGGCACTCAGGAATATAGTCAGATTGGTGGACATGGTGATATGATGCCACCGAGAAATCCTTTCGCACCTCCTGCACCTGGCTCTGGCATGCCTAGATCACGTCCTAATTATACCAAGCTTGGTATGTCAATTCGACATCCTCTATCTTTCTGAGCAATAGCTAATCGAGCCCTTTAGATCTCATCAAATATGATACCCCTTATCTCGGGCCCCGCATCCAGCTCATGCTTTCACAATTGGAATTTAAGCTTAATGTTGAGAAACAATATTTATTGGGTATTGAGAAGATGGTTACATTATATCACATGGAGCGCGATCGGAAGAGTAAAGCTGATGCTGCTGCTCGTCGAGTCGAGAGTAATCAAAAGATTCAAATCCTCAAACAGGCTTTGAAGGGTTATGAAGATTTACATATAGACATGGAGAGCTCAGCAGATGCTCCGGATGGTAGGATCCAATTGTATCTCCAGGCTGACTTCAGAAGCTAACAAAGACCTTTCAGATGATAGTATCAATACTCCTAATATGCGAAAACCTTTAACGGGTCAACTTGTTCTCCGCATTCAAGCAGTTAAGGATGTTGATCATGCAACAACTAGTAGATTTACAAGAGGTCCGGAAACATCGATTGCCGTCAAGGTGGAAGATAATGTTGTTGCAAGAACGAGAGTTACCCGGACGGATAAATGGGAGAATGAAATTCATAACATCTATGTGGACAAAGCGAACGAGATCGAACTTACGGTTTACGACAAGGCAGGTGATCAAGCATTGCCTATTGGTCTACTATGGATAAGAATATCCGACATCGTTGAAGAAATGAGACGGAAGAGAATCGAAGCCGAGATCAATAACTCAGGATGGGTTTCTGCAGACCGCATGGCTAGTGGTAGCGCCCCACCAGCACAATTTCCAATGACCTCTGGCAGCACAGGTCAATTCGGGCCACCTCCAGGGAGCCCAGGTACTGGGGCACAACCAGCTGGAGGAAACGAATTTGGCGGTGGTGGAAATGCAGTGGTAGCACCACAACCTATCGATGCATGGTTTGCTCTTGAGCCTAGCGGCGCCGTGAATTTGAACATTTCATTCACCAAACAGTCCAAAGATCGAAGACCATTTGACCTTGCCCTTGGTCGAAAAGGTGCCATCCGTCAAAGAAAGGAAGAGGTCCACGAGATGTACGGACACAAATTCATTTCACAGCAATTCTACAACATCATGCGATGCGCACTGTGCGGCGACTTTCTCACATATACTGCTGGTATGCAATGCGAGGACTGCAAATATACCTGTCATACAAAGTGTTTCTCACAAGTTGTTACCAAATGTATCAGCAAATCTAATGCGGAAACTGATCCCGACGAGGAGAAGATCAATCATCGTATTCCGCATCGTTTCGAGAAGTTCAACAATATGAGCGCCAATTGGTGTTGTCATTGTGGATATGTTCTACCATTCGGCAAGAAAAATTGTCGTAAATGCACAGGTAAGTACTTTTTCACCAAGTTGAACTTATGTTTAGCTAACAACTGTAGAATGTAACCTTACATGTCATGCACACTGTGTACATCTCGTTCCGGATTTCTGTGGTATGTCTGCGCAAGTCGCGAGGGCTATTCTTGACGGTATCAGAAATCAAAAGCGCCGACAAACAACACCTGTCGGTACAACTGGGAAAGCTTCAAGAGAGAAAAGACCAGAAGCGGGAGGCAGATCACCTGATACTTCACGACCTCCTAGGGCACCCTCATATGTAGCGCCTAGCTCTAATGAAGCTACCGAAGCCGCCAAAGCAATGTATAAACAGAGTACTACCTCACCACAACAACAACGACCAGCGGGACCTGATCGAACATCTATGTCATCATCAAGTGCTGCTGCTGCCGCTGCTGCGGCCGCTGCTGCTGCGATGGGCGGTCGGCAACAAATACCCCATGGAAACCAATATCAACAAACTTCTAGTACCGAATACACTCCACAAAGTGGAGCTCGACGAGGCTCGGGTGTGCAAGGCCTTGATACGTACAACGAAGATAGTACTCCAAAACCACAAATGCCCACACAATCAAGTTATAATCCCGCTGAATATGCAAAATTCAATAGTGGTTATGTTCAGCCGGTTCCACAACTTCAACCTTCAATGCTCCCGGCTCCTCCACCATCCGCAACAATGTTTGCACCCCCTTCACAAGCTCCGCCTCCAGAGATTCCATTACCTGCACAAACAGGTTTACAGCAAGTTGTACCTCCTCAACAACGCAAGCCAGCTCCCGCGGCAAACGAACCAGGTCCTGGACGTCGTATTGGTCTGGATCATTTCAACTTTCTTGCAGTTCTTGGTAAAGGTAATTTTGGTAAGGTCATGCTCGCTGAGACCAAGCAAACTAAGCAACTTTATGCTATCAAGGTTTTAAAGAAGGAGTTCATCATTGAGAACGACGAAGTAGAAAGTACTAGATCTGAGAAGAGAGTATTCTTGATCGCCAATAAGGAACGTCATCCTTTCTTGTTGAGCCTTCATGCTTGTTTTCAAACAGAAACAAGAGTATACTTTGTTATGGAGTATATTAGTGGTGGTGATCTTATGTTGCATATTCAACGAGGACAGTTCGGAACTAAGCGTGCCCAGTAAGTCATTCTTTGTCTCTTCTGTTAACAGCTTTCATTGACAAATTTAGGTTTTATGCTGCTGAGGTGTGCTTGGCGTTGAAATATTTCCACGAGAATGGTGTCATTTATCGTGATTTGAAGTTGGACAATATTCTATTGACTCTCGATGGCCATATCAAGATTGCCGATTATGGTCTGTGTAAGGAAGATATGTGGTATGGTTCGACAACGGGCACTTTCTGTGGTACTCCGGAATTCATGGCTCCAGAGGTAAGTTTAAGATGATTGACATCCTAACATAGCTAATTTTGAATTAGATTCTGTTAGATAAAAAATACGGTCGAGCAGTCGATTGGTGGGCGTTCGGTGTCCTCATCTACCAAATGCTTCTCCAACAATCGCCTTTCAGAGGAGAGGACGAAGATGAGATTTATGATGCGATTCTTGCAGATGAACCTTTATACCCAATTCACATGCCTCGTGATTCTGTGTCAATACTACAAAAGTTATTGACACGTGAACCTGAACAACGATTGGGAAGTGGACCTACCGATGCACAAGAAATCATGAGTCAGCCATTCTTCAGAAGTATCAACTGGGACGATGTTTATCATAAGAGAATCGCGCCACCTTTCCAACCTACTATCACCAACGCCACAGATACTAGCAATTTCGATTCTGAGTTCACCAGTGTCACACCTGTCTTGACACCTGTGCAGTCTGGTATGTTGTCTTCACATTTATTTGACAAATTCCTAGCTAATAACATCTACAGTTTTATCACAAGCTATGCAAGAAGAGTTCCGTGGTTTCTCTTACTCTGCTGATTTTGTTTGAGCGGGTCAAATATCTTGATAATCGATTATCTCCTCGCCATGAAGACATACTCATGATATCACGTATCTGGGGATGGGCTTGGACTTCCTTTAAACAAAATCAAATCATATTTAAGACCTACATTAAGATAACTATTGCAGATAGAGTAAGCACGTGTTAGCGTATGAGATTAGAGGGAAAAGGAGAAGGGGAGAGATGGAAGGTGATTGATTGGGTGGATAGATAAATATGATGAGTGGATGAATAATGAATGGTGTGGGTCTGGATGTGGATGCCGGTGGATAATGAACCATTGATAATGATGGATGGAATGCATGACATATGACGATTGATTGATTGGTTGATTGATTGATTGGTTGATTGATTGATTGGTTGATTGATTGATTCGTTGGAACAGTCAGTGGTGTGAGCGTGAAGGAGCGAGCATGAAAGTGAGAAAGAGAATGGTATGGAGTGTAGTGGAGTGAAGGGAGTGAAAGGAGTGAAGTGCAGTGCAGTGCAGTGGAGATTAAATTAAAACTTAAGCTTAAGATACAAGTAAAATAAATAATTATGGATTCATTTCATTTCATTTATTTTATTTAATTACTTTATTCATTGACTTGATTTTGTTTTCAATTTGTTTTAGTTTATAATGTTTTATTGTATGAGTGTTAGTGGTAGTAGATAGGGAGATTAGAAATAAGCGAAGGTATTGTTTTTGTTTTGAGATGGACTTGTAATTGGTTGGTTTTTGATGGAGTTTGTGATTTTAGTTTATTTGGTGGTGGGGATTGTGGTTGGGGTTGGGGTTGTGGTTGTAGTTGTGGTTAGGTAGTGAATAGGTAGAGGTAAAGAATGGGTAAGGAAGTGAACGGGTAAGGAAGAGGTAAGGAGGTGAAAGGATGAGGAAGAAGGAATGGGAAGAAGTGAACGGGTAAGAGAATGAAAGGAGGGGATGAGGGGAAAAGAAAAAGGAAAGAGGGGGAAGGGGGAGGAAAGGGAGGGAAAGGGAGGAGGGAAGGGAGAAAAGAGGAGGATGGATAGGATGGATAGGATGGATAGGATGGATAGGATGGATAGGATGGATAGGATGGATAGGATGGATAGGATGGATAGGATAAATAGAATGAATATAATAAATGGAGTGAATAATATAATTTTGAGATTATTAAGTGATATTTGGTATTTGATGAGAAGAATAAGAAGATAAAGAAGGGTGAGAATGAAAGCATTTAATAAATTTTTAAAATTATAATTAGAAATTGAATATAAATTTAATATCTTTTTTAATTATTTTTTATATCAAAAGTCTTTATTTTAATTTATTGTATATTATTAATAAATTTTAAAATTTTAATTTATTTATTTTAAAATATAAAGTTTTAATCAATATTAATAAATACTTTATTTATTAAATCTTAAATTTATATAAAAATTTATAAATACTTTATTTATTAAATCTTAAATTTATATAAAAAATTTATAAAAATCTATTAATACCAGGGCCTGCGCCCCGGACCCCTGGCTTTTCGAGAAAGTCTAGTAAAATTTAAGTTTTAAAAGTTTATAATAAATTTAAATATTAAATATATATATTAGGTGCAGACAGAATATCGGCTTTTTTTGATAATTGAAAATTTAATAATATTATTATAAATATTCTTATTATAAATATTTTATTTTATTTTTATTTTTATTTTTATTTTATTATTATTATTATTATTATTATTATTATTATTATTATTATTATTATTATTATTATTATTATTATTATTATTATTATTATTATTATTATTATTATTATTATTATTATTATTATTATTATTATTATTATTATTATTATTATTATTATTATTATTATTATTATTATTATTATTATTATTATTATTATTATTATTATTATTATTATTATTATTATTATTATTATTATTATTATTATAATTATAATAATAAGTTGAATGAGATGAATTGAATGAATAGAATAGAATTGAATGAGTAGAGTTGAATTGAATGATTTCAGAGTTGAATGATTTTAATTAAGTCGAGTTGAATGATTTCAGTAGAGTTGAATGATTTCAATTGAGTTGAATTGAAAAAAGCTCTAAGCCAGATTTGTCTAAGATTGTAAGGCTTATGCTAAGCTTTTTGTTAGATTTTTTATCGGGGTATTTTAGACCAATCAGATTGTCAGGATCGCGATTCATTTCTCGACTGATCATATCGCAAGCTTAAGCGAACCTCATTTTCCATCACTCACCGGGTAAACCTCGCGTACAGCAAGGTTATGAAGTCGGCAAGTGTCACGAAATCATTTTAGAGAGTGTCACGAGGTAACAATCAACCTGTCTCTATGAGCTTTGACCTTGTTGAAAAGCAAAGCAACTTGTATACAAATTTGTATGGCAACCGCTTCGTATGGTCTCCCCACCTTCAGCAAGCTCGGACATATGGTCTGATCCTAGTCACGTGATGGAGCCTCCAGGAGCGTGGGCTCCTGTAGGCTCCTGGAGGCTCCCAAAATGGATTAGTATATAGTCAGAATAATTTCATAGTTTAGGAGCTTCGTGCTCAACTTAGTTATCAATTAGTTTACCTACATTCCAATTGATCTAGTAACGTATTCACCTTCGAGTGGATAACCAGTGATTATTAGCCTTAACCTACAACTACCAACCATACGAAAACCTGAGGCAGCCGCTGCCTCGATCAGATCGTTACAGCAAGCCGACAATTATTAAAATTTCTTTTAAAGGTATTTAATATATTATCAATAACTCTTTGAAAATTTATAAATAAGATATATAATTAGATTTATTAAAAATATATAAAAAAAAGTTTGAAGAATTTTATAAATTATTTTATAAATTATTTTAATATTATATTTCTATATTTATTTATAAAGAATATTTATAAATATATAATATAATATCATTGTTAAAAAATTTATTAAATTATTAAATTATTAAATTATTAAAAAGAATTAAATTAAAACATATATAAATATAAATAAAAATTTTAATTATTAAAAAAAAAGGTTTCCTTTCTTTTTATAAAATATAACATTTTATTAATTGATCTTTAACTCTCTTGAATTATATAAAAAAATATAGTAAATTAAACAACTCAGGAGGGTTTGCTAATAGCTGAATTTCGTTTAAATATTTTATTCTCACATTGATCAATGCTGAATAATCTTCGTTGTACAGTTCTTTAGCCGTTTTCGCTCCATATTCGAGCAACAACTCCCTGATTTCATTCCTGCGTTCAATATCACCAGGCTCCCTTCTTACTTTGAATTCTTCGCCATTGAGATAATGTTCTGAATAATCGCCTGTTTTGAGCCGGAGGAGGTGTCGCCGGCCTGAATTAACTAGGTCAAGCGGGGTTTTCCCTACATCAGAGATTGCGGAGGGTTTTGCTTCTCTTCGGAGTAACAGCCTGACACATTCGAATTTGGCCGTTAGCGGAAGCTTCATGAAGTGGAGTCCAGCCAATCTTGTCGGTGATAGATGGGTTCACCCCGACATCTAGGGAAAAAATGACCATATTAGTGTTCCCGAATGCAGCGGCCCGAGAAAGTTCGTGTATTCCTCGAAAATTTGTGTGGTTAATGTCAGCCCCTTGTGAGATCAAATCTTCCAGAACTAGATATCATTTGGTAAGCTCGAGCCTTAATGACAAGAGTAGTTTTAACCTACTTTCTCCGTGTTCAGTACCAGCATAAGCAGTGAATGCGGTCCTGTGGTACCTATCCTCAATGTCTACGAGATGAGTCTTATCAAGGATGACCTTCACAATATCTTTGTTGTTTCGGAAGACAGCACGATGCAAGAGGGGCTGACCAGAGTTTTTTTGTAATGTTGAGTCATTGTCAATTTCTGAATCTATGTATTCATCAATATCCGACTCCAGGGCTTTTATAACCTGTAAGCTGAAGCCTTTAGACAGTTTGTCTTGTTTCTCAGGGAGTCTGGCAGTGACCAATATCCTAACATCTTCGTTGACTCTTTTGAGACTGTCGAGTAGGGGCTTCCGACTTGGGAGTACGCACTCGTCCATAGCATCGAGAACAATGTAGAAAGGTCTATTTGAAAGCAAATTGGACAAGAAATTTGTCAATATTTCCTCGTGGGGTTTGGGATACTTTCCATTGTATTTACCGCAGCTTGTCTGCAAGTTCCACGCCTCTTCTATAATGGATGGAATAAGTGGCATTTCTGCCACAATTTGTCTGACGACACTCCCAAGAAGATCTCGCACTGTAGTCTCGCGCTTATGAGACATGTAAAGAAATGCGATTACCGGTTCAGACTTGTCCTTTGTTGCTACATTTTGCAAATGTCGTATTATGATTAACCTGCTCATTATCTTAGCCGCAGTGCTATGTGCGAAACGAGAGATGCTTGCATCTTACGCTAATACACTCTTACCAGTTCCCCGCTATAGTTATTAGTGTTGAATGTATTTCAGGCTCAGGTTGGGACTTACGGTTTCCTGTATACCGGAGCTTTGAGGAAGGTGTTTTCGTCCAATTTTGAAAAGTTTTTGAGTCTAAAAGCTTTTCTCCAGCATTTGGACGTCCCTTTACCCGCCCTAACAGTTCCCCATGTCTAGTCTCAAAATCTAATGAAGACAACCATTCAAGAATCTCGTTGCGCTATTCTCGACTGAAACTTTTGTCAATCGCTTCAATGCTTGCACCCGCCCTTTTGATCTCTCGATAATTAGCAGTATCAATGCACCGGCCGGCCTGATTCTTCGCGAATTGCATCTTGGAGAGAAGTTTGCTAAGCTCAGTGCCCTCTTTAAATGCAAGCTTAATCCCTTTCTCTAATAATCTTATTAGCTATATCGTGTCAGCTTAAGTAAGCATCTGTTACATACTGAACCACCCATCGCGATTTTCGACAGCAATCGCGCAAAACTTCAAGGAACAGCAGAATACCGTAGCAATACGACTTCTGAGAATATTAAGGGTGCGATCACCCGCGTCATGCAGATGTTCACTGATGATGGAAATCTCCTCGAATAGCGCTTTCGTGTCCGCGAAGAAAGATTCTGAAATCCCAACATTCTTTTGTGTCGCTGCAAACGCCTTGAATAATAAGGCAAAACCTTGCAGAATTATGGTAGCTGGAGAGGCAGCTGGCACCCCCTGTATCAAAGTTTGTAAACGGCTAAGATCCTACTAGGGAAAAGACTAATCACCGCTACAATTTGAAAGACTTCGTTTGCAATATTGATGGCTGATTGAATCGCTTCAATATGACGACCGACCTTCCTGCAGATCTCTCTTAGAGGGCCTTCGCTTTTCTCCAATGACCTTTCCAACATTTCTGCCCATTTTGAAGGGTCTAGAATAGCTTCATTAAAAGCGCCGCCATACTTTTGATATGCAGCAGTAGTGATGAACTTCTTTTGTGCGTCTTCCCAAAAGTCCAAGATATTGTTTTCAACCATTGATTCAGGGTTTTGCAGTTCATGGGCCATCTTTAATGGTATTAGAACTCTCCGAGTAAATGTGTTCGTTGCAACTTCTCAACTTCTTCTCAAATCAACAGAAGTAATACGATGCCATTGCATGTCTGAAGAAAATCAACACAAGCGTAAAACGAGTCATTTTTAACAGCCAATAACTTCACGATGTATATACGGCTGAGCCGCAAGTGTATCTCCACTCCGAAGTTTTCGATAAAAGACCCCTGAATACACATATCCATTTCATTATGCTACTTGAAACACGTCAACACACCACTTTGTTGTCCTAACCACCTCCCCCAAATGATCATCTCTATGATTATTGGTGTATTAGCTCGTAGATAGGGTATTACCCAACTTGAGTAGAGCTTATCGGGTGATAGGCTGGGGTAATGGCCCACGGGCTAGGCCTTCTGCGCAAATGCCCATGGTCCAGCAGTCGAGCCAGCCGATAGATCATGAGATTCATCATCCCAAGTGCTAGATGTTCGGCAATTTTGTGAACAGTAAGTGATAACTATATAACCGAGAATCTTTAGGTTTGGTTCGGTAGTAAAAATAATTATAACAAGACTTTAAAAGGGCTCATTATAAATAATCATATCTTGATTAGCCATCTGAGCGTTCTAGCCTAATTAGGCGATCAATCAGCAGAATTCCATTTCTAGAGTAATTTTGGGTATTATCGAATTGAATTGAGCTCTGAATATCAAAGCGACCTAATTAGGCTAGATTGTTCAGTGGCAGGTGAACCCTTCTAAATGAAAACACTAGGTATCATCAAACTCCCGGTGAGTTCTAAAAGTTCACTGGCCCCGGACCATGTAAAATGGGAATCAATCTCACCGGGTGTAAACAGGAGTGAGCAACAGTACCTAGCAATAATAGCGTATTTAATGACTGTTCCCTATTGTTTGTTTTCTTCCTTGAATAATTGCTCATGGTATATCATGACGGCAATCGCTAAATGAAAATAGGATTCGAAATTGGAGTCGAGTAAAGGCGAAACTGTAAGATGACCTTGGAGAGATATTGAAGTACTGTAAGATGACCTTGGAGAGATATTGAAGTTGTATTCATTTCTTTCTTTCTTGCATTGTCTTGAAAAGCAACTTGACGCTCTAAAACTAGTACGAAAAATAACTCACAAACTCTTTTTCGCCATCTAATCATTGAGCTCTGGTTGACATATCCATCTTGATCATCATTCATCAAACTCCTTCCATTCAACCATGCGTCTTGTCTCTTTCTCCAAACTCCCCCGTCCTATCAATTTGCAAAATCTAATAACTTCTTCCGTACATACAATATTTCTCTGCCAAGACTCCACACTCTGGGTTCAAACATTTCGTTTCACCCTTGACAAGGCCTTCTGGTTGCTCAAATGGAATACACAAACTCTTCATTCCCATCGTGGGAACCTTCCTTCCATCAGGTCCGACTTCTTCACTAGCACCGCCCTTCGTCAAGTCCTTAATCTTATCTTCGCACTTTTCGCCCAAGCAGGATGGGATAAGGACTACATTCTTGGCATCAAGTGCAGGGACGACTTCGCTCCACTCGTTGATGACGAGTCGATGGGCTCTGAATGATGCTTCGGCCTTAATATAGAGAGAGCTTTGGATGGTTTCGAGGAGTGCTGGGATTTCGGTCGAAAGATTTGCAATAGAAATCGTGCCTTTCTCACCGGTATCACGACGAGCGTAAGAGACGACTTCTTGGGCGGCATCTCTCGGTCCATATTCAAGACGGAGAGGAACTCCCTTCAATTCCCAATCATTGAATTTCCAGGCTGGGGTATATCCATCGCGGATATCGTAATCGGCGCGGACACCGGCTTTTTTGAGAGTATCCTTGATAGATTGGAGCTCATCGTATCTCTTGGCTTTTTCTTCAGGGGTAGTTTTATTTGTGATGCCTACTGGGATGATGATTGCTTGGAGTTTTGCGATTCGTGGTGGAAGAACAAGCCCTTTGTCATCACCGTGAATCATGACCATGACACCGATAACACGAGTCGAAAGACCCCAAGAGTTTTGCCAGACGTGAAGATGACCAGCCTTTTCGCCATTTTTTGGAGTTGGGTCCTCGACAGTAATATCGAACATCTTACTAAAGTTTTGACCGAGGCAGTGAGAAGTAGCACCTTGAATACCACGTCCATTAGATGGAATATATCCTTCAACTGTGGTAGTATAATATCCTCCTGCAAACTTCTCCTTCTCGGTTTTGCGACCACGAACAACTGGAACTGCCAATAATTGTTCGTAGACACCGGCATAAAACTCAAGGATCTGAAGAACTTCCTCGCCAGCGAGTTTTTCTGTAAGATGTGCGGTATGTCCTTCTTGCCATAAGAATTCTCTAGCTCTCAAGAATGGAGTTGTTTGTTTGGCCTCCCAACGAACAACACTGTTCCACTGATTCAATCGCAAAGGAAGGTCACGATGACTTCGGATCCATTTCGAGTAGTATGGGTACATGACAGCTTCAGAAGTAGGACGAACTGCGACAGGGACTTCGAGGTCTTTATCACCACTTTATTGCAGTTAGTACAGTAGGGTAGAATGGGAACAAGATAACGACGAAACTCACGCCTTGGTAACCCAAGCAAGCTCGGGAGCAAAACCCTCAACATGGTCCTTCTCTTTCTCTAATGACTTTGAAGATAAGAACATTGGAAAACTAGCCTCCTCTACATCAAGTGTCTCAATTTGCGCTTGAAACCAACTTCGAATCTGATTCCAGATAAACATAGATTGGGGACGTAAAATAAAGAAACCAGAGATTTCATTATAATACTCGATCATCTCTGCTTTCAATACTACCTCCTGATACCATTGCGAGAAATCTTCCGACTTCTTGACTGTGATACCAATAATATCATCTGTTTTCTTACCCCCCAGCGGAAGCGCTGTATTTTTGGCAGCTTTTGCGGCTTTATCTGCGGCCATTTTTGCTTCTTTGGCAGCCTTTTTCAAGGCGCTCTTAGATGGCCCTTCTTGCGCAACTTCTGGAGCAGTAGAATCCGCCATGATTGTGGTTTTTGTGGTGGAAGGTGGATGTTCAAAGGGAAGGTGTGGAATCTATTTATTGAAAGTGACCGACTGACTCCTCCATTCAATGTTTCCCCCGCCCTAAAATTTAAGCGACAGGGATTTGTTCAGCCTTGCGCATTTAACAAGTGGGCTTCCCCTGGTCTGGTCGTCTCACTAATTACTTTGACAAGGCTGAGCTCTTGCCTTAAATTTCAAGGCCAAATGCTTAAAAATATTAGCGTGGAAAGCTCTCGCGTCTGTTTTCTTTCGCGACGACGAAGAAATATTACCAGAATAGTTACCGTCGTTTTTAGTATATCAACAATATGGGGTCCCTTTTTGAGCAACCTAGAAATGCTGGAACTTTGTGTATGTTTGCCCTTAGAAGTCCTGCTGGTATAGATACTAATATCAAGTAGTCCTCGGCGGCCAAAAGATTAGTGGACAAGATATTCGGGATCAAAATGGTATGAGCTATAATGACTATGAAAAAGGTATGAACTAACCCCATTCACAGTTCTTGCAACTCAAGCTATTGCCAATGTTGTCAAAAGTTCATTTGGTCCAAGTGGTTTGGACAAAATGATGGTGGATGATATAGGAGTATGCTTGTCCACTCCAAAAGAACCCCACCACATACTGATTCTGGGCAGGATGTTACAGTTACAAATGATGGCGCAACCATCCTGAGCTTATTAGATGTCGAACATCCAGCAGGCAAGATCTTAGTCGACTTGGCACAGCAACAAGATAAAGAAGTGGGAGATGGAACAACATCTGTGGTTATTATTGCAGCAGAACTTCTTCGACGAGCCAACGAACTTATGAAGAACCGTATACATCCTACTACAATCATCACAGGTTACCGTTTGGCACTTCGCGAAGCCGTCAAGTATATGCACGAGAATATCAGTGTGAAGGTGGACCAGTTGGGCCGAGAATCTTTAATCAGCATTGCCAAAACTTCCATGTCGAGTAAGATTATTGGATCAGATTCCGATTTCTTCGCAAACATGGTTGTAGATGCTATGCAAGCAGTCAAGTCAACAAACACTCGACAGGAAGTCAAATACCCCGTTAAGGCTGTCAACATCTTAAAGGCCCATGGCAAAGGATCTTTGGAGTCCATGTTGGTCAAGGGATATGCTTTGAACTGCACAGTTGCTTCACAAGCAATGAAGACAAGAATTACGGATGCCAAAATCGCTGTTCTAGATATCAACTTACAAAAGGAAAGGATGAAGCTTGGTGTCAATATTACAATCGACGACCCACAACAATTGGAGCAAATCCGACAAAGAGAGGCTGGAATTGTTATGGATCGAATCGATATGATCCTCAAGGCTGGAGCCAATGTTGTTATGACGACAAAAGGTATTGACGATATGTGCCTGAAACTCTTTATTGAGAAGGGTGCGATGGCCATTCGAAGATGTAAGAAGGAGGATCTGAGAAGAATAGCAAAGGCAACTGGTGCTACCTTAATCAGCTCATTGTCAGATTTGAACGGTGATGAGAAATTCGAGGCTTCTTCATTGGGTCATGCCGAAGAAGTTGTTCAGGAGAGAATATCTGATGATGAATGTATCTTGGTCAAGGGTACCAAAGTCCACACTTCTGCTTCGATTATCCTCCGAGGACCCAATGACTACCAACTCGACGAGATGGAGAGATCCGTTCACGATTCTCTATGTGCTGTTAAGCGCACCTTAGAGAGTGGGAGCATTGTTCCTGGAGGTGGTGCATGCGAGACTGCACTCCACATTTATTTGGAAGAATTCGCCGGCACCGTTGGTTCAAGAGAACAACTCGCCATTGGCGAATTCGCACAAGCTCTCCTCGTTATCCCCAAAACTCTCGCTGTCAACGCAGCGAAAGACTCCTCTGAATTGGTAGCACAACTCCGTTCCCGTCACGCCCTATCACAACGCATCAAGGAAGGAGATGCCAACGAGGACGAAAAGACAATTGCCAAGAAGAAGAACTACAAGAACTACGGATTGGATTTGTTGAAGGGCAAGGTAGTGGATGAGATCAAGGCCGGTGTTTTGGAGCCAAGCATGAGCAAGATTCGACAATTGAAGTCGGCAGTTGAGGCTTGTATTTCTATTATGAGGATAGATACTTTGATTAAGCTGGATCCGGAACAGAGAGAGGATGATGGACATGGACATTGATGATTGATGGCTTTTACATGAAGAAATGACCTACAGTATGAAGGGGATGTAATATTACGGGACATGACAATGTGTATCAAAAAGAAAACATTTACCTGTAACTTTTCTGTTTTTAATTCTTGAGTTCCAACAACCTGTTCGATTGATTATTTCGAAAGAATAGATACCCCTGGGCATGCCACTTGGAGATTTGGGTGCTTTCACGCCATGTGTAACCTAACCACAAAAACGACTTGACTCCATGATTTTCCAATATTTGAAACTTTTCGAAGCGATATCATTTATCCGATCTTTTGTACAATGGCCATCCCACCAGCCCTTCTACAAAGCCATAAAGCTTCCAGATCAAGGTCTATCATTTCTCTTTCGTTTAAAGTAAAAAACGTCGTCTCGTCTATCCTCCACTCTTGCGCACTGCTCCAACTTTATACAACTACAAAACTGCTCTCCACCAGATCGTCGAATTTAACCAATAATCAAGGAATTTTCTTCGGCGAAGTCGTATTCGGGGACTTCCAAGTTCAATGGAGCAGGTCCCTTTCTTATACGGCCGGAGATATCGTAATGGGAACCGTGACATGGGCAGAACCATCCTCCGAAATCACCAGCTTCTCCAATTGGGACACATCCGAGATGTGTGCAGACACCTGTTTGGCTTTTAGTTAGTATTTGGTGTCGATTGGATTGTACGAAGTGTAGCAGGACAACACGTACCAACCATAACCAGCCATTCTGGCTTCTTAACACGGTCAGCGTCGGATTGTGGATCTCTCAAACTCTCAACTTTGACGTTCTCGGCCTCCTTGATCTCATCGGCGGTTCTGTGTCGGATGAAAACGGGCTTTCCACGCCACTTGATAATGACCTATTTTGTGTATTTGTGTCAGGACTCTATCTTTGATGTGTCGGATCGATTAGATGTAGTAGTAGTAGTAGTAGTAAACGTACGTTCTTGCCCTCAGGGATGGCAGCCAAATCGACCTCGACCTTAGCCATGGCCAAAACATCTGCAGATGCGGACATGTTGACGAGGAAATCTGTCCAAAGTCCATTGTCAGTCCCTCGGTCTAATGGGTAGAAAATCATCTATTCCCTCAATTGCATTCCCAACCATAGCCCCCAGCCCTCTCATCGGTCATTATCCCCATGCTAAACACAATAATCCTGAACTCGTCGATCCGGTATCCTATCCACACATCCAAGGACAAGGAAAAAAGACAAACCTTGAACAGTAGCCTTTGCCCCTGCAGCCGTCAAAGCACCCATGGCCCCCACCATAAAGTACTGATAAACCAAATTACTGCCACCACTCTTCTTACTTCTGTATTTGCTGAAATCGGGAATCTTGCTGAATCTATCCGTGGTGGAAGCGGTAGCATCGGGACGAGCTGGTGTGGTGGAGAGGGCGCGCATGGCTGGGGTTGCGGCAGAGAATGTGCGAGGGGCGCTGCGCAGGAGTGCGCGGGATGTGAATAGTGATGCCATCGGGGGCGTGTGTTGTGGCGTGTACTGAGATGAAGAGGAAAGGTCGGGTGGTGGTGGTGTGGGATATAATTGAGTGTTAGGGTGGATTCGGAGTGGAATTGAAATTTGAGGTTGCTTCGGTAAGGATTACGATGGGCTTTGTTTTGATTGGTTGGTGGGTTGCAGCTTGATTTTCGTGTGGGAAACATCAAGGAACTCGACATTTATTATATTGTATCCTCGATATCATATGCCGATGATTTATTAATCAATAATCGAATATATTGTAATTACTCAATGTCAATTGGTAAATGTTGTCAAATGTGTGGTGCCAATTAAATTATAATTTATCTATTATTGCTATTCATTACCAAATACCACAGCTGCAGACTGACAATGAATTTAAGATACACTATCAAGTCATGCCTGCCGATTCAAACTTTTTACATCACTACATCAATAATTATTCCAAGATCATCCTCCAAACTAATGAAAACAAATTTTCCTGTATCCAACAATATTTCATTTCAAAATCACCGTTCAGGCGACCCCTTTAACGTTCTCTCTTTCCCCTCTCCACATGATACCAGGCGCATTGAGCCGCCTCATATCATCCCACCGAGAAAACCATGCACGGAGAGCTAACCCAAGGCCTCAAGCCCTGGTAATACTCTCAGATATCAAATCCTCCAGCAAGCAGCATTACTCCATCGGGATCATACTTCTCTCGGATCTCTCTCAACCTCGCTGCATTTGTTGGGCCATAGATTCGGTCACCGTTATAAGTACTCAAAGCATAGTTTGGATATGTATACAGATCCTCGGAATGAATTCCCTCACTTTTAGCTACATCAGTGAGATGGGAGATAGTCTGTTGCAGAAGGCCTCTCCAATATGCATCTTCCGATGGCGATGTCCACGCGAAATAGACGTTCAATGGTATTGGGGATTTTTCATGAGGAAAAGCGGAATCTGTGGCGTATTTCCCATAGTCGAGGAAAGGCTCAATCTCGTAATTGAGGAATGTGCCACCATGAAGAATGGCAATTGCTCCATAAAAGACAGATTCATTATGAACTGCTTTCATGAATCCCTCTGTTAGACCAGTAGTCATCATGGAATGAAAAGACCCCCTGTACCCCGCTTGGAGATTGGACGGGGTAACTTTGGCGAATGATGCGAAAGATTGTTTTTTGACATCAGATATGATCGGGAGGCTTCTGACGTTGTTGTATGGATCAAAAGCTGCAGGTCGATCTGGGCCATCGTAGAACATAATAAGGATGGCACCTTGAATTAGACCATTGTTGATGGTGAGTATGACTTGGGCTTTGGGATCGGTATTCTCGTTTTGAAATTTATCAGTGGCGGTGATGAGATCGGGAATTGCATCAAGCCCGTACATGATAAAACCACCGTAGATCATGGGCACCTGTGGAACTGTTTTGAGAACGACACTCGTGACAATCCCGAATCGATTTAGACCACCTTTAAGGGCAAAAAAGAGGTCGGGGTTCGTGGAATCAACAGTGGTTATGGTGCCATTTGGTAGAACAAGGTTGAAGGAGACAACTGTGTCACAGGTCAGGCCGTATTGGTCTGTTAGCCAGGAATAACCTCCTCCAAGAGTGAAGCCACCGACACCGGGTCCAACGACACGCCCACCCACAACGTTAACACCGGATCCGTCAATCGCCGTGAAAACATCAGTCCAGATCTATAAATGTGTCAATACTTGATGGATAAGCGGAGCCTTTCGAGAAGACGGGAAGAACCTACGCTTCCGGTTCCTAAAACCACTGTACTTTTATCCTCAGAAAGTGTGACCTGGGTCAAGTTTGCTAGCGAGATATGGACACCAGTAGTACTAGAGTAGCCAGGATTGCTTGCATGGCCTCCCGACTTCACGGCGAATGGTTGTCGATTGGCTGCAATAATCTTCAAGACAGTAGAAACATCCTCATCATTGGCGACTTTTACCGTGCATGCAGGATTCTGAGTGCTTGAAGTCATCCAATGTTCGATTTCAGATGCATAATTAAGCGTCAAATCCAGGGGAAGATAGACATCGCCAGTGATATTGCCTTGGATTTGTTGACAAATATCGCTTCCTAATAATGCCTCCCAGTTTGCTAGAGCAGCAGACGCGAGCGACAAGAGCAGATAAATGCATATATATAGCATCATGAAGGATGGGGGATGGCCGCAGTAGGGGGTTTTGCAAGATCTAAAAGTTAAGACGGAGAGAAAAAGGCATATAAGTGAAGTGCGGTAAAGGTGGTTTTTAAAGTAGTGAGTGAATGGGGACGAGCTTTTTGGTGATCATAGTCGGTTAAGAGAAGCATAGGAAATGAAGTATTCACCTACCATTTCCAATGAGTTATTCAATCTGCGTAGTATTGATTTCCTTGGAAAGACATGCCGGCCAATTACTTTGATCAGCTAAAGTGACGATCTACATTTAAAAACCAGCTGAGATGATTGAGCCGTGTGTAGTAACATCGTCATCGGTAGTAATTGCTGTGACCGTATATTACAGTAGAGACATTTAGAGGTGCAATAAACTAACTGCCTATCTCTTTCCCCATTTGACAAAGTTTATTTTTTAGAAAAGATAAACTCAATTCGGGAATAGTTAAACTCAAATTATAAGATATACGGAGTACGAGGTAAAGATTGATAATAATCATAGTAATTGTGTTTCCCGTGTCTATTTGTAAGCGATTTTTAGTGTGGGTATTCATAAAATGATCTAAAACTTATTCTAATCATTGGAGACAGCTGATTACTCTAATAAATGTCTCTATTGCTCCTTTTGTCTTAATTTCTTTTAAGGGTTGGAATATATAGAAGAATACTAAATAGTAGAGACGGAATCAAAGCACATTCGGCTCTAAACTTGTAGTATGGCTTCCTAAAGTTTTCTTGGTTAAATTAACCTTCACAACGGTGGATCGGGCCTCCCCTTCCTGCGGTCCGAGGACCCCCCCCTTACCGGACCCCTTCCAGCGATGTCGTTTTGGGAGGCTTGAGACAACGCATACCAGCATAAAGCATTGAAGGGAGGTCGGCAGTGCCTCGCCTGCAGTTGCAATGTTTTGATGGCCAAATCTAACCTGGGCAGTGGGATGATGCTCGTTCCTCTCTCGGAATGTACGAGGCTGGCTTCAAGAATTAAAGTGGTGTCATCTAATCACGCTCAGTTTGTTGATATTCAAGGCCATCGTGTGTACAATGTAAGGTTTCTTTGCTCTCAATGGCGTGAGTTAGGAAGAAGGTTTCATTTCTATTCCCGATTCCGTCAACTGCGATCATCGTGGTTATTCGTCACATGGAAGTGAGTTTGAGCTATTCCAATTCAGCAGTGCTGAGTTCTCACGCCGTTCACCTCTCTATAAATCCACGTGACCGGGAATTATCCGTTGAGTGCGGATCTACACAGTATCTTTCAATACTCGCATCATCAACCTCTCGCCAAGTGCAGATTCCTTGAAAATTTATATTTGCCAGAGATTCTAGATTTCCCAGCACGTGATAATGGCCCAATGAGAAGCGTTCTGCCGGGTCAAACTGCGATCTACTTATGGTAACATCTGCACGGTCCGCCTACATCAAATACAAGAAGTAATGACATCTTGTTGATATGGTAGACTCTCGCATATCTAGTTATATGCTAGCGACGGCCTAGCTTGAGCATTAAGTTCTCAAATAACACCAATATGCTCTTGATTTGGACCATGCCGTTACTGGTACTCTTCCCCTATCTTCCACTTGCTACCACCACTGTACCCATCGTTTGAAGCGCATTCATTTGTGTGTAACTTGTCAACATGAGGTATCTCGCCGCGGCTGCATACATCTTCCTTTGGGTTGCTACTACACTTGCATTCCCCGTCAATGATGAACTTGTGCAGCGTGCGCATCCGATACCTCCTACAGATGACCCCTTTTATGTGCCACCAACAGGCCTCGAGGATTTGCAGCCGGGAACAATCTTACGCAGCAGATCAATAGGTGCTCTTGCATTCGTGGGTCCTGTGCCGTTCCGAGCCAAAGCCACATATCAATTTCTCTATAGAACGACGGATAGCTTGGGTAACGCCTCAGCAGCAGTTACCACGATTATTGTGCCGAACAATGCAAATATATCAAGAGTGCTCTCATACCAATTTGCAACAGATGCTGCATGGGCTAATTGCGCACCATCTTACGCAATACAGTTAGGGTCCAATCCCGATAGTGAAGGTATTGGTACTATTGAGACTCTGCACGTGATCGCTGCTCTCGATCAAGGCTGGATAGTCAACCTTCCTGATTACGAGGGCCTTAAGGCTGCTTTCGTATCTGGTTTACAAGCTGGCCAGGCGACTCTCGATTCTGTTCGTGCAGCTCTGTCGTCTGGGGATTTGACTAGCATTTCACCTCAAGCCGAGTATCAAATGTGGGGTTACTCTGGAGGATCGTTGGCTTCTGAATGGGCAGCAGAGCTTCAACCTTCCTACGCGCCAGAGCTTAACTTTAAGGGAACTGCTATAGGTGGTCTTGTGCCAAATATCACATCTGTGCTATTATCCACCAATAAAAGTTTCTTTACTGGTCTGATTCCCGCTGGAATCATCGGCCTCACGAACGCTTACCCGAAACTTAAAGAGTTTGTCCATCAACACGTTTTACCATCAAAGGCTTCTGGGTTTTACAGAGCATCCTCCCAATGCTTCCTCAATAATACATCGACCTACAGGAATCAGGACATAAGCTCATATTTAGACAGCGACATAAACTCATTCCTCTCCGGCTATCCAAGAGAGATTTTAGAAATTACCGGGCAAATGGGTATACATGGAACCCCCAAGATGCCGATATTCCTCTACAAAGCCATAAAAGACCAAGTTTCAGTGATTGGAGACACGGACGCCGTTTTCAACAAGCTCTGCTCTCAGGGTGCAAATATCGAATATGTTCGAGATATGCTCGGGGAACATGCTTCTGAAGCAATCACCACTGCCGGTGATGCCTTTCTCTTTCTCATCGATAGATTCAATGGTGTTGCTGCGAAATCGGGGTGTACTTCTAGCAATGTCCTGACGACTCTTAATCCTAGGGCTATTGCGGCGATGGGAACTATGGTTGCTGATGCACTGTTGGCTTTACTGCAAGCCCCTGTTGGTCCTTGGGGTATTTTTGGACCGTGGGCAGCGGTTGCTTGAACATAAATTCAAGTATTCAATTTTAATTTATGTGCGGGGTTTGGTTGAAGGTGTACTGTGGTTATTATCGATAATAAAGATGTTCATAATTGAAGGTGCATATCACGTTCTTGCAGAAGTTGGACTAGATTCGGTCGCATGGTTGTGTTATATTCTCGTTTTTTTTTATGATTACATAGAGTATATAAGTTAATGTTTATGTTGCGCGCCTGGTGCTCTTTCGATATATTGAACTGAACGCCGAATAAATACAAAATGAGTGGGTATCAATATATCGTCCAGTGTTCCAAATCATCTACCCCTTCTATTCTTCTCGTCCCAGGTTGCTTCGTATTCCGGTGCCCAAAATTCCCCTTCCTTTCTATAGTTTTCATGGACAACTTCATCATCGTCTTCTTCGTCATGGTCCTCCTCATCATAATCTTCCCCATCAATCCAGTGATGCTACCGGTAACCAGCTCGGAAAGTTCAACTCCCCAAAAATCACTCCAATTACGCAGATTTCATGGACCGTCTCAAAATATGCCTCTTATGTCTCTTCTCGTCTTTCTCCGCTAACAGCGTAACCTCCTCATAATAAGGATATCCAATCCTAATCGGAGGCCTCGGTTCCGACTCTTGGATGTTCTGCTCTCGGACTTTATGTGAAGCGTTTAACGAGCGCGAACGACGACCCAGGAATTTTCGCGGTGTTGAGGCAGCTCTGGTTGATCTTGACCGGCATATTGGTGAGGATGAGGTGGATCTTGTATTTCTTGAAAGACAAGAGTCCGTCCTTGACCCATGGTGATCGTGGTGATGATGGGAAGTTATGTTTCCCATTCTTAATGGTATGGTGTGTGATCTTTGTACAAAGACCTGTAATATATTATAGAAACTTTGATGTGACAAGGAAGTGATTAAGCTTATCTGGATGAGCCATTCAGGCGGAATGCCCTGGTACATATACAAATACTACATAAAGATATTTTGGGCTCACGGTCTATCAAGGCGGACATGGAACGCCATTCCCTCCGTGAAAAGTGACCTAGTCCACCGTAGCTTAAAAATTTCAAACGGTCCAAAGAACACTAACCACGAGAACAAAACTTCGAAGGAGCAGCAGTGCACACGGGATCCTGGGATCCTGGGCTTCCAAGGTCATGTCAAACTTTTTTTCGGTGTGATTACGGATCGGCACATGGTTAGTTCCGGGAATCCGACAAAATGAAGATTTTCAACTAGCATCATTATGAAGTACGTAGATGGATGTTTTCCGAAATCCGTTTACCGTTGCTTTGAAAGGATTCAAAGATCATTGGTGCACGCGGAGAAAGGCAGAAAAATCCGCACAACTACTCGACTAATCAAATAAACAACTTTGTTTCTGAAGGTCAGGTAACTGAAAAGATACCGTCTAATACTGGAATATTGTAGTTCGTTTCGTCTTCCTCCCCCAAATTCATCAATATCGATTTAATGCGGGGTTTTGGCTTTTTAAAACTTTGACTGTGAATAGGTATGGAGCGGCGAGGGGGCTCAAACGTTGGGGAAAGTTTCAAAAGGCGAATTGCAAAGCCACGAGGTCACCATGCGCCGAGCAAACATCTGATATGCACGTGTCAACTGACATAAAGCTTATTATCTCAATACCCCTATGCATGGGACGAGCAAAAGAGGTGATTATGAATTAATGTATTTTACTCTCGGGGCAAAGAGTCGGAGGAAAGACAAATCATTTTTCTTTTGACGGACAAATGCGAGCCCGAACATTCCGTGAGATTTTATGGAGGGGTTTTCAGAAAAGAACGGAGAGTTTCGGTAAATGATGATTATCTTTATGTAAGGATGGATTATATTATGTAAGCTCGCTAGGTAGGTAGCAGTTAGGTGTTGCAGCTCACATAGATCTTTAATCCTCTTTAGCACTTAGCACTTGTTTGCAATGCAACATGGTCTGAGCAGTACTAGACGGCATGCAAAGAATGTTTCAGCCTTATACATGACACAGGGCACTTCACCCAGGGTTCAAGACTTTAAGTTCATCTACCATGGGAATTTAATTGTAATACATACATGTCGCATCGAACTACTAAGTATATAAGCTGGAAAGACTACGTGGAAAAAGAGATATAACAAATGCCACAGAATGGCTGTATCTAAATGGTAGGCATTCCACCCGACACGACCTATTCCAATCACGGTCAAATTCAGAATGACACGCACACACATTCCTCTATCGGACAAACGAAATCCTTCCCTAAGCCACATTCCTAGCAGTCACTACTTGTCGAATTCTCACGATCATGAAGTTGAGTAGTCGAGAAGTCGTCCTCTTATATCTCAGATATAACTACACCTACCAGCCTTCACTTCCCCTCGCTAGCACCTCCCCTTAACCCGGAGCAACATCACCGCCAACCTCAAATTCGAAAGAGAATCCAGAAGTAGTCCTAACAGTGAAGGCAAAAACCCAGCCCGCAAAGCGCTAAGCAAATTCCAGGTGGGATTTTCCTATTAGAAATGTTGTTGTCGTTATAGGATATTGCGTTATTTCGTCGGGGGCCATTTTTCATCCACATCTTAACCACATCTTCTCCTGGCCAACTGATCTAAGATATTTGTCTGTTGCGTTCGATGAAGTGGTTATACTTACAAAGATATATATCTCATATTTGCCTGATATTGTATGCTTGCACAAAGCTGATGCGATGCTATGTGACTGCAATTTCGACACCACGCTGAAATTTGTTGTTCACAATCTACTTCTGTTTGGAAAGACTCTATAGTTGGTTCAATGGCAAGGCGCAATCGAAAGCACGCATCCTAGTCACTTTCTTCTTTTGTCATATTTACGTGCGATGGCCAGGGCTCCATCAATAAATGTTTTCTCCCTCTGGTTTATCTTGTGATACCCAGATAACTGTGCATACCTAGTTGTGATCAGGTGTTCGACGGCATAACACTCTTTTCTGTCGGTCTTGAGCCCAGTTTCCTAACTTATTTTGATACTGTCTAGACTATTTTGATTACTATTTGGGTTCTTTCAAATTTTGGAATGGGCTGATGAAAATCGCTACTTGAAAGTCTTCATTGATGATCTTTTTACACAATCCCTGGTGAAGAGAATGTTCAAGTGGGCATTATACTTCCCAATTTACATCCACCAAACGGCCACCGATTCCATAGCGTACGAAAAGGATACAAAGCCTACTCACTCAAGATATAGGGGATTTGGTGGGGTAGTGCAATATACCTCCGCGCTTCAACATTCGATTTTCGTATAAGTCCCCGCTGACAATATCCCTTCAGTACAAAAAGAACAATTCGAAACTTCTCAATGGAACAACGCTGGAGTTGTGAGCTTGACCTTGTACGGCTGTTCAAGTCATGGTGGAGGACGTATTGATATGTTTGAAATCTTCTAGGGAAAGTCACCCGAGCTGTGTTACCGGCACCCAGATTTTGACGTCCGCCTATAATCTGTATACTTCAACTTTGCTTTTTCGATTATGGATGTGGACGTTAACCGACTCGACGTAGCGGCTATACGAGTCATATCTTCCAACCGTGACATAATTCCACACATTTTTGATTGAATTTTGGTAGCTTTCATCTCCCAAGGAATCTGATCTCACTCAATTCACGCTGTTAGATGAATTATTTTACGCCTCATGAACATAAAGGCGCTGCCGGTGCACATCGAGTACAAAGCTGAGAAGACGCGTATTTTTTTCTCTTCGCTTTGTAAGTAGTAAATGATGTCGGGATTGTAAGCGATGAAGATGTTTGATACCGACGGCTCGGTTCCGAAATATTGATTGGCTGGTTCATGTTTAACCGTAATTTACCCAACCGACCCTGTAAACGACTATCCGTATCAGGGATTTCGTCCGCAATCAGTCCTTTAATTCTTCAGGCCATTCCCTCAGATGTCTATGGTTTGCTGCAGCATTTTCACTTTGACACTGCTCTTGTGATATCATTTGATGCCAAAAGTCAAGAGATTGGGCTCAAACGGAGCCAAAGACACCACTGTATTAAGGTCGAAGAAGGGTGTCGCTTATCGAGCAAAGCTGCTCTAACCTTTCACCAGAGGGGCTAAATACATGTTTTAATCGGGGCTCAGCCGGTTTTAAGTCCTTGTAAAGTACCTGCATGCAAACCTATGCAGCCGAGTGCCAACACAGTAAGTCATGTTGGAATGGATGTTGGTTAAGCGACACATGATATAAAGTGCTTATCCAGAACCTGACAATGTCAAGTGTCACAACATTCAAGCAACATATTAAAAAATGGGAGTCCTTCTGATATCGCTGCTGGTGGTCCTATCTCTCTCGATATGGTATCTATCTGCACTTCCACGCAATTATCTTGATGCGAAGAAGTCTGGACTGCCTATCAGATTCGGTGTATGGGGTTCAGCAAATCCCTTATGGCTTATAATCTCTTCAATTGTTCCTTATTCTACCCTCGAAAAGTTTTTACCCCCTTTTATATTCGATCGAGTTAAGATCACTATTCCAGCGTGGGAGCACTATTGCAAGTATTTTGTCCATGAAAAATGGGGAACTTCATTCATTCTTGTTTCGCCTGGGAAGAACACGATCTTTGTCGGAGACCCTGAAGTAGCTGAGCAGGTTTTAACAAGGCGGAAAGATTTTGCGAAAAATGAAATTGCTCTTCGTGGGTGCCTCTTCCGATATTTCTCGTACAGATACATGAGCTGACTTGGGTGCAGGGGTAATGGATGTTTTTGGGCCAAATATCAGTGCTAGCGATAAAGAAGATTGGCAACGACATCGAAGAATTGTAGCGCCTGCGCTGAATGAGCGAATTATGAAAGAAGTTTGGAATGAAACTTTAACACAGACTCAAGATATGATTTCTGCATTATCAAAGCCATCTATGAGTAACGAATCAAGCTCGAAGAATGTCACATTTGAAGGCTTAAGGACCATCACTATTAATGTCATTGGATTCGTTTGCTTCGGTACTCATCGATCATGGGGAGAAGCTGTGAGTGCGAAAATACCCGCAGAAGGGTTTCAAACCACATTTATGTCCTCTGTTTTGACTATAGTCGACAATCTATTCGCTACCGTCTTCATACCTACAAAGTACCTTACTTTATCGTTCATGCCAAATAATATCCAGAAGATCGGTATTGCGAAAAGAGAATTTCCGCTTCATCTAAATCGAAGTATAGCCGAAGAAAGGCGTTCACCGAGTTCTCGCAATTCTCTCCTAACTTCTTTGGTGAAGATTGCCGATCAGGATTCAAAGCCGTTACTCTCAAAGACCTCGACATACTTGAGTGAGCAAGATATAACCGGGAATTTGTTCGCTATGTCGATTGGAGGTGAGTGCCTTTACTCCTTGCTCTTTTACAGATATATTGTTTGAATAAGATCCACGGTATTCTATATCTCTTACGATCTGGTTCTAATTTACTACCAGGTTTTGACACAACTGCAAATACGCTTTCATACTCTATTATGTGCTTAGCACTTCATCCAAAATGGCAAGATTGGATTGTAGCCGAGATCGACAAAGTCCAAGAATTGTACCCGGACTCTGATTATTCAACCACTTTTCCTCTTCTTACACGGTCTCTAGCCATAATGGTATGTATCAACCCCTTCATGTTTATTATCACTCTTCCAGCCCAAACACTCTCGATATCAAAAATTGACTCCTGGAATCATAAAATAGTACGAAACTCTCCGTCTCTACACACTCGTCCCCACCATAGCCCGCAAAACATCTCAACCCCAAACTATCAAAAACATCAACTTCGCCCCTGAAACAGAAGTCCACCTAAACACCGCGGTAATCCACACCTTACCCTCAATATGGGGAGCAGATTCTCTCGACTTCCGACCCTCACGCTGGCTCGACTCATCTCCATCTTCAGAAAACGGAAAAGAAAAAGAAACATTTCGTGAGCCTCTCAAAGGCACATTCCTAGCTTGGTCTCACGGGCCGCGCTACTGTCCCGGGATGAAAATGTCACAGGTAGAATTTGTGGGTGTGCTGTATGAGATTTTTCGGAAGTGGAAAGTGGAAATTGTGAGATGGGATGGGGAAACGGTAGAGGATGCGAGGAGGAGGTTGATGGAGATTTTGGAGGATAGTTCGCCGAAATTGACCTTGCAGGTTAATAGGCCGCAGGATGTGGTTTTTAGATATGTGGCAAGGACGTAGGGATGATGTGAGATGAACAGCTTTTTCTTTAAATATACATATGTTTATTCCGCATAGAGTCTGGATTTCGATAAAGAAAGATAAATAATTTGCGGGAATATTGCTTTAACTCTGTATCTCTGGTACAGCGAACCCTAATGGTTCCGGACACTTTCTCTCCCTGGGAAGCACGGGTACACGTGATTGATTGACTGAGTGACACGCGATCGCGACAAGATTTTACCTAAATACGCGACGCGCCTCGTGGCCGCAAACCCTTCATTCTTCCCCACGCATCAGGTTAGCTGAGGCTTGGCATCTAAAATCAAGTCCGTACAAAAATGGGCATACCAGAGTAAGCTAATGTATCTGTATAACATCAATCCCGACTAATATATATTTATTTAGACTCTGGCAGCACTTCGACGAAGCCGGAGTCGGCGAGAATATCTCAACTGCTGCGTTCGCTGCGCAACATTTCGAAAAGGAACGAAGACCACTTCGAATCGCTGTTGATGTATCTATCTGGAAACGCAAGTGTTACCAGGGAAAAGAGGAAGTTGCAGCTATTCGTAAACGTATATTTCTCTTGCTTTAACCTTATGAAAGCTATAATTATATCAATGTCCTGCGCTAACTTTCGTCGGTTGTCTTTAGAGACTCCAGCTGCAAATCCCAATGAGAAGAATATTCTCCGTAAGATTTTGACACTTTTGAAGCTTAATATTCAGTTGATTTTTGTTGCGGATGGTGAAAATCGTCCGAAAGAGAAATATGGTGGACAACCACCCTGGTATAAATATTATACTCAGGACGATGCACTCCTTAGACAGACTGTGACTTCCGTAGGTGTGAAATGGCATGAGGCGCCAGGAGAAGCTGAGGCCGAGTGTGCAGCCTTGCAAAGTCGTGGAGTGGTTGATGCTGTTTGGACAGAGGATTCGGATACTTTCATGTTTGGAAGTACATTGCTCATTCGATTCTGCTATGTCAATAAACGCAAAGTAAAGAAATTTCGAAGGAATGAAAACTGGGTTAGTGAACCTGGCGAGACAACACGTAGAATTGATATTGATAACATTATTGTTTATCAAGCGGATAAAATACAGGAAAAGTTCCCGGGCTTGACTAGAGATGGTCTTGTCTTGTTCGCCGTCTTGAAAGGGGGCGATTATAGTAAGAACGGCAAAAGTCTCACCAACTGTGGCGTACTTTCAGCGTTAAAGATTGCAAACGCGAAAGAAGGTTTTGGCAAAGATTTATGCAATGCATCTGATACAGATTTCCCTGTTTGGAGAAACCGACTTCGTGAATCCCTCAGAAAATCCAACATTCGAATTGACGTTCCGGATACCTTCCCGGATCCTCGCATTCTTCATCTTTACAACAAACCTTTAATTTCATCTGAGAAGATCATGAGTGATATTGGAAAGTCCTGGGACCCCTCTTTCGACGAAATGGAATTACAAAAATTGATCGCTCCAAGGTTTAATTTTTGGGTCGGTGAATACATCAGAGATATAATACCAATCCTTCTCGTCCGTTCTCTTGCGTCTACACAGCCAGGACAAGAAGCGAGTAACAACTGTTACAGGCTTTGTGTGAAGTCCAAGAAGAAAATGCCTGCGTTGCAGAAGAATGTAGAGGTGCTGCTTTCGGCGGTAACCTCCATGGATATACCAACTTGGAAAGCAGAGTTTACAAAAGTCTTTCAGGGTGGGAATGTATCGCCAGTTGAGGAAATGGTCGAGTGTAAGGATTTTTTGTCGTGTATTATTGATCATGGTACTAAAAGGGCAGTTCTACCAAATTCACTATCATCCAAACATGATAGGAACATGGTATCTCCTGGGGTGATGTCCAAAAACAAAAAGCGTGCTGGATCATCAACAGTTTCGGACGAAATTTTTTCTTCCCCGCAGGAACAGCCTCCCTCAAAGAGAGTTAAAAGTATCTCGGGCCAGTCATCGGGATCGACACCAACAGAACCTGCATCTTCACACACTGCAATCACATATCAGCCTCGAAAGATTTCTTCGTCGATCAAGGGAACTCCAATTCGTGATATACCAGAATTGGCTAGGAACCAAATGAGCCCGGAACAGCGTCGCGAGTCGCAGCCCGAGAAACATCCTAGGCAGGGAGATGTAAAGAAACCCTCGGGGCTAACCATCGACCTCACACTCGACGAATCGGACGAAGAGAACCAATTTCTTGTCGCCAGTGCTCAAACGCATACATCAACATCATCTTCATCACAAAACTCTCCAACGAATGTCATCCATGAAGCTCGACTTCTGCATTTCGGTCATAGTATGCGGAAACCACCGTTCCTACCAACCACCCAACAATCTAGTTACGGAGTGTCGCCAGATGGCCACACAGAAACCCAATCCTCGCCCCTAGCTAAGAAACCTCTTCCCCAAGGTATGAAGGAGGAAGATTTTGATGGGTTCTTCTCTGATTAGTGTATTTTATGAGTTTATGCGATTGCTGGGTTATACTTTGCTTTCTTGTCGTGGACTTTTTAATCCCTTGAGCATGAAGCATTGATTAGCAAGCGTTTGGTTGGATGTCTTATACCTATTTGATTTAATATTCGTGTTTTACATATAGATTATTTGATGCTTTTAAATGAGGTTTAATCATACATAGCGACTGGACGATAGATGTAGATTTTGAGGGCTGTCGTTGAGATAAGATTATGTAGAAGAAATATTTTGAGCAAACAACGTTGTTCATGCGTTGCCCTTTTGTTTTTTTTGTTCTTCCAATCATTTTTTGATCCCAAGAAAAAACAATTCCTGGAATCCAGCTTCATCAACAAAATGGATTGTCCCTCCATGAAATTTAGCGTTATTTACATGTTGATCAGAGTAACCAATGAAATGATGTTGGCAAAGAAGGGGTGTTCGCTCATCAACCCAAGTTGTCTCATAATTATTGAAATGGCTTAATAGTTTTATGACAGGAATATTGTTTACATATTATACCAAAGGACACATATTTGAATAAACGACTTTAGTAACTATTCTTTCATGCAGATCCTATGTAATTACTAAAACCACTTCATCATCTAGTTGAAATCCTGAGTTTACATCTACATCGTACATGAACAGCCACAAACAAATCTCTAATCCCATCCCTCATATCCCCAATTGAGTTTCTCCCACCACCATCTCCGTGCACTTTCTCACCCAAAACTCAAGATGGGTATTCCAGGGTAAGTTTCTATTTGTTTGATGATCTCTTGTCAATCACGATACATCACTAACAAATCATGTACAACTAGACTTTGGGATCTCATCGCCGATTGCAAAGAAATTATTTCACTTGCCGAACTGGCCACGAAACATTTCGAACATCATAAAAGACCTTTGAGAATAGCTGTCGATGAAGCAACTTGGAGACATAAATTATTTATTAGTAACAAGGGAAAAGTTTGTAAAAGTACTTTTTGCACTTTATTATTCAATTTCAATTTCATATCCCAAATTCATATTCACATGTTTAGATATAAATATAAACACCCAAACTAACAAACCCCAAGAATATTCCACCATCCACCTCAACGAACGAAACCTCATAACCTTCGTGCTACGTCTCCTAAAACTAAACATCCAACTCATATTCGTAGCAGATGGTCCTCAGAAACCTTGTGAGAAAAATAAAGGTAAAGGAGCGGGAGTGTGGAAGTTTAAAAATAATGTTTTGCAAGAGGGTTTGAGGTTGTTGGGGGTTAAGTGGCATGATGCTCCTGGGGAGGAGGCAGAATGTGAATGGAGGGGGGAGGGTGGATTGGGTTTGGACCGAGGACGGAGAGGGGGGGATGGAAGGAAGAGGAAGGGTGGGGTGTTGTTGTATAGGGATGATGGTTATTCAAGCCAAAGCATCCGGGATTTGATAGGGAGGGTTTGGTACTTTTTGTTATTGGAGGAGATTATGGGAAAGGATTACAGGATTGTGGGGTTGGAAGGTCAAGTAAAGTTGTAGAGATGGGATTTGGAAGGCAACTTTGCCGGACGATGGAGATATCTGGAGATCTTGATGCTTGGAGAAATAGTTTACGGAAATATTTCATCGGTTCGAAAACAGGGGTTAGTGTTCCGGGAAGTTTTCCGGATAAGAGGATTTGGGGTCTTTATAATTCACCAGTTATATCTTCCCTTGAGAGATTGGAGAAATTCGAGGAGAATGTTTGGAGTGGGAAGATTGATGAGAAAAAACTACAGACCTTTTTCGTCGAAGAGTTTAATTGGGGGATTGATAAATACATCGACTACGTTATTCCGATTCTCCTCACACGATCTCTCACTTCTTTCGACCGGAATGGAAAATCAAATATGGACGTGTATAATCTCACATATATGGAATCTGGATTCAAATGTAAGGTGTGGTATTCATTATTCGCTGTTACATCTTTAGGGAGAGAATGGGTGGATAAGTGTATTGTGGATTTGAACAAGAAACGCCCGAATCATTGGAAACGTTATGAATTACCATGGGGTACGGAACCGACGGTTGAGGGGAGAGATTTATTAACATGTATTGTCAAGCATGTGATGGAACCAGATACTTCAATGACATCTGACTCTGAAGTCGAAATTGAAATCGAAAAGGATATTTCCAACAGCAGAAGACGATCTCTTTCGCCTCAACGAACTATCCTAGAAGATAGAACACGAGTAAAGAAATCTAGAATTTCAATATCACCTCCGCCGACACCAATATCAAAACCACATCATCGATTTGCTTTTACGGAAGAAGAAATATCATTCGACATCTCCATGTATGGAGATTTAGATGAAGATATTCTCAACGGACCTTTAACCTTAGAGCCAAAACCAAAAGCTCTCAAACCATCAAAGTCAAGCTCACCACCCATTATCCCCGACAAACAAAAACCACAGCTAGATGGCGCAAGCATAGAAATAGGATTAAAATCCATCAAATCCCTCAAGCCACGTAAAATCAAACCATCAGCAAATACTAATTCCAAATCCCGCTCAACTCAATATCCTCCCACGAATCTCCTCTCCGACATCAAAACCAACCGTATATCAAAAACCCCAGCACCTCTTCCTCATTCATCTCAAACTGTAACCGCGAATGAAGATTATGATTTTATAAATACATATCATATCGCCATGGATGCACCTTTAGATTCAGATTCAGATTCTGATTCTGATGCCGAATGCGAAATTATCGATATCTCGTTTTTGAAACCGAGAACTTCGAATCTTCCTCCTAGGTGTACTAATTACAAACTTTCGGGTCATAATTCATATTCTCGCAGAACCTCAACCTCAACCTCCATCTCCCCTCACCTCCATCGCACCCCGGATACCACAAACCAAATGCACAACGTTCCACTCAATAAAATCCCTGAGGAATCCAAACACGAATCTAGCCACCAATCCGACTTTGAATTTGCAAACGAATTCGCCAAAGAATTTAAAAACGACGACCTCATAGCTATGGATGAACCACTAGATTTCGACCTCGACCCGGATCTTGATTCCAACTCCAATCACAACCACAATCCCAAAACCGAGCATCTAAACACTCTAAACACTCTAGACGCTCAATCCTCCATCTCATCGAAATCGATATCAAAACCTTCTTTCGAACAAGGACCGCTATTTTCAAATCCTCGATTTGTTACTCATTCATCTTTTCCTTTATCTTCTCCTTTTCCCTCAGATTTGGAGAGGAATTCTGATACTGATTGTGGAGGGAAGATTATATTTGCTCCTCCTGTTCATTGTCATGGTCATGGCCATGATCATGATAGAGATGAAGAGGGCAAAGATGCAATGAATACAAAAGAAGATATCTCATCCGATATAGATATAGATACGGAGATAGAAATAGACATCACCACAAACGAACAACAACAACCAAAACAAAAACAAAAACAAAAACAAAACCTAAACCCAATCAAAAAACACCAACTCCCAGCCATCTCCATCTCCATCTCCCACGATAAATCCACAAATCGACCATTACGAGAACTGGGCAATAAATCTCCATCAATGCCTAATCCAAATCCAAATCCAAATCTCAATCCCAATCTCAACACAAATCCACACACACCCTGCTCACCCCCTAAGACCACTTCACACAATCAACACCAAAACCTCAACCTCAACCTAAACCTCAACCTACACCCACTCCCAAACAAAAACCCGCACATCCTCCTCTACCCCTCCCACCCCACAGGTCCCTACCAAGAACTAGATATTTCGATATTGTTCTCCTCTTCTACACCACCTTCATCATCATCATCATCTTCTCCACAGACTCTCTCTCCTTTTTCATAGCCTCTCTCCCCTACTCATTAAATCTACAAACAAAAGCTACAAACAAAATCTACAAACAAAATCTCATATAACCTAACCGGTTAACCTAATTTACCTCCTGATTACGCGTTTGATTCGATATACAGATTTTCGATTTCGATTTCGATGTCGATGTCGATGTAAACACAAATCAAGATAAATATAAATTATCCAAATCTTTCACTTTCATCCTCTCTCCCGGTTCCGAGTCTTCGATTTGTTCAGTTTCTGGTTTTATATATTACTAGTCTTGCTGGAAACGCATTTGTTTTGTATTGTATTATAATCTAATCTTACCAAAATCCACACTTACTATCCAATAAGAAATGAATAAAAGTTTAAATACAGAGGAAATACTTGTTGTAAATTGTAATCTTTTTAATCTTTATTATTACATATGTAAAATATCTACTATGTATTGATTGTATGTATGTATGTGTAATTTTTCCACTTCCAATACCACCACCACAATCATCACTGAAAAATGAACAAGCCAGTTCGATAATCTATAGTTTCATCCATAAATCACCATCATAGAATTCTTCTTCTTCTTCCCTTTTCTTCTTTTTCCCGTCCATCCATCCATCCATCCACCTTCTAAGAGTTGAGATTTATCTTTTAACGCATAAATTCCATTTACGCTCGCTCCCAAAACGCCACATTGCATGTATGCAAATAATTCCAGTAACCATCAAACCAAACCCAACCCCTCTCATTCCAAAACGCCATTATCCAGTTCTCGACATCGTAGAGTGTAAAATCTACAATCTCAAAAGAGACTTGATATTTTATTATGTAATAAATAAACAAATAAAAGAAAAACTGAAACTCTATGTCTGACCAGCCAGCCGAGTCAGAAAGCAAATATCAAGCCAACTCAACTACTAGCCTAGACCTTGATACCCATAATCCGCCACCATCATTTGATGTGCCATAGCACGGGTATCATAACATACTTGAACAAAAGGAAAGAATATTCGGGTTGTATTGAAGATGTGATTGTCCAAACACAATACATAAGAATGACGAAAGGTGAAATAGACAATCGAAATGAATGAACCACAAGAGGTTGAATCGAAAAATGAATTCAAATGTCAAGACTAGATGATGTGAATCATCTAAACCTGAACGGTCTCAGCATGACCACCACCGAGTAATTCCAAAATCTTATTTGAAACAGCTCCTGGATATCCTCTGCTAAGCATTTCTTGAACAACATTCTTAGCGCTTTCGCGATCCTCAACAGCAAGGTAAGCTCGAGTCATAGCTTCATAAGTACTTGGTTCTCTCTTTTCACGACCGACAGTTGCGAAAATTGCTTTACTCTTTTCAATATTGCGCTCATTGGCCCATCCATGAATTAAAGTATTGGCAATATATGGAGTCATTGCAACACCTCTAACAGACATATCGGAAAGAACAGATTCGGTATCAGCGACGTTATGATTAGCAACCATGGATTCAAACAAAGCTTGGTAAAGACATGCTTGAGGACGAATGGAAGAATCAGCCATAACTGAATCGAAAACCTTGCGAGCACCTTCCATATCATGCATAACACAACCCTTGGCATGAATCAATGAAGAATAGTGAACAGCTTCTGGCTTTCCACCATTACTACGAATGATATCAAGGATGGCTTCAGCAGCTGCCATATTAACAGGTTCGAGAGTAGCATGAGTGTCGACAAGTAATTTGTAGGTATGATTGGTTGGTTGAATACCCTTAGACTTCATTCGTTCGTAGTATGCGAGAACCTTGCTCTTGTCACGCTTGGTAGTGAGGAAAAATTGCATCAAGCTGTTGTAAGGAGCAGGTCTAGCCTTATAGTTTGGCATAGATTCCATCTCTTCAAACAACTCTTCGGCAAACTTTTCGTCACTAACACGGCAAAGAGCATTGACAATGGTACCATACGTAACACTAGTTGGTCGAATACCAAGAGCACGCATCTCAGCAAAGTAGAAAAGACAATCATCAATACGACGAGCCTTTCCAAGTTTACCGATCAGAGCATTATACAAGAAGGATGAAGGTTCAACACCTTCCGTCTTAGCACGGTGGAAAATTTTGACAGCCTCTGAAGCTTCATCAAAAGTCTTTGTTGATTCCTTCAAAGTTGTAATATAAAGACCGAAAGTGTTTGCAGTTGGTGCGGCTCCCATGTCGAGAAGTTCTTGGTGGTATTGAGCAGCGAGGTTGCGGTTGCCAAGAGTTAGGCAAGCACCAACCATGGCATCAAGGATTGAAACCCAACCATATCGAACAACAGGATATTGGACAAGTAAAGGTACATCGGATCGTGCCATACCAAGAATATCATTAACCAAGGGCATTCGTTCCTCGCGAGCAGCAGCAGAAATTAATTTAGCATAAGTGATGTATCTTGGATGACGACCAGCGCGACGCATATTTCTGAATCTACCCAAAGCATCATTGAGCTTAGATCCCTTGCCACGACTAGCTCCTCTCTCAAGTTCGTCGGCGATAAGAGCTGAACCTTTGAAATCGGTAGAAGCGGCGTAAGGATCAAAAGTATCCTCGAATGTAGGTGGTGCTACATATACTGCAGGTTGGAAGTTTTGTTGATACATAGCTTCTGCTACTGCTGCATCACGAGGATCAACAATGTTATGTGACTTCATGAATCGAGCAATGAACTCAGTACCCTCTTCAATCTCATCAGCCAAGTGAAGATTGACGTCCGTAGAAGATTCTCTGATTCTGGAGAACATTTGTTCAGATTGTGTAAGACCTTCGAGGACCTGTCCAGAACCAATCATCGCAACGGCGAACATGGCAGTTGGTTCAATGAAAGCGGACGATACAGGCATTTCAGCGGCAGTAAGTATACCCCAGTATCTTTGAGCTGCAGTAACATCACCATTGCGAACACTCAAAGCCAACAATGCCATCGTTGGCTTAGAAATTGATGGGTCAGGGTTGATGTGAGAGAAAGCTGCAACAGCAATGGATCTTTCTCCCTTGTCGGCAGCACGCATAGAGATGGTGCTCATGACCAATGATTTGGTGGCAGTTTGTAGACTCTCAGCCCAGCTAAGAGCTTCAGTCAACATATTACGTTCAAGAAGACCCTGAACGAAACCTTCATCAATAAGTACGTCCCGGAAAGCTTCAACATTTTCACCATATCCTTCCACAATTCTGTTGTAAAACTTCATGGCACCGTCCATTTTATCGGAAGCGACGTAAGCTTTGACAACAGAGGCGTAGATTTGTGCGTCTTGACGATCAAACAATTGAAGTTTGCCACTGTCATCTGCGACAGCCAGCTCCTTGTACTCATTGTAACATTCGACAGCACTACTTAAATCACCTGATTGAGCGAAGCCCCTGATCATGTGCTGGAAAGTAGCAGCCAATGGTACAACCTTGCTAGTCTCCATATGTTCATACAATCGTACCATATCTGGGATACGACCAGCATCAGCACATGCGGATATGAGCTGATGATATGTTTCTGCTGGGAATGAACGATCCGTGTGGTACGAGATTGATGCATCAAACAACCTGACAGCAAGATCTAACCTGTCATCTTCGGCGAGAATAGCAAACTCTAATTCGTTGGAAGCAAACATAAATTTGCCAGCTTCCTCCATTCCACCATATCTAACGCGTTTTTCTTCCAATGTCTGTCTCAATGAAGTTACAGTTATGGATCGAGAAGCAATCAATTTAATGAGTGTGCTGTACGTTGAAGTATCTGGCAATATCTTTCGCCTAAGCATGTCGGAATAAACATCAAGTGCCTTTGGAACCACTTGAATTTGTTCCGAAGGAAGGTGTATTGCGGCATCGAGAAGAGCGTTGTATGCAGTTGCCGTTGGTTTGATGCCTCCAACGAGCATGGCCTCAAAAACCGCAGGAATCTCAGCATATCTGCCACCTTGGGCAAGTTTGGTGAGATGTTCGGCATAGCTCAGTGATTGAAGGTCGGAAGTTGAGGTGATTGATGTGGTAGAACTAACAGGCGATCGGGATGACTCCGATTTCTCCAAGCTAGTCACGACTGTGAGAGCAGGTGACTGGACTGGCGCAATAGGAGGAGTTGGTACGCGTGCTGCAACCACACTCAATTCCGCCTCAAATGCAGCCTGATCCTCTCTCGATTGAATCTCCTTCTCGATGGCCGCATCGATCTTGGCCAAAGCAGCTTCCTCCTCGTCCTCGAAATGAACTTGCTTAATATCATCCACAGCGCTAGTGCCATACGTCCTGTCGGGTTGCTTCGAGGTATCCTTCGCTGCATCACTAGTCACAATATTGCTCTTTCCTTCTCCATCCACCTGAATAGAAGCTGGCTTCCATTCGATACATTTTGGAAATAGGCCTTTCTTCTCTTCCTTCGCTAGCTCATTTGCCTTCCAGGCATCCGATAATATTTCTAATCCTTCCGGTCTATCCTGAACAGTCGTAACAGTCGAATTGGAGCTTGTGTGAAAAGCATTTTGAAGGGTATAAGTTGGTAGATGACCAAGCTTACTCGTTCGACGTTGTAATCCGCGACCAGATCGATTTTGATTTGCTAAAGTTTGAGGATGAGTTGCGGCAACGACTGATTGAGCGTAACCGTGAGTAACGGATTTTGCGAATCCTTGACGTGCAAGATTCGAGTAAAGACTATTGTAGATGGGCATTTAGGGATGGTTTGACCTCTCAGAATTGGTTGAGAGGAGACTATGAAAAGATTCGTGTCAGCTTCTTGCTAGTTTTGGATGTAGAAGTTTTTTTCGCCAAAAAAGCGCAAGAATTCATTTTATGACTCAGAGCTTACACCAATCTTAGAAAAATGATCAAAAACTTACTTCAAAATCTCAAAAGGTAAACAATTGCAGGTTCATTTGACAGCTATGCCGTCAAACAAACGCGCTGTTTGAAGTTTGGAGGGGAGAGTTGTGTAAGGGTGAGTAAAGTGACTTTAACTTTTTGATATTCGATATCCAAAGAAAGTCCCAAATAGCGACTCTCTTTTGAACCTAAGGATTGAGGGGTGGCGCTTCTGAATGATGAAAAACCTAAGATGGTGGTGTATTTGTATTTGTATTTGTATTTGTTTATATGTATTCAATTAAATAAGATTGAGTTGGAGTACAGTAGAAGTTTGAGAGATATGTAAGACCAGTTGTAGTATAATTCTTTTTTTCTCCAAGGCAGATAGATGACGAATTGATTGATATTGAAGTTGATGCCTTCGGATGATCAACTTCAGATGCAGGAAGAAGGTGGGAAGGATACTCACTCTTGCTTGCTTGGATGACCCGGTCAATTGGCTCAATTGGCACAGGATTGAATTTCTTTAAAAATGAACCGGATAGTTTTCTCCTCAAGGTCACATGCAATTCCCCAATGAGGTTCAAACGAATAAAAGACGGACAAACAGAGGAGAATGGAATGAATTGGATGGAGTTAACGGATTTAAGGATTACGAGACGAGTATGATTATCGCATTCAATCAAATTTTCGGATCAGGGCTGAAATGGAAGTTTTTGTGCGCGTCAAGAATCTTCCCCTGGTCAATCAATCCTTCGTCCCTTCTCGATGAAAAAAAAATTCTACGAGAGGCGATAATGTTTCGGCATAGAAAAATCCCAAATAATAAAAATGTATATAATCCCGGTATTATCCTAACGAATTAACCTATTGGAGTCAAGCGTGGAAATCCAAAGAACGCGGGTCTAATTCTAGCGTTTCACTCCACAAAACGCGCAAGGTTGAATCCCTATTGGTTGGTTGATGTCGATGTCATACATTTAATTTTTATTCCCGTTTTCTCTCACGGGGGGTGTTGACGGAGAACGGATTTAACGTCGAATGCGAATTTGGGTTAGCTGGGTGAGGTTCAATTATAGGGAGTGAGTGATTCATTCGTACTTTGGATATATTAATAAGTTTGTATGGAGTACATGAGATCAACGGCCACCTCTTTATTCCACCGCAGCTCTTTTACGGATTCGGAAGCTAGAATAGTCCGATAGTCAGGAACAAGTTTATGTACCCGGGACCGAGGTTGTGAGTGAGTGAGTGAGTGAGTGAGTGAGTGAGTGCGTGCGTGAGTGAGAGTGAATGAATGAGTGCGTGAGAGAGTGAGAGAGGAGAAAAGAAAAGGTCTTCATTCTCACCATCTTCAAGATAATACACCAATCTTACATTACTGTACGTACATCAACATTCTTGTTAATGCTCTTTCTTACCTTGGGTCTTCACGTAAATCTCTCACCAACTCCATCGAGCAAGTCATGAATGACTCAGCTCAAGTGTGACCCTCTCAAGTCACCTGTTTATACCATTATCATAATCAAAGCAGGTGATCGATGAGGTATGCGTATTAGAGAAAACCCATGGAACCCAATAGAAGGCCGTGGATAGTTTGATTAGCTAAGCTTGATTCCATAACTAAGAGCCACATTTCAGCCCAGTAAGTAAACTTGTCTGCAAAGAGGACATCGATTCTTTTTCGCGCTTGCTTAAATGTGGGGTTCCAAACCTTAAATCCTCAAATCTCATGCTTCGGAATCGGCTGCAATTCTATCCGATTGAGTTTGCAACTCCATTAATGATTCAACCTCACACGGACAGTACACTAACCATCACAATAGTCAACTTTCCAGCTTCCCTTCTCCGATCCATCCCTTTCATCCCAGCTCACACATACCCAAGATGACTAACCACGTCACCGCCATCTCAGCCCCAGGCAAAGTCTTCCTAGCAGGAGGATACCTAGTGTTAGATCGTGAATATACCGCGTTGGTATTTGGTCTTAGTGCGCGTGTTCACGTGTTGGTTCAGGATATCGATACGACATCTGGTGTTCAACTATCCGAGATTATAGTCAAGAGTCCGCAATTCCGTGAGGCGACTTGGAATTATGGTTATCATTTGACAAAGGATGATGGTGGCATTGAAGTTACCCAGTTACAAGGGTGAGATATAAACACGTTTATTTGCTGTGTTTCGAAGACATACCTTTTTTCTCCTTTTGTTTCTCGCTTCTACTTATTTCCCCCGTTCACCTTCCTGTGTAGATCATCTCGTTGTCACGTGTGATTTTATATTCATATCATCTTGATCAAATAATCTAGCCCCTAACATGCATCTTTACTCATTCCATATCCATCTAGCTCTCCATCGGCTACAGCTTCACGAAATCCCTTCGTAGAAACAGCACTCCTCTACGCCCTAACCTATATATCCTCGGTTCTCCCCACTCAAACCATCAAACCAACATCCATCACTATCCTAGCAGACAAAGATTACTATTCCAATCCCTCCAGCACCCCCATCGCCAGAGACGCACACCATCAATTTCTCGATTTCGGCGTCCGCCTCCAAGATGCCCATAAAACCGGTCTCGGTTCCTCCGCCGCCCTAGTAACTGCCTTCACCGGCGCAATTCTCTCCCACTACCTTCCCCCTTCCATCTTCTCCCTCCAAACCCAAGAAGGGCACTCTCAACTCCACAACCTAGCCCAAGCAGCTCACTGCGCAGCTCAAGGAAAAGTAGGCTCAGGCTTCGACATCGCCACCGCCGTCTACGGCACCTCCCTCTACCGACGTTTCTCCCCCTCAATCCTCACCTCCCTCGGCGAACCCACCACCCCCGGATTCTCCAACCGCCTCAAATCCACCATCCAAAACACCTCTCCCCAAAAATGGGACACCCAAATCGAAAAAGGCAAAATCACCATCCCCACAGGCATGGCCCTCGTAATGTGCGACGTAGACTGCGGATCCCAAACCGTGGGAATGGTAAAGCAGGTTCTCAACTGGCGCCAACAAAACCCAACAACCTCGCAAACCCTCTGGAACGAACTCCAAACCCGCAACGAAAAACTCGCCACCATCCTCTCCTCAGGCGATCTCTCCCACGCCCCAGAAGCCTTCTCTTCTATCCGTGAAAAAATAAGAGAAATGGGTTCCCTATCAAATGTCCCCATCGAACCACCAGAACAAACTAAACTCCTCGATGAAGTTACGGCGCAGGTGGACGGGGTTATAGGGGGTGTGGTACCTGGTGCGGGTGGGTATGATGCGATTGTTTTATTGGTGAGGGATGATACTGAGACGATGGATGCGCTGAGGAAGTTTTTGAAGGGTTGGGGAAAAGTGAAGTTGTTGGATGTGAAGGGGGAGATGGATGGGGTGAGGGTGGAGGATGGGGGGTTGTATGGGAGGGTTTTTCGTTAGTGGGGAAAGGGGTAGATTGGTTGGTTGGTTGGTTGGTTGGTAACGAGGTAGGGAGAGAAGGAGGGAGCAAGAAAAAAAGAGTTGTTATTGATAATATCGTCTTTCATTTATTTATCTATCTATCTATCTCAATTAATAAAAGTTAAAAGTTTAAAATTCATAACTTGAATCTTATTCCTCAAATTATATAAATAAATCTCAATACTAAATTAAATATAAATATATATTTAATAATTATTCTTGAAAATAAATAATAAATAATAAATAATAAATAATAAATAATAAATAATAAATAATAAATAATAAATAATAAATAATAAATAATAAATAATAAATCCTTTAAATAATTATCTATTTAACTTTTATTTGTACTTTTAATCTTTTATATACTTTGAAATAAATAAATAAATTAACAAATCATTAAATAAACAATCAATCAATCAACTCAAATCTCTTTTCATCAATACTATCTACCTATCCTATCCCATCCTATCCTATTTTACTTTATCCCAGCTTATCCCACCATTCCCACTCCCATTTCCTTTCTTTCATCCCTCCTCCTCCCTTGCTCGGCTTCCCCCAATCCCATCCCGTCTCACCTCCCATCCACCTTCATACAGTCACCCACGCACAACAAAAAAACTCAATAAATAAAACTCATTTAACAAATCCAATCCATATGCTCATACATCTTATATACTTTTATTTATTCACTTGCTATCTCCTTCCTTCCTTTCACTTTATAAACCCACCTTTCAATCCAATTCGTTACATACATACATGCATTGCAAAAATGCAAAAATGGGTATTATTATAAACCAATAAACCAATCAATCATCAATATCCATATCCAATCCATCGCTATGTACCATGCAATGCAATGCCGTAAATGTGAAACTAAAAGTAAAGAATTCCGTCCGCACTTCCTTCCCATATATTTCATTAGGATATCTTATCGTATTGTACTGTGCGTGCTTTGCTTGATAGGTTCATCCTCTGATGTTCCCTATTCATTTTTTTCGGGTTTTTTGTTCTGTAATCCATCTTTCCTTCTTTCTTGACCCGCCTGACTCCTTTTGAGATACTTTTAGGTCATCTTGATTTTCATGACCCATTTCCACTTCCCCTTGACCAACTCTGTTCGCAGCTCCGCGTCCTACCCAACTTCACACCGCTTTTCTTCCTCTTCCTCTCCCACTGCCTTATTTTATGCACATTCCTCATCTTCCCTCATCCCATCCCTCGCTCTCTTTTTCCTCTACCCCCGACTCTCACCAAAACCCCCTCAATAACTGGCACCAACTCCGTAATTCTAAAAGGTTTCGTCATAACCTCATCCATACCCGCTTCCAACGCCTGCTGAATCTGCTCCGCTCTCGCATTAGCCGTTACCGCTACAACTGGTACATGTCCCTTCAGTTCCCCTGTCTGTTCCATTCTGCGCAATTCTCGGGCGCAAGTAAGACCGTCCATAACGGGCATTTCTATGTCGAGAAGGATAAGGGTTAGTGGGATGGGGAGTTTGTGTGATGAAGAATTAGATTGTAATTGCTGGTGTGGTTCTAGAGGTTCTTGACTTCGGGCTGAAACAGAGGTGTTCTGTGCGCTAGATGTTAGGATGCGGAAAACACGGAGAGAGAGAGAGAGATGCGGAGAAGGAAAGTCTTACCTCAGGTGCCACAAACCCGTGCACGGAATTCGACGTGTCACCAAACCAAAAATCAGTCTTTTTCACAAACTCAATGGCCTCCTTCCCATGATTCGCTACGTGGACCTTGCATCCCAACCTCTTCATCTGCGCCGCCAGAACTTTCTGGTTAACCAAATTATCCTCCACAATCAATACACTCCACGAACTAGGCGATAGGAAATCCGGATTCTTAGTCGGTTTTAAATGTTGACTATCCTCCTCTTCGAATTCAAACGAGTTACGATTAGTAGGTAATCTTCCCTTCTCCTTCAAGTCTAAGAGCTGATTCAGCATCTTTTCTTCATGGTCTTTGATGCTTTTTGGAACATTCGTTGCTAATCTCCCGTTTGCTTCTAGGTCTGAGTGCATCTGCGATTCAATATCCATAGTATTTGCTCGATTCAATGCACGACGGCACTTGATGTAAAAAGCAAAGGTACTCCCAACTCCATATTCCGACGCCACACCGATTTCTCCCCCTTGTAACTCTATAAGTTGGCGCGATATAAATAGTCCAAGGCCGGATCCTCCGTAGTGTACATGAGTTCGAGGTGATGCTTGAGAGAAACGAGTAAACAGATTTTTCTTTTCGGCAGGCGTTAATCCACAACCTGTATCTCTTACTTCGAATCGAAGGTAGATGATTTGGCCTCTTCCCCATTCCTCACTAGCGGTGACGTTGGCTTTTGCAAGTCTGGTAGGAGACGGAAAGTATTCGAAATCAGCTAATGACTCGAATAGAGGTGGTTCCGGGGAAGCACTGATGGACACATGGATTTCGCGTCTTTTCTCGTTCTTGGTAAATTTGATAGCGTTCGTCATGAGGTTGATTAAGACTTGAGTCAACCTGCTGGAATCGAGCATGACACTGTCAACTTTCAAATCTCGGAAGGACTGTTTGATATCTAGGTTGAGACATATGGTATTCATTTGACATTCCCCTGCGAACATCTTTAGCCCGAGCTTCACCACCTCTACGGGCTTGGTAGAGACTGGTGTGATCACAAGAAGGTTTGAATCTAATTTGGAAATCGTCAAAACGTCATCGACGATTGACTTTTGGTGCTGAGCACAAAGTTGAATCGTTTCGGCGGCATCTATACCGTCCTTGATAATAGTCAAGATCTCCTCATCTAGATTTTCCTTTGCAGATTTGTATTGTTTTAAGGATGATGAGATGCCATCTGCACATTGGACAATAGCGCTGAGTGGATTGCGCATCTCATGACTTGTTATGTCAATAAACGAGTTTTGCTGCCTTCTTGTTTCTTCATAGTCTTTCAACCTTCGATCTTGAAGGTCCTCCGCCCACTTGATCCTTGAGATATCTGTACAGCCTTTTTTATGTCAGTGAGCCACCATTATAAATGCTAGGGGTGAACAAAGCTGTTCTCTTTAACCTATCATGTAGCTGTATGCGAACGAGATATTTCTTGTGCTGATTCTTTACATGACAAGAGAGAGATTGGAAATAAACATGACTTACAGCCCATCACATTCTTCAATTTCCCATGTTCGTCATTCTCTGCTGAGAATGTACCTAAAACCCAGCGCTGGATCGTGAGTGTAGTTCCGGCAATATCTCCAATCCATGGTTGTTTCATACGTGTTTCTGTCACGAAAGGAGTAGTGTTTTTGATCAACGATAGCCATTGCGACCTAAACTTTGGTTGGTCTAGCTCATCTATTGCAGCCATCCATGAGAAGGGCCTTCCAGGTAGTGCTTCATTATTTGGCAGGCCTGAAGTCTGAAACCACTGCTCATTTGCGTAAGTTAGTCTACCTTCAGGATCCAGAATCGCTAGGCCACCAGGAGCAAGATCACTGAATCGTCTGAAGTTTCGTTCAATTTCGTTAGCTTGATTGGTGCGAAGTAAAAGTTGTTCAGAGAGCTCTGCGCGATCCTCCATTTCTCTGGCAAACCTTTTTTGAAGTGTGATATCCGTACAGTATCCCATTATGCTTTTGATGCTTCCATCTGGAGAAAATTCATGCTGATAACTCGCCAAAATCCAATTATCAAACTCATCGCCCGTCACAGGATCGTACCATGGCTTGACGAGTTGCAGTTCACCAGACCACGGCTGATTACGAATGGTGAGTTTCTCCCAACCCTTCATCATTGTGGGGATGCTAGATGGAGCAATCGTATCCATCCAAGACAATTTAGCGGCAGTATCGCGGGGAAGATTCGTAATCTCGTAATAACGATCATTAGCTTCGAGTAGTATGCCATCAGAATCAACCGAGAACATTCCCACTGGCGAAACTTCAGCGATACGTTGGAGTCGACTTTTTTGAAAAGCCAACTCTTCAGATAATTTTATACGCTCGGCAGCAGCAATTTCCGCAGCATCAGTACCACGTCGAATCTCGTCCTGGAAAAGTGTGACTGAAGCTAAGGAGTTCGCCAATTGTCTGTTCAATATTTTAACAAATGATTCGTAGTTGGCGTCATACGGTCTCCGGGGGTTCACTCCAATTACCAGAAACCCCAAAGTACTTTCAGCATTGGTTGGTCTCAATGGCAATACCACAGCTTCTCGTGACGGCTCGCCACATCCTCTCCAGTTGTATCCTCGCGTCAGATCAACTGGGAGCACACTACTCGAAAGTGACAGTAAAGTTGGCTGGCGTGTTTTCATGGCTTCTCTCAACGCTGGCACGTATCCTCCTAGATGTCTTTTCAGATCAAGTCTACTTTGAGCTGATATGTGTCCCTCGGGAACACCCAACGAGCCTTCTAGAATAACAGATTTGATACTTGTAGAACTATCTGAAGAAATAGAACCTCGGGAGGATGTCGCATCATTTTCGACGTCGTCGAGCACTGAGTAAAGTAAAACAAATGGGAAGTCATATTCGTTCTCCACAAGGCCACCGAGGATCAATTGCCAGAAATCAGGCACAGATTGAGCAAGGGCTGTTTCTTCACTGACTTTCAGAAGTGTTTTCATCCTGCGATTGCTGACCACCTTTTCAGTTGTCTCAAAAGGGGCGTTGTAAACACCTAGAAGTTCAGGGGTGCTGCTGGCGTTCCATATCGGAGTTAAGGTCCAAGACTGCGGAAAACCATGGGGGTTAGTGGGATACTTTGATGAAGAAGCTTGGGAACGGGGCAAAAATAGGGCTCTTAAATAAGAAGCGTGTTTTTTGAAATACCTGGGTCCAAGCGGTGATAATTAAATGGCGTTACTTACATAAAACGTCTCCTCGACGAACCCCCGACGCTGTAAGGGCAACCTAATGATGCGGAGGTCAGTGTGTAATTATAAATCAAGCTACCGTATGGTGGGCTAAAGGTAGCAAGTAGTGTTAGACTTTGAAGATGTCACAAATATGCCAAGAATAGAGTGTTTGAAGGAAATACACGAAGATGTGCTTGAAACATGGCTCTCAGAATTTTCGTTACCCACAACAAAATGAAGGTAGGATGTGAAAATAACAAAGTCAAGAGCGAGGATTTAGTTCAATAGGGGGATTGTTGATAGTATGTGCTGTCCTTACATCTGATCTGCCATTGCGAGTCCCCTCCCTGTCCGTCGACATTCATTGAAGACTTCTCCGACCCTTTTGCAAGATGTTAGTATGAGATTTTAGGCGTATCAAAGAAAGTGGCAGGGTGAAAAGCCAAATTTTATCTGATCATATAATATTGAAAAGAGACTGCACCTACTGCTCCCACACTTCAGCAAATGGCCCTCTAGCGCCTGTACCCATCAGATGTGGATGCTTTTGACCAGCTACAGTCTCCGCATATGCTTGATTGTATAATACCGTTAATTCTTCGCCCCAGAAAATAGCAGCAGGATGGGGATTAGCCATCACCATGTTTACAATTTGACGAAACTCCGGCGTCCAACTATTCATTGGCCCTAAAGGTGTTGAAGACCAGTCGACACTTCGAGCGAAGGTAATGTGATCAGAGAGATAACCAAAAGGACACTCGACGGTCCAGTCCACAACAGGAGACTCTGTGGTCCAATCTGGGGGACTACTGGCAAGTTCACACATAATTGTATCTTCTTTTTGTGCGCCACTCGCTGGACTATTAAGATTGGATACTTGAACATCTTTCAAGGCCGCAATTGTCTTGTCGGAGAATGTAGTGCTGAAAGATCCCTTTTGGTTGTGAGGATAATTACTAAATACGAGATCTCGCAACTCATCATCAACCTTGTTACCACAAATCAAGACCCATCTCCTCCGAACAGTAAATCCAGACCAGAGGAACCCATTGTATGAAAATGGTTGGCCTTGAGACCTTTCACTGACTTGGTTTTGAATGAAATCCTTGATCAGAGATCTGAAGGTTGTGAAGGGAGGCTCTCCAGGATGATTCGTTGGAGAAGCCGACTCTTCAGAGTTCGATATGGCGATTGCCAGATAAGTATTAGATTTGAAAGCTTTGTTTGTATATACCGCCTCCAAGCTGTCTCCGAAGGCATTATGTCGCAGAAAATCGAATATCAAGGTGGGTTTAGGGTCGAAATCGAGAAAGTCTGTAAGACCTATTGTGTCGAGTTCTTCATATTCCTCCGGGGCATCATATTCTGAATCCAGTAAATCCTCCTCATTATCCCTGGATTTTAAATATTCGACGTCTCTGGAAGGCGATTGAGTGTGAGTTGGTGAGTCAGAAAGCATGAGTTTTTGGGCCTTTCTTGACCTTGATGACATCGAATGTTTGTGTATTCTTCAGAGGGTTCGCAGGTCCATCAGCACAAAGATGTTGAAGAATTACTTCCTCTGCCAACATCCAATTCGAATTTGTAGATGGAGGGGTATTTCGGCAGTGGGATATTTGTGGGTGTTTGGTGCGAGATAAAGAAAATAGCTAGCGTCTTAACATAATGGTGGGCGCTGGCGTTGGGTGGAGGTAGTGAGCGTATATATGGGAGATCTTTGAAGCGAAAATGTAAGTAAGTGAGCGTTGTCGATTTTGGCGGAGTGAATTGTCGAGGTATTTTGGTAAATTATTTCGAAAGTCGGTTTCGAGAGGTGGGAATCACTCGACGGGATGCAAAGAAAGACAGTTGAAAGAGTGAGTTGTTTTGGAGGGGATAAGAAAATGTGCAATCAACAGTACCAAGAGTGTATTTACACGGAGCAAACGAATGATAGATCAACCTTGGATGAAGGGATTCGAGTAGACTTGAAGCTTGTTTCTTCACTGTACGTACTCGAGTAGGTGGTATGAATGGAAAGAAAATGCATTCGGTGAATGAGTGAATGGATGGATGGATGGATGGATGGATGGATGGATGGATGGATGGATGGATGGATGGATGGGGTGAATGGATGAATGAATTGAATGAATTGAATGAATTGAATGCAGGTTGCAGGATCCTTGAATTGCTTCTTGAGACTTTTTCTCTTTTCTCTTCTGCTGTCAAAGATGGTTTGATGTATTTCGATCCTCTTTTGTTGTTATTGTAAGAGTGTATTCTGTATAAATAGATAACAATATCAAATCATACCACTTTTCTCTCTCTGTCGAGTGAGCAAGAATTGATTTCGATCACAATCATATGCTGAATTTTCAAAATTAAAAACTTCCCCGCCGTGGATCTTTTGGATCTGTTAGATCTTTCCTCAAAGGATTTGTTTAGCTTTCTCATGATTAACAGGGTGAGTTTGTTAATGGCTACCTTAATATTTCGACCAATCTAGACCCTAAGAGGTTTGAGGTAGTGTAACTGTGTCGCAGCGAATGAATCATTATTATTATACTTTTTATTATTTTACTTTCTCAAAGGTATAAGAGAGAATCGTGACTTCATCTATAAATAAAGTATAAAATCGTATTATAATAGCCCAAACTAACAAGAATACCCTTTCGTCAACAGTTCTCTCCATTATATAACGTTAAAGCTTAAAAGACGACCAAAAGTTCCATCTTCGCTTTTTATAGCTATCTACAGAGTCGCAAGAACCTCCATCTATATTCCTCAAGAAACATGCTGCTCAGTGCAGCCAAAAAGCACATCACACTCCACAATTAATCTACAGGAAAAATGGTAGCGACACATAAGTAAAGCCTGATATGGGTACTCTCTGGTCGTACAAATTGACCGAGGCTGGCTACCGAAGCCACAATACGCGATCCAACGCTACATCTTCCATCACCAACCATTTGAAGTGCCGGGACTGGAGCCCTAAGATCCTAACTATATGTTAAGTAAGTACCCTTGAGCAAAAGTGGATTTAATTATTATATTTGTACATTTTTACAACTTTTTTATATACATCTACCTATCTATATATGATCTAGACGATACTCCATACCATAGTCGCTCTAGATCTCGCAACTGATACGCTTTTTGATCTCGGTACTCATCCATTCATACCTCGAGTTATGAAACTAAATCATGAACTTTACGTACCTAGGTAGTACCAAATAAAATCATATCATAATTGCATTTTCGCACCACCCAAAATTGGCGTAACGGTTTATTCAACATCGCTCAGGCACATTTTAGGGATTACTATAAGAGACGCGCAAGCTACCTAGCTAGTGTCTATGTGCACACGGCACGACAACTAGCAATAGCACCTAGCGCTCATATGTCTCCTAAGTCTTACTTCGTATACACGTGAACATGGCGGCTGGGATAAGGGAGATATATAACCTCTTATAATCCTGGCATTTTTATTAATGAAGAAGTTTCTTTCCGTCCGTCAGCGCTTGATGCGGTTACATTTTGTGGTTGTGTTGGTGGGCGGATGCATATGGATGGATTGAGGGATAGACAAATAATGGAGGGTTGAATTAGAAGGTGCTGGGCATCAAAGATTATAATATTGCTACATATTGGGTATCTAGTAGATACCTAGAGATGAAAATCATTTGAAGGGGGAAAATTTAGGTAGTTCAAGCTCGAGATGATTAGTTTCATCAGGTGATGTCGTTGCAGCTACCTACCACTTTCCTTTCGTACGTCCTTCTATTTGTGTCTGCTTAATTTACCAACAACCTATGTGAAATGATTGTCTAATATCATCAGGTCATTCGACGTAATTGGCTTTTAGAAACGTAACTCAAACCAGAGTAATCTTCCCCATCACATTGATGAATCTTTAAGCAACCCGTATACATGTCCACGGCGCTGCATATCACTACGAGTCAGTCTCTCATATCAGCCTACTGAATCGGGACTCTTATATAGAGCACTCTAATCATATTTCCTTCTTCATCACTCCCGTATTCCTTCACACAGCGATATGAGGGGAGGTTGTCCCTGTAAATAATAACCAACGCTCATCATCAAATGCTCAAAATCATGAAATCACAGCTCAACCATAGACAAGCGGCCTGCAATGGCCGCCCTTCTTTCATTACCTCTTTGAAGTCCCTGACTACGACGGAATTTTAGGGTCCCGCGTCACTAATCCAATCGTCATCCACCTCAAGGCCACTCCTCCGCACCTCCAAACCCATCCCCCCTTCTGTCCTGGCATCATCCCCACCAAAATCCGCCTCTTTAATCTTCTCCTATTTTCTCGCTCCTACTCCAATCCCAGACACACAATACAATCCCAACACACATTACACACGACCCGATTTTACCTGTCGCACCAAACTTCATACTCCCCTCTTGCGAACATATCGACGCATTTATCTCAAAACCTACCATCTCCCCCATTTTCTATTCCTCGCGTATTCTGGCACACGTAGGATCCTCCTACCCCTACTCCTAACAACTACTTCTCACGTCTCCCGGATTATCAACTCGCGGTCATCAAATCGATTCATATACACGCCCACGCTACTGGGACGAAGCTTCATTCCCCCTTTTAACTGACCGGCCATTTCTCCAAAACATCACTTCTCTCAAAATAACAATTAAAAAGGGAGACTAGTGGTCGAATAGTCGAAATAAATCATTGGGCATAAATGCCTACAAGGGAAACGCAAATATCTCTCAAATGCGCGAAGATATGGAACGTTGCGGAAGAGGTGAACAACCAAATTGGCTTCCTGGGAAATGGGGAACTGCAATTCGCCATATATCAAAACTTGAGGTAACCTTATTCAAGATAGATTTCGAAACAAGCGAGGATAAGAGAGAGGAATTAACAGTGATTGTAGAATGAGAGTTTCTAATGGCAAAGAGGGGTGTACTGCTGAGTATGCGCAAAAGCGCAGATCCTCAAGCCCGAGAGCTTGGAGATGTAAATACATGGGAATGACAAAGTAAAAGGTTTATTGGAGTGATAACTGTCCGTACTGCGTTGCTCATCACTCCTGCCATCGAGGGGGGCCCACCAGCATGAGGAAGGTAAAAATGGGTATAAATCATAAATTCCAAGGGAGAAAGGAGTTGATTGACAGAGGAGAGGGGCCTGTGCTAGTGGTTATGGAACTGGAGTGGAAATTGAGGGCTCTTCTCGAGGAAGGAGAGGACTCTCGCGAAAATCGTTGAAGAGAAGGAATTTTTCAGACGATGAGCCGCGGACAGGGTGATGAAGATGGGGAGTTTTGAAGGAGTCAAAAGAGGGATGATGATTGAATAAAGGTTCTTGTTAGTTTATCAATGCGCATCGATGCTTTTGGTAATAAGTTTTCTAGGTAGAGCATATGATGAGGATGGGATGAGAATATACCCTGGGTAAAGAAAAGCATCTGATGGATGATGAACCTATTATACTAGATATAATAGAACGGTATCACAAATTGCATAAAGCATAATACTATAGAGGCTAATGAAGTTCAATGACACAAAATCTTACATTTCGCAACTCAAACAGCTTCGTCCCTTGAGTCACAGTCACAAACCAAAGGATCCAAAACGTCATTATTGAAACCAGAAATATACTACAGAAGTAACATGACATAACAATATTCCCTCCCATCACATTCCCAATAAAACCATACATACATATCTACAAACTTCTCCCCCCAACCAAACTCCCCCCTCGCTCACCCCCAACAATCACAAATCACGAATCACGAACACCCACTCCCAACCATGCCCTCCACACCCCCCTTAGCAATCATACTACAAGTACCCGTCGCACCCGCCGCCGTGACATTCTGCTGATACGCGACATGAAAGTCCTCAAACGCGATACCAGTACACGGATACACATTACTACAACTAATACTCGCTGTTCTATCACCCTTTGCACCGGTAAGATAGCCTGTAAAATTGCGGAATGTGACATCTGAGATGAAGAATTTGGAGGTACCGGTGAAAGAACCGTTGTTGCCGGAGTTTTCTGAGATGGCGGCACCGATGGCGGCGCCTTCTATGTGGAAGTTTTCGAAGAGGAGGGAGGTTACGTTGCCCCTGGTTTTGTTAGTGGGGTGTTGATTGGGATAGGGGCGAGGGGAAGAAGAAAGGAAGGGGAGAAGAAAGGGAATAATACCAGCCGTTGCCTTGGGCTTGTCCTGCACTTTCGTATCCGGATTGCGGAACTAGTGCTCCCACCCAGGTTTTGATGTATGCCGAGTTGTGCATGTCTAGGTTATAGCTGATGATGTTTACATCTTTTACTGTGACGTTGATCACGGATGAGTCTTCGACATATTGGCCCAGGGAACCGATGGCTATGCCGTTGCCGCCGTGGCATGTTACCTGTTTCACTTGATTAGTTATGTACTTGAGTTTGAAAAGGGCTTTGCGGAAGGAGAGGTACATTTTGAGCGTAAATATTGTAAGATCTAGGTTTAATTGCAATGCAATCATCACCTCCTTGGTAGTAAAAGTTGGTTAGTTTGATATTTTTGGCATCCATCGTATCAAAACCGTCGGTATTCTGCACCCAATTCGTTCCATATGGTGCATTTACAGCGGTGTTGTTGACGAGTATATCTTTGAACAACATGTTGGTACCATTCATGATATTTATTGCCCAGAGAGGGGAATCTTTTATAGAGACTTTATATTTAGAGGTATCTGTTAGCTGGCTAACCTTTTTATAGGAAGAATATGAAAGGGGAGATGAGACATACATCGCTCAACGGAAACTTCACTAACGTTCCAGAAAACAAAAGGCATAGGGCGTCGGGGCTGCGTGTCTGCCTTCTCGACATTATACCAGGCATTTCCATTCCCATTGATACCACCACTGCCTTTCCCGCTGATTTGTATACGATCTCCTGTAAAAACAATTCCGGCAGCGTGATTTTGGAAAGCGACGGGGTAAGAATTATCGCGCCAGTACGTGAGATTATCCGACAACTGTCCATTCATTAACATTCTGCATACAGTTGGGGAAGCAGGCCAAACGTACAGTCCAAGTACCTTGCCAATCAATCGTCACATCGTCAATGACCGGATTCATCCTCGTTGCTATCCAGTATACCTGATTTTTGGGGAATACAACGGTACCGCCATGATTGCAGTTTGAAAATGCTTTGAGAATTTGAGGGGTATCGTCTTTCTGGTTTCCAAGGGGGAGGACAGTACAAGTCTTCCTCTGATGGTTGCGCGGAAGGACGGGAATAACATCATGGCCTCGATTTCCTTCCGCAGCTATGAAAGTGGAGAAGAGTGCTATTGCGGTGGTGATGATGGGACGCATACTGGACGAGAGGAAAAGTAGTATAATATATGAACTCGGAATCTAAATTCTTGACACTTCAATATATACAGGAGAAATAAGAAAAACACCTTCAAACTCGTAGATCCAGTAACACCAAACGAGAAGGATTCTGCAATGAAGGCATATTGGAAATATATACACACATTTCCCCCAATACCGATGATTGCATTTTGCATTCATCCGCGGCAATTCACCGCTCTCATTCCCAAAAATAACACAAACCAGGTCCCAATTGGAGGTAAAATAACTTTCAGGAAACTTAACCACACATACGAGCTTTCCCCATGTTTACTAGCGTGGAAGAGGATCTTCAAGATGATGGGGTTTCGGCGGTATGATACACCGAATGTGGGGTTGCTTATCATCCGACAAATGATGTCGTTTTTGAGATATGGGATATGAGATAGGAGATATGAGTGAGATATTGAAGCTATTCCCAGATGTGAGAAACCACTGATTGTAGGTTTGAAGAATGAAGTTTGATGGCGCCAGGTGAATTGACGGTACTAAAATCGGTGCTTAGGTAGATATGGAAGGAAAGACTACAAATACTGGTTTTGGTGAAATACACGCACATGAAGCGATTACAATCACCCCACCCACCATAAGCTTCGATAGCTCAAATACATGAGCTGCTTTCTATCAATGCGTCATCAACTTTCACATGGAACAGCAAGCCCACTGCCATTACTCAAGGATCTCGCCACTTTATTCAAAAGCTGCATATACATACATCTCAACCGTCAACAACTTAACAGGAAAATCATTCAAAATAGCTTCTCAAGCCTCTACACGTCTTTTGCGTCTCGCTCGCACAATGTCTACATCAACAACCACGCCAGCATCCATTGGTCCCGCCCCATGGCGCCCTCTCTTTCTATCCCATCTCTCAAAGATGGATTCACCAGAATTCGTTCTCTCATCATTGCACCCAAGTAACGATAAGGATTCTCCAACTCCCTATCTTCCCCGAGCTCGCTACTGTATTTACAGAGGGATGTGGGCTGAGCTTCCAGAGAACAAACGCAATGAAGCTCCTTTGAACGATCGAGTCTACGAGAGTGATCTCCCAACTTTCACTACAGATGTGCGGATGGAGAAGGTTCCGGAGATATTTGCCAGTTCGCAGGGTCATGGTGAGGTTGAACAGAGTCAGGGTAGTGGAGGTGGTGGACCTATTGAGGCGGTATTTTGGGTCAAGGAGGTTATGACACAATGGAGAATCAAGGGTGAAGCATATACCGTTGGTCAAGACATCGAAGGAACGGGTCAAGAATCAAGTGGAACACGAACTGTGAAGACGAAGATCGGAGAGAGAATGAGAGTTGTGAAGGAAGATGGAAAAGAGAATTGGAGCTGGGATAAGGAACTCACGGCACATTTTGGCAACCTGAGTCCGGGGATGAGAGGTAAAGTTTAAATGGCAATCAGATGAACTGTCCGACTAATTTTTGATCTATAGGCAGCTTCAAGAATCCCATCCCTGGAACTCCTGTTTCGCAACTCCGAAGCGATCCTAAGTGGGCTTTGGGTCAAAAGGTATCAGATCTAAACGATGAAGCTGCCAGAAAGAATTTCAGGGTTGTCATTATCAAACCCATTGAAGTCGAACAACTTGATTTGACTGAACCTGACAAAGCAAGAAGATGGAGGTTCACTTACATTGGCCCCAATGGAGATGCGGGAGAGGGAGCGGAGAAGATTGGCGAATGGAAGAAAGAAGAGCTTTGGCCATAAATTAATTAGATCTTCGATTCAGCAATGATACATACTACTAGCATGACTCTGCCGCAATAAAATATTCCAAATCCAGCTTCCTTTTCTTTTTGAGTTTCACAATGCAAAGTCCTTGAAAATTCCCATTGTCTAAACGCACCTATGGTTGGGTAAAAAACCTCACAAAATAGCGGTAAGTTCGTCATGTCATGTATTATATGAACTCCAATTGTCGTGATCAACTAACCCCATACAGTACATTTAGGTACATTTACCAACATTTTCACCCACACCCCATCGAACACTTCAGCCGTTTTCTAATTCATGCATAAGAAAAGAGTAATGGCGGCCGTTTTTCTGCATGAAGCACGTGTGACAAGGAACGGGAAGAGCTAAAAAGTCTCAGCTAAAAAAATTCTTGCCCTTCCCCTGTCGGCCTGTCCTGGTCAATATGACTAAATGGACTAAATTGACTAAATGCCACGAGATGAAGTGCTTCTAGTTGAATTCTCGAATTGGCTCACCGTCTGGAAAAAGGTGCGGGATATGGTGGGATCAATTTACCCGAGCCTCGAGGAGCTATGAGAGATGATGGGAAGCCCTATATTAGTAGAGACTTAAGGGTCTGTTGAAGGGAGGAGAAATTTTTTAAATGTCCAACAGTTTGAAGGGTTTGATGGTTTGATGGTTTGATTATGGAGTACTCGGTAGGCATTTGGTGGCAATTGTTTATTGTAAGTGTATGTTCCACAAACTCGCATGAAAGCCGAGGTATTTTCTAGCAGTGCGGTGGTTGTGATTTATTTTCCGCGCAAGATCTAAGGTTCCGAGGGGTTGCTTCGTAAATATCGTGATGCGTATGGATAGAGGATGTAAGCAGGGTTCCGAGTTGAAAAAACAACAAATTCTCATTCTAGGGATGCAGTATAAGACGAAGAAGGGAAGAGGAGGCTGGGATGGGATCTGTAGGACCTATCAGATGGTTGGATTCGTAGTTCAAAGAAAATCTTCTCGTTGACATTGACACGGCAGCAATGTTTGAATATCAGTTCCTTTGAAGGGAGATAGATGGCTGATTGCAAGGACTTGGGACCTATCAGGATTTTGAGATTCATACTATGGATATCAAGAGGGAAATCACATCTCCTTCATCTGGCACCGCAGCAGCAACAACAACAACAACAACAACAACAACGGTATCAGTATCAGTTATTCTGCACCTGCCCGATGTATATAAAATTACATCGCATCTGAATCTATGTTGCTGTAAAGCTACCGACGACATGGTCGAAATGAGAAAAGTGCCGTGTTTTCTCAAAGAATAACCGCTCGGTGATCTACTTTGCTCTTGTTGCATGTTATTACGTGTTCTGTAACTCCTTTGATATCGATTTTCCCATTTTCGTATCCCCAATGACTTTTTCATATGCACTGTGAATATTGAACACGATTCAAAGTGACGGTTCAGGGAAGAGTGTGCTTCTGAACGGATAGAGCCGTCGGTGCCCTCCAATTATAAACCATCCATCATACGGTTTCTTTTTTCTTTGCAGGAGGTGCTGGTGCACCTCCGATTTGTTTCAATATTGTGGGTTAATTAAGGGTATAATAAAAATGAGGTTGATAATTCGCTTGTTGGTCGATGAAAATGAAGGGGTCCACCAGATCCGAAGAATCCCTGAATGTCATTAGCGTACGATATGCTAGGGTTGTACGCCATTCCATTGAAGGCAGCTTGTCTACCTCATTCATCCATCCACACCACACTCAAAGTCTGCATCGAGTTGAAAAAACTAAAATAAAATAATATAATATAATACCGCTCTTTAATTGTTTTTTATCACCCTATGTAAGGTTACATGTAAGTTTACGGCAGTTTCATGCAATATAACTCTTATAGATATAGGTCGGTACGCGCAGTCTCTTACAATCAATCGCCTGTTCAAACCTGCAGGTAATAGTGAGCACTCAATTATTTTGATCCGAGATATACGTTGGATAACTCCATATATCCTTCATTCGCAGATCACGCTCTTGGTTAATAAGTCTGCCAGGTCTTGCAATTGGAGTAAACTGATCAGAATTACTTTACTTCAACCTCCTATCCTCTGCGCGAAGAGTCGTACGCATTGTCCAACTATTCATTTTCGTACTATTCTCCTTATGACGCAGTGACGATGGTACTAGTATTATGACCATCCATTGACTACTTGACTACCTCGAAGCTTTTAACATTCCATTCGAACAAATCACTACTCTACCGCGATCACTATACTCCGAATAACACTATCTGCTAGCAATATACCACTCATATCAGACCGCTCTTAACTTATCTTTATCCATATTCACCATGCCGATATTTTCAACATTGGAGGCATTGACAAACCTCACTCAAGCCATACCGGATTGGAACAAACGACTAGACGACCTAAACAGTCAAATAGCATTACGACAAATCGAGCTTGCACGATTGGTAGACACCAAACCCGCACGCTCCTTGAAGAATAAAGGTTCCACCGAATCACTACGACCAAAAGATGGAGAGGAGATCATCAACGAAGCCCAAGACACCATAGAGAAGTCCTCACCTCTTACCGATTCCCCTAAATCGGCCCAAAATGGGACTCCCACAACAGTACGGCCCAATTCCCCATCAGTAGCTCGAGCTGCTGCTGCCGCCGCTCTCGAATACAACCAATCCTCATCCGAACCACAACCACAAGCCGAATCGCCCAAGCCCCTTACTCCGCGAGCATCACCCACCGCCTTAAATCGACAATCATCCCAACCGACTCCTCAAACTGAACCACTACCACGCGCTCCGGCCATCCTGCGGAAACGAAAAACCGAATCCCTCGCATCAGGAACTTCTCAAGCCCCGAGATACCGAACCAGATCAATGATAATAGTATACTACGACAGCGCAGTGCAAACCGCCTTTGAAGAACTCGTCAAATTCGTAAGTGGGAATCGAAATGCTATGAGGAAGGGGAAAATGGCAGCTAAAATGGCGGAAATGAGACGAGCTGCGGAGATGGAAGCCGAGGAGGAAAGCGACGATGAATCCGAATCCGAGGCTTCAAAAGCTCTAGGCAGTGCATTGCCCAAACCTTCGTTGCATCACCAAGTTGCTTCGCAAGAAACATCGAACCGGGTACAGCTAAATGGGGGAGATACTGGAGCAGGAACGAAACTAAAATTCACATCGACGAGAAACATGGGTGCGTCTCGCGATCGCATGACGGTTGGAAATACCATGAATGTGCTACGAGGATACCGACGAGCTGGCGCAGGAGGAATCGGAGGAAGCGCCACGGATATATTTGACGAACTAGACAAGGGGCTCGAATGGTGTCAAGGTCAATGCGAACACGCTGCTCACCAATTCCTACGCGACGGAGAATGCAGTACTGAAATCGAGAATATCAAAAAGAGACTTGCGGAAGTGCGAGATATTGCCGAGCAGAAGATGGGAAAATTGAGGATGGAGCAAGAATTGGAAAAAAAGGATGAAGTTTCTAATTCGATGTCTTTGGAGGAGGATTCACATACCAATGGAACGAAATTCATACCGGCAATAGCTCCGATTCAAGATGGACCTGTCGTGTTGGAGGTTGATGATAATATGGAAGTGGATGATGAAGAAGATGATAATGATATTTTTGATCCGAGAAAATTGATCTTTAAGCGCTCAGGGGATGTCGCGTACTGAATATTTTAGTACATCCATATATCTTGGATAGCAGCATAGCATCAAGGCTTCCATTCCCTTGACTTTACTGAAAATCTAAAATCTCGGAATTATCGTTTTGGAGTCGGGATCTGGGATTGATGATGTGACTCTTTGAATGATGGGTGAGGATTGGTTCTACATGGGGATTATACGGCGTGGAAAATAAAGTGCAGAGGTATATATATATATATATATATACATGCATGCAAATATTGGCATTTCTTAGGGTTCACAGCATATAGATCTATGGTTTAGACGATGGGTATTTGAGTGGTATGGAGGGAATTACCAGATGGTGTGACGGATGAGATGAGTATAGTCATTGATTTTGATTTTGATTAGCATGGGGATGGATGGGGATGGAAAAGTATTTTGCATTATATGGGAATGGGATGGAGGTGGATATATTTAAATACTATATAACTCAATAATGTCAATTATCATATCTTATCATATCATTTCACTTTTCATCTTATGTTATGCACAAGTAGATTTTGATAGCATAGAGCACGGCAACGCTCAATCATCTATACCTATTTATGTATATAGATCGTTCATGGAATCTTGCACGGGGTCTGTTTCTAGCTACGTGACTTTCCGTTTCTCCCTCTGAGAAACTTCCATCTAAGCCTAAGCCATCTATTTTCCACTTGCCATCGATTTTACGCTTCGCAGTTGCGCCGCGTTACTTGTACCATCTATCTAATGATAGCTCCAGCCAAAGACTTAACCTTGCAAACACCACCACTCTCAGTGACCAATTTTCCAACGCCAGTCTTAGCATCCTCTCCTTCTTTACTCAACTCCTTCACAACACCCGCATCAAACGCAGCTTCTAAATCGGTAGTTGTAGTGAAACCCGGCTGGATCATCTCCCAAACCTTCTTCTTTGGGTTCAAAACTCCCTCAGGCTCACCCTTCCAGCCCTCAAAAAAGACGCGTTCACCAGCCTTGGCTTCGGCTGGTGGAGTAACAAGTTCAACTGGCCCGGCGTGGTGATCTTCTTCTCCTTCTTTTAATTTAGGAGATGCGGCAAGGACCATGGCGCATGATTTGATACCGCGCATCTTAACGGGTTTCAGATTGCAGACGACTACTACTTTACGACCTTGCATTTCTTCGAGGGGAACGAGACCATTGAGACCTGAGCAGACTGTTCGGACAACCTGTCCTTCGTACTCAGATGTATCATCTGTTCCGGGTTTGTCGCCCATAGCAATAGTGGAGACAAATAGAGAGTCGGCTTCTGGATGCTTGATAGCTTTTAAGATATGACCCACACGGAGATCAATCAAACATGGAGAAAGAGGAGCAGTTGGAGCAGGAGCCTTTTGAGGTTTTGGAGCCTTCTCCTTCTTCTCCTTCTTTTGCTTGGGTTGTTGTGCTTGTTCGCCTGTCACAGCTGCAACAACTGTATCTTTTACCTCTGCAACCTTCTCAGCAACTTGTGCGATAACTCCCTTATCACCCTTCTCCTTAGTTCGATCTGCCAATTCTTTTTGTTCACCTCCTGCTGCAGCGGCAGCAGCAGCAGCTTTCTCCTTCTTCAAACGCTCCTTCTCGGCCTTAGCATCAACAGGAGGCTTTACATATAAAATCTCCTCCGGATCAACTTTGACTTTCTTTTCCTCCCCAACATTCAAACCAAAGATAGGCGAATTCTGCACAAAATCCACATGGCGCACAATATTTGGATGACCCTTTTCCCCCGTTCGCTCCTCACTACTCCATTTCGCGACCTGAGGCGCCAAACTCTCGTAAATAGCAATATCGGCAGCAGAGGGCTTGGAACCAAGAAGCGTTGTCCGCGATGCTAAATGGGTGTTTAGGGAATCGAGGAGGGATTGAGTTTCAGGGCTGGAGGTCTTCAGACGCTCTGAAGTGAGGGTCCATTGTTTGAGCTCGGTTTCCTCGGCGGGAGTATATTTGATGGAGGAGAATGTGGCCATGGTTCTGAAAAATCTAGTGTTTGCCCTGGTGATGGCGCGGGTGATGAGGCGTGGGGAATACAGTTTGATGGTTAGGGGTTTGGAGGGGTTGAGATGGATGGATGTTTGTTGTGTTTGTTTTGTTTGTTTATTTTTGAGTCATCAATCAAAATTTCTGTTTTACCCCACCATTCTTTATCTCTCTCCTTCACTTCATTTCATACTTGACTTCAACTCCATGAAGTGGAGCATACTTTAACATTTATCCATATATGAATTAACTTTTTGAGATTTAAAACTCTACAAATTTGGGCTTCGACCAATTTTCCTTATAGGACTAGAGAATGCTACAATTCTACTTCCCAGCAGCACGATTAAATAAAGCAAGCGAGCTTTTAAATTGGTACCCCTCATTATTCGGCTAGCATTATACTAGTATATTGCTGTATCAGGAACAGTTTCCATTCACAATACTCCTAGAATATAAGGAGAGCATACTATTCATTGCTATTCATTGAACAAGTGTTCACTCTTCTACCACACAACAGTGAAGGTGCGAAAACATTTCTAGTGTGAGGGTATCAAACACCCGTACATCTTTTGATCCGATATTAGTACTGCGTTTTTATCATAGTGAATTGTAACAGTCAGCCCATTGATTTTGTATTCCAACAAAGGGAGAAACGATAAGCTATCTTCATTCTTTAAACCCCATTTTCAATTCGAAGATAAAAATAATTGGAAAAATCGAATGCTTTTTCTATTCCGAATATGTTACTAACAAGCCCCATCCTTTCCTGAACCACCATACCCTATGAGACATCTATGTATATTCATTGATACACCCATACTCATTTCAATCCTTGATAATGATCCTAGTATAACAAGAACAAAGCAAGCCAAAAACTCCTACGCTGAATACATACTCCTGTTCCCGCTCCGGACATGTCATTATGACCATGACCACGACCACCCCTGCGAAAACCCGAAAGAATTCTTTCTCGACTCCATACGGTTGTTGTCATATCATATAAAAACACTTCTAGCGATCACGAGAACCGCTCGTCATCCCCAAAAGCCATTAGCGCCCCTTTCATTCCCCGCACCCGCGTTACCCCCTCCATCCCCAGAATTCGTGTTGTGATTATGATAAAATGGATCCTCCGTCGCGTCGCCTACATCACCACTCAAGCTATGACTATTAATATGACCATGCCCGTGCCCAGGAGCACTAACACCAATACCTCCACCCATCCAGTTCTCAAAACCAACTGCTAAACTCACTTGATCCTGCAACCACCAATCCTGACTCTGAACTAACTGCTCCACACCCCCAAACATCGTGCTCGGGCTAACATGTCTATTTCCACTAGTCAATGGACTGTTGTTACTTCTAGAAGCGCCATTTGCGATACTGGGACTGAAAGATTGGGCTGGATGGGTATAAATTGTATGAGCGGGGTGATATGCAGAGACGGGTGACACATGTGTAGAATATGAAATAGGATCTGGATGATCTCGTTGTACCGACACGATATTATGGAGTCCGGTGAGTGAAGACTCTGTTGATATATCGTTCATCAAGTTATTAGTAAGTGGGACTTTTGAATCGGTAGGATAGCTATAGAGACTCTTTTGTAAGTGGCTTTGATTCCTTGCAAGTGATTGTGGATGCGGAGATGTCTGGAAATGAGCAGGCGATGATGCTGATGATGGGGTGTGTACTATTACTTCTGCTTTTGGTGATGGAACATCGGCTGTCGAGAAGTGCCCAAACCTGCTATCAGTACGGGAGAATATAGCAGATGCTTCCGCCGGAAGATCGATATTCCATTTCCGAGCCAACACGGAGAGTATTGAGAGAGTGCGACGTGCGCAGAGCCAATCATCGGCAATTTCCTCGAGATGCTTTACTCCGTGGATTATGTCTCTCTTCGCAGTCTTTTCAGGAAGATTTAGGAGGTGAATCGTACAAGCAGAGTGAACAATATAGACTGCTATATTGCATATTTGTCGAAGCCCATATATGCGCTTGTAAAGGCGCATCAATTTGGATATTGAACTAGCTGCTTGCGTGCAAAGTTTTCGAGGAGATACATGTGTCGGTAAAGGTGATGTACTTGGATTGTATTTGAGGAAAGGACGGAACAAGTGGATATAGAGGAGATGAAAGAACATGCTATTTCAAATCAGTATTGAATACACTGGATACAGTAGGGAACACATACTGCATTAGAAGGACATTAGGTAATTGTCCTTCCTTCGGTTCAAATTCCTTTGGTAAATCTCTTTTCCAAGCCTCGAGTCTCGTTTGTAACTCGCTAAGCTTCTTCAGCTCCTGAGATCTTCCAACACCCCTTTCCACACGTTGCGGGTGATAGAAAAATGTAAGAAGATCACTACTAATTTCACAGAGACCGGAAATTTGTAAAGCTACAGCTCTTGTCCTTGATGGTTGGGAATGTAATTGGCCTATTCCATTATCTGTGTAGGGTGACCAAATTTCATCATCGTCGAATTTTTTTACGTCATATTTGGGGACCGTAATCTCAGTCACCGATAGCTGAGGAAGTCTACCTAAGTAATTCGAAAAACATTTATCGAACAGAAAGCTATTGGGAAAATTTAGCTAATGTCTCTCAATTTGATTTTCAGAGGCAAAGTGAGAAATTAAAGCTGTGGGCGCAAAAAGAGAGATTGAGATAGAGCAACAAATCAGATGTGACAAAGGATGTACTGAAGCGATTAGACAAACATACCAGCCCCAAAATGTGACTCTTCTGACATCAATCTCCTTCTCATCAATAGGACATTCGTTTGTATTGCTTTTACTGATTCCAGGATCCAGATGAAGACCCATATCTTGAGCCATTCGGAATGCCATTCCAGAGTAAACCCACCCCTTGCCTTCTCGCCCTCCGCCAGCCTCACGAACCGACATAAGGCTAAGCGATGTTAGAAACGCATATAGAAGCGCGTGATGATATCTCACCAAAGTGCTTGTATCGTGGTCAATCTTGGCTTTTCGTACTCATCGTTTTCAAAAATCAGTCGTTTAGCTTCCGCGAAATAATGATCACCTTTAGTTGCTGTATCTCCTGGATCAGCACAAGCTTGGGGGGAATTTGTAAAATGACACCCCAGAGCCAGCATAGCATTAACCTGGAGAAGTGAGAAGATGTTGAATAGAGAGTTGAATCTTCACTAACCAATAATGATGAACAGTACGTTGTTCTTTTTGGGTTGCCTGGAGGTTTGCCCTAAATCCAGAAACCATTAGACTTGTTTCGAGAAACACGGTCCCAGGGAAGAGGAAATGAGCGCAAGTAGGCAAGCAAGTTGAAAATCATGGACAGGAGTAGGCATACCAAAAGGAAGTCTTGATAAAATCTGGTGACACCAAGAAGTCAGTAATTCCTGGAACAAAACGAGGAAGTAATAAGGATTTGAAAGGAGTGAGGTGTGGATCGAGGAGTATGAAAAAGAAAACCTTACAGAGATTTGCTCAATGTCGTAAAGTATGGATAATGCCATGTGAAATACATATTAATCAAATGCACGATAACCTCTGTATCGTTCGTAACTGTAGTCCACGACAAGAGAGGTTCTTCTTGTTGAGTAGTTTCTGACGCATCCCCATCCTCAACGTCTGCTGCATCAAGATAGATCAAATTTGAGGTGCCACCCAAAAACCTCACCGATCCATTTTCCAATCTCAATTCACCCATCTTTCCCGACAACTGACTCTCGAAATTCGGCAAATTATTTGTCGTATATGATGTGTTATCGTAAACATCATCATCTCCCTCTTCGAGTGCTTGCTCTTGCTTCAAAATGTTCTCTGCTACATCATCGAGACTCTCGCACGTCCGAATTTGGCGAACCAGATCTAGTACATCCTCCTCGGCGGCATTCAATATCGCTTGTATCAAAGTTTGTAAGGTGGAATTCCGGGTCTTGAGACTATCAATCTTGTCTTTGTATACCCCTTTCCTTCTATGGTCCGATAATGGATCGTATACACATTCTGTTGATCCAAAATGTCAGCTCAGGAACCCAACTAGGTTTGAATGTCCAATGGGCATTGGATCAATATAAGATATCAGATGAGCATACCAGTCCCATATACACTTGAGCAGGCTGCGCAACTTGGCGTATTCCCATCGCATTTGGACTTGCGTTTCCTACATGCGACGCAAGCTGTGGAAACACACCTCCTCTTCATCGCGGCTATATCTCTACTACTCCTCGGCCTTTTGTTCGGGACTGGACTATCCCTATCAATGGTAGCAATACTCTCATGATCCGGTTTGATTCTGATATCAGTCAATGAGGACGACGTCCCTCCATGCATATGACCCGCATCCCGTACGTCAGCCATCCGGGGGAGAGGGGCACGATCCTCAGTTTATGCTCTGACGTTACCCGGTATCGAACCCGCGGATGGGGTTGATGCGGTGTACAGTGGTGCGGTGCGCTGCGCTGCGCTGCGGGTCTCCAGCCGATAGACACTGCTTATCAGATAAGTATTTGCACACGCGCGGCTCCAAGTCCTCGGGGAATTAAGAACAAGAGAGAACCCTACCAAGCACCACTACCAAGACTTTTGAAGCTGTAAGCAGTTATAGTGTGAGACCAATGTGCTATCGTAAGCAGAGTTGTTTTCCTCTCTCTACCAAATATGCTCGGATCCTTATCAATATTCTGGCTCCACGTTCCATGGAATATTTAGCCGTGATCAACAATGAAGGAAGAGAGTTCTCCTTCGAACAGTTTTCCTGGAGGTTGAAGTAACGAATTTTCGAAGATAACTCCATATGGTCTATGAAGCGCGATGCTTAAGGAAAAGAAGGGCAAGAACGTTGCTTGCCATTAATATTTTGGACGAATCGTCAAGCTGATTGGTTCGAGATTGGATGCGGAGGGTGGAGAAAATTTAACCCTTCTTACGTATTTGGGGAAATTTCTAATACATCGATTTGATTGGTCAAAGTAAATATCACTGATTGGATCTAATGAAATTCCCCCTCTTCTTGTTCAGCATTTTTATATACAGGTAATCATTCGACTTTACTTATCTAAATGTTACATCAATAATACTTTTCCTATTTCAATGTTCATTTTACTCAATATTGAGTTTTGGCAAATAAAAAATTTAACTCTCCCCATTAATCAGAATGGATGCTATTTAATGTAAGATTACCCACTACCAGCTCGCCGTCGTAGTTTCTCAATTGGCGAGCCATCGTTGTCTCATTTTCATCAACATCCTCCCTGAACCTCGTGCTTTGTAAAGCCTGCCTGCCATCTATCAGTATATCACTGTTGCTCCTGCTTGTCAGCACTAATGGAGGAGGCATCATTTCCATTTTGTGCTACGCTTCTTGGTCCCCGTGCCTAACCTTCTATGATGGCCTTATGATAATCATTTGTTGATAGCTTGTCAAACACACTTCCAAGCCGCGTTTCTAACTATATAAGCCTCCGTATCTCTCCTACAAAGGCTGGCAAAGGAATTCGAGCACTTTATTGTCACAACGCTATTTAAGCATTCAGAAACAACGTGCACACAGTATTATTTTCTTTCAATGACAATCGTATTACTATTTCTATGTACTCATTAAGTTTACCCGCAAAAGGGGTATTTTACGTCGCCGTTTGACCTTGAAAACCCCCAGTAACCCCGCATTATTCATGCATGCCATTTTTCGCTCACTCGTACGATCGCGCTCAACAAACAAGAACTCAGCACCACGCATCCTCCTCACACTCGCACTCGTATATTTTTGTGTTTCTCTTATCCAGCTGCAAATGTACTCCTCGTGCGAAGCTTCTCGCCATACATCCACAACAAGATGGGAGCCGGCCATCCCAACCCAATCGCAATAAATCCAAGCAAACTATTGCCCCACCCATAATCTAACGCTGCGTACATGTATGGTGCAAACAATGGGAATCCGAAGCCAGCCAAACTTCTCATGACGGTCGCTGCACCTACAGCACTTGCAGCGTATTTGGTGTAGGAGTCGACAATGTACGTTTGAATGCATTGAAATCCAATGATAGTTCCTGCTGCGAAGATTGCCGCTCCAATATTTGGCACTATCCAGTGAGTTTGGGCTTGAGCACTCCATCCGTACCAGAAGAGCCCGACTGGCACAAGTAAAGCACCAGGAATCATTAGAGGAACTCGAAATTCGGGCTTCCCGACCCCATTGTTACGTGCTTTTAGGGCCCGATAAATCCTGTCTTGTGCGGGAGCACATATCTGCGTACCTAGAAAGAAACCAGTCCCCAAAGATATGTAGTTCAGTCCACCGATTGCAGTACTTTCGCCGTATACGCCTTCCCACAGTCCCGGAAATGTAGAGAGTACGAGATACATTATACCATAGAGGTAAGCCATATATACAGCCAACACCTGTATAATCACTTGTGTTCCTAAATCCGAGAGTCAGTACAGGAAAAGATTTGAGGCGAAGATGTTCCGCGGGAGTCTAAGCATAGTGATTTCACTACAAGACCATTGCCCTTTATATGAGCAACGATCTTTTGAGGAAGATGCTTTCTTCCTCAGCAAGCCCTCAACAAGTTGTTTATCTTTGAGAATTTGCAATGCCTGTGTGGAAGGTGTACCGGAATATTAACAACAAAGGATTTAATGGAACGCTTAAGCATACCAAGTAATTTGAATGGTCGCGTTAAACTAATCTTGATGGTCGTAGTAATGGTTCGGTTTGGTACATCCCATTCTGTGTGAAGATCTTGATTTCCTGTTTCCTGGATAAGCTTGTTCTTCTTGCGTCCCAGTAAAACGGGCGCAAACGTTTCTTGAAGAAAGAATAATCCTATGGTTTGAATGACTGCATCAGCTATAGTTGTAGCATAAAATACCCATCTCCACGTAGTATTCTCAGCTATAAACCCGCCTGCTATTGGTCCTATTGCCGGCCCTAGCAGTGGAGCGAGGGAGTATACAGAGATTGCTTTGCCACGTTCTTCGGCCGTGAATAAATCACTGAGCACTCCACCTCCAAGAGCCAAAGGCGCGGAGCCGCCTAGACCGGCCAGAAATCGGAAAGCAATCAGTTGTCCCTTAGTATGCGCCAGACCACAACCGAGGTTGAAAAACAAGTATATGAGGTTACTTATTTGCACTACAATGACTCGTCCAAACATTTCACTTAGGGGACCAAGGAATAGTGGGCCTACTTTAGTGTTAGTGGCTGTCCATAGTTGGGACAATAGAATTGACTTACCAACAGCATAAGCCAGGACGAAAATAGACAGCACCAAACTCTGCTCTATGGAATTCACAATATGTAAATCTGAAGATATCGAAGCAAGGGCTGGTGCTACCATGGAGGAGGAAACAGGGGATATAAAGGTAAAACTCGACACTACCAATACAGCAGCCCATTTACGTCCGATTTTCCAATTCTTAGGGTTCTCTGGATCATCCGGTCCTTCCCAGGTAACTAGGTTTAAATCTCTAACACTTTTCAAGCTCTTTCGGGTCTTTTCTCTGCCCAACTCAACATCCCTCTCAACCTCGATACCATCTATAACTTCTGGGGATATAGTAGAAACACCATCGGTATCAGTATCTTCTGAATCAACAGTAGAAACGTGCTCCGTCTCTTGATCTGTTATTCCTTGAGAGTCACTAGGATGTCCGGTATAGTACGATGTGTCATCAAGGTGATTTCCAGATAAACATCGATTCAGCCCAGGTGACGAATCGGGTCTTGATGCACCTGACTTGCGTGTCTCTTGCCTTGTTATTGAATCTATCATTTTTGACATAGACACACTCGTAGTGTTTTCGAAATCCCTGGTGCGTATCTGTTGCTGTAATCTCTTCAATAGTTTATTGTGGCGAAAAAGAAATCATCAAACCAAAACGAGGAAGTATTAGGTTAATAAATATCAATAGGAGAAAGGCCTCATAAGTCATATGAGACTCCAAATGAAAAACGAAGTGTAATAGTAAAGGATTTCAAAATGGAGGACCTACCGGAACCTTTAATATAGGAAATATACTTACTCCCCGCTTTCTTCACACTTGATAGGAGATTGGAGATGTGTAATAAGATGCCGATTGACCGCTCTCTAACCAATTTTCAAACACGAAATGGTGTTAGGCATTTAGGCAGGGTAAACTGGGTTCTTTTCCCTCCACTGCTGTCTTCACGAACGGATATCGGCACGTCGACAAGCCTTAGCAAGCGGTAAACAAAATTCCATTATTAGTCATGTGATCAATGTCGGCGACACAGGTCTTAATTCCGTTTCTGGATAGCAAAAATTTAGCCTCGGAGTTTAAATTAAGATGTGGCGTGGTGGATCGTGACGAGCAGCAAGTAGGAAGTCGCCTAGGGGGCAAGGGTAATGGCAATTGTAGATATGCTTCGAAGATACGCACTGGTCGTCTGAAGAAGGTTATCGATCGCATGTTCAACCCTGTCGCTGTCATTACGTGAATGCATGCAGTGGGTCGCAAATAGGAATCAACGGGTTAAGGAACACCGCGAGGGACGAACTATCGGTAGAAGATCAAGGCCTATGAGTACGTCAGCTTAAGCTCCAAGATTTCCGCTGCAATGCTGAAGCTTGGTAATCGCTTGCATCAATGACCCGCAATTCACTCAATGATAGAAGATGATGTTAGTCAAAACTTCTTTCGGATGCTAGAGACTGATCATTGTGGTCTGACAAGCCGTCAATTCTGACACTCACTCTCTAAGATTAAATGCCTAGATATTGTGATCTATTTCGTGCATGACGGCCAGTTAGAGCTCGTTATGAGATTCGTATCCACAGTAAAGATTTGTCGGCCGTCCCTTGTGCAAATCATGCTACACTTGGCATCGTCGAAGCTTTTGTAGCCGCATGTCAATAATGTTCACAGACTTGAGAATGATATACTTGAATGTTCAAATAGAGTTGAACTAGTAGGTACCAGTGTGTGTGACTACAAATAGACTCTGCCATTCTGCCGAAAGGCGGTAGACATCCCGCATTTCGTTTGGAGAACTTTCAGTACCTACCTAGATGGCCAACCTTAAATCTTGCTACACCAAATTCTAACACTCACTCCAATCATGGCAGAAGAACCTTCTCAGCCCACATCTCTGATTCGAGATTTCAAATTTGATCGTCTACTGAATCAAGGTATTCCTCAACATCCAGTCTGCTTCCTTTACGCATCCCACCTCTAACTAGCCTCCCCATAAAGATCAAGCAGGCCGCCGTTCTGTTCTCTGCGGTCACATCAATTCCAAGCCATGTGTTTTAATCCTCGAACGCGCTCCATTTCCCACTTCCTCAACTTATCTGTCATCCCTTCCATCCACTCTCGAATCCCTTGAGAATCTCGGCGCAAACGATATTTACTTTTGGTATTTGGCCAATAATGGCCCTTCACAAACCACCGAACCTACAGATCTCAAGATCAATCTCATATATCCATGCACGGAACAGCACATTAAGAAATATAGCGAGCAGGGAGTTCGTATGGTCACCGAAACACCAAAAATTTACAGCGAGAAGATACGCCCATACATGCAAGCGAAACGAGATGGAGGTAGATTAAATTGGATATACAACATAATAGACGGAAAGACCGAAGTGGAAGATGTTATATATAGAACTCCGAAAGGTCGAGATGGGGATGAGGGGTTCCTTTTATTACCAGATCTCAATTGGGATCGAAAAACGATGGAAGGCCTTCATTTGCTAGGACTGGTAGAGAGGAGAGATATATGGAGCTTGCGAGATTTGAAGAAGAAACACATAAAATGGTTGAGACATATGAGACAAAAGTTTGTGGAGGCTACGGTGAAATCATACGAAGGATTGGAGGAGGATCAGTTGAAGTTGTATGTTCATTATCAACCGACCTACTATCATTTCCATGTGCATATTGTACATGTTGCACTGGAGGCTGGTGCAACACAAGCGACTGGAAAAGCGATCGGATTGGAGAGTGTAATCGAGCAATTGGAGACGATGGAGGGCAACGAAGAAACGGGGATGGATAAAGTGTCCTTGAAATACACTGTTGGAGAAGCGACTGAGTTATGGACGGATATATTCAAGCCTATCAAGACTGGTTGTACAGTTTCTCCACGGCAAGAATAAGATCGTTTACTTCCGACCCTCCAGGGCAATCCGTCCACTTTCTTCCGTCACGTACACAAAATATTTCTTCGTTGAGTCTGACCGTGCAAGATTTTGTGACACCGGCCTACAATTGTCGATTAGCATGAGTCTTTCTAGTATGACTTGACACTCTGTTTCTACACATACCTCAATGCTCCTTCTGACACTATCCCTCAACATTCCCATACCATACCCTCCATCATCCTGCGCTGTACACTCATTGAGCTTGTTGAAATCCATTCCATGCTCTAATGCGCAATCCTCCACCAAACTTCTTTCCGGGATATCTTTATAATCTCTGGTTAAACACATGGTAAAGCCAAGGTAAATTTTTGGGTCGGGATATAGGCTCGCAGCACATAATTCGAGAATATTGCCCATGCATTCTTGCGGCCCATGTTTACAGGCTACTCCATCATTGTCTGTAGGCCTGCGAAAGATTATCCGTTAGCTTTTTAATGCGGACCTTGGAGGCTCATGGATGAAACTTACGCGCCAATAAATGAGAGTGTGAAGTTAACTTTATCATATACCCTCTGCATAGCTGGTAATACCATCATCTTCAAACAATCCTAGATTTAGTTAGATGTGCTATCAATCTAGCAGATAGCTAAACGAACCTGTGCATCGGGACATTTCTACAGATAAGAAGTCAGTAAAAGCCTGATAAGGGGGTATTTAAAAGGAAATAAGAAGTTAAGCTGTATTGAAGAATAACAGGAGTAGATATAAGCTTACACTCATTATATGCGCTTCCAACGGTACGAGTTTATGATCCGATATAGATACAATATCCGCCACAGGTTTCATTTCCGTAGATTGCAGCTTCATACCACATCCCATAAACAACTGATGGAGATTCGCGGTCCAAAGGAAATATAATAGAGCAACCGTTAGAGCTCCAAAAGCTAGAGGTCTAGCCCGTCGCGGCGGTGGTCCTGTTAGCATTCTTTCCGCTTTCTCGTTATCCATATTCTGATATTCCAAATTTGTATTGATCGTCGGTAAGGAATCCTTCATTTTGATGGATCCATAAAGTACTGATAAATATAATGAAGTTGTTGAAGCTTTTAAACGCTGAGGGAGCTTGAGATAAAGGTTCGGGATATGTCTGGCTAAATGCCGAGCCATCCATATACCGAGTTATCTGATCCCATATCTGATCGGCTGACCTAAGCAGTCATTCGCGAAAAGGAGTCAATAGCTGATCCTCCTTCTTTCTGCCTCATGTGTCTAATTTCTGAAAATGTCCAAGAAATTATTTTATTATTTCATTGTTTCCTTATTCACCTAGATCATCTAGATGGTTCATCTATAATATTATCATGTTAAACTTTGAACCACTAACATCAAAATAAAGATCATCTCATTCACTACTCCATATATAAACATATCATATTGAGTCTACTCGGGCCGAGACTTTCTTATTCACTGTCCTTCAATATGGCACTACCGAGATATACGGCTTTATCCTCATCTTCTTAAACTTTCTTAAAGTATTTGTCTATAAAATAGATCTGATTCTGTTCTTGATAAACATCAAAATCAACAATTACGCAACATACAAGTCTTTTCATCAATACCGTCCATCCCATCTCACATTTTGAGCTCGCTTATCATTATGACTTCAGATTCACCAATCACTTTGTTCCTTCAACCTTTGGATGTTGACATAAATAAGATTCATGCACTAGCTAGGAGTCTTTGTGAGACATTTAAGAAGTTGGCAAAGGAATCTACAAATCAGTTTTTGCAAACTCCTATCTCTGAAGAAGTGTTAAGACCAGAGAAAGAGAAGGAGGGAAGATATTTGGCAGTCGATATGTGAGTTCACAAAGATCAGACTGAAAGAATCCTGAAACTGACATACAACAGCGGAGGTTCAAATTTGAGAGCTGGATTTATTGAGCTTTCCGGATCGTCTACTGAAGGTGGTGTGATATTGCCAGGTGAAATTAATAGACTTCTTGAGAAGTCATGGCAAATTGGTGAAGATCACAAATCGAATAATGCATATGAGCTATTCGTATGGATTGGAAAATGTATTGCGGAAGTTGTTCAGGATGGAGTCGATAAATGGGGTTTACAGCTGCCTTCTGAATTACCGATGGGCGTGACCATGAGTTTCCCAATGATGTTTGATATCCCCTTTCCTGTCTTTATGGAACGATCACTAACATTTGAACAGCCAAAAATCATTGTCAGAAGCAATCTTGATGTCTATGGGCAAGGGATTTGCTATAACCTCAAATCTGAATCTTGGCCAGCAGCTTCTAAAAGGCTACGAAATATCATCCAAGCCCCATCTTCCCCGCATCAAAATAACCGCCATAGTGAATGATTCCGTGGCAACTCTAATATCATTCGCCCATCAACATCGACATACACTGCATCAAAAGCCCTCCATGGGCCTAATCGTCGGTACTGGCTGCAATGCCACTATACCCCTCTCAATATCCAAGCTCCATTCCACCAAACAACCCTCTGCTATCCTCAAATCCGAGGACCACAAACAAAACGACACCAAGATCATCATTAACACAGAATGGTCTATCAACGGCACCGCTCCTCCCCTCAGCGCCCTTAACTTCATCACAAAATGGGACACTATTCTCGACGCCAACAGCGAAGCCCCAGGTTTCATGCCCTTCGAATACATGACTGGCGGCAAATACCTCGGTGAACTAGGCCGTCTCATAATCTTCGACTATTTCACCACCCAACTCCAGCTACCCGTGGAGACAATCCCTCTTGTTCTCCGCAAACGCAATGCACTGGATGCAAGTGTTCTTGCCAAAGTAGGAAGAGAAGACCAACTATGTCAACCACTCGATCTCGCAATGCCATTCCCAGTAGATCCAAACACCGGCAAACAAAAAAAATGGACACCCGAAATGGCAGACATCATAGTGCAAGTAGCAAAAACCATCCAAAAACGCGCAGCAGGCATGCTAGCAGCCGCAATAATCGGACTCCTAACCACAGCCAACGAAATCCATCTGTCCTCGTCAAGCTCCCGACCCAACTCCTCCTCCAACACAAGCTCCTCAGAAGCTTCCCAACCCACCAAATCTACGCAACCCTCCGACAACATCACAGAACTCTTCGTAGGTTACACCGGCTCCTGCATCTCCCATTTCCAGGACTACCTTGCAGATTGCCAAGCATACCTCGACGATATCATGCGCAAGGAACATGGTCCCGATAAGGGCGGAAAGAGAATCGTGCTTGAAGCTTGTATGTACGGTAGTATTATTGGAGCGGGGATTTTGGCGGGGACGGTAGAGGGTATGGAGGAGGAAAAGAAAAAGTGTGGTTGAGGATGCGGCGGAGGGAGTGGTGGGCTAGTTTGTAGAATTTTGTGATTTTCCCTGTGAGGTTCCGGCGGGAATGAGAATGAGAATGAGAATCAGAGCGAGAAAGAAGATGCGGGGAGGGTTTGCTTTGAGCTAAGAAATGCATGGTGAGCATGAATATGAGCATGAGCATGAGCATGATACGAGCATTTGCGTAGGTATTTACACAAACAGGGGATACTCGCACACATATCCGGATATGTGGAGCTAGATATGACATGAAATGAGATGAGATGAGACATGAGAATAACGACCAGCACACGAACACTTTACAATAAATAGGTAGACGGAAAGAAAGAAGGGTAAACAAACATAGATATACACAAACCCTAAACAATTCATATCACTTACATATATACTCGAACTCAAACTCGTGCACAATTTCAAAACAAGTTGATCTTATAATATAAAAAAAATATGAAAAAAATATGGGGATATCATAAATTGATTGCATTTATATGCCTTGGCTTGCTCGCTATACTTATACTCGGCTTCAAATTTTCTAAGCCTAAACTGTAATCTTAAATTATTCATGTCCATGTCGTTCATTAAAGACAATGTCTCCATATAATACAAATTTCTCATTTTCAGCCTAGGCCTCAATGAAACCCATTTAAGCCATCAGTCAAGTCAGTCAACTCCTCTTTCCTTTGTTTGTATAGCTCTTGGGCTTCTCTCTCACGCTTGGAAACAAATCCCACTCTCTCCCTTAAATCTTCCAATCTCCTCGATATGGCTACATCCTCCGAGATCTGTAACGTTTTAAAGGCATCTAAAGAATAAGTAGCTTTCGATAGAGCATCAGCCGCTTCGCCGATTTTTTGGCGTAACACTTTGGCTCTTTGCTGATAACCGCCTAGATGGAGGGCGAGTTTCTTTTCGGATTTGTTACCTTTTTCAGCGGCGGCTACGATTGATTCTTGAATATTCTGGGGATTGGTTAGTGATTGAGGGAACGCATTTAGGAAACGGTGCTTACATCAAAAGCATCTAGAAGCATTTGATGCTCATCAATCTCGTCATCGGAATCGTATCCGCTTAATCCAGGTAATAATGAGGATTTATGGGCGTTATCCCATGCCGCTCTAAAAGCATCCGATCCTTGCTCTACTAAATCTTTAGGAACTTCCATCAGTAGCTGTAATCGTGCTTGCGAAAGTGCATCATCCTCGAACACTTCAATAGCTTGTGAGGTACCCTTGACTTTAGCTCCAGGCGTGGGATACTTGAGAGCGTCATTTGCAATCAATAAAGCTGCTTCTCTTTGAATAGAACCTTCAATCGTATCTTCAATATTCGCCACAGTTTTCATTAATGCGTTGATATCAATGACCGATGGACGAGGTAACCCCTTTTGTAAGACTTGTGTCCGTCTTCTGAATTCTAACTGTTCTTGAGCTTCTCGAATTTGGCGATTCCGCCTGTCCCTTAGCTCTGCATCTTCCTCGGATAATTCTTGGATACCAAAGTTTTCTTGTTGCTCTTCAGGTAGTTCTAACTCCCATTCGGTATCCTTTGGCTTTGGCAAAGACGCTAAACCAGCTCTCAATGAATTTTTAAGTGTCATATCCCTTAATTTGATATCTTGAGGTGTCCTTCCAACCAACTCCATCTCGCCATCTGCATTTAATGCAAAAGTATCTCGAGGAGTTCGCATTGGCGTGGCTCCTACACCATTTCTCGCGGGAGTTGCACCAATACCATTTGCACGGAAAGGGGTTGCCATAGGATTAGGTGTTTCCATTTGTTGCCTTCGAGGAGTAACCCCATCAAACCCTGTGCTACCAGGACCTTCGTGTAGGGGTGTATTTTCTCCTCCTAGGAGTGATGATTGCGTCTCAGTCAGAGCTCTAATATTTCGGATTTCGTTGGCGATGTGATCCTCCTGTGCTGGAGCTCGCGGGGTTCGAATCGGAGCTCCACTATTGATAGTAGAGTAAGTATTCACAAGCCCTCTTGTTGCATCATTCTCGCTCGACCTCGCCATTATGTTTGCCCTCTCTCCTATCATACCCATTTTTACAATTTCTTCAAGCTCCCCTTCACCAACCTGAGGTGCTGGCAACACTAGAGCCCGCCTCTTACTACTTTGCTCTGCCTCTCGAATCTTCTGCATTTGACCAGCTTTTATGGCTGCTTGATATGATGCTGATGGCGCATTTTTGTCACTCTTTTGTCGTTTTGGGTCCTGATTATCATCTTGGTCGCCTTTGCGCTTGATCGCAAGTTGTTGTTTTCGTGGGTCGAAAGCTGCTCTCTGCTTTTCATTTTGTATGGATTCATCACCAGTATCATAAAATCCAGGAGCGGGCGCTTTTTCGAAAGGTATGTCGGCATTGTAGTCCATCATTCCCTTCTTTCGATTTACAACCTTGATATTAATGCCGGCATTTTTAAGCTCTCTGCGCTTTTGTAACACGGCCAACCTCCTCGACTCTTCCAATTGACGTTCACGAGCTTTCCTCTTCGCCTTTTTACCCTGTGTATTTGCCAAACGAGCACGAGCTTCGCTCAACATTTCCTTTTCGTCCTCATCTAAATCGACAGTATCTGGTCTCGCAGGTTTCGATTCCGGATCTGGATCGACTTCTCCGGGTCGCAATCTTCGTACATCATCCGCAGATGGTGCTTTGGTCTCTCCGCCATCGGGTCCACCAAGTCCAAGCTCTCCAGCTTCTTTTTGTTCCGCTTCATCGAGTAATTTCTGATATCTTTCGAGGCACTGAGTAGCTGTTCGTCCAACGATAGGAGCAATAGTTCGCCATTGTGTTGGCATCAATTTTGCCAAATGTAACAATTTTTCATCCTCTTCCTTGCTCCATTCAATTTTACGAATTCCTGGATCCAACCATTCGCTCCATCTTGCTTTACATTGCTTCGGTGTCTTTCTTGCGAGAAGTGAGGAAACCCGAGCCCATTGATTCAACCCATACTTCGAAACACTTGCTTTTAGAATTTCATCTTCAATGTTAGTCCAAACTCCACCTTTGACGACAGGCATTATGGCGTCTGAAGATGTTTATTTTGTCTTGCCTTTTCTCTGGTAAATGTTGATGCGCCTGGAAGCTTGAGTCGCGAGAAATAAATCTTGGGACCTTGACAATCACTAGCGTGAAGGTTCACGGCGTATTGCAATCACGTGATACTATGCTACCCAACCTCGCTGATCTCACCTGGAAGACATGTAGCATCGCCAGGTCAAACTATGTTTGTTCAGGAGTGGTGATACGCAATTTGCATAATCGTAATCTAGTGTCTTCATGTTCTTCCTCGGAGCAAACGGAAACATTTCTTTTTCGCATCGGCATGCCATTACCGATAATTATTACTCGATAGGAATCCAGATCTAAGTGTCTAGAAAATCTTTCTCCCTTGATTCAAGCCAAGCTACAGGCAGAAATATTTCACATCCAGTATGAGGTCACAAGAATTATCTTCCAAGAACATTGATTGCATTGCCAAGTCAAAAGAGGCTGAAGCTTATATTTGTAAAAGTAACGGTACGGAACTGCATTACAAATTTTGATCAAAAATCTCCCTCTCTTTCTGTATTGCAAAACGAGTGTAGCAGTGAGCCAAGGTCCAAGCATAAAATGAACATCCAAAGCAAACCCAATGATTCCAGATAATATTTCAAAACTTATGCGGGCGTCGGGGAGCAAACAAAAGCCGTAGTAGTGGTTGGCACATCTGCTTCCACCGTTGTTGTAAATCTCACAGCAGGACCAACGCCGCCAATTAGCTGGACGCTTAAAGCACCGCAACCCGCGCAGTCTACACTGCTAGTGGCTGTAATGGTAGATAGGAAGAGAGTCCTCGTAGGCCCATGGGTAAACTGTTTCAATTGGCTCAAGGTAGATGTGCATGGAATGATGGGACCCCCTTGTCTCTTGGTTGGGGGCAATTGAGGACCACCTGGGTTGTAGGATAGCGGTGCTGCACCTTCAGTGACAGTCACCGTCGTCAGATCCGTGGCACATCCTGTTTGGCATTTTGCGCATGCGCCAGGGACGGTTATGGTCGGAGTTGCGCGGCAGCAGCTGGTGCTGGGTGGAACGGTTATAGTTGTTGTTGACAGAAGGATACATAGGGGAACTTAACTTTTTGTTAGATTTGGGGGATTTCACATTTGTGATTGGTTTTACATACCGGGTCCACAGGTGGCAGGGTTGAAAGATTTTGTTCCCGAGCAAGCTATCGTATTATTAGTTCGCTGAAACTACTTGAGAAAAGTTTGATAACATACGGAAGGAGCTTTGAATGGTGGTAATTGTACGGGTATAGCAAGAATGAGGGACTGTCTTGACTGTTGAGATGGTACTAATGTATGAAGTGGTTATCAAGCTTGGAGCACATGTTTCGGAACGATGACGAAGGGCGTCTGGAAGACAGTAGACGTTTTGCCTAAGGGCAATGTAAGTATCTATACGCTTTGGTAGTGGAGAAGGAACTCAAGGACTGCTTACACTGCAGTCAACAAAAGAAGACCGATTGTATAAAGGTGATTCATGTTGGAAGTCTTGTTCTAGAGTTTATTGCGTAAAGGCTATCTGGATTGATAGGGACATATTGCAGAGAAGATGAGAGGGTATATAAATATACATATACAACATCAGCTTCGTTCCTTCCACGAATCATCCCTCGCTACTTCGCGGAATGGATCATCGCATTCACAAACTCAACGTCGGAACATAACACACAACGGGGAAACAGACTTACGTATCAGGCTTTTATTTTGTGAGCTATGTCGTCAGCTGAAGAATCTCGTAAGATCTTGCCATTTGTGTCATGAGATCTTCACACTGCTTACGCGAATTAATTCTCGTATTCCAACTGTATTGTGTAACACCAAGACCACCCTCAAGGGTTGTCATCATAGTACGCTAGACTTATGAACTATAGGGAAACACGATTCGTGGTATGGAGGCTCAACTTGCGAAGCAATAAATACTCAACAATAAAACTTCAAACCGGAGATTTCTCCATTGAATGTGGTTAATACTTTTTTAGTCTTGTCTGTTCTATATAATTCCTTTATATAAAGCCTCAAACTTTAGCTTACACGTTAATCATACATTATCAGCCATTTCATTAGTCTTCAACGCCTTTTTTTAATGCAACCGTTTCGCCGTGCTAAAATAGAATTCACCGAGGAATCCAATCCAGAATGCCAAAATTTGTACCCCACAAGCCTGCTCCAGGAATGCAGCCGAGACCCGAAATACCAGAAGAAAACAAATCCACATCAGTTGCCTCAATCAAGAGAAGAAGTATTGACTTTGCTTAAGGCGTGTCACATCGAAAGCCCCCTGTATCACAGTTAATCTTCAGCTAGCGTTATAGTTAGAGTTTGCTTACCTTCTTAGGAACGGGGGCGAACTTCAGTGGAAGCCAAACCAACTGAGGGAGCTCACTGCGGAGATGCCGCTGAACCTTCGGCTTCATTGTTGCTTCAAAACCCGATGTTTGTACTATCGCTGATTCTACCTCTTCTGAAATTTCCTCTGCTGCCTCCAATTCAATGGCTGGGTTGTCTTCTAGAGCTTCTTCCAAAGCTTCATCTGTGGCGCCAGTATCCCATGTGCTGACAGTATCATGCTCTGTGGCTGACTTCGAGTTGACCATATTTCCTAAACCCACGGTTTGAACATCTAATTCCGGATCAAGCTCGACCTCTTCCGTCATTGCTTCGTATATACTGGCTGATGTAACCATGCGATTACCTTCTTCTACATCCTCCGGGTTGGATGAACGAAGAAGACGCCTCCTCTCCACCTCCATCAATAACTCGTGGATCTTTCCTCTCTTGGATGGCTTGAGCGATTTGCGATATTGAGAAATTTTACGATGTGCTAGTGTTCCCGCCTTGACTTTTACAAGTTGCATGTAATCCTTGTACCGAGTAGCCATCTCTGCTGCCAAGCGTCCAATGACATCGTCGCTGTGTATTTCGATGAAAGCATCTCTCAAGATTGTATTCATTGTATCAACATCAGCGGCATGCGTCCAAAACGAATCGTGGACAGCAGCAAACGATAAATTTGCTTGGTTGGATTTCACTGCTGAGAGAAGCATATGCGTTGCATCAAGGGAGTGAATGAAATTTGGTGGAAATCCTTGAAGTTGTTTACGACTGCTCACGGGATCCGACCGATGTGGTTCAGCTAAGCTGAGAAGTTGGAGGCTCGTGCGTACTAGCCGTGATTTGTTGGTTCGGTAAGGTTGAACCACTGGCAGGTTCAATGGTGTAGTCCAGATGACACTTGATTTGAATTGAGAAATCTCATCTAATTTTGATGCGCCGCCCTTAGAAGGGCGTGCACTTTGCTTGGAGGCATGTTCAACTATGCGGTTAACTTGCTCAGGTGTCAAGCTACTTGAGACTCGAGACGCACAATCTCCGAGCCAATACTGAATATCGTGCGCTCCTCGAAACATGGTCGACAGAGCGGTAAAGATTTTGGTGACGACATAAGAAGCTAGAGTGCCGGGATTGTCTTCGGTATTATCTGGCAAATCCCTATGAGCTGCCACAAGTTGCTTCCGAACCTGCGCCTTAGCTCCAATGAAGGTTACGCCATAGACATTAGTCATAACAGTTTGTTTAACAACCTTTCGAGTTATTTTGCCATCCAAAATTTTGGCTTTGGAATGCCCGTCAAGCAAATCTTTCTTGATGCTTTCCTTTACCAGATCTGCGACCGCAGTATATACATCCGCCGGGCGATCACCAGGCTCGAGATTTACTTGCTGGGCGCCCCATACATCACCGCCTAAGGCTGCATAATGTTGAAGGCCATTACAAGTTCCATCCTGGTGAACCGGTAGATATGAGACAAAGCTAGCTGGATCTCCAGATTCAAGCGCGTTCTTGAATTCCATGCATGCTGCTAAGCATTGCCACGGATCTTCAGCCTGTAGCCACCATCTATCGCCTCCCATTGGGTTCGTCGCCGAGTCATAAATTTCGTCAATGTGTTTGCTTGCGAACTCTTCTCTCTCTGAAAGACTTGCTTTATCAAAACCATAAACGTTGGCGAGGTGAACCTTGAGCCACTTTAGACCAGAAGTGCCAAGTTTCTTCCCAACTCCAAATATCATAAGTCCTCTACAATGATCTGCTCCCATGTGATTAAGGTATGGAGGAATTGGATATGCTCTTCCTCGAAAATCCACGTTATGTGGGAAGTAGAAGGTTTTATCGCGGAGAGCTCTAGCGATTTCTAGTTGGAAGTTTTGGAAACAGCGTTGGGAATGAAAACCTGCTTTGGCATTCTCTACTTTCTTAACTGCAGTGACCCATCTTCGGCGTTCGAGTGGATCGGAAGACGTTTCGGGCTCGGGGGGATATTCGAGTCTTGGCTTATCCGGAGCAAGATTCGCAATGGCGTCCCCGGAATTCCAGGCCTCTAGCATAACATCAAAAACTGGCTGGTTGATTTTCCACGATTGCTCTCCTAGTATATTGAGGCCTTTGAAAATCGTATTCAATTTCCCCTGATCAATAGCAGCATCCGCATAATTCCTTTGATCTTGGTCCCCATTCTTGACGCGCATGACTTTTCCAGGGTGTCTAAGGAAGCCACCGGAACTGAACCCAGTCCATGGCTCGGGTTTTACAAGCATGGGAAGATGTTTTGCAAGAAGACTGTGAACAGGCTCGCGCTTAAGTAGTTCTACAATGGCTTTATTAGCATTGATAACACCAAGCTTTTTACCCAATCTGTATTGCTGGCCATGAGAGAAGGCAGGCTGCATCTGAGTAACCGTCTCATTGGTTTCAGGGTGTTTCAATGTGACCGGAACTTTAGCGACCTTCAACAAAGTTTCCAATAAGAAAGATCCAACTCTAGCTCTAATTCCGATGGACCACTCCTTGGTCCGAATCTGAGATAAAATAAATTCTTCAGATGAATGGTTTGTAGAGTCGTTTTCATCAATCGATTCCCCACTACCACCACGTGCTCTGCTTTTGAGTATTCGGAGCATTCGAGCCCTGTCGGCTGGGCTATCGCGCCAAAGGGGCTTCGCCTTGTTTTGCTGGATGGATTCAAAGATGCTCTCATCTTCTACGCTTTTGGCGATTTGCAAGATGGCAAATGACAGAGTAAGACCTTTGTCGATCCCTGACGATGATAAAGCATGCATATGGCTTATAATTGTCAGCGCTGAAAGCTTTTCAGCAGGAAGGTAACGTAAAAAGGGCCCATATTCGCATCTACTGATATCTGCCGCGTTTCTGTGCTGCTTCCCTTCTGCCTCATCAATGGCTTTCAGTTCTTCTTCCAAAGCTGCTGTCAAAGCTAATTGCCATCTCCACATCCTCGCACCCAGTGATTTCGATTGTAGTGTTGTATTTAATCCTAGCCTTGCCAGATTCGAGCTTTCATCTCTCCAACGATCTATGGCAGCCTGTACAGCATCTTCTTCCAGCTGTGACTGGATATCGCGGTGCTGTTCCTCGGTCATTTTTGACATATCAAATCCTGCAGATGGTAAACTGGAAAACAGCGACAACGTTTTCCTCAGTGACTTTAGTCCGAGACCCTTTTGATCGGTTTGACGAACTTCTGGAACTGAAGCGATTGTTTTTTCAGGGTAATGTAGAACTCCATCAGAAGGGTCTACCGCTCTGGATTCTAGTGCCTCGGAGACAAAGATATCCTTCATGTCTCCAAGCCCCTCCGCCAGGTTGTACTTTGGGCAGATATGGTTGATAATGTCCAATTCGTGGGGTGACAAAACATTACATGCGAGAACTTCTAAACCTGCATCCCCTTGAACCATATCCATATATCTTGATACCAGTCTATCGCGTCGTTGACCAGGAGGTGATTGAAGTGAAGCTTTGAGCATATATGCCACTGTCAAGGCATCTTGTGGTAGATTTTTATTTCGTACTTCGAGTTCGAACCACTTGTGAAGAGATTGCGTTGCTTGTTCCGATGGTTTCATCATGATTTCATGGACTGCAACTCCTAGGTAACGATTTTGTAGATATAGAACTGTCTCCCTATCCACGTCTTCCATTTGTGCTATACGTTTGAATATCACTTTTGCACGCTCTATCCTTCCAACCTGGAGACAAGCATAAAGTAATGCTATAACTTCATCTTGAGTACCACCAATCGCATCAACGCCACTACGTCGATGTCTTATAGGAGCTATTACTCCATCATCCGGAATTATAATTGGCTTTTGAAGTTCGGGCAAACTGAATGGGAACGACGTGTAATTGTGCGGTGATAGATTGTGCAACCCCTCAAAGGGAAGTTCCTCGAATGACTGATTTACAGCTGTTGCTAATGACCGTGATGGAAGTTTTGTAGAGTTTGCTCTTGAGTTTCGCCTTTGTCGAAGGCCAGTCGCTTGGGACCCCGAGTCAACATGAATTTTGCGGCCTGAGACAGCTTCGTTCAAATTACTGCTTGGATATAGAAAAGAAAGATATGTCTGTTGACGTTTAAGCCTGTCAACAATTGGGTTGCCACGAGCTTTCCGCCCTGCAGCTCGTACAAGCATTTTTTATGTATAGGCAGGTAAAATCGAAAGAGGGGACCAGAGCTGTTTATAAAATGAGATTGGAACAAGAAATTGGTAGAAAGATATGTTTAAACATAAAACGACAAAATGAAAGTGCTCATAGTCAGTACGATTCGCGAATAGTAAAAGTAAAGTAAATGTCTAATGCTTGCGGAGTGTAAAGATCTATGGAGAAGTTTGAAGGCAAAATTGACATATTTTTTCTTCTTCTGGGCTGGGCCGGTAACAAATGGATAAGCAAAAATGAGTGCAGGGATCATCTTTATCAATGTCCAATCAACACCAGTAGCCAGACTTTAGCCTTGCACATGGGTCGATCAGCTTCAGCCTTGTGTCAATCGATCAGGACCCAATCATCTTAACCGCGACTATTACGGATCAGTCTTGTTGAACATCTTCAATTTATTTACCATTAAATTTAACTCATGTCATGTCTTGATATGGCTCATTCTCCTATTATATATAGAGGATAGGGAACTAAATAGTTGAATATATAATAATCACTACAATACTGATTTTATTATAAATTGTCTGTAACGATCTGGTCGAGGCAGCGGCTGCCTGAGGTTTCGTAAGGTTGGTAGTTGTAGGTTAAGGCTAATAATCACTGATTATCCACTCGAAGGTGAATACGTTACTAGATCAATTGGAATGTAGGTAAACTAATTGATAACTAAGTTGAGCACGAAGCTCCTAAACTATGAAACTATTCTTGACTATATACTCATCCCTTCCTTGTGTGCTAGCTATGCTAGCTGGCTAGCAGAGCTAGCATATCACGTGATTGAGGATCAGACTATATGTCCGAGCTTGCTGAAAGTGGGGAGACCATATGAAGCGGTTGCCATACAAATTTGTATACAAATTGCTTTGCTTTTTAAGGAGGTCCAAGCTCGTAAGGACAGGTTAACTGTTACCCCGTAACACTCTATAAAATGATTTCGTGACACTTTTGTATTATTTTTGCTTTGTATTGAATTAAGTGATTTTAAATCAATTGAAAAAGCTCATTAGATATAAATATTGACAGATGCAAGGGTTTCTGTGATGCAATTGCTATAAACTGCTGGAAAACCAGGGTTCAATTGTTCCTTAGAATCTATAATTAGTGATTGAAAGATCGATAACCTGGGAGAGGCTACATATACTAGGTAATTACAGGTATGTAATGCACGTGTTATACATGGTAGCCGCGCGGGGTCATTGCTGATGCCACTGGTGCTCGCTAAACTTGCCCCAAAAAAAACCCCATCTACCTCGCAATGCAATTGCAAATCTCAATCCTTCATAGCTCAGCACCGATTGATCATTGTCTGCCATCAATTTGTCAAAATGGTTGTCAGCAAAGCTATCAGAGCTACCGGATGCGCTTCATGTCGTTTATCCTTATTAAAGAATCTTATATCACTCCCAATCCGGACTGTTCCAGCAACTGGGAGATTCCACGCGACTAAACTTGCGAGGCAACAAACCCGCTTTTCATCTCATATACGGCCAAGTGAACAGGAGGAAGCTTCCAAGCATGAGGTTTATTTCGAAAACAAAGAGTTCTTAGACGAGGACAAAGCAGGTAGGGAGGAAGTCAAGAACGAAGTTTCTCAGTTTGAGGATTTTCCGGAAGATCGAGACCTTTTAGATGAGAGCAACGCAATTGGGGAAGACGTTGAGAACTCAGTTACTTCTGTACCATGGTACCTGCAAGTCGAAGCTCCTCAGCTAACACCAAGAACTCTTTCCGAACGTCAAATAATTCCAGATCTACCAGAATCGCCGCCTCCAATTCTTCAACCTATGCTCCAACAGCTCTCCGTCGATTTAGGTCTTGATGATCTTACACTACTAGATCTTCGAAAACTTGACCCTCCACCTGCACTGGGAGCAAATTTGATAATGCTTATTGGAACTGCACGAAGTGAAAAGCATTTACACGTCTCCGCGGATCGACTATGTCGATGGTTGAGAAGTACATATAAGTTACGTCCAAGCGCAGATGGATTATTGGGAAGAAATGAATTGAAATTGAAATTAAGACGCAAATCACGGAGAGCTAAGCTTTTAGGCAGTGCGGCTGACGATAATGGCGATGATGGGATAAGAACAGGTTGGGTTTGCGTTGATATTGGTGTGGTTGAGAGCCCAGATATGCATGCGAATGCTATTCCTGAGGGCGATGGGTTCGTGGGTTTTGGAAGACGGACCGATGGAGTTAGGGTTGTCGTTCAAATGCTCACCGACGAAAAGAGACAAGAGATCGATTTGGAGAAATTATGGGGTGGAATTTTACGAAGGTCAGGTCAATCGGAAGTTGAAGACAAAGAGGTAGTTGAAGATGTAGAGGTTGGAGAGCCAATATCTACAATGAATCCTCAACCTTCACAACATACTTCAAAAACAACCCTAAAATCTCGAGGTTTTCAAGTTCCACAAATCCGACAATTCCACACTGTAGTAGCAAGAAAATCTGACACTGCAATGGACCAACACTCAGACGGTATCTTATCCTCACCACAGCGAGACGGACAAATTGAAAACAGTAGACTAACAGAGCTTCAGCGATCAGTACTTGCCCACTTCTCTTATGGTGAATTCGGAAAGGCAACAAACGATGTATTGGAGTACAGTGCCCATGACTCAGAGTTGGATTGGCAAAATTTCCTGTTGCACCATCTGAGAATGTATCTTGAAAATGTCTCAGTAGAACAGGCAATGCTCGATTTGGGCAGCGGTTATACCCCGGGGGATACATCCTTCCTCAAATGTTTCAAATATGCTGTGGCTGATATTGGAGAACCTCACCACCACACATCCTTCAAGTGGGATTACGTTTTCTGGTTATTCCATTATGCTCAAGACATTGGTCATCCTGGGTTTGAGGCCATGAAATTAATAAAGTTGTTCAAAATATTTAAAAGCAAGAAATTTGACGATGGTGATATAGCTGATGAATATTACCACAAAATTATACGTACCATACTTGAACCTGTCCGAGGCCCTTCAGGCACAGGTTACGCTCCTTCACATCTTAAAGTCCGGCTCGCATTGATGGTCATTCAAACAATGTATAGGCGAGGCCACAAAATTCTTACCGAAGACATGTTCGTGACTTTGCAAGAGGCCACAGAACGTACTTCGGAACTCGATGTCCTGACTGTTCAACCGAAAGCAACCATCAATGACTCTCTCGGACTACCTACAAAAGCCATGACACCAATTCAACGTCGAATCCATGCTCTAATGGTAAATCTCGATTTACCTCCTTTTTCCGATGTATCTAGAATGCGATTGATGCAATTATATGCACGAAATGGATATTGGGTAGCCTTTTGGGATATCTGGAGGTTGCCACTTCGTCAGTCCAAACCACAATCATTTGACATGTATACATATATGTTTCAGAGGGTAGCAGAGACGGGACACCAGGAAGGTTGTATGAAAACATTACGCACTTGGATTGGAGATTTAGATCGAGAGGATTCCCTCGTGAAACTGGAAGGGGAAATTGCAGAAGCTGTTAAAGCTTGTTTGATGGTTGCGCATGCGGATATTGAGCAAGAAGCAATTGAGAATCCTGAAAGGCCTGGGGAATGGTTTTCCTTATGGAGAAGATGCCATGGAGGAGATGAACAGTGGAGAAATCTTGTCGAGGCTATGGTTGCCGAACATGAGCAAGGAGCTGCCGAAAGTGACGATGCTGAATTGAATGAGAATGCTGCTATGATGACTGATCAGGAATTTGATCAAGTTTACGATGATGAATATGATGAGACTCTAGCCACGGCTGGCCGGGGCTAATTGTGCTAATATAACCTTCCAGCAAGAAACGGAGCAAAAGGGAAATGCCAATGGACGTGGATGACAGAACATCTACGGATTCGTCGAGGCTCAAAACGGATAGAGACTACATGAAGAAATTACGACATGAGTGTTAATGTATAGGGACAAGATTGAAGATATTTTGAGCACAGAAGCTTGTTTTTGAGTGGCAACGGGGAGTTATCCTATATTTGCATGTATATACCTCTTTGAGGAAATTAATATCACTTCCTTCATAAAGGAGTTTGGCTTTGGTAACTGGGTACCTACATGTGATGATGGAAGGACCATTAAATAACATTGGAAGCTGGTTCTCGGAGTCATTTTACTACTATTACTTTTTTCTTGCCCGACAAAGTACAGTAAGAAGAAAATGTCAAGACACTGGAAGCTAAGAAATAAAATATAAGCTCACCGGTGATCAAGAACTTAATACTCCAGTGAGTAGGGAGTACAGTACTAGGTATTCAAGCTGCGCCGGGACAACTCACGAGTCACTGGTGATAGGAATGGATCCCTGTTTGACAAAGCTCGGACTTATTCACAGCACAACAAAACAAAACAACTCACCAATCATTTCAATCCATCAAATCTAGATCTACCTACCGCCCTTTCCCATCACATGACACAAGACTTATGATCACTGAGCATCCATCCCATCCATCCCATTCCATACATATAACATTATACCTCACAATAACCATCACATCACATCACATCACAGCATAACAAAACTCATCTCAATAACCCACTACCAGAAACCATCATCTACTCTTCCCTCGCCCAATTATCACTAATTAAAATGAAAATCACCCCTTTCGTCCTCCTGAGTTTAACCTCACTCCTCCCCCTAACAAACGCGTGGGGAACACTAGGTCATCAGACAGTAGCATATGTCGCTACGAATTTTGTAGCGGAGGACACGAGAGGTTATTTTCAGATGTTGTTGAGGAATGATACGGGGAGTTATTTGGCGGGTGTGGCGACGGTAAGGTTTTTGAGTTTCGGATGAAGACTCGAGAAGGAAAAATCCAATTGGGAAAGTTTGAGATGGGTCGTTTTACTAACATTTTTGGGGTTTGTGTAGTGGGCGGATAGTTATAGGTTAGTTGTTATATTGAGGCTCTTTCAAAGATCTTTGAGTGTTAAGATTGATGCAGGTATACGAAAGCGGGGAATAATACAGGCCCGTGGCATTTTATTGATGCGTTGGATGATGTGCCTAGGTGTGGGTACTTTCTTTGAGAGAGGGATTCATGGGTTCAGCTGAAGGGGATGGAGATTATGAGAGCTTTGGTATCTAAGGAGTCATGCTGATGTTGAGGTTTTGTCTAGCTTGTGGAGTCAAGTTTGCTAGGGATTGTGGGGAGGAAGGATGTGTGGTGGGAGCGATTTTGAATTTTGTGAGTCCAATTTCCAGCTAGTTGTGGATGATTCTTGATATTATCTTCAACTGCAAATCCTGTGGCTTGGTTGGAATTTGAAGGGTTTGGCGCTGTTAAAGTGTCTTCGAACGTGAGAACTTAAGACAAACAGCCAGAGTGAAATAATAGAAAGATTTATGAGTTCAAAAATCGTAATAGAAATCGATGCTAATCCAAAGATCAGACGAGTCAATTACTAGACCCAAACGTGTCTAGATATCACAAATACATTGCTGCAAAGGTACGAATATCTGAACATATTTTGAGTACTACTAACATATCTACAAATAGTTCATCGTCCACGTGAGTTTCCACCTTCGGATTCCCTTGTATCAACTAAAGATAAGTCTAGTTTGTCGGTGATATCCACCAACCTCTTCACGCCGAGAACATCGATATAGGAGGTAATACCATCAAAGTGACCTTCAACGGCAAAGAAACCAATCTGCATTCCTTTTGGGATACTGCCATTCCCGAAGAACTCGTAGGAGGATACTCCATAACCGATGCTCAAAAATGGGCAAACGTGCTAACAACCGCTATAAAAACCGGCAAATATAAATATCAAGCGAAATCATGGCTTGAAGGTATGAATATAGGTGATCCATTGACCACAGCGCTTGGTTGGGCCAGAGATTCAAATGCCTTTATTTGTACGACGGTTATGCCAGATGGAGCAGAGGTGTTGCAGGGGATGGAATTGAGTGGTGAATATTACGAGAGTGGTGTACCGGTTGTTGAACTGCAGGTTGCGAGGGCAGGATATAGGTAAGCTGTTCTGGGGATTTTTCGTGAATATAGTGCTGATTAGACTACAAGGCTCGCGGCGTGGTTGGATATGATTGTTGGTGGTATCAAAACGGAGCTGTAATCTTAGGTTGCTAATTATCACTTTATTATGTTTTTACGTTTCGTGATTGGTGTATATTTTTGGAACGTATCAAGGGGAAGGGATTTGGGACAGGAAGAAGGAAGTTGGAAGGTGGATATAAATATTGGGGAAATAGGGAATAGAAATGATGATTAAATCAATCGTTCCTCAAGCATTTTAATTTTTCATTGAGATAAGTTATCTAGGTAGGTTGAATAAACATCAAGATGAAGATCTCGTAAGGATTATATTGTTTTCTTATCATTTGCTCTCCCCTGGGATTCATTCACTAATTACTAATAGAAAGAAAAGAGATAAATAAATCAAACGACAGAAGCTAAATAGGTAGGTATAATGATGAGATACAACCTCCTTACACTCATTCGGCTAATATTCTCTAGACCTCAAACTTTATATGTTATATGTCATCTCATCTTATTTGATAATAATGTCTCTAAGTTATGTGGTATATAGATGGGTATATTCTTTACTTCTATAATACCGCTTGGATATACTGTAACATGTGGTATTCAAAATTTTCAAATCTCTCTCTCCCTCTCTTCCTCCCTCTCACAAATCTCCCATTTCCAAATAGACAACTCGTGTAACCTTCTCTTCTCTCATCACCATCTATACCAACCCTTGTTGGTATCTCGCGCATCTCAATTCAGAAAGATCCCCCGCCCCACCTTCCCCAACCCAGATTTACCACCTCCTACATACTATCCTCCAACCTCTTACTTCGAACCTTTTGCCACCCCTCCTTCTCACTCTTTCCCCCATCTTTCTCTAATCCCATGCCCCTCTCCACCCACTGCTGACTTCCCATTTCGCTTAATCGACTCAACGCTCTCGCAAACGCAAATCTCTCTTCATCTCCACTGAATATGCTACTGCTCTTCAACATATTCATATTCATACCCAAGTCATCCATCATCATTCTCATTGCATCATTAAGTTCTTCTCCTTCAGCCGACTCCTCTTTCTGCCCTCGCTTATCCTCCGCATCTTGCTTCATGCTATCCCGAATTTCTTCTTTCGATAGAAAGAGTTGCGTTAATGGAACCGCAGTTGTTAGGACAAGTTTAGCGCGAGATTCATAGACGGCGTCAATGAATGTGATAAAACGACGGGCGAGATCACGTTGTTGATGTGTCATTCCGGGGACATCAGTAACGATAAATGCATCGTAGCTTCTCATCAATTCAATATAATCAGCTGCGCTAGTTGGCCTTCCGATTAATTCATCAAATGTGAACATAGCGGCTTTGCCACTAACTTTTGGAACATGAATTTCGCGACCCCAGACACGCTGGGTTTCTGAATGAGGGGTAGATTGTTCAGGGTCGCCAAGAAAACGAAACCATTTTTCGGCATGAGTAGGCGCATGAGCGTCTAAAGGAGAGTGGTAAACGCCGGAAGGAGGGCGAGGAATCTTTCGGTAGTCGGTGGGACTGTCCAAATTTATTACATGGAGTCGGGACTTGAGGAGGTTGATACAGGGGATGAAGGACTCTCGTTGAATGCCGTTGCGGTAAAGATCATCCGGGTGACGGTTAGAGGTTGTGACAAGGACAACTCCATGGGACATTAGAGACTCCAGAAGTCTATAGAAGATCAGAATAAACCAGAACCTCTCCAAAGGAATAGGGGAAATACCTTCGAAGAATCATAGCATCAGCCACATCTGTACATTGAAACTCATCAAAACACAACACATTCCCTTGCTCCGCGATATCCGCTGCCACGAACGGGACAGCATCAATATCATTTCCGAATTCCATCTTCATCTTATGTAACCTCCTATGAACATCCTGCATGAAATTATGGAAATGGATCCTCGTTTTCGATGCAACACTACTGGGTAGTGTCTCATAAAACATGTCCATCAACATGGTCTTCCCACTTCCTACATCTCCATATAGATACAGCCCTCGCGGAAGGTTTTCTGGTATTTCCTTCAATGCCAATTCTTTGGGTTTGTTCCCAAATATACGGGCAAACATGGAGGTTGGTGGGGGTTTTAGAGATTCGAGGGTAGGATGAATAATGGCGGGCGCATGGTAATATCGTAACTCGTCGTGAAGATGTTGAAGATTTTGTATAATGCCTAGAAGCATCTTTCGTCAGACCTTATTATGGGAATGAAAGTATGGATGTGTGTTGCTGACCTCTTTGATGCTCATCGTCCTTTAATTGCCCCGAAGCAACGCGCGCATTGTATTCTCTCATAGGTCCTCGATCGTCCGGATTTCCTGTAGGCGTCTTAGTAAGTGTTTCACTCCAGTCTGGAAAAGTAGATGTATATACCATTTTGAACAGTTGCGAAACCCCTCCTCTGTCCCGCAACGAAAGCCGCGGGAAAAGCCAGTAAGCGTCTCGGTATTGTCGAGCCAGCCGAAGCTGAGACTGAAATTCTAGATCCTAATGCAGTGGCAGAGATATATCTCCTTCCATTTCCTCCTTTGAATTGACAAGTATCTATACATGTTCCCTCCCATGGACTTTTGTGTGATAAATATCGGAAGGATCGCGCCGATGCGGTACGGAATTTCATTATGACTGAATTGCAAGATGCCCGATAATGACAGGGATAATCTATAAGCGCATAATGTAAAAAAAAAGAAGGGAAAAAGAGGCCAGTAGCTCTTATGTAGTTAGTAGTATTAGTGGTTTTTGTAAATTCTTAATTCTAAAATCTATCCAAAGATATGTTTGCGGAATTACATTACTACAGCGTACATGATTCTGATGATTATTGTGGGTCGTCGGAAGGAAAAGGACCTCGGACATGCGGGCATGCGGGAAAGGCCTGAAACACACGGACTCGGCTCTTGGATACTGCTTGACGGCGAAGCTTTTGAACAGGTAATAAGAGGAACAGTTGCAATTGTAGTATCAACGTTAACAGTACTACCGGCCTATTGACTCCCCTTGACATAATTCAAAGCGAAGGGCTTATGGTTTACTGGCGAGGATAACACTTCTGTGAGGCTAATCCGATATCGTGGATGTGAAGATCACAAGTTTTTGATATATTCTAATATGATGGATCCATCATCTACTGATCTAAAAACCATGCAAAACCAAGTAATATGTGAGGCACAAGCCAAAGTATGCTAAGAACTAATATGCGAAAAAAAGGTTAAAATGTGGCCGTAGAATCGAAATCGAAAGAAATGGGATGTTAGGTGAGCTAGTTTATCAAGGCAGAATATCATCCATCATCTACAATCAAATCATTCCCCACAATGGGCGAGGAAGGTCTGACGCAAGACGAGAAATCTGCCCCCCAGTACCCATTTCCTTTATAGCGACATATGCCTCGCGACGCGCAGGATCACCAACCGTGACAGACCGAGAAGCAAGACCGTAGTAAGATGCAATGGAATGGACAAGCCAACGTCTATAAAATTGTTAGAGGGAACTCTCAAATGATCAAGAAAATGCATACCCGAAGCTTGCTCCTGTATCGTCAGCCAAAGAATCGAAGATGAGCTTCTCCCTCTGTAGCTCTTCCTCGACTAAATTCCGTTGCTCATCACTCATTGTGCCATTTCTTCCAATGAACACAATCTCCTCATCCTCACTGTCCATTTCCTCTTCCTTCATCCGTCCCAGAATTTTCTGCTTACCCTCATATTCTTGAACGAATTTTCTGACCTCCTCCTCCAGATCTTGAAGAAGACTCTTTGCCCCCTTGCTCTTCTTGAGCTTCTGCCTCAAATCCTGTGGAACACGACCTTTCTCCTCATGGCTGCCAGCCTTCTTTGCTTTATTCATTTTCTTTTCGGCGGCGATTTCCTCGGCTCGATGACGAACACCCGCATCCCACAGAGGAGCCAGGTAGTACGGAACATGATGAACAGGGTAGGTTGGACGAACTTCCCAATCACTAGGGAGCGGGGGCTGGGCATTTGGAACATGGAGGAAATGATCTGCGAATGCAATGCTAATCAGCAATCGATGTCATTCGAACTCGGACTTTCCATATCCGAGTATCGCGTTGATGATCAGGTATGCTATGATGATTGAGACAGGCCCGCCGGATACGTGGGTTTCTTTTCTTCACGTCACAGTTCATCAATCGCACTCACCATTCTCCCACCTTTGGCGTCTGCGACTACCCTCCTTTCCTCTTAGCAACGACTCTCTGTGCTTCTGGCTATCGCGTTTTAGAAGTTCCTTGCGTGGTTTGTAAACGGCAGGTCTTGATGGCGCCGTGTCTTCAAGAGACTCATCGTGCTCAAGAGGAATAGAAAGTGTAACTCCAGTTCCACGAGCAATGGGAGATACTTCAAGTGATTCTAAAGCAGAAGCTGTCCAGGCTTCAATGTCCGGGCCTGCTGAAGCCTGCTGCGCCGGTGGCGGAACTGATGAATAGATTGCCATCTCGATTGAAGATAGGGAATTGAGTCAACAACTAGTCTTTTCGATAGAGATTCGCAATGATTGTTACTATGAGGGAGTATGAAGATGACAGATAGCAGGATGAAGAAGCTATTATGGGAAGAATTACCTAAATAGCTAGTAGGTATGGAGGAGAGAGCAGATGTGGATTGGTTGATAAGGAAAGGAGTCATCATACCTTTGGAAAGATGATAAGACACGGCCGCACGGATAATTGACTCCGTACCAATCAGACATAAGGAGATTGAATCGTGCCATCATTGAAATTGGCTGAACTTGGGAACCGATAGAGCAGGTTCGGTCCATGGATTACCTACTGCACACGGAATATACCATGGGGGAACGGTATTAATCACTTCATTTTCATAATTCATTTCTCTGAATAATTGTATTGAAACCACCTTGAACGCCACACATCTTTCTTGCATAATCTAGATGCATGACACATGTGAAGCTTGCAGACACGAAATTCAATCCAATCCGAGCACTCATGCATGCTTCTGTATTACCTTCTCAACACAAACACAACGATATAACCACATCCAATAGCCAATAAACATATAACATAAACCACCTATAGTTTCGCATATGCAAGCTCGTAAACCAAACCAAGAGTCAAACGAGCATGTTGAAGCATGTGGTCGAAGTTTAAGAAATTCAAAGTATCACCTGACGTGTGAATTCTATCGTCAGAATACTTAAAATCGCTCTCAATCACGAAAGCAGAAGGGTATCCGGCTTTTGAAGCACTGGCATGGTCACTACAAGCATAGCCGCAACGAGTTTCCACAAAATCGATCGTACAATACTAAACTTTGATAAGCATGGATACGGGAAGTAACTCGGATTCTTATGAGAAACATACCTCGGTAACGATTTTCTTGATAAAATCTGTCAAATCGGGGTCAACGAAATCAGTGATGACTCCTACACTCTCAGGCTCTCCAGCATCCAAAGTCTTTTGCGTGTATCCTGTCATGTCTTGTTGGAGCATAGCCTTGATATCTCGGCCAGTTTTCTCGTATTCTGAGAAAATGGCTTGGCTACCTAACAGTCCACCTTCTTCAGCTGAGTACCAATGAAACTCAATAGTGTTCTCCCCTCTCCCTTTAATAATATCCTTAGATGTGAGTAATACGCGAAGGGCCTCGAGAATTGTCACAGTTCCACTTCCATCATCGTCTGCCCCGGGTGCAGATAGAATAGAAGGTAAGAAGAGGTTTATCGAGTCCTGATGTGCTCCTATCACGACCGTGGAATTCTTCTGTCCAGGAATTGTAGCAATAATGCTGTTTTGGCCCCATGAATGTTTGAAATGGCGGGCGTGAGCTCCGTATTTATCGGCTCCAGCATCCTTGATCAATGTTTGAACTTGCTCGAGAAGCCATTCAGATGATTGACGGCCATAGTCGGACTTGTAATATCTAGTATGAAAACTGGTGAAAGTCTCGAGGTTCTTGTGCATGTTAGACTTGCTCAAGTCTTCGAGTAAAGGTTTGAGATCTTTTTGGAGAGTAGGTTTCGATGGAAACTTGACCTTCACCGATGAAGTCCTGAGAGTTCCGAGTTCCGGAGTTTCTGTAATGTCCATGAAGTTCTGTCCATTCTTCAAAATATTAGCCAAAGCCTCCTCGTGTTGCACATTGTACATACTCGTCTTAATTCCCATTTCTCCTCTTCTGTAACCCATTGTTGTTTGCCAGGGGCGGTCTCGATGAGATAACGCTCATCATTCACAGCATTAGAATTTAGTATGACCTGATCGGTTTCGTGTTGTTCAACAAATCTTGCAGATGCAAGAGATGCCGATAAAGCTAAGAGTGATAAATTTGCGAACTTCATGATGAATGTTGGGAATTCTTTTATTATTCCAATTGGTAGATTCGGTGTCTATTGATAAGAGGAACGGTACCTGATGGAGCTGGCTGTGCTTTGGTAGGTATTAGCTTCCCATGTTTTGATAATCAGTGTGGCTGGTGTCATGCTTTGAGATGATCAGCATCTTCGTGATCGTCCCTGAACTGTACAGACTACTTCCTTGCGGCTGGGGCGTCCTTAATCCGTTGATCGAAGCCCATATTGATTTCCAGTTTGTGTGAATTCAAGTCTTTTCATAATTATGAGACGGCTTTTCAACATCAGTATAAATTGGGTCATTCAAGATCCCTGGAGAAAGCAAAGTAGGGTGGCAAGTCTGAATTATTGTACGATATGCTTGCCGGAAAGTGCATGTGAAGTAATTGCCTAGATACCTATCATACTATCGAAAGACACCTACAATAATTCGTCAGTTTGCCCAGGCATGAGTCAATCGACGATCTCCTTTCCCGGCATTGTCACCAACACCGGCCAGCCTACTTGCGCCAGGCACACTAGTGCCAGATCCCTCCAAGCCGCGATAATACCAAGTCAGCCCAAAGACTCACATTTTCTTCCAGTACGCGCGGTCAGTAAGAATCACTTGGATATATGGTCTTGACAGGATGTCTTCTTCACATACAGCCAAACCACCACAATTACCAAACTTCACGTAATCTTGTAGATATAAATGAAATGGTATTATGCAAAGAGAATACCAAAATCGAATGGACTCTTTGGTATGCATGTATCTTGTGAGCTTTGTGAGTGGTGTCCGCACCTGGTTCCTTTTTCTCTTTTCCCATGCTAATTCCGCCTCACTCTTAATATCGTTCCGACGGCCAGTTTATCATGTCACGTTGCCCGATGAAAATCATCAAGTATCGACCAATAACTCCTCCATCCAGTAACCAATCCTCGTATGGGAACGATAATCCAAGTTTGAAATAAATGAATGATAGGATCGCTTGAGTCTAGTGATATGCGGGGTAGGTTAAGGTTAAAGTTATACATGTAGGTCTCAAGGGTCCCCGTACGTCACTTCCCCATTTCTTGCTTGCTAGAAGCTTGATTTCCCATTCCTTGACTCTATTTATATATAGGCCTGTTTTCTTCCATTTAGATAAAATTTAAATTCAATTTATTCTTGTGAGTGATCCTGAAGCTCAATTGATACTTTCACCTATTCCTGATACCGTGATACCGTGATAACTCTTTCTTTGCTCAGTCTTGTCGATATCTCTCCCTTTGGTATGTACCCTTTTTGGTCTCTTCCCCTCTTTTCAAAAGGTTGCAACTAAAGATAAATTCACTCAGTCGGCCTATTCCGCAAATCAGGCCATTTACCTCCTCGATAAAGACGACGGACATCAGCAAAATAGTATTCAGCACCCACCGTGGCTTTTGAGCTCTTGCATATATCCTCCACAGTTTCACCATGAGTCCATCATTTGCGCAAGGTACTTTCCCTTGAGGAGTCCTGTTAGCTATTCTGCAGACTGACGGTATGGAACACAGCGAACCCATTCGCGCGAAGAGATACACATCCAGTTCAAGCTATCTGGACATATAAAATATGTACAATTATTTCCTGGTTGTTGATGGTGGTAGTGACCTTTTACTACAACTTCCATGCACCCCAAGATGACAAGAACTCCTGGCGTCATACTATTTGGGAACAGAACAAGATACACCATACACCATTTGCCATGAACGCCTTTATTGCTTCGATTTATTGGTATGTTTATTTATGTCCTATGCAGTTTCAAAGCTTTAAGTGTTAACGTACAAACTTAGGCTGTTCCTATTTATTCTACAAATTGGATATGTTCTTCACCTCTTCAGCGACGAGGCTGAGCATGTTAATGCAGCAGCATCAGTTGGAAGTCATTTCATTGTCAACAACCTCCTCCAATTCGCATTTGTCATGCTCTTCGTTCGATCACACTTCGTATGGGCTGAAATCATGTTGATCATCAACTTCTTCAACCTTTCCTCCCTCTACTTCCGTCATAATACCACTCCAAGGTTTATTCATATGCCAGCTACCTCTGGTCCACTTGCTTGGACATTCGTAGCTTTGTATTGGAACGGTGCTATTGCGGTTGGTGCTCACAACCTTCCTGCACGTATTGTAGCAAATGTTGCAATCTGGGGTATCTTGGTTTATGGACTATTCTTTCTTGTTGCCTACAAGGTACGTCTTAATTGCCTCCAGCTACAGAGGTTAAACATATAAAGCTCAGGGATACTTACGAGTTACTAGGACTACACTATGGGATTTGCCCTTAGTATTATCACAGCAGCAATCGGAGTTGGCCAGTTCTTCACAAAAGTATTCGCCCTTCAATGGATCTTTGCTTTTACAATAATGGGTACTCTCTTCCTCGCTACATTGGTTATTGCAATTCCTGGAATCTTCGGCAAGGAGATCTCATTCAGAAGAGAGACCCCACTTGGGTCAGAGGATCGAGAGAGGGCTCCTCTTTTGGACGATAACTAATTTGGACGAAACAGAGGAGCTCTATGTTTCAGTAGTCTCAGTAGCTTGGCCATGAAAGTCTCCAAATCTTAAAGTCGGTTGAATTTACAAAAAGTAATTGATGTAGGAGATCTTAACGATAGTTCGGGAGCTGATAATGTCACGGGATACCCCTCTGGATTAGCAGGTGTTATGCATGGGTTTGAGGGATGTCCTTTGGTTTGTGTTTTTGCTTTTGGCTTTCGGCTTGTATGCAATAATGCGGTATCTATCACAATTTGAAGTTTAAGCTCATCGGACAAATTGTATCTATGTATGCGAAATAAGCATGTTCTTCTCTTCTATATGACTCCCCCCTGCAACTGTACCTGACTTAGTGATGACCTCATGACCATATCTAAAATGACTTGAATAACTGCTACACAAGTTAGCTTCATCTAATCGTTAATGCTTAACAATCAATACTGCTAGAATCTACATGGCTATCATTATGAATGCTACTTAGGTACCTAGTATTTACTTTCGATATTGTGATTAACATATATCTGGAGGTCTAATAAATACCCGTGTTATATCATATGATTTCGCGAGGCAGGTACGGGGTACTGCACGGAGTCCTGCACGGAGTAAAATTACTGGCAGTCGGAGCTTTTTTTTAGATTCTTATCCGACGATAAGGGAAAAAAACATTTGATCTTTCACCCCCTCTATCGAAATTCGGGTTCACACCATATCTTATGTGGATATAGAGGAAAAGCGACATGTATAGCGTCACTATGAGACAAATATACCTCACAGTATCTGTATGAACGATATATCCACAATATGCCACGAGCATTCCCATTGCCCGTTAATATCGGCACCGACATCTGCAAGATCAGTCGCGTTGAGGATATTCTAACGAAGCATCAATCAAAATATGCGCATCGATTCATCCGGAGGGTGTTTACTCCACAGGAGCAAGTTTGGTACCGACCGAGACTTCTGCCGTTGATTGAATACCTTTATTTTATGGAACGAAGGGAATTTATCCAAGGGAAGATAGAAAAGCAACAGAGATGGAAGGCGAAAAGCTTAGAGGCTCTGATAGGACTTGTTGCACCCAAAGAAACGCCCCTGCTGAAAAGCACTGCCGCTAATGATGAACCTGTGGGCTCTGTGATATGGTCTCCATATACCGCACAGGAAAATCCGAAGAAATTGACGAAAGAAGAAGAGGAATCAGTTTTAATCCAACTGAGAGAAAATGTGCAAGGAGTCGCTAGATTTGTGGCTGGCCGGTGAGTCTATCCAAAATCCATATAAGAAGGCTCTGGCTGACTATCCTTCATTCAGCTTTGCAGCAAAGGAAGCAGCAAAGAAAGCCTTCAGCAAACGACAGCTAACATTCCACGACATCACGATTGATAACCCATCTCTAGACAACCTCAGATCAAGAGCGCCAATAACACTCATTAGAGCTACAACAGGATTCGAGGATCAAATTGTACCGATGAGTATAAGCCATGACGGAGATTATGCGACTGCTGTGTGTATGTCTTGCGAAGACGTTGCTCCTCCCACTACGCCAGACCTTCAAGAGATACAACCCAATTTAGCACGGCTTCTCGATGAAATGACGATTAAACGGTTATCTTTACATGATTCTCATCCACTCTCGTCCGGAAAGAAACATGAATGGACACTTCAAGATTCAACCTCGAAAGACACTAACCCAGAAAAATCTCTAGACAGGTTTTCGACTCCGCTTCAGAAGATACCAACGAAGTTTATTTCTCCCATCACGGGAAGGCTATCGGAAATTATGAATTCCACCCCAGGTGGTGGATCAAATATTCCCACCCTTGACGCCATGGAGGATTTGAACATTTCAGAAGCCTCAAGTCCTGTTCAGCCAGTGGTTTTTTCATCTCCTGTCAAGGACTCGGAGATCCAGAGTAATCTGAATACTTCAGAAGTCCCAAATATTGTTCACTCGGAAGCCTCTTTCCTTTCTACTCAAAAATCAATGATTAGATACCATATGTGGAATGGGGGAAGTGCTTTTAATTCCATAAATGTCGATCTTCAAGAAACCTTTGACCGAAATGCCGAGGGTTTCCAGACCAGAGATTATTCTAAAGGAAGCCGATCGATTGACCACCGACAAGTCGATGATCCCCAAAGTAGTGAAGGGTTTACACCGCCGCATGATGATGGATCCATTTCTCAGCCCAGAAGTCAGTCATATCAGGGGACCCAAACGAATGACTACCAACCCTCTCAGGGCCCTCAAACTATTATAGGATCTGCACAGCCATCTGATAACCGTCCTGTTCCTCGCCCTGGTGATTGGATATGTAAATCCGTGGGATGTGGATTTGAAAACAGTGTTCAACATCGCAAGTGTGTGAAATGTGGCACCAAGCGCCTAGAAGGCTGGGCCAATTATATAGATGTGGATAATATATATAACATACGTTTGGCACAGAACTCAAACCACACTGCCCTTCCAATCGAAATTGATCCGGCAAAGGAGGAAGAGAGGAGATTAAGGGTGGCAAATCGCCATGCAAAGCTAGAAACACGAATGGAAAGTACATATGGACTACCATCATATTTAGATCCAAAAATCATCAAAAAGAATGTCGAGAATTGTCTTCGTGTTCAAGGGGTACCTGTTGGCACAACAAATGAAGAACTCGTAGAAGCTTTCAAGGGACGATGTACAGCCATGAAAGGGTATGTGAAAATGTCGCGAGATGGTCATACGGAAGGGTGGGTAATCTTATCACGAAAGACGGAAGCGAATAAACTACGAAATCAATCGAAAAGAAAGCCCCAAGAATTACCTATGATTAGAAATCGTCGGTTGAAACTGGTAGCGACGGATGAATGGTTAAGGGGAATCTTGAGGGATTATGCGTCAGGGACTCGGGTATGGGATTGGAGAGCAGATTTCTGGACGACGGATGTATTCCATCCTTACGATAAAGAGGAATGCGAAAAACATGCGCAACGACGGGCAGATGCATGGGAAGAGGTCAGAGCGGAGGAACAGCGGGTTAGGAAGTCGACGGAAGCAAAAGATATCAAGAAACTGAAAAAGCTTGAGAAGTCCTTTGAGAAAAAGCAGACGAGTAATTTGTTGAGGTTAATAGATGGTCTTAAGAGCAAGCTTAATCGAACCAGCAGAGCGAAGATGGACAGAAAGTTGAAGGAAATGGGAGCGAGGAAAGAAAGGCGTGAAGAGGAAGAAGAGGGAGAAGAGGAAGAAGAGGAGGACGAAGAATATGAGGAAGACGAGGAAGAGATTGATATAGTGAAGAAGGACTTATAATTCCTGTCTGAGGCAGACATCTAGACGCGGGTATAGTGAAATAAATACCGTGAATTGTACGAATACGAATAAGTAAAATACTGAAAGATCTTGTATATATCTATTATATACCATCCACTACAATTCATATAACTTCTTCATAATTAGACTACTAGATAGACTCACCCTCATAATCCGTGATCCACCCTCATTCTCATTATCTAGATAAAAGAGTATACACTAAACCAGTTTCAGGCAAATATACCGATTCCTGAACATCCCATTTCTGGGTTACTGTGATTCTCTTTCCAGCTGCGATTTAAATGTTGCAAAGAAAGTCTGAGAATTTGAGAATATTGTATTTACATACTCGAGTATATGTAATATGTTCCGTACACCAGTACCCATCCATCCCGTTTCATATATATATATATATGCATCAGGATCTGTCTACTCGACAGTTCTATCAATAGGTAGTGCATACAGAAACCCGGGTATAATATAAAATATACACTTGGAAAACCAAGCCACGGAAAATAAAAGGAAACCCCTTGTAGAAATTTAAATTAATACCAAACAACCCCCAAAACAAATCCCGTTAAAGCCAACCTCCTTCCACAGCATTAGGATCTATAACCGGACTCGGCTGTCTTCCAATCCCCACTACTCTCGGCGGTCCAACATGTCCCATATTCAGACCCGCATTAGGATTATACGCAATACGTACTTCCTCGCCACTCAAATCAGCCATTTGGTATCTTTGCGCTGCGCCTTCATTATTACCCACTAAACATTGATTTGGCATTCTGTGCACCGAATGCGGAGATGGACTATTTCTTGTTCTTAAACCGGAGGGTACCCATCCGGATTGTCGAATATTATTGCTCATCGCTTCTACATCTTCATATTCGTCATTTTGGATTTCCATTCCTTGTCTTTCGGCTCGACCTTTGCGCGAGAAATTTCGACGCATGCCGGGTTTGGTGGCATTGGAGTTTTGGCGCATGAGGAAAGAGTCTTTTGGTGGTGATATGGATTCGGCGCCCATGGCATTGGTTATGTCGGCGTAGAGGACGGGCATGGCGGGCACTGGCTCGTGGTGGTGGTGGAATGAAGTGGAGAGGCCGTCGGCGGGTGCGTAGGTGCGGCGATCGCCTGTTAAGGCGAGGTGCCAGTTTGCTTGGGCGGGTTTCGGGACGATGGGCGTTTGGATGTCTTCCATTATGTCAAGGGGCGGGAGGTCAGCGGTGCGAGGAAGGCTATACGGGTTTGTTGTGGGTGCCGCAGCTTGGGTTGTGATTGTGGGTGGTGGGGAGCGAGACGGACGGGGCCGAAGGGGTTGTGGTTCCGGGGAGGAGGGGTGGTGGTATTGTTGAAGTTCGGGAGACCAATTTTGAGATTCAGGTGATTGTGATGGGTGGTACGGCTCTGAGGACGGAGGACCACGTGGTCGAGAAGGATCGTAGGATTCTGGAAGTATTTCGGAATGTGGTGGTTGGAATGGATCAGGCATAGGAGATGAAGGGTGGAAGTTACGGGGGCAGAGGTCAGGCGTTGGTGCTTCTACGGGTTCATGATGTCCGGCAGGAGTAGTGGGTCGATGGGAGGAAAATTGGAAGGCGGGTGCATAGCCTAGGTTATTGATAACCCCCATTTGAGAGTAGTGATCATGAGGCTGCGGTGAGTGCTCCGTAAATGGTACTGGAGAATGAATGGGTTGTGGGGAAGGTGCTGTGTTAGGAACTGATTCAAAGGCCGCTTTTGAGGGCCAGTTTCTGGAAAGAATTTTAGTTAAATTTGATAGAGTAGGACATTTGAACGAAAACTTACGGAGAGCTGTCCTCGTGAGGCGCTCTTGATTCCCATTTATTTTCTCTTTTGCGAATAAGAAAGAAAACTGTAAGGCAGGCTCCTATAATAACAACCAAAGCACCAAGCGTACCACCAATTATCGCGCTCGTATCTGTGCTTCCTTTTGATATCTCAACTGCAGAAGTTGGTGATTCAGGTACCGTGGGTGTAAGCGATCCTTTACCAGCAACTTCCGAAGCTGTAGATTGCGTTGGAGTGCCAGTTGTGAAAGTTGGGAATGAAGTAGCGACTCCAAAGTTACTGGGATTTTGTATTGTGATCGTTGGATCAAAGCTCACTCCGGTATACACGATTTGCAGGTTAAGGTCCGTCGCCTGGCCGGCAAAAGTGGTAGCTGCTGTAACATTGCCTGCCGAGGGGCCACATCCAAATTGAATATAATTTTGTGGGTAAATGATTTTGTAACAGTTTGAACTCGCAGGGCTGTGAATGTGTTAGGTAACTTGTTGTTTCTTATTTGATACATTTCTACGAACCATGATAGTATACCATTATTAATCAAGAAAGAATCTGAAGTATATCCAACACTATTATGATCAACACAAGTCGTGTATAACCCATCCGTGCAAGGAATGGGGTCTGCTCCAGCTGATGAGGTCGGACAGCATCCAACAAATCCAAAAGAAGTATCATGAATACATGACGATCCACTTCCACAACCCACTGGCTGGGCTAAGTTTCCTCCAATCCATCCGCATACATCAACATCGATTGAACCTCTCTTGAACAAGTCCCGTGGCTCTGAGATCGTATTAGTTGGTCGGGGTGACCATTCATCTGCTTTATATGTAGCCGTTTGTTTGGCTGCGTGCCATGGAATGGCATTTGTACCTAGGAATAAAGTAAAACATAATATTAATATAAAGGAGGACATGGCAAAGAAATTAGTTTTGAGGGGCTCCTCGACTTAACTGTCGAGAGAGCTTGACAAAATGAGCGACAGAGAGAAGAAAAAGGAAAAAAAAAGAAAGGTCGAAAAGGTTTCAAATGTACATGAAAAAGGGTATGAAATTCCTTAAATAACGAAGAAGTAAGCTGCAATGAGTGCTTGAATCCATTTGATTACGCCGCAATTGGGAGAGAAGAATATTCCGGGGGCCAGAATCCCACGACATGACTTATTTCTACAGTGTCAAACAATTATCTCCTTAAATGCGTACAGACGCAATTGAATCGCGAGCGAAGGATGCGACTAGAGGGTGCATTTAACTACTTACAAAGAGTTGCGGATGGTCTCTCAAAGGGGCTGTGGGATTTGTGAGATGCAACCAAAACCCTCAATTGGGAATCTCGCTTCGCCACTTTTATAATTGGTATAACATTACTCGACTGGAAAAGGATTTCTGGCAACTGATGAAATCAGAACTTTTATGTACAAGTTGCTCAGTCTATACTCCTGAAACTTTTCAGAAAGTATCTGGACAATCATTAGACTTAAGTAATATTTGGAGGCTTGCGTTTGGTTTTCCGTTGATGTGGTGCTGGGATGACATTGTACCTGCATTTGCAATGAAGGAGAATTTTTACATGCCTGCAACATCGGCTAAAGCTGGTGATACCCGAGCTGACTGTACTACAACAGTACCAATCAACGACCACTGGTGGACCCCTTCGCTGGAGAGTATGGAACATTACACGTGTGCTTGGCATATACGAGCTTATGTGTCGCTGATTTTCAATGTCTATTTTTACCATGTACCCTCGTAGACAAATAAGCCGTTCTTTTCTAGAAGTAAGGGTAGCATTTGTAGAGGCAACATTTGAACTGCTTCTTCCTTTCCTCATTATCCTTCTTGTAATTAATTACTTCTGGACGTGTTCCTCTATTCTAGCAGAATTATGGACACATGCTGCTTGGATACGCACCAAGGAAATTTGGATCGGAATGTGCTAACTCTGTGCATCTTGCAGTCTCGAGGGATCAAGTGGCGTAATTAATATGGTGGAGCACCACCAAGAGACACATTTTCAAGAGTATCAAATCTCGACAGACGTCTTGAGGTATCTTGACTATACAAGCCCGTCAAGGACAACGTCCATAAGGCTTTGTACTAAGACATTCGAATACTTGGGCTCCAAACATTGAAGTAAAATCCTGAAACCCTTGATGCCTTCTTTGATTTACTCTTCCAATGTTGCCTGGGCCGTGACAAATTGATTTCCGATAAATGCAGAAGAACACCTAGTATCTCACTCACTCGAGTCTAAGTTCTTGCTAAAGATTGAGATCGTAATGCTATCCTCCCTTATCGTAACATCTTGCATGTCTCGGCCACGGAAAGAAACCCATATTTTCCAAGCCATTAAGATATCGCAGACCATTGTGACAGAGTATCGAATCAGTGTGTAAGTGATCATAGTTTGTCGTCCTGAAATGACATCTATTTGATTGAATCGATGTCGAGAAGTTTGGCTCCAGCTCTGTCTATCTGGGTATAACTTCGGGTAATTTGGTTTCTCTCATGCCCCATAAATCCAGCTATTGCTACACGCATTTCCACCTTGTTAACAACGTTCCTAATGGGTCAATAAGCCTCTCAATAATCAGAAGCTGGCCATTATACGGCGAGGGACTGCCCCAACATCCCTAACAGCTCTGCTGAAAGACGAATTAAGAAACCCATATTATGATACACCCATGATTTTGTGGGCTTTGGAATTCACTGGGACAGATTAGCTTGGGCAAAAAGCATTGGGTAGCTGTATGACCAGATACCAATTCTATGTCACATTTGCAAGATGGCTCTTGATTGACTCCTGTGAGTCGCTATTTTCAAGCAAGACAACGAACGTAAGCTTGCTGTAAGGTAAGAAAAGTATCGGGAAAGTATTGCATGTGAAAGATGGTGGATGTATGAATATATACATTCGGAAGCTTCCCGATGAATGGGGACGGACTAATACAGTTACGTATAAAGGTGCAACGGTGCAGGTGCATACAAACACAACTAGCACTTCAAAAAGCTTGAACCGTTGGAGATTATTCTATTCATTCAACTAATCAATCAGTAATCCGAAGTGAATCAGGAGGTACCTAAAATCGGTGAAGGCTGCACTCCGCAGAATTTTGTGTGTTTTCTAAGACATATTGTGTTGTCATTGGTGGGGAAAGAAACGAAAGCAAGTGCCGCCAATTTTTGCCATGATGAACCTCGGTTCCTTATCATTCCATCTCCATCAGTCGTGAACGCTTCGGTTTTGAAGAGGCATTCTTGCCACAACCTTAATATTCTCAACTAATAACAACAATTGGCAACGATTTATTTGTACACATAAACTTAAATTCATCAATTTTTACACTCGGAAAACACCTATTAATCATTTGTATCATCAACGCGCACGAACAGCAATATGGGTCCTGTAAAGACCGCAAATTTACCCATCATCCCCTTGGCAATAGGTACCGTCCTACTTCCTGGGATAGTCCTTCGCATACCCGTATCTGGTCAGCGAACAGATATCCCAGCCTTGCTGTCAGGAGTTTATAGCAGAGCCGCTTCGACTACACCGAGTCAGCCCATAGACAGTGTCAATATCGCTTGCGTTCCTTTAAACTCGCCATTCCTCACTCAAGATGGACAGAAGATGATCACTGGAGACGAGAAAGCTCCACGACCCAAAGAGCGATTAGATATAAAACCATCTGGTGCTACAAAGGATGATCTGTTTGGATATGGGGTGGCTGCCAAAATATCTGGGGTGGAGGGCACAACCGGCCGTTCAGGGGAATTCGCCCTGTTGGTTGAGGGTGTGGCCAGGATCAAAGTGGACAGGATAACACAAGAGAGACCATACCTTGAAGGAGAAGTTACATATCTATATGATGAAGGTGAGTAGATCTGCTCTTTTCTACAATACAGTATGTACTAACTTTGCAGATGTATCTACTGAGGATGATGCCATCCAGGAACTTTTCGCACATCTCAAACAACTATCACGAGAACTTTTGACCCTCTTGCGACTTTCATCCCTCCTACCCCGAACATCTGGTGGGCTTTCGCCAGTACTTGCTCGCCGTCTCGAACTATTTATAGCAAAGAAGGACATATCGGATGCCGGAACTCTGGCAGATTTCATGACGAATGTGGTAGAGGCATCGTTGGAGGAAAAGCTACTTGTTTTAGCTGCACTCTCAACTAAAGACCGCCTCGAAAAAGCAATTGTTTTGCTTCAACGTCAAGTGGCCAGTATCAACAATAATGTGAGAATCACAACCGTCACCACCTCCAACATCCCCGCAAATATAGATATTGAGCAATTCAACAAAATTAATGGACATCGTTTGCGAAGAATAGGGATGTCTGGTGTGCCGTTGCCGCCCAGTATGGCGGGTAATGGGGGATCTCAGGATGATGAACAAGAGCCTGATGAGGTTGAGGAGCTTAAGAAGAAGATTGATAATGCAAAGATGACACCCGAGGCAGCCAAGGTTGCAGACCGAGAACTGAAAAGATTGAAGAAAATGGCACCAGCTCAGGCTGAGTATCAAGTCTGCCGGAGTTATCTGGAGAACTTGATTGAGATACCGTGGTCTGAAATGACTGAAGATCAACTTGGCGTCGATACATTATCGAGGGCTCGTAAACAGCTTAATGATGATCATTATGGGCTGGAAAATGTCAAGAAGAGGCTACTTGAGTATTTGGCGGTTCTGAAACTCAAGCAGAATACTAATGATGAGATTAATTCACAGCTCGCAAAAGCAGAAGAAGAAAATGCAACAGCAAAAGTTGAAATTCTCAAGAACAAGAAGATGTTCGATAAATCGCCGATTCTACTCCTTGTTGGCCCTCCAGGAGTAGGCAAAACTAGTTTAGCAAAGTCAATTGCTACTGCCTTGGGTCGAAAGTTCCATCGAATCTCTCTCGGCGGCGTCAGGGACGAGGCGGAAATACGAGGTCACCGCAGAACATACGTGGCAGCAATGCCCGGGTTGATAGTCAATGGCCTGAAAAAGGTTGGGGTGGCAAATCCTGTCTTCCTGCTTGATGAAATCGACAAGGTTGGGTAGGTAACGTCGGTTGTCTCTGGGGGTTTCTGTAGCTGACACCTCCTCTAGCACATCCAACTTCCATGGTGACCCCTCGGCTGCCATGCTTGAAGTTCTAGATCCCGAACAAAACCACACATTCACGGATCACTATGTCAATATACCTATCGATCTTAGTAAGGTTCTTTTCATTGCCACAGCGAATAGTTTGGATACTATCCCTCCACCACTACTTGATCGTATGGAGACAATTAGCTTGTCAGGATACACGACACTTGAGAAGAGACATATCGCCTTGCAGCATCTAATCCCAAAGCAGCTCCGCACAAGTAAGCCTTCACAATCAGCTGAGAATATTGTATACGGCCACTGACGCTGTGTAGATGGGCTCGGAGAAGGACAGGTCGAGTTCAACCAAGATGTTGTGTCCAAGATCATCGAATCGTACACTCGCGAATCAGGGTAAGCATTGATGGCATAATTTCCTATCCCCTAATCACCGAGCATTCTATACGCTATAAGTTTAAGCTCGCCACTCTCAAGCACCATTTTAGTAACGTCGCTGACAATCTAAACTCTTAGTGTCCGTAACCTCGAGCGAGAGATTGGATCCGTATGTCGTGCCAAGGCGGTAGAATATGCGGAAGCAAAGGATTCGGGACATACGGGTAGAGGCCCCTTCCGCATGATGGTTAGCCAGCGAATACTGACAAGTCTTACAGAGAAGTACAAAGCACAGCTGTCCGTGGAAGACATCGAGGAAATTCTGGGCATCGAAAAATTTGACGAAGAAATTGCCGAAAAGACAAGGTTTGCGCTCCATTCACTATCATTAGTCTTCAGAATTGAGACTTCCTAGCTTAAGCCTATGTAAGGATATAAAACTAACTACAATGCTAGCCGTCCGGGAATTGTCACAGGTCTCGTGGCCTATAGTTCTGGCGGGAACGGCAGTATACTTTTCATTGAAGTTGCCGATATGCCAGGAAGCGGCAGCGTGCAGCTAACAGGGAAATTGGGCGATGTACTAAAAGAGAGTGTGGAGGTAGCACTAACCTGGGTGAAAGCTCATGCGTACGAGCTGGGTTTGACGCATGACCCATCGGAGAACATCATGAAGAATAGAAGTATTCATGTGCACTGTCCTTCAGGGGCTATCCCAAAGGTTTGTTTTCCCATGATGTTGTGTTATAATCCACTAATGGATCAACCAGGATGGCCCATCTGCTGGTATGGCACACACTATTGCACTTATTTCGTTGTTTTCCGGCAAGCCTGTGCCCCCGACTATGGCAATGACGGTAGGTCTCACTATGCAATGCTCGTATGTTCATGGCCACTAACATTCCATAGGGTGAGATATCCTTACGTGGACGTGTTACCGCCGTGGGTGGTATCAAGGAGAAGCTTATTGGTGCTCTTCGTGCCGGTGTTAAGACTGTATTATTACCCGCAAACAATAGGAAAGAGCAAGTTCTTCCCCTCCCCAAAATATCCAGCACACTAACAATATCCAGTATCAAGGATGTTCCCCAAGAAGTTAAGGATGGCCTAGAGATTATTCACGTCAGGTATGAGTTTTGACATTTCCCTCATCCCATTAATTTACTAGCTTTCATGTGGAAACTGACATGCCACTAGACACATTTGGGAAGCAATGCGATACGTCTGGCCTGAAGCACATTGGCCGGGCGAGGAGAATTTGGCGGGCATTGAGAGTCGTCTGTGATTTTGATAATCATATCAGATCCGAGATCTCCCGGCGACACCATGGTTGTGTAATCTTGACGGAAATTATCCGCTAATAAACTGCATATTTCCTCGCTTCTTTTAAATGATACGATCACAGTTGGCGTCTCGAGCGAAATCATAAAATACATGAGCAAATATTGCCTTCTTGTGTATGTTTACTTTTTTTAGCGCGCGTTTGGAGTACTGGGTTACTTGTTGGATGGGCGTTATTGTATGGCCCCGAGGGATTCGGAGATGATCATATCTACATAGGCACTCACTGCTATTTACCAAGTTTTAAAAATCAAATGGTGGAATTAAATAAGAATTTGTAGGACTTTTATGTGATGTGATTAGTATAATCGGTAATACTTGCCCTCCTGGAATTGACTCTAAATCTACGATCAGGCTAGTAAATTTTCCATCTTTCTAGAGAATTGTTCGTATTCGTTAGTGAATTTCGGATTATTTTAGGCTGTTTGGGATTTTGTTTGAAGAGGAATAGGGATGGAGATTGGAGATTGAAGATTGGAGATTGGATGTCTTGTTTGGATTTTACTATGGTTCTAGTGTTCTATAGTTATGTGAGTATGGATGGGTTTTGATGGGTGGTTTTATGTATGTAGTTTGTGGTTTTAGTTTGTGGGTTTAGTTGAAGAAATGCTTTTTGATCTTGAGATTATTATGTGATAGGTAGGTCAGGCAATATGGATGGATTTAAAATTAATTATTATTGTTTTTATGGATTGTTTCCTATTTGATTGTAAGCTTATTAATGTGCTGTGAAGTGTGCAGTGTGGTTTATGATGTTATTTGGTGTCTGGATGGGTGGGTAGGTAGGTAGGTAGGCGGGTATGAAGGTGGTAGGTAGGTATCAATTGATTTATAGCTTGGGTAGCTGGTATGTGGCTAAGATGAGGAGGCTGGGCAAGAAGAAAGGAGAAGATGGCAGATTAGTTTAGTGTGTTCATGTGCTAGTATGTTAGTATGTTAGCATATTAGCAGTCAGTTTTTTCTTTTCCTCCCATGAAAGATATATATGCGTCAAGACGGAAAACGGAAAATGGAACTAGAAACACGCGAAAGGGAAGGGATATAGGTAGATGGCTGGCTATGGTATAGTAACGTTCGGTTTGCTATTTTATACTATGCTATACTATGTTATGTTCTACTATGGTACGTACCTCACCTCTCTATATATATGATGGTACGATGGTACAATCGTACGGAGATACGTATGTACGTAAGTGCGGTGGTACATGGTGTTGTACAATGTAAGAATGCGAATAGATGGTGGGAATAATGGGGATGTAGCATGTAGCATGTAGCATGTAGCATGTAGGATGTAGGATGAAATGGTAGGTTTTCTTGTGCATATGTACGCAATACGCAGTATGCAGTGCAGTATGCAGTGCAATATGCAAGAAGCCGGAATTTATGCTGTGTGGCTAACCTATAGCTGGATGGTTAATGGTGGGTTAGTGGTGGATTGGTTGGTGAGTGGAGTCTGTGTGAGGGGTGCGAGGAGTGCGAGGAGTGGGTGTGTGGTGTACGGCTTGTATGTCAATATGTATATGTATATGTGTATGAGGAAGGAATGGGTGTAAGAGGTTAGCAGAGCCAGGAGATCGGTGTCGGGTGTGGGACTGACTCCGGGATCGGTGGGTTTGAGGTATGTGTGGTGGAGGCTGGGAGTATATGGTTACTGGGTGCCTGGTTATTTGGTTGTTGGGATGTGAATGAGAATTAGTTGTGAGTTATGGTTATGAGTTATGTAGGATGGATCATGAATGGTGGGATGATTCATCTGTTTTGAACTCATATGCGGTTTTGCTTTTGATACGTGTATAGATATTAAAGAGTTAATAGAGATTATTATTATGATTATAATTTGTATTTTTTGATATGTTTAGTGTCTAGTGTTTAATATTAATAATATTTAATATTTGTTATTTAATATTTCTTATATTTTATTAATTATATATTTTTATTTTTATTATTTTTATTATTTTTTATTTCTATATATATATACATTTGGTTTTAAAAAAATTATTATAAATATAATTAATTAAATTAATATATATTATATAATTTACAGAGATATCAAATCTAATGTATAATATAGTAGAAAATATATAATTATAATTAAAGAATAAATAATATATTATAAAAAAATAAATATATATATATATATATATAAAACAAACTTAAAATAATTTATAATAATTTATTCCAAAGATCAATTAATATCTAGAATTAATTAATAAATTATACTCATACTTATACTTCTAAAACTATAAACACAGATAAATATTTAAAAAAACTACATACACCCAAATATAAAAGCCATATACATCATCAATACACCAACCCCCGACCCCTAACCCCAAACCCCCAAACCCAACCCCCAACCCACCACTCGGTGAGCCTAGCGCTCTCTTACTTCAAATTCTTGATTTAAATATAATCTTACAACATCACACATCCCACATCACACATCACACAATAAGCATCACAAGCGAAGGAGCATTTCCAAATTCCCTTCCCTCCACTCCAACCCCAACTCTAACCCCGGCCCTGGCCCCCTTCCCACGCATAAATAAATAGAATAAATAAAGATAATTACACTCTGCAGCCAGCAAGCAAAGCAAGTAAAGCAACACGAACGAACGAGCGAGCGAACCAAACAAGCTCGACAGGGAAGTTCGGTATGTTCCTAATTGTTTGTGTTTCCATTTCATTGCATTACATTTTATAGTATAGTGCTGGATTACTAGAGTGAGGGAGTGATGGGAATAGAGTGAGTGAGGGAGTGATCGGACGGGAGCGGGGTACTTGCAGACTTGCAGAGAGAGATATCGGGTGCGTGCAGGTTTTGGTTTTGGTTTTGGTTGAGGCTGAGGGTTGGGTGGGCGTGGGACTTTGGTATTGAGGTATTGAGGTACGTTGGTGGGCAGAAGGTTAGGAGTTTGTTTGTTTGTTTGTGTGGGAATGCTCGGCGAGTGTGGTTTAAAAGGGATGAGTATTTTGGGATATGGCATATGGGATATGGTGTAATATAATGAATATACTTGGGATTGGGAGTATGCTAAGATTGTTGGGTAGGAATTTGGGGAGATGGCTATTTAACCAAAAAAAAAGAAAAAGGAAAAAAAAAATTGAAAGTCGGGAAGTTTTCTCCCCTCATCAATGGGATGTTTGTTGGGTATTCTACATATCAACCTGTGCCTCGCGAACTTTGCAGAAGTTGCGTTCGATCATCCAATATGTGTAAATGCGTGAAGTATGTGGCGCAATCTCATCAGATTATCAATATTTGTTGGCAAAGGTCTGCTACGATACCAATCAACATTCACTACTATTGTGGCGCCCAATACTCACTCGTATAGATTCCGAAGATAATCTACCTTACGATAGTATCTCCGTCTCGTCTCACCACGTGAAAAGATATTTCCACGTTATCACACATCTGATGTGATACGAAAGTGTCGTACATATATCCACATCTGGGCAGATATTCCGAACAGGAGACGAGAGTGGCCGGAAAGAGGTACGTTTTTTGGAAGTTCCTTGATCCATGACCGTTACAAATGGACGTAAAGCGAGCAACCAAAGACCAGCAATACACAAGAGATATAACCCAAAAGAATCTAGTGGACATGTCTCGGAATGGGGGTTCCAGAGACTGAGACATCGGAAAAGATGGAAAACTGAGACACACACATACACACACACACCAAAAAAAACGCACAATCGGGTGGAATGGTGAAACTTGAGCTCACGAGTATGTATGCGAGGAACAAATGATCGTCACCGGAGGTAATAAAATTCGGAAGGAGAATATGTGTGTCTTACTTTGACAAGACGAAAGGGGTGGAACAACGTGCTAGACTGCTAGACTATAGTCACGTGTACGCGATCAGAATTTATCAATCTGACAAGCTCGATCGGCGGAAATTTGGGCTCTTGAGCCCTGTATTTTAGGTATTGTAAGGGTAGATAGGGCATTGAACAGGGCTAGATGGGTCTTCTTTGTCAATACCAGCTCCTCTATTGACCCTTCATATAAGGTTACGACGGGTATTCTCGAAACCGAGACTAGGAGGCTCCAGCTATAGCTTCAAGCGGGGATGGATTGAGCCAGATCGACAAAGATCTAAGCTAGTGGTTTCAGTTAGATATTTTAAAAGCACTATAGATCTGCTAAAAGTACCTATCGTCAAGCTAGAAATCATCTCGGTCGCGAATGATCCGGTACAAGTATGCAAATATGCGAGCATGGCGGGAGCTGTGGATTAGCGACTGCGCTTTTGCGGGTTGCTTGCAGAGGACAGGAAGTTTGGTTGCACCTCCCAGTAGGACTACAACGGGTGGCTCATCCACTAGCCATTCGTGGTACGCTGGAGCCATGATCTTGTGTTCCGGGATAATCACTATACTTGGATATATAGTATATAGTATGTAGAGTCAGGCTGTGACGGTAGGTAGTATCACATGCGACAGCAAACGTCATGTCTTCATCTTCATCTTCTTGGAAGTAGAAAATCTTGATTGAGATGGAGTAATTCCAGATGGTGGACGGGATGTTCCACGGACGGAGAAATTAGACGTCTCAATAGCCTGTGTTGATAGTTCCGGAAGTGACATGAATTAGGATATAGAGTTCCTCTTACGGACGGGTGATCTACCGGAAGATTTCAAAAAACTATGGAGCACTGACAGAGTGCTAATCATGGGGTTTTCCCGTGCAAGTTCTTCGGCACTAAGAGTTTGTCGTGAAGATCAAAGCGATCCGTTGCCCCTTGTCGGACATTAGGGCTTAACTTTGATGCTAGTCCTAAATGACAATCTATTGTTTGTCTCATTAATAAAAGAGTCGAGGGATTATTTTTCAAATCTTTTAGATGATGCCAAATATTCGTTGTCCGTGTTTCGCAGGACACTGGTGGACATGGAATATAGAATGAAAAAAGTCGGTGCGCTTACTTCATCGGGACTCTCATCTGATGTTTAGAAATTGACAAAGTGGCATGATTGAGATATCTCTCTCTGTTGAAAGTTCTGCGACACTATCAACGTCCGTTCACCCTGTTCATTTCATAGGTTCTCTCGTTAACAAGCTTGGAACTTATTAATAAGTCATCAGCCTATTGATTTTGATGTAGTGTATTAGCCACCGCTATGATATAACTACTAGCTAGGTACACCAGCAGTTAAGGAATGCACACCATCGGCCAATCGCCCATTAAAGCGGGGAATCCATGGGGGTCAACCCGAAAGCCGTTCGAAACACCTGTACTATTCGTCCAAAGGTAGGTACAGTGTGGCTCAGCAATGAATTTTAGCACTCGGATGCTGTCAAGTGAGTGGAATTGATTGGCATTCACTAGATGCCAATAGGTAACAATACCTAAGATGCCATTGCATTTCCATCACCGCACTTCCACAAATGGTTCTTTTTCTTTTTCTTTTATCATGTATTATGTATAAGACGGCGGGGCTCATTCGTGGGCCGTTCCATTCCTATATGCCATTCTTATGAACCATAATGTATAGTAGTGAAGTTATAAGTCGTGTGACGAGTAATGTATATACAGAACGGGTAACTATTAGTCCTTCATCATGCTCGTCGCCAAATCCAGAGATAAAGTTGCAAAGAATCGTGAGATGTGCGGTTGATATGCAGCTGATGTTCATAAGAGTCAGCCTCAACCCCCACACGTTCATAGCGGTTCATGTGTTCCAAGCATTATGCAAGCCTTATGATCAGGCTGATGATTTCCTCCACACAGAATTCAACCAGCTTCGGTAACCTTTAACCCACGATACCCGTAACATGTTCTCTACGACTTTGACCCGTCGTATATCTCCAATTGTCGGCAATTTCGGTTCATTATCTGATTTTTAGACCCGAAATGGACGGTGTGGCTGTAAAATGGCGTACGATAGTCCAGCCTTCAGATGTATTGACTTCTCTTTTCCTATAATGATCGGTGAAGCATTCCTTGGAACTTTATTCTTGTGTAAAACGTTGAAGATATCCATAAATCCCCGAATGAAGTTTAGCTACCTAGCTAGCTATAGACATTGACATTGAAACGCACAGATGGCACTAGAAAGAGTAGGTCTGCCAAGCGGTCTAGTTTATAGTATTATCTTCCCGTGATGCCTAGACTCTAGAACCGTAGTAAAAAGTGAGTAATGGAATAACGAAACAGGTATAGTTATTAGAATTGATCCATAGTTATCCGTCCGTCATCCTTTTTAGTCGATAAATTTGACGTTGTTGGTTTGTCTAGTCCGATGCGGATATAAAACCCGCATTGATCTCCCCGTCATTAGCCCTCGGAATTGAAGGACTTGTGTACCGGCAACATCCAACATTACGCTTTTCCCTAATCGTTAACTGCTACATAAGAGTCTCGCTACGTACCACCATTGACTATAGGTTATTCCCTAGCATGCAGATCTCGACAAATTTAAAAGTTATTGATGCCTGAACCAGACCGTCGGATTTGATGGTAGTCGGGTGTTGCTGAAAGGTCTTTTGCTGACGGAATATTGGCGCCGCAATGTATAGGTCTCATATAACCTGACTGTACCTACTTCTTTTCTTATGTCTTTGGTTCATACCCTGATAAACCATCCAATCTTGTTTCGAGATGCAATCAATTGGGTAAGACGAGGATACTCATCAAAGTGTCAATGATGCGTGCCGCCCTTTGGTACATTTGGAAACCTCTACTCGTAGTGAAAGAAGTAATATGATTGGAGTTGACCAGGAGAGGCTCGAGTGTGAAGAGAATTAATTCTCCGTTGAACCGCTTGTGATGAGATCTATTGTGTCTTGTCTTCATGGTGCCGCACTTTGATGAATGCGTTATGCTCGTTTCGCACATCGCATTGCTTAAGAGAAACCCGATGCTCCCCGCATTTACAGGCACTCCAGCCAATGATTTCGTGAGCCATCGAATCAGTTCTTCTTTCTGGGGTAACAATGCGAGTAGACCATGTTTAAAGATCATTTTTCAATATCATTCTACCCGTTTTCAACTTCGTAACACGAACTACTAAGGGCGTGGGTGAGCTTACTGTCCACGTCAGGCAACGGTGCTTGATGGTGTTGGTAATAATTCTTTGCAAACCTGCCTCTCAGTTCGATGCGATGGATACAGTAATCCACCATCACACCAGTAAGTAGGTAAGCTCCATATAGAATAGATATGACGCCGCTAAGATCTAAGAAAACTCCGAAGCCATCATCATCCGAAAGAGAGAAGCGGAGATGCTACTGCAAGAAGCGGAGATGCTACTGCAGGAAGCTCGATAGCAATGCCAAAATTTGAAAGGGTTGGGATCGGAAGAAAGAGCAAGAAAGGAATAGCATCTCCATGTCAGTGTCGCGCCTATTAGACGGATGTAGCACATATCGTTCCTGTGCTTTGACCTGTGCTGTATGTATGTACAGTACGTGTAACTCTCGGACCGTTGCTATTTTCATGAAATGCGATTGTGTAGGGTATTAAAATAAAAATAAGACCCTATTTTTTCCCTTCCTTGGTCTTTGGAGTGGGGTTGGGGGAAAGGAATTCAGGGGTGGGGGTTTTGCTAGAATCCGAGACGAAGTCCAGAAATTAGATGAGATCTTGCGGATACAATAGGTACCTAGCAGTACAAACCAACCGTCCCATCCTCATTAGGTAGGTATATTTGCGAATGTGGCATTGGCACGATGTAAAGATTCAATCACCGTACGGTACTTTATCTCGTGGGTCGGTCGATCTGATCCAGTAATCCTTCCCATTTCAAGGTTCCCAAGGGGTGAGATAGGAGGGGCAGCGGTTATATTACGATGCTCATATAGGCCCAGGGTCAATTCGGTTATGGTTATGCGAGGAATAGAACCCTTCACCGAACATTTTGCTTGGAAATATCGATAAATGCTGATATTTGTACCAGTAGTCATAACATAACATTGGAAGAAGTACCAACCATAATCGTAATCAAGCATGAAGTACGTATTGACTCGTACATGCTACCAAACACTCAACTAGACGAAGTATTGGACATGCATCAAGGTATTGAACTGGTGAACCTTACCTAGTAGAATAAGACGTCTGCATCCATCGTCCACCATCCATCCATCAGGTGTGTGTAACCCACCCTGCAGGACACCCTCATACAATACAACTACAGCCAAACGTTTGAAGGGAAAATATATTAGATTGCTAGGTCGGGAAATTATTAGGGACGTGCTCAAGCTTTATCTGGCCAGCCTTCAACGTTGAAAATACGGACTGCAAACGACAAACTGGCCCTTTACCGAAACCTAATTGATCATTTTACAGGTATGGTGGGTGGTATGGCTGGTATGTGTTGGTGATAATAAATACCATACCTAGTGTGAAGGCTACCGAGGTCCTCTGTGCCCGCAGAGATTATAGCTGCTTATTTCGCTTGTATTGATTGCCCCTGTTAGGTTGTATTTTCACTGAAGAATGAATTGTTTCCTCCCCAATCGCAAACCGCCGTCTATCTCGTGAAGGCATTCTTTGAACCGTGATTTGTGATTCGTGATGTCGGAGATACTTCCGTTATCTCTCGAGGAGTTTGTAGGATAATCGGAAAACGTATTAATTTCTCTAGTACCACAGTCATCTGTTATTGTTATTTGCTCCTAATATATTATAGTAGCATCTATCCATCTGGCCTAAGGGTTATTTTTATCTTTTGCAGAGTTGCGGTTCTAATCATCGTCTACCTAACCTATTGATTTACAGCTCATGATCATAGATTATTCGTGGTGTCAAAATCAAACCTAGAATCACTGGCGAATTTCGGATCAACTACATTGTGATAAGATAACGAAGGTGCAGCAATCCGCGTGTCGAAATATTCAAGTATTCAATACTGTTTGAGAATTAGATAAGAGTAACACAGAGTAAGTGGATGAGAGCCTGGAAGTCAGGTAATCACACACTCCCTCGAAATGGGAAAAATTTGAGATTGTCCAAGCTTCAACAAATCCCCTGCCCCCCGGAAGGCGCCCCTTCGTCGTGGTCTACAAGGGAAGGGGGAATGATTGCATGCATGATGATGCCAAAGTGGCTCGTACCTGGCTTATTATTGCTGTAATAAACAGGTCAATAATGCTTGAATAAACGTGGTGTCTTGGGTACTCTTGAGGCTTAGCGCTTCCCCAAATCTACGGTCCCCTTGTTCAGCGAAATATAACAAAACAGCCATCAATTATCATGAAAATTTCGCAAAGCTATCGTGCATTTCTGTGTAAGCAGAGTGACCATCTCTTTCCCTAGTACTGTAAGAGCACATGGTGATGCCCGTGAGTAAATGTTGACGGATCGTAGCTACAAGAGGATCTGGACTATTGACAAGGCTACTGCATGAAGCCGTTTTTTGTGCTTTTTTTATTTTCGAGAAGACGATCTTGCTCCCTGTCCGCCCGAGAGCTGTCACAATTTCCCGTAAGTGTCATAGACGAACTATTTACCAAATGGCGGACCTCGAGACAAGTTCACATTGAATCCACAATCCAGTGATCTTGTCCAGTTCAAGCTCCGACTCTCCTAGAGGGGTATAGAAGAATGGATGAGTGTTCGGCGAATGGAACAGAAGGAACTGTCATCACTAGGGTAAGGTTAGTTGTGAGCTAGAGAAATGGCCCGAGGCGAAATCGATGGCGGGTACTGAAATGTGGCGAGCAACAAGCAAGCAAGGTAGAGAGATTGGAGAGAAAAGCTTGAGCGGGGCATAATAACATTTGTACCCTCTTGTAGTGTCGACATGCCAAATTTGTCTAACAATTATCTGCATGAGTGGATGTTTTCTCTTGGCTTTAGTACGCAATTTTGAGATTCCTAAACCAAAGTAGGCAATGTTCACGAGACTTCTGAGACCGGGGACAGATTAAATTAATCAACACTATATCTTTTCTTAGTTGCCGTTCGTACCAGACATAGTAAGTTAAATGCTGGGTACCTGGACCAACGTCCTAAGGAAGCAGGTACTTCGTCCTCTAATATATTTTTTGCTGGGGAAATGGGAAACTGGGAGACTGAACTGGCCTTCGGTCAACGCCTGGGTGCGGATGAAGCTAATTATCATCGTACGGTTATCGGAGAAATATAGATGGAATTAATTAATTCTTAATTAAATCACATTCCCAAACTTGACCGTGCTAAAGCTGCTAACCATGAAGGTCGTGTTAGTCTGTTGCCCTGTCAGTAGGACTAAATAATAATATTTAGGGATGATGTCTAATTATGATATGGAGCCCTGTCAAGCTGTGGACATGGGCTGGTCCTTCAAGCTGTGCTTCTGCGGCTAACTGCTTATTGAGCTTTTCGAGTAGGAAACCTTAGGAGACTAGAAGTCTAGGCAGGTTCGGAGCTGATTTCGGACAATAGAGTGAGTCGTTGCTCCTTGAAAGTTTCATTCTCCGCTGATAATCGATCTCATCATGTCTAGGTAGTAGGTACATCATGGGAGAGGGTCTGCTAAGTGGTTAGCGATTTAGCTTTCACATGAAAAGGATCCAAAGGATCTCTGATGATTAAGGATAGTGGATAGGGTTTAGAGATCAGACGAATCATACATGTAGTCAGTCACTGGCAGCTGAAGTAAGTGAGCGCACCAGGCAGAAACTACCGGCAATCAAGCTCAATGTTGACTAGCCGATTTTGCTGTAGCCAAGTACTCTGTAGTCACAAGTCACAAGTCGACGATGGAATTTGGAAAGTCTTAAATAGGGGACGCCATGCCATGCGTAGATTGTGTTGTGCACCAAAAACACCGAATAAAGGACACGACATTAGTGTCAGGCGGGAAGGTAGTCGGGTGGTGGAATAGATGGTACGTAGCGTACAGTCAATGTGACATAATAACCTTGGAATAGATAAATAGACATAGAAGAGTTTAGGCTAAAAGGACGGGACTGGGACTGGTGGACGGATTACCATAAATTGTTACATCGTTACATCTGGTTGATTTATAAAAAGCTTTTCTTCTTTTCTGCGTGTGGGCCAATCGTTGTGGTGCCGAGGCGAGGAGCACTAGCTACCGAATGATGGGGATTTGCTAGAATTTCACTAGAAGGACTGGTGGACACATTTCCAACCGCCGAGATCATATCAGGAGGAAGGCTTGGCGCGTACCGTCAAATACTCTAATAAGTCTCTGATACTTGCCTGAATTGAGACATCGGTAGCAATCTCGTAGATTAGGAACTAGGAGTTACCAGGAGTTACCAGGAGTTACCAGGAGTTACCAGGAGTTACCAGGTATCCTCCGTAGCAAAGAATTATGTGGATGTCCAAGTTGAGATCTTACAAGGTTCTGTGCGACTGGTGGATGATTTCGACTTTTCAAGCAAAGCATCATGGGCGCAAGTGTGATGTCTACCTACCTAGTAAATACTCATTCTGTATGGAGGAAAGGAGTTCACATAGCCATGCACCTCTCCTGCAAGCAGCCGCCGTAGGGCAGATGAGAATCGTCGCGAAAGGGGTCTTGCGATATGTATGTAATTTACGTATGCCGCAAGTGATGATTTAAGAGTTGAGAGGCAAGGTTCGTCCATCACATACATATTTGACATAAATTTCAGAATTGAGTTCACTTCGCAAAATGCAGAAGGAACCCTATATTCGATCTAGTCCTATCTTTGCATATCAGAAGCATAAATGTTCATTTGGTAAACCTTCATATATTACAATCGATAAGATCGCACATGGACGTCTCTTGGGCTAGAGCTAGGTCCAGGCGTGGTTGCGAAGAGAAGAATGCATACCGGTAAGTTAAGCTTATAAGAAAGAGTCTAAGCGCTGTTTGGAAATTGGAATGAGGGGATTAGATTTGAAGGTGTGATTGATATCGACGATCGTAATGATACTAAATGTGGTACGGAGATAGACAGATACCGACAATAGCTTATTAGTGGTCGTGTTTTCTATCGATCATGATGTTATTCATGATGACAAAATCCTAAAATAATATAGGATCTCAAGACTTCCTATCACTATCAGTGGCTAATCGAGTCATCCGGGTAAGATTCAAGGAAAATAGGGAAGTGGAAAATATTGTAAGATCTTATGATTTTACAAACTTCTTGCGGATGATCTAATAGCTACTAATAACCTACTAATAACCTACTAATAACCTACTAATAACCTACTAATAACGTATATCTCCGTAGCTTCATTCTGTTCTCTTCGTGGCTCACCGGCCCAGGAAAAGGATGATGTTCTGCTCGGGGGACAAAATTTCCGATCAGATTTGCAACATGTGATCACGCAAAAGCCTTCCCTTCTCTTCTGAAGAAAAGTAAGATCTGATAATACCGGTACTTATCATTGCCAGGTGTCCCTTGAACAAAGTGCAAACTTCGATGATCCAAGTTGCTATAAAATTCTAAATACAGCCATTGATAATGATGGAGAAAAGCCACACCAAATCGAAACGATAATACCAGGGCTTCAAATCGTCCTCCTCTTCATACATACTAAGAAGCTCTCTGCAACAGCTTCAGCATCTTGTTACCTCTCAAGTCATGGATTCTTCCAAGTTCCGTTCCTCTTCGGGATGTTGTGCCTAATAAGACAGATTCCACCATGTGGAGCATCCACGTTCATTAAAAGGTAGATCTAGGTACGAGTATGGGCAGGGATTTGGTAGGAATAACTTGTAAAGATTAGAAATTTCAGGACAAGTCAAAACAAATTATCAGACAGCAGCCGAAACATATCGAGTTCTGCCTTCCACTTGGTGATATGCACCAAGGACGAGGTGAACGATGTAAATGACCCAACGATAACGGTGAACAGGTGGGACGGATTTGAAGTATTTTATACGTCTATGTTGCCCCTGGTACTCTCCCTACTCGTGGAATTACCTTCAACGAATCCATTATTCTTTTTGCCCCTCATCTTCTAAGAACACGGCACAAACGAAGATGGAGGAATCACGAGTGATGTCTTCACCATCAGCAGCATCAGGTCATGTTCTTATATTCTCCTTGTCCTTACCTTACTCATCAAAATACGGATCAGACCCGTCCCCTTACCTCGAGGCTCGACCAAGCAGAATGTGAATACGACCCAGAACTAAGGCCAAGACCGAGACCGAGACCTTCAACGGGAGACTCAAATCAGAATCATTGGAATGATTCGGTACGGAGTTTTAATCTATTTTCTACTGTTGGAATCTTGGATCCTCCCGTATTATTGTCCGCAATGGCATATTTGCGCATTGGTATTCGTAAGTCTTAGCATCTTCCATTCCCCCTCCTCCATAATCCATCTCATCCACCCCTTCATCTTATCCCTTCACCCTCCTACGCTACAATCAACATAGATGCTGGCATACCGCTACGTGCGCATAGTTTGATTGATTTGTATCCATTTCCCAGAATTCTGAAGTCTCCATCATTTCATCTATTTTACCGGTTTTCCTTCCTATAACTAACCTAACTTACTCCGGGCCCACCATCATTTCAACTAACCTCTTCTCATCACCCAGATGGGAACATGTCTCTGTCCATTTTTAATATATCTTCCTCGTTCGTAACCCCAGTCTTCATCTACTTCTACTTATTTTCATACATCGCCACATGGCAGCGCACATTTGTCCTCGCAAGATACACTAAAGTTCTTTCTTACTCTACTGCATTTACCAGTCAACCCTGAAAAAAAGATATGGGTAATGGGTCAGCTAAGCTAAACTATCTATCACCTACGTGAATGTGTCACTTTCAAAACCTCTAGATTGGCCGGTCTATTGTAATGGATGTTAACGGGGAATACTCGCATCATACGGAGTATGGGCGGGTGTTTAATACTAGGTAGTTAAGTCAATGTCACGCTTGCATCATCATTCACTTCAGTACGTGCTGCTAATTGAGTAGAATTATCACTGTGAGTTACCAGTCAATATCTCAAGAACAAAACACCCATGGCGTCAATTTTTATTTTTATTTTTATTTTTCTTTTTCTTTTTCTTTTTCTTTTTATCTTATTTTTTCCTTTTTATACAAATGACCTATATTTAATCACGCTAAACTAATAATGGACTAAAACTAATCTTTTTTATTTTTTGGGTATTTACAAGGATTCCTCTCAAGTCAGGACCAGAATAAGATCACCCTCCGCCAGCCTAGGTATTTATTCTCCCTAGTCTAGTCACCAAAATCGACACACCCCAAGCGAACACTCTATTACACGTCTCTTGTTTTTTTTCCTCTTTCCCTTTCCCTTCCCTTTCATTCCATGATCCCTACTCCCTGCCCCCTGCTCCCTGTCTGCGTTGCGTCGTAGCCGATCACATTCCACGGAGTGAAAAAAAAAAGAAGGAACAGGCGCGCTATATCCATACATATCCATACATATCCATATCTACTACATCCTACCCAAAATTAAGTATCGGTACTTGTGTCCTTGGATACATGCCAACATATAATATACCAATATATCAATAAAGCAGTATATCATTATTCTATGATATTTAATCCATACATCTACAGCCGAACCAGTCTTACGTCTTACGTCCTACGTCTAACTACCTACCTACAGAACCACAGTCATTACACTACACACCACACTCTTTTTCACCCATACATACATACAACGACCAGGTAGGTAGGTACCTAGTACACCAAAATCAGTCCGTCTCCTTCTACATGACTACGTACCTTTAACCACCTACCTACTTTACTTGTTTGTACCTTTACCACTCACTCACTCACTCACTCACTCACTTACTACCTCTACCTTTACCACTCACTCACTCACTCACTCACTCACTCACTACCTCTACCTCTACCTCTACTCTCCTCTTACTTTGCCTTTCTTTCGCCTCCAACAACACGTACTTTATATTTATCTACTCTCTGTTATCGTTTGGACATTTTTATATACCTCCACTCTATTTAGCTTTTTCAAACTTTGGAGGGAAAAGATTTAAAGCATCACGCTCCTTCCGCAACACCCCCCTCCTTCCTTGATTGATCCGATTGCCCAAATACTTTCAATACCCGCAATATCCTGACATGCATCACACTTACTGAAGTCAAATTAAACAATTCGATCCACTTCATACAATCATTTCAAGGTACACCGGACGAACTTCCTTGACCTTTTTTTTACCCGACTCCTCCGAACCCATAACTTGGATTAACCTGGAAAATATCTAATCTTCCCAACAGTCGCCAGCACTTTCATCTTGATATATATCTCCGCTGTCAATCTCACGACCCTCACGAATCGGCTTCTTTCGCCCTCAGATCCTCAGGGTTCCACCCCACCCCGATTTTATCACCTTGACACTTTTTCCCTGATACATCCCCAGCTTCGAGAAATTTCACCTTGTCCCTCCTCTCGGAAAGCTCATCAAGCCTTTTCAACATTTCCCACGGGAGTCACACCAACACAGATTGTTCGGTGCATGCTGCAGCTCACCGTCCACGTCAGTTAGTCACGAACATTTTGCTCCTGCAGTATTACCTCAGTACATGTCTCGTCCTTCTTGTCTCAGTGTACTTCGGAAGTAGCGCAAACCCATCTTACCAATTCTCAAGAATAGCGGCCTTCATTATTGTTCCGACAACGCTCTTCGTGCATAATTCGGGACGAGGAATCTATAGAGTCCCATTTAAACTCCTGGGAATCAGGTCTTTTCAGAGATCTGGATTTTTTTTTACTTTTTTTTGAGCAGGTTGGTTCCAGCCAATGTTCACTACCAGGGAAGAAATATACTAAAAGAAAGCTATAGCATCATCAAACGACTAGCCATCGAATTCAAACACCTTCCTAATTCTTTAAAAGAGATTCCACTAGGGAGATAACGCGGCGCATTTTATATATACCTTCAAGAAGGAACTTGCTGTTGTCAAAGCGGCCTTGACCTTCTTAAGGGTTTGCGACCTCACTAAGCCACTGTCATTTCCATGCAATCTTCAACGAACCAAGTCGATCATTCAGATATCTCGCTCGGTGAACGGCGAGGAAAATCAGACCTGGCTCGCTTTTCTCTTGATCTGAGTTGGGCCAGAGCGGTACCCGACGGGGCTCAGTCTTGGGCATACCCCTCTCCGCCCATGTCAGGGTCTCCTCCACTTCCCGGTAGACACAACCTGGATTCCAGCGATCGTAGTCATGGAAGCTATGGGTCAACGGTAAATGTCTTCCGAGATGGGCGCCTCCCTCAACAAGCGCATTTCGGTCAAATGAGAGGTGTACCTCTGAGGAATTATCAACCAGAACCCCAACTTTCATACCCTCAATACCAGATGGAAGATATGTCGGCGCAATATCAATACCAGCAACCTCGGGCACAAATGCCGCATCATCAACACACTCACCCTCTTTATACCGCCCAACAGGTTGCACCATATCCGGCACCAGAGCGACAATCAATTGGAGAAGCCCCTGGCTACACTTCCCCGAAATCACAGAGAAAGACAAAAGGACATGTGGCATCCGCTTGTGTCCCTTGCAAAAGAGCCCATCTTAGGCAAGTCTCCTTAGCATTTGCGCATTTCTGTACCTTACGCTAACTTATCCTAGATGTGACGGTACGTTTACTCATTTATCCAGGGATCGCGGTGCTAGCTTTGTTCTAAAGCTAAGAAAGTCATCATTTCTACTGGAACCATATTTGCCTTTGGTTTCCTCGACAAAGCTGCTCAAAAAAAGTCCAATGGCAAGAGAATTATACTCATTGCTTTTGACGGAAGCATAATCTTCAAATTCTCAAGCGAGAACAGTAATGATTCTGCGAACATAATATGATAGGCGATTGATATTTAGCATGAGCTTAGCGTAGTAAAATCTCCGTTAAGGCTATGGACTTGTTTAGTAACATGCCCGTGGCTTACTACTAGTGGCAGCGCCAGTGGCTCTATCGGAGAATTCAGTTGCCGTGTCCGGCACTAGATACGAGGATCGAACAAGTAGACAATCGAAAGTTCGTTCTAGTGACGACTAACTATTCAATTTCTTTCCAATCTGTATAGTGTAATTTCGGATTGCGTGGTGTTGCGGAGTACGAAGACTTCCCAAGTATACCACGGAATATTCCGGTATCAACCTATCCATGTATGTTGCAGCATGTACTAGGGTGTCGTACAACACGAGGTGCACTTGTACTAGGCTTGGCTAAACACTTAACCAAATCTCTGGGACAATGATGACTCGTGGGTATGAAACTTGCAAATACATCTCAAGCGGTCATATCCCGCATGAAATTCTTTTGATCTCCAAAACACAACGTTGATTCATTGCACACCCCTCAGTATTCAAACCGAAAAGCCCGAATACTAATCTTATTTTATTCCTAGCTCAACGGCCATGTTCGAGATGCCTAAGCAACGGGAAGGAGGATACGTGTGTGGATGTTCAACACAAAAGAGGGGCGCCCAAGGTTAAGGGATGAGCGCGAGCCTCGGTACGAAGGCAGTGGATCAAATTACCCACCTCCCGCAGATACGATGAGAAGGCCAATATCGATGTTCGCCGCTGGAGACGTTTCAATTTCTACTCCATATTCCGAAGCCCAACGAAATAGTGGATATAGAGTGTTGAAGTCGCAAGGTGGAAACCCAATGAACCAATCAATGGTTCCAACCCCAATCAATACTAATGTTTATGGGGAGGCAATGCCGACAAGTCAGCGCATGACTCCTTGTGAACCGGCTTGTGCATTTCTTACCATGGAAATGCAGATCGCCAAAACAACTCAAGCTTTCTCCGGAGTAGTTGGTACACATTCAGTCGTGGGAAGAAAGTTGCATGATATTGTGAGTGTAAGCGATCGCGATAAGATCTTCCGATTACAGAGTGGATTCGAAGATGAGCGTCGCAGCAGAGATCCGAGTTACCTACCTCCAATATTTTCGAAAGAAGAGGAAGATAGGGTCATTCAGTCCTTGACATTTGCACCTAACGACATAGGGCAATTACGAACAGATCGACCGGAAGTCTTTACCTTTCAAACACCGGATGGTCAGCAGCGGGGCTTCCATGTTCAATTAGGCCTTGCGAAAAAAGACTCGATTTATTTTGTCCTTCTGGTGGTTCATATCCCAACAACTCCACAACTATTCCAACAATCGTCTTCGCCATATCCAAGAGACTCCGTGTCTCGTGATTCTACATATGGTTACCAAACACCTAGCCAGCTGTCTTATGCATCTCAAACTCCGGGGACCTCACCATTCATGTCAAACCCTTCATTCGGTGGTGATATGTCGGCCTATCGAAACCCGGGGCATTTAGGGCAAAATATTGTCATGCCAAATAATGCCCCTTCATATGCGCAGCTTCAAGCAAGGCCTGAATATTCTCGAACTCAAATGAACTACCCGGGGCCAATGGGTGAAATGATACCAGGCCAACCTCAACCTCAACCACAGGCTCAACCTCAACCTCAACCACAAGCTCAACCTCAAACTCAACGGTCTTCAGATCTTCAATTACCCCCAATACGTGGACAAGCACCTCTTACTGACGCTAGGGGACAAGTCGACCGCAGTAGTCGGGTCGATATTGGTGGTCTTTTGCAAAATCCTGATCCTTCACGGAGGAGAAAATAATCAAGCAAGCACAATTTAAATCTTAAAATCAGGAGCGACCTTTCTATACCATGATCTTTAATAGTTGAAGGAAAATCAACAGTTGTGCTGGTCGGGGAGTGGGACGGAAGTAATCACTTCACCGCTAGATTCAAAACCGAGCAGCCTAGCGCTTAAACACGGAAATACAAATTTCTTCATCTTTATTCCTCATATTCTTGTACTATATATTGCAGCACTGCTAAAATTTTTCATCATCTTCTCAAAATATCGCCCTAATGCTTGTACATTATTTTGAGCGAACTATCAATTGTGCTGCTTTTATCATATGGTGTGGGATATCATTTATCCATATGGCGCATTTTGTCTGGATCTCTTGTTGCGATTATTACCAATAGGGCGTTTTGGTTTTTCGTTTTCGTTGTTGATTTTGAAAATGAATTCGAGGCATGTGTAATCATGAAGTATTTCGTGTTTTCCTTCTCTTCTTTTATATATGAGGAGGTAGGTAGGTAGGTAGGTAGGTAGGCAGGCGTGTATGATAGATATATCTGATGGTTGGTATTTGGTATGGGTATTGGTCTTGGTGTTGGTGTTCGTATTTGGGAGTTGGGAGGATGGGATGGGATGGGCGGATTCGTTCGATGGGCGGGTGGGGAGAAGGATAATGGCGAGATTTTTATATTATGATATTGGGAATGGGGTGGAGATGATGGTGGAGATGAAGTAGAGATGGGGTGTTAGGAAGGGGAGAGGAATGTAATTGATTATAGGTAGAGGAGGTGGGGAAGAGGAGGGGAAGAGGAGGAGGAGGAGGAAGAGAATGAAGGTTAGGGTTAAGGTTAATTAAGATTAAGATTAAGATAATGAGAAAGAAATTTGAAATACAAAGAAAGGATTGATTATCTATCTGATGAAGTTCAGAGTATTTGATAAGATTTTATTTGAGATTTTTGAGATGAATAAGAGGAGGTATGAATAAATAGATGGAAGAATAAATGAATAAATAAATAAAAGAGTTAAAATTTTAAAGTTCAAAATCAAGAGTTAGTATTTATATATAATATTAGTTTTTATTATATGTATAAATATATTATATTATATTATATACTTTATTAAGAAAAAATAAAAATAAAATAAAAATAAAAATAAAATAAAATAAAATAAAATAAAATAAAAATAAAATAAAAAAAATAAAAATAAAATAAAATAAAAATAAAAATAAAATAAAATAAAAATAAAAAATAAAATAAAAATAAAAATAAAAATCAAGAATTAAAAATTGAAGATTATAAATTGAGAACTCGAGGATTATAAATCAAGTTAATTGATTAGATTTATAAAATTATAATACAGTATAATTATTAATAAAAGATTAAATAATAATAGTTTTGTTTGATTTAATTTAATTTGATTTGATTTGATATAAGATTAAAAATTTACAAAATTCTTATAATTAATATTTTTATTTTGAAATAAATTTGTTTATTTATTAATAAATGAATTTTTAAATTTTTTTTAATAAGTTTTAATATATGATTTATTGAAAATGAGAGAATAAAGAAAGATGAAAGGGATTATATTTGTTTATATGTTTTTGTTTTATATATTATTTTAATATATAATTAATGATTTTGGAAATCGTGAGTAAGTTAAATATGATTGATATATATATACACTAGGAATAATGAATGTGTATAAATAGTACAATATCTTGGAAGCTGATATTCAGCTACTTGAGTTAATCTTAAAGTTATAATAAATCTTCTAGAATTTAACTTTGTAAATTCTAGTTTTATATCTTTTATTTTCGTCTGTTTATTTCTATGACCTTGGGGTTTTAACATTAAAACATTAATGTAAGATGAACAATCACATTGTTCGATTAAAGTTTGGGCATTGATATACAGAAGATAGGTAGGTAGGTAGTAGTCGTCGTCGTCGTAGTACGAAGACGGCATATTTGTTTAGATTTATGATGGAAAGACCGATGATGACAAGACTAGTACTTGAGTAACCCAACCTAATGTTCCACGATGGGGTTTTCCGATCGACAACATTGATATATGTAATCTTACAAGCAAACAATCATTTCCAGACTTCTCGATCTACTACTACCAATTTGTATTGCCTCACTGTCTTTAAATAAAACTGCATTGCATACAAATGATCCAACCATCTAAATCAAAATGCCTCTAAACACTCACTCACCAATTTTCCTCCACTACCTCCAAAACATCCTCCTAATAACACTATGCGCAATATTCACTCCTCTCCTAACACTCATAGCCATCCTCTCCACCCTCATATCCCCATTCACGACACAGAGTCAAAAAATCCAGCACCAGCGAACCCAACGCGCAAATTCCCCCTCTACATTTCCTCCTCCCCGCACAATCCTAGTCACCGGAGTAGGAATGAGCAAGGGATTATGTATCGCGCGATCCTTCTATCGCGCGGGCCATAATGTCATCGCTGCGGATTTCGAACCCTATTATATACCATCATGTGGACATTTCTCAAGAGCGATTAGGAAATTTTATCGCTTGAGGAAACCGTGTGAGGAGCGCGGTTCTCGCGTCTATGTAAGGGATATTGTGGAGATAGTCCAGAAGGAAAGATGTGACTTGTGGGTATCGTGTTCCGGGGTCGCGTCTGCGATTGAGGATGCTGAGGCGAAGGAATTGGTGGAGAGGGAGACGTCGTGTTTGGTTGTTCAGTTTGGGGTTGAAGTGACGGGGAGGCTGCATGAGAAATATTCTTTTGTTAAACAAATGATGGAGTTGGGGTTGAATGTTCCGCTTACTTATAGGGTTCATTCGGTAGAAGAGGCTTTGAGGATTTTATATCCAGAGACAGGAGTGAAGGTTCAGAAACAGTTTATTATGAAGCCTGAAATGGTCGATGATAGTGTGAGGGCTGATATGACGATACTTCCCCGACCAACACTTTCACAAACACAAACTCATATACAGAAAATGAATCCCTCAATCAAAAGACCATTTGTTCTTCAACAATACATCTCAGGAAGAGAATACTGTACACATAGTATAATACTCCTCGGAAAAATCCATGCATTCACTTCCTGTCAATCATCAGACATGTTAATGCATTACCGAGCTCTTGAACCTTCATCTGCACTCGCTCAGGCAATGCTTCACTACACTACGCTCTACCTTCGCAAAACAAGCTCCACATCTCCCCCAGCCATAACCGGACATTTCTCCCTCGATTTCCTAATCAATGAACAAATAGCCCAAAAAGCCTCGCGAGATCTCGCACCTTCAGATGCGGATATTGAAAATCTTCAAAAGGAGCTCTTTCCTATTGAATGTAATCCCCGAGTGCACACAGCTGTTATTCTTTTAAACGACAAGGCGGAGGAGATGGCAGATGCATATATCCAATTCCTATCCGACTCCCGCACAAACGAAAGCACATCTTCGAAAGAAAATTCCCAAACGTCCCAGAAATTAATAATAGTACCGAGTCTAGACGCCGTCAAAATAGGTTATTACTGGATAGGACATGACATTCTCACGAAAATGCTTCTCCCGATATTTGAATGCGTTAGTTTTCAACGAAGTATAGGCAGTTTAGTCGGTGAATGGATGGAATTTTTCATACATCTCTTGTGGTGGAAAGATGGAATGTATGAGATTTGGGATCCGTGGCCGGCGTGGTGTTTATATGTACTTTTTTTGCCGGGATGTTTTTGTGCGTGTATTTGGGAGGGAAAGTGGTGGAGTAGGTGTAATGTTAGTACGGGGAAGTTTTTTGGGGTTTGAGTGGGTGGTTGGGTTGGTGATTGCGGATTGGGAAGGCGATGAAATGATGAGTTGGTGAAGTAAGAGTTAGTTAGCACGCATTAAAGAATTACGAGGATGAAGAGTGGGATATTCATTGCATTGCGTTTGCATTGTTCCAGGGTTAAGTGTTCATTACACCAGTTATGATACGGGAGGAAGTATTTCTATCTCTACCTCTTCCTCTACCTCTATTCCTACTCAGTCTCTCGATTAGCGCAATAACAGCTACTTTTATCCCATGCTCAATTACTCCCTCACATACTCCTCACATACTCCCTCACATACTCCCTCACATACTCCCTCATACACACAACACACACCCAAAGACATTCACCGCAACCCTCCAAATCTCCAAAACCACAAACCACAAAACTTAATCAATCAATCATAGCATACATATGTATATTCATCACTTCACACTCCTACTAGTTAACCAAAATATAAATTAGCCGACCTCAAGAAGCCAAATCTCAGGAAACTGAGTTCAGACTATGTATTATACTCTTACATACATGCGACACAGATGCCTCCCACCATTCATACCATCCATCCATCCATCCATCCATCCATCCATCCATCCATCCATCATCCATCACGCTTAGTTCCCGACGAGCTCCACAATAAGAACCTCCCTGCCCACCTCATCCGTCCGTCCATCCATCCATCCATCCATCCATCCATTCATCCATTCATCCATCCATCCAGACATCCAAATAATCTGCCACCCTCCAAAGAGATTGAAAATTCCCTTCCGTATCTTTCCATTTTTATCCCGCGTGTTACTAAGATAAAATGCTGAAATCCAAGACGAAAAAAAAAAAAACACTTCCTATTTACCGCTCGCTTTTTTTTCATTAAACCGGAAAAGGACAAAGAAAAGAAATCCAACTTTGTTTCATTAAAATGCGTCATCAAAAAATTGTATCATCCATAAATGTCGTCAAATAAGTGTAAATCTCATCTCTCCACACAAAAATGTAATCATCTTACATTACATAGCCTCTTCGGGGCTTGATGGTTTCTGCGGCTGAAGATATGCGGTGGGTACTTTTGGTACTCGTGGTGATCGAGGAGGTTGAGAAATTCCTCTCCTTTCTGCTCGTAAACTATCTCGAAAACGTTCGTTATCCTTTGATCGGCCGCCAGTGAGTCGTCGCATACCTAGCCGAGTGCCAGCTGCAAGAGGTTTGATCATATTCTCAAGAAAAAATGATCCTTCCCCTGAAGTGGTTGTACGGTCATCTTCACCATCCGAGAAAACGTCTTCGCTAAAGTCATCGTCTGACATGTAAGCTATGTTAGGATGACCTGAAGATGCCGAAGGTGATGTCAGAGCACGAGCATGTAAACTCGGTCTGGAGGTAGGAACGAGGTTAAAAGCGGCCGGTGTCATGGCATTACTTGATTCCCGTGGTGGCCTTAAATCAGCGAAGCCATTTTGAAAAGTAGAGTTGGTTGCTGAATGGGTGAGTGATTGATGAAGAATGGGTAAAGTTTGCTCGTCATATAATTGAGCGGCAGCAGAATCGAAACTTTCACCCGAGAATCCAACTTCTGTAATTGTTCTAGAAGACCGTCCATCGCTTGTGGGACTCTGCAAACTGTCTTCAAAGAAGTCGTCTAGGCTGTCCAACTTCATCATGAGGTCACCAATATTTCCATCACCTCGAGCTTCATCTGACATCATAGTTTCAGTTCTCTCGGGGGGCGGGAAGTAGCCGTATTGGAAGTCATCAACATGAAACTCGACATCTGGGGCTGCAGCTACTTCATTATCCGTATTCTTAGTACTCTGACACATGTAGAACACAGCATGCACATTGGCTCTTGTGACGCTAGCCTGTTTTGCCGGCATTGGGATAGACCAGCCAGACTCTTCTGGGATACCAAAGAGGCTTTGAGTGTTATCATATTCCTTCCTTACTGCTCTCGAAGATGACCTAGTCATACTCATACGTAAGTGGTGTCTGTCCATCGGAGTTCCCGTCATTGTCATAATTTGATCTAGTACCTCTAAAGCTTCCATACAAAATTCCGTTTGTAGCAGTCTTAGGAGAGGTGAGATAAGGTCAGGCCCATGAGAAGCAATTTCCGGCTTTTTCATGTCGATGTCAGGGATAATAGCGCATAATATGCGCATCGTCTTTAACTTATACCATGGTATACTGTTTGTTAGCGAACCCATGACGAATGTCAGACTACGGAATTCCCATTTTGGGAAGAACGATTCGCGAAGCGCAGAAACCAATTGCGCCAGAAAGTCTTTACTTGAACGATAACGCGATCCAGCGAACCCGCTAAGAGCCCTTGAAATGGTACTGCAGCCTTGTGCTTCCGCAACCGCTGCAAGGAGTTCGGCTGTCCGTATGCTCTTCTGGTCGATATTCTTTTGATCCATAGCATTAAGAAAGCCAGGGAAATTAGCCAACACCGCAAATAGTAATCGACTGTTGTCACCAATAAGATCGTCACTTGGTAGTGTAACGAGCTTATTGAGAATTGACAGTGTCACATCAAGACATGCCGATGAACGAACGCCCTTGTAAATCAATGCTTGTATTCCACCAAAAGAACCTTCCCAGCTTGTGGGTCGTCCTTGGGCGAGCAAATCTCTCACTGAGGGATCATCCAAGTCGAGTTTTGCAAGAAGCTCCTCTAGCATATGACTAGCTTCTAAGAATTCTTGTTCATTTATTGTGTCCAGACAAGCGCACGTGGTCCAGAATAATTGTGGGAAAGTAAGTAGATCAGCAGGTCCGAGCTTACGAATTAGCGTCCGTAATGTCGTAAGTATCTCGATGGAAAATAATTGGGTAGAATTTTCCAAGTCGGCAATGGTATTTGAAAGTCTTATTAACATATCGGCAAGCATAGGCTGGTCCAGTGAAGTAAGAGTGCATCGAAAGACCTGGAAAGATCGACAGGCAAGATGTCGAACAGGACAAGATGTTGCCCAAGTCAATGATAATTTAGCCCACTGTTCTTGTATCCCAGGGTATTTTACTTCGAAATCTCTGACTACCTCCCTAGTGAGGAGTTCCATACCGGGGGGAACTTTGTTCTCTTGATCATATACCTTGCCACTGTTGTCGTCGTAGTGCCAGATAACTTTGGGGTCGTGACGGCGAATCGACTCGATAAAATCTTCAATGGAATTCTTACTTGGATCAGTACTTTCGTCATCAATCTGAGAAATTACCAACTCATGGATCAGATGAATCAACATTTCTCGGGCTTGTTCTTGTACCAGTGGTATATAATGATCCCAGAGGACAGTTACTACTTGCAAAAGAAGCGGAACGTTTTCTGCCACAAGTTGAACAGGCGATACCATCAAATCGACGAGTAATATGAGGGACAATTGCCCCAACGAAAGTCCTGTTTGTTTATTCCCAATTGGCAAAGCTTCCGATAGTTCTGCCATATATGGCAGCTTTCCAACATCAGGCGGAGGTGGCAAAAATTCTCGTTTCTCATTAGGAACCATAGCTTTTGGCGTGATCTGCATCAATAAGAATTCAACGACTTTACCACCAGCAGGAGTGCTGGATAAGAACACCACGATTTGCTTGGCATACTCCACAAAATTCTGTTCTCGCCTGTCGAGGCACAATGACATAATAAAATCTAGTACCAATTGAACGTTACCAGCATGAGGACCTGTAGCAAGCGCCTGCCACAAAGCCTGTACTTCATTGTGGAGACTGCTGCTGCATCTGATTGTTATCTCAAACAAGTTTGCCAATAGGACATATGATTGCGCAGTTGGTCCGCCGTTCGGATCGAGCTGTAGTTCAATGATTTGAATCCATGGCAGAATGGCAGCGACCACATTTCTTTGTGGCCCAGCCTGTAGTTCCTTGAAGTACATAGTAAACTCAGAGAAGATGAGAAATGCCAACTCAGAGTGATTAGCTGAGAGTCGCTTTGAGATTTCGAATTGAGCAAGCTTGTATACTGCTTTCGTCTTATCTGAAATGCTGATGTCAAAATCTTGGATTTTGGAACTCCTTTGCTGTCTCTCCTCCAAAGCACGCAGTATACGAGCAGATTTAATTCGGATGTCGCTCAATTCACTTCCGAGTGTGTAAAGACCTATCCCCAGCAATCTCCAGAAAGGCATTGGATAGTCTGGATACTCAATTAGTACCTCCGTTACAACTCCAAAATAGCTTTGTAATACTTTTGGCGCCTCCGCAAGATAACACCTGGTGATAGAATGCTCTAGTAGGTAAGGAAACTCCTTATTGTGTACGATTAAGTTTTTTAACGCTCGTCGTCCGATGACATGCATTCGATCGCTACCAGTGTTGAAAATAGTGTCGACCCATGAAAGCATACGTCGTATGTCAAATTGCAAGTTGGCTCCACTTTCGGTTGTTATACTTATACGACCCCCGCATAATGCAGCCATTGCGCTAAGAGCTGCGGTTCGAAGATTCCTTTTCTCGATTTCCATGGCGGCTGTCACAACGCCTCGTTCGCCTAGTGATTGTTGATTGATCATAGATTGCCTCATATTATCCTCTCGCTGCCGTATTTGATTTTGGTTCGGGGAATAGCCACACCAGTCCTCCATAAGAGCGAAGGACGACTTTCTAGACTCGAATGTCATCCACCGAGAAGGATCCTTGGTGAGATTAATACCCTCAAAAAGCTCTTCCATTAGTCCACAGTAGTGACGACGGAGCTTCTGAAATTCCCAATCCAACTGAACTTCCCCGTCCATCAGGAAAATTTTGAGGTCTTTCGTGTAGACAACGAGGTTATTTAGAATCCAGTCGTCTTCATAGATTTCTTTCTCTTTTAAAAATGATGATGTTAACTTGTATACATGAGTGACCTCAGTCCTTAGCAGATCAGTTCTCCTATTTCGTCTGGGGCTACTAGCACTTCGTTGATGAATTCGAGCCCTTGCATCATCGTTGCAACGGCTTACTACGCTTTGTAGTTCCTCTAGTAATGTTTTGTAAATATTAATATTAATAGACCCAAGCGCCACAACCACTGCATCCCGAATTGAAGCCGGGCCCACGGAAAGCAATGGAATGAGATACTTGAAAAGAATCCTTGCGGACGTGATCTTCTCCAATGCCTGATTTGGCTTTGATCCCTTTCGATAGTGCTGCGTTATTGGTGGTGATGACTGCTGCTGGCCACCCTTGTCCGAGAGAGTCGTACATGCAACGATTAGATAAAGCTTCCATTGTTCAATTAGTACTTCCGGTGGGGTGGTTGAGGCTCTTGACAATAAGCGGCCGCTGCCAGTGTCATAGCCATATTGTGGGCCGCGGTTTGCTTCCGACAATACAACGATGCCTTTATACATCTGCAGAATTCGGTTGCAGATTAGTTCCCGCCCAAGTGTTACTGCAAATGGGCAACGGTCGTAACTGATTCGTATTAGATTGGGAAAGATTTTGAACCATAGAGTTGTATCATATGAGACATCGCTACTGCAAAGCTCAATCAAGTCGCTCTCATGTCTCTCATTGAGATCTGTCTTCTGTAAGCCTCTTTGCAGTCTACTGCGCTCTGCAACAGATAAGGTTTCGTCATTGAAATCCATAACCCCTTTGGCATCTCCTTCAAGAATGTGTATTAAGCGGCTATTGTCCTTGCCCAAAGCAGTATCAAATTCCGTAATAAGGCGCAAGACTGTAACAGCAAAAGCACGCACTCGCCTTGACTGTGAACACAAAAAGAATAAGCCATGTGATTCAACTTCATCAACATGTGCCCAAATTCCGGAAAGATCTAGTTGCACTCCTCGCTTATCAGCAGATCCATCTTCGGACATATCTAACGCGGCGTCCTTCATCTTGTTTTTGATCTCCTCAATCCATATTTGGAGCAATTCCACATAGAGCTTTAGTGTATTCTCGATGTGCCCTGGACCAAGCATACCACCATCAGACATGGTAGAATATCTATCATCAAAGTTGAAGATGAAACGAGCAAATCCAATGGTGACGGGCTGAGCGTGAGACTGTCTAGCGATTGACTTTAGAGATTGTGCCGAAGACTCTGCAATGTTAGACTGCACGTGAGCAGTGCCGGTACAGAGGAGGTTGACAAGGATGTTGAAAGGTATGTCGGCCGATAGACAGCGAGGTAGGGCCTGTACCGCAACGTGCAACAGCTCGTAAAATCCCTGCTTTTGCTCCGATGGAGCTAGGTGGTCGTCTCGCCGGAAGTTGAAGCTTTCGGCAAGTGGTGTTTTGGGGATTGGTCCATTGAACTTTTCGTCCAAAACAGCTTGACCCCCAAAAGTGTTGTCGCAGATGATAGTGATTTTCCCTAGAATCTCACAAAACTTTGCATAATATTCCTTGGCAACATCACCCAGCGCGTTAGTAATCACAGGCCGCGAGAGCCTTTCTTCGCGAGTAGAAACTACCAGAGAGGGTGTGATGGGACTTCGAGGCGCTGTCATTATGGGGGAAGTCGGCATCCTTTCAAATACTGGCAACGGTGAGTAGTACTGTGGAAACGGTGGACAACCTTGGTCGCCTTTCTCTAGATCCGACATGATGGCAAGAAAAGCTCGAATTCCCACCACCATTTTTTCAGGTTCTAACTGTTCGACCTTGAGTTCCCTCCCAGAAGCGAATAAGTCCGCATTGATCAAGGGAAAAACTATAGTACGGAAACAGAAATCTTGATATTTGAAACCAATGATGCGTATAATCTGGATCAGCGGTTCGATGATCGATGCTTCCGTAGAAATGTAGGACTTCTTACCATGAGGTAGCAAAAGTTTCATGACCTCTTCCAACTTCTTAATTGTGGCGTTCGTAGTATCGCTTGTGCGATGCAAATAAGTCCAAAGAAGTCTCGAAATTACTTGTAGACAGATTGGTCTAGTTCTTGGCTCCTTCATTTTTGCCTGGAGGGGTAGGATTAGCTGAAGCCACTGTGTCGAAAAGGTATCCGTGGGAGATACACAGAGCAACGTCGCTGTCAATGGAAATGCAACAGCCCAGTGACGAGGCTTAATGAACATCGAAGCCAGTCTAGGACCTATAGTTGCCAACACTTCATTCCACTTCGGCATATTGAGTTCCGTGTTTGCTGTGGCAGCAATTGGCAGAAGAAGTATTTCGAGTGCCATGCAATAAGCATATTTAAGATGCTGACCATGTGATTTTGAAAAGAATCTCCCAAGAGAGATCATGAAATCGCACGACTGGTCCCATGCATCCTCGGGATATGCCTTAAGACGAATATGCTTCATGCCGCCGAGGACTAAAACCATACGCCCTTCAATATCCCTATTCATTGGATATTTGACTAGGTCTTTCTGCGACTTCTCGAGATCCGCTATGAAGCGATCAGTGACACTGTCAAAATTGATTTCTGCCATGACACCGAGTAATTGGCTGAATAAGAACCAATTGGCCATCTTGAGAGGCGAGGTGCTCAGTTGGTCTGCGTCGGCAATTTTCAGTTGTCCAAAAATAATTCCTTCCAACTTTTCTTCCATCTCAGGCGTGATACGAGCCAAGGTACTTTGCCCGATGACTTCCATCAGGACTCGGCATAATATAAATATTGAAGCTGTGGACCGACGTTCTGCCTGAGCGACAAACTCCTGGCGTGCGGCTATAGTTGGCAGACCAGCCATTAGATCATCTTGCTGATTATGAGGGGGCTCCGTATTTCTTCGTGGGATTTGGCCTGGAAATACATTACCTCTGGACTACAATATTTCATCAGCAACGGACATAAACACTTGCGAATCCCAAGCATACCTGTTGAAGCTGAATCCTAGCCTCGTTGGCAGCATCACTCTTGTTCTTTCGCCATAACATCATAGAATCAATGAGAGGTTTAGGTTTTTGGCTGGCGATATGACCCAAAGCAGAGATCAATTGGTCAAATGCCGGGTCCACTCCCATTCCGCATATATGTTCTATCTGAGGTTCTGGGTCCAGTGGTAGAGTAACGCACTGTGAGATCTTTTCCTCTGCTTGCGCAATGAACTAGAGCATGACATTAGAAGGTATGCCAAGAAAGAATCAAGGAGCACTGACTGAAGTGAACAAGAAATGCAGAGCATATTCGCCGACAGTTTTCAACTCGTCCTTATGATGCCTTGAATGGGAGTGATGATGCGAATGGTTTCTCCGGCTCCTTCCACTGGTACTATTACCACGCTCCATATTTCTGTGCGTGCTAGCTGATGGCGCATTTTCGGCCGCTGAAGGACTTCGGGACGGTACAAATGTTGTATTCGAACTAAAAGAAGTGCCACTGGTCATACTGGATGCGCCGGAGGAGAAATTCGAATCGCCCATGACCGATGCATCTGTAAAATCTCCACCTGCAGCAGCAATTATCTGCGGGCTCAGTGGGCTAGTAGATGAACTGCCGAAGCTCCCATTCCTGGACCGCTGTATGCCATGAACGATGCTGGTGTTTCTGTGATGACTTTTCGCATCTGCATCTATTGAACCTCCTCTCGAACTGCCAGTGTAGAATCGCGGCGACAGATTGGCAGGTTGGGAAGGCGACTCTGAGAAAGCGGCCTTGAGACCTGCGAAGAAAGATTGACTGGAGCTTGGCTCCCGGGAATGAGTAACGGATTTCGAGTTGGTGGTATGTGAGCGTTTCAAGGTCGCAGTCCACGTCGTCACGTCAATGTCGATGGGCGAGAAGTTTTCTGTTATTCCCTCAGCACGATGCCCTGGAAATGATGCTTGAGACAAGAATCAGCAAGGATATGCTGTAAATGGAAAAAAAGGGCCGCCGAAGAAGAAGGCAATGTTTTGCTTTGCGTCAAGTTTTGAGGGACGGGAAGTTTGAACTAAAACACCCTCGATGATTAATGGTACTCACTCATTCTGTCACGGGAATATTGCCCATATAAATCTCCCTACATTCTTTACTTTCTTGTTTCTGTCATGTTTATAAAGCTTAGCTATAAAATCAGAGTTGCTGGTATCGTCGCAGCCTCAATTGATATTTCTTGGGCCGTTCGGATGTTCTAGTTCTAGCATCTACAATTTGAAGAGGGTCAAAATCGCGGAGGTCCATAGCAGCCAATGATCATCCAACCCCTGGAACAAACCCCTGAAGGCGCCGAGCCAGCCCATGGAACATCCATACAAGTCACTTGAAGGACGTAAGATCTTATAAATCACGAGTAACTTTCATATGGCCAGCTATATGTTTTACCTTACCTACCTACCTAGGTATACAGACAACGACCTACTTTCTATAGATTTCTTCAACTATTTTACATTTTATTTCGCCTACTCTTTCTACTCCGTGAACATTTGTCGATAAGAATCATTACTAGATCCCTGCCGATTTGGAATCATCACAACAAGAATCCAAGTATTAGATGTCTCTTGCTTCTTTCTACCTCCTATCATTATTCATGTTATAGATGAGTTGGCTGGCACGGCTGATAGTCTTTTTTTGCTCACTCACCAACAGATCCTTCCCACGATTCGCCTAGAATGTCTGCTATGACTGCTGTGACTGCATCAGAACAATAAACCCCTGTCTGTGACTGATAAAGGATCTCGACGTCTCTGAAGTTCTGAGAGGTAAAGCTGCCTTTTATACACTAAGTTTATTAACTATTTCTCGAAGATCCGGTATGAATCCACGCTGGATCGACAATTCATGATATCCTCAACGGCCCTTACCTGGCCAGTATTTCCAAGCAGCGGAAGGATCTCCTGCTTTTCTACTCCTTTTTGTTGCGAGTTTTGGCTGAACAGCTGAGATGGAGCAATGGAACCTTTTATCTTTGTCACCATGTTACACTACATGTACCGGACCTTATTGGATGTCCAGGCAGAGAAATGAATCTTCTTTGCAATCATGCTGTACAATACTAAGGCAGTCAGTCATAACTACGAAGTACCTGATATCATGTCAGCGGCATTGGTAAGATGACACGGTATTTCTCCTATCTTCTTCCTCGGATCAAGCATGGAAAGCTTATTCCATGGCTAACCGGATCCGATGTCTTATGGAATTAGATGATGTACATACATATATACAGTAGAGCCTCACTATTAATACCAGACATCTTTACATCGAAATGCTGGATATATAGGATTTATTTTCCAAATTTTACCATTTTTGTAATCATATACCAGAAATTCCGATACAAAAAGTCGTAGAAAAAAGAGAGATATATATTCTTCTTTTATGAATCTATTATTAATGTGACTGGTTGCTTACGAAAGCTTGAAGGGTTTCGGTTAAAATTCTGAGATTGAAAATTGGGAGAGATTGCATGAATTATGTTGACAACCTTACTCAGGTATTTAAATACCCTTTTCTATGGGAATGTTTTTATTCCGAAACCCGCAGACCTTTTTACGGGAAATCCTTTTCAAATCCGAATCCGATAGGGCTAAGTTTGGTGTCCGCCGTCCGGTATGGCGATGTTTTATTCTGTTTTGTTCGACGTTACGGAGTATGTATGATGATGTTGTTTCAGAGGGCCACAGGCTGAAGTGAAATTCCCGCCTTGTGTTCCACTGTAATAATACGGTGGAATTCGGATGCCCAGCTGCTCCGATGCATTGTCATGCATGTCGCTTCTCGAATGGACCTTAGCTAATCTAACAATACTCGTATCTAACACACATCAATTGAAGGTTTAATGCCGTATATCATGAAAGTCTCCCTGGCTCCATAGCACATACCAGTACTCGGCATGACCGTCACTTTTGAGTTTGAAAGAGATAATGCGGTCTAGCGGAAAAGACCGCTCACGGCGGAAATAAAATAAATCCGTCAATTTGTTACGTCCGTAATGCAAATTGCCCAGGAATCCGGACTTGGTTGTTGTTGTCCAGCCCAGCATACAACTTCATACTCGCCGATAGTAATCCGTAGAAATTGCCCATGTAATTTATATATATATATATATAAAAGAACTTGGGATCTATTTGTGCTGACGATTCCAACTTCTCTTACCTAATATCATATGATATATATGTCTTTCGCTGACTCAACATTTTCAAAGTTTGAGTGTCTAAATTAGTACTTCCTTATATATCACTCTTTTTATCTTTCCTGATCTTTTTGTTTCTTTCTACCCACACTATTCCAGGACTTTCCTCATTCCGCTGCCCACTACTCGACCGACTATCACATTCTTTCGCGGTCTTTCCGGACTTGTGCTTTGTTCCGATAGCTTCCGACCCACGAAGCATTCACCTTCACCACCTGTGATTGACCAACCAACCGTGCGCGCGGCGTTGTCCTTCCTTCCCTTAGAAAGCAAGAGAACAATTCTAAGAAGACTCGGGTCAGTTTGTGATTGATCGTCATCAAGGATCCAAAAAGTTTACCGTAGTCTTCAACATCCATTTTGTACATGTGTACATAATAATTTATATCTGTCGATAAACAAATTTATTTTCTCAGCACAGTCAGCCAACTGCAAATTCATTCCCAACTGACTTAAGTGTCAACTTTCTTTTCGCTCTTGCCTGAGCATAAGTTCACGCATAACCCCACCACCGTTTCTGTGGTCGATTCATCCATCAGTTTCCCTCAACAATCGCTAGATTCCCAATTTCAGGATGGGTGGAAAACTCGACGTCTTGGACATCGTCGTCCTTGGAGTCTTAGCTTTAGGGACGATAGCATATTTTACAAAGGGAAAATACTGGGGTATTGTGAAGGATCCCTATGCTAGTAGTTATGCCACCGTCAATGGAAACAAACCCGCAAAGACAAGGAATATTGTCGAGAAGATGGACGAGTCAAACAAGAACTGCGTCGTCTTCTACGGTTCGCAGACTGGTACGGCAGAGGATTATGCTTCTAGATTGGCAAAGGAAGGCAAGAGTCGTTTTGGCTTGGAGACCATGGTAGCAGATTTGGAAGACTACGATTTTGATAACCTTGATACCTTTGGAGACGACAAAGTCGCCATCTTCGTACTGGCTACATATGGTGAAGGTGAACCAACCGACAACGCAGTTGATTTCTATGAATTCTTGATGAACGACGATGTTGAATTCTCCAGTGGTGAGAAATCGCTCGAAAACCTCAAGTTTGTCGCATTTGGTCTCGGAAACAACACCTATGAACACTACAACTCAATGGTCAGAAACGTCACAAAGGTATTTGAGAAGCTCGGAGCAACAAGAATCGGCGAAGCTGGTGAAGGAGATGATGGTGCTGGTACTATGGAAGAAGACTTTTTGTCCTGGAAGGAGCCGATGTGGACTGCATTGGCTGAAAAGATGGGACTACAGGAGCGTGAAGCTGTCTATGAACCGGTTTTTGCTATTACGGAGAGGGATGAATTAACAAAGGATTCTCCACAGGTATATCTCGGCGAGCCAAACAAAATGCATCTCGAGGGCACATCAAAGGGTCCCTACAACGCTCACAACCCATACATTGCACCTATCGCTGAGTCCAAGGAACTTTTCACGGTCAAAGACCGAAACTGCTTGCACTTAGAAGTCGATATCAGTGGATCTAACCTCAGCTATCAAACTGGAGACCACGTTGCAATTTGGCCAACAAATGCCGGAAGGGAGGTGGACCGATTCGTCGATGTTACTGGACTTTCTTCCAAGAAAGATTCTGTCATTGCCGTCAAACCGTTGGAATCAACTTCAAAGGTTCCATTCCCCTCGCCTACCACATACGATGCTATAATCAGATATCACATGGAGATTTGCGCACCTGTATCACGTCAATTCGTTGCCACTTTGTCCGCCTTTTCCCCAAATGACGCCATCAAGGCCGAAATGGAGAAGCTTGGTGGTGATAAGGATTACTTTTATCAAAAGATCACTAAAAACTATTTGAACATCGCACAGGTTTTACAAGAAGTTGGTGGCCAAGAAAAGTGGACCAAAATTCCATTTTCCGTGTTCATTGAAGGTTTAGGCAAGATTCAGCCTCGTTACTACTCTATTTCGTCTTCATCGCTTGTTCAACAGAAGAAGATTTCTATCACAGCGGTTGTTGAGTCAATTGATATTCCTGGAAGAACCGATGCTTTGAAAGGTGTTACCACAAATTACCTCCTTGCATTGAAGCAGAAGCAACATGGCGAAGAAAACCCCGACCCTCACGGCCTCACATATGAAATCACTGGACCACGCAACAAGTATGATGGCATCCACGTTCCGGTCCACGTACGACACTCCAACTTCAAGCTTCCATCGGATCCATCCAAGCCTATCATCATGATCGGTCCCGGTACTGGTGTTGCACCTTTCCGAGCATTCGTTCAGGAAAGAGCTGCACAAGCAAAGGCTGGCGAGAACGTTGGACGAACAATCTTATTCTTTGGATGTAGAAAATCTACAGAAGACTTTATGTACAAGGAAGAATGGAAGGTAAACTATCTTTTACGTCGAGGGAGAGATTAAAGAACAATTTAGCTTACACATAACCAGGAATACGAAGAGGCCCTTGGCGACAAGTTCTCACTCATCACTGCATTCTCTCGTGAAGGAAATGAGAAGGTCTATGTTCAACACCGCCTCAAGGAACATGCTAAAGAAATCAACGATCTCCTCATGCAAAAAGCGTACTTCTACGTTTGCGGTGATGCCGCAAACATGGCTAGAGAAGTCAATACTGTTCTTGGTAAAATCATATCAGAGCAGCGCGACATCCCAGAATCAAAGGCCGAAGATATTGTCAAGAGTATGAGATCTGCCAATCAATACCAGGTATGTTATTTCTTGATGGATTTCTTCGTTTCGCGTTCGTATTCGTATTGTTTGTTTCTTTGAGTCATCAACCCGCCCACATTTTTGTTCGGCTAGTGGTGCAACAAACATTAATTCCCAGAGTGGGGTAAATCCAAGTCTTGAGGAGGGGTCAGCCTTTAAAGGAACCCTCATCAATTCCATCATCGTTTTTGCACTTCACATCTTTCTTGTACAAACACAAACTAACACATAATTCTAGGAGGATGTATGGTCATAGATGCAATATATCCCATTCTTACATACACCCACCCACATCTTAAAATTCCATTTCATCTTTCATATTATAGACGGCCATCAACCGGCCAACCTCCTACATCCTTTCTTTTCCAACGAATCCCTCCACTCTTCTTCGGTAATCATCATATCTGATAGCCGTCTTCGAAGTAAGAATCTTTTCGAGGGCACTTGTTTGTTTGCCTGTTTGCTGCCTCATGCATAAAAAGCGATCCAAGGATACAAGCATTACTCGAGACTCGAGCCTATACCAAACATTATTTCTTTTTTCTCTGCAACATCATCAAGCATAGCATTTGCAATGGGTGGATCTAGACGGACTTTGGATGGGGTTAAACTTTTTTTTTAAGAGACAAATAACTTGTTTTTACTCAACATTTTCTTCGTTTGTCCGGTATAAAAAATTGGATTTGGATCTTGTTGTTATCTGATGTGCCTCCTTGACCTAATGTCTGTCTGTTCGTATGAGTGAGTGACTTTTGATTAAATGTGTTCATGCATGAACGGTATAGGGTGAAAGTAAAGAGATGGAGAGATGATGAAAGGCTGGCGGGGTTGGATGGAGGAGTGATGAGAGGAGAGAAGAGATAATTGATTTAAAGTTTACATATAATGTATTAATCGCGATACATATATTGAAATAAGAATAAAAGATATAATTTTATAAATTTAAATATCTTTATATATATATATATATATATATATATATATTTAAATTATTTAAACTATTTAAACTATCTAAACTATCTAATAAAATATAAAATATAAAATATATTCCGCCTTCTCAACTAACCACTTCCGATTCTCCCGCTCTTGCCCACGGCTCTATAACGTAATTAATCTTACGCGTAGGTATTTAGGGGCTTGTTTTAGTTAGTTGTAACCTTGTGAACTTGTGTTTGTAGTTGTGATTGTAGTTGTGATTGTAGTTTTGTTTGTAGTTGTGTTTGTAGGTAGCTAGCTGATTTTAGGTTAATCGGGGTCTTTGAGCTGGCTGTAGGTTATGTATCAAATGTATCAATCCGAGAAACTGAGGGATAAAGGGAAAAGAAGGGAAGGGTTATGTTGAGGTTAGATGGATGGCGAGTCCTTCTGATTTAGTTCTGTATGTTGTTGGTAAGGTTAAAGGTGGTGGTGAAATTGGAATTGAAAAGTCTCTACTCTAATGTAAGATACATTATAAGTCTTAAAAAAGAGGAATAAGAAAGAGCAAGAAAGATGAAATGATAAAATTTTCATTCTAGCCTGGCTGGCATATGCAATACTTGAAAACCCTATCTATATAACCCTATATTAGATCAAGAATTGGTAAATCAATGTTTCAAACGAATTGAGTGACCTACTGCAAAAGCCAAGCTGAAAAAGGGTCGTCGGGAAGACAAACGGGTTTTTTACGCGATAAAGTTATGTCAGTCTTGCGGGATCAGCGACTTAAAACTAGGCTCTAACCAACCATCAGCCCTTGCGCAATACGGGATACCCGCCCTTGTCAATCCACCATTCCGCCTCATGGGTGGCATATTTCAGGGACCACCAGGACTAGATCTTGAATTCAAGAATTTCTTTCCAATATCTAGAATTCAAGATCGCATTTTTTGGAATATCGAGAATTCTCATCTTGTAAGCTTAATGTATAATTTCAAGGTTGGCATGTATCTTCTTCTTGCGCGAGTTTCCATCCTCGATCCTCGAGTACGTGAGACTCGGATTTAATAAGGTAATTACTTCTAACTCCGACTCGTTGATACCGCAGATCTATGTTGTATCGCGTATGAGCTTCTAGAAAACCAATTGGGCTGAGAAAGCGTGTTAGAAACAATGTTCTTGTAAGAAGGTTCGTGGAGGAGAGGAGAAAAAGGGGGCAAGGCGCGTGCGGGGATGTGAACGCAAACCATCTAAGGTTAACCGGCGGGTTTTCTTTCCGAAATATGACATCGAAATGCCGGATGGGAGCCCTGCATCCGCGTTTTCCGCATCGTGTTTACTCAACATCAGCTGCGATCCAATTGGAATATAACATGCTGTAAAAGTTTTTCCACCAAGAGACAATATGACTGGATAATTCCGGGTTACATAAAAGGGACTTGAGGATGGCAATTTTTATGGCGGCACAAGCGGATACTTGGTTAGCGAAAGGCTAGCGGCTGAGGATGCTTGAGTCCCTTCACAAGCATCAAAAGTCTTGATCTTGACTTGAATAACAAAATCCTTCTTGAACAATATGCATTTAGATATATTGGATAATCTTTTCTAAGACGAGGTTTGCAATCGAATTCTAAGAGAGCTCAATACGCCCTTCCTTCGAGACTATGCTAAAATTAGCCTGCCACATTAATTACTATTTTGTGGTTGCTTTTCCCCCTCAAAATAACAACAGACATGAACGTCTCTCGTGTTTGTCTTCCTCTGCCACACGTTTAATGCCCAGGCTTGGAGGTTCGCCAGTTCCAGATGCGGAACCAAACACAGATCTGCGATCCTCCAGATTCTACAAAGCAACAGTGACAAATCAAGTAGACAACAAACGTGGTAGACAATCCGGTATTTGTTTGTTGTCCGGACACTTTCTAGCCTCGAAAATGCTTCCTCCCGATGCAGCTTTCCAGACTCCATGAATTATGAGTATTGATATTTTTGTTCGATAGGCAAGTTGTGGATAGGCATATGAATCATACTGAACTGCCAATGAGGAGAATTTGAAAAGAGATTTGGCAGCATATAGTGGCTTGATAGTCTCTACTCGGTACCTGGAGGCGTATCTTGATCACTTCTGTAAGCTTGACTCTATCATATTCCGTATTGCACCTGTGCGAACAAAGATCTTGTCCTCGGCATGAACCCGAGGGATCGAGAAGAGGTTTATCTCTGCTATTCTCGGCGGCGGTTTTGTACTGCTGATCAGGATAGAAGAAGCAAATAACTCATCAAGTACTTTGTGCCACCCTCGACCTCATGGCTTGTATACCTTGATCATGTCTGATGGCAATTGCATGCATATCCCGTAAAACATGCATCCTTTATATGAAAAGTGGCCGAAAGGTGGTCATAAAGAAGACTATTGTCTCCTCTTCCTGTCCGCTCCTTCATACTTATAAGTTTCAAGTTGCGTATCTCAAAATCGGTAAAGATTAATCGTACTTTATCTTCAAGTTTGAGTGTCGAAAGTGTAAAGTTTTGCAGTTTGAATCTTTTGGGTGGTTTGTTTTGAATTTTTTGCATCGTTTTGTTGTGTTGCCGACATCAAACTATCATCAAGTTTCCCATTGCAATCCCACTGGGTACGGCATATCACTTTTACCAGTCTTCACTTTGTCCCGCCAATAATAGCCGCAGCTGCCTATTCCATATTGCTTTGCTATTGTTGCCTTATCAAAACCATTTGTAGATTTGGACATTTATCCATCAAATCTGCATATATCTACTTTTATATCCCACATCCTCATCCTACATGCGAATTGTCTATCTACATCTCTTACAACCCTTCCAAAAAGTCACCCATCGAGAGCTACCTACTATCTATCTACCTAGCCATATTCATAAATATTCATTCAGATCCAGACCAACCAGTGCTGTACCTACTCAAGTCATCGACAAGCAACCTTACCTGGAACTGCAAGCACAACTGGTATGTTTGCGGTTTTAATTGGGATTTCTATGTTGATTCTAGCCACTTCACGGGATTCATTCTTTCCTGTCTACAGTATTTATTATTATTAACAATTGAATCCACTAAGAACAGAGCAACAGGAAACTCGAACCTTCCATTTCCATCAATCAATTAAAAGGTGGTTACCGTCTCTCGCATGCAGATCATGATCCCATAAATCAGCACCATCACTTTCCAAATTTGGGCCAATCCTAGCAGGAGAAATAGGAATTAATCAACCATATATCAAGCTAAGACGTTATTTACAAAATAAGCATTTGAAACCGGCACCAGTTGCCCTTTTTCAATCCCTCCAAATTCGTTCCTTCCAACTTCACCTCTTCGCCTCTTATCAGTCTTTCCGACTTCTCTTAGCTCGCCTTCCCATTCTTGATCTTCTCGTCCCTCATCTCTCATCTCATTTCATCTCATCTTCTTTTCCTCCTCCTTCTCATCCTTCTCTTCTTCTTCTATACATCAAATCACATTACAACCAATTCTTCATCACAATCTCTACCTTACAACAACCCACCTGGCTCGATAGCTTTCTATCATTCTAGAAAACTCTACTCGCTACTGAAATCATTTTCTTCACTGTTTCTTGAAAGTAGCTTATTCAAGTTTACTTCTACTCGTCCTATCATACACCTGGAAAACACTACCAAAAAAGAGAATAAGCTCCGTCCAATCGTATTCCTGGAAAGGTATGTTTATTTTCCCTATTCACTCCTTTCCGTACTTCTTTCACGCTCAATGGGTTGTTGCTAACTATGATATTCTCAGTTGGACTGCTCGAGACTACCATTATTTGAGTAAAAAGTGTGTTCTTATCCAGGACTATAAAGTAAGTTAAACAATGTCGCATTTCTATCAATTTTCTCGAGTCAATTTGTTTCTGCATTGCAGACCCCCCATTGATGATGCATGGTCATCTGCTTTGTTTCTTTACATCACCAACATCATTTCCAGCATTTCACTTTCATTATCTTTATTCACTACTTCTTCTCATCCACAAGGAAATTGTTTTCTCAACTTTTCCCCACCTCTAACCTTCTTATTCTTGATCCTATCTTGCATACATTTCATCCCCCATCAAACAAATCTTCCATCAATCTTCAACCTATATTTAATACTAACAATACTTGCTATTCCAGGATACCATGTCTTACTCTCAAGCTGCTACTCATGCTGAAGCAGCAAATACATTCCCAACCCGCAACACTACAACTTTGTACACCCAGCAGCAAGCTCGCACAACTCGGGACTCCCAAGGTCAGCAAGCTTCTTTTGCTCAAACCAGCACTGGCGTTACCCAAGCAGGTGATAATGCCATGAACACAATGATCAACCAATTTGCTGGTTTAGCTATTCCTGGCAACATGCCTACTTCCACAGGTCCAATGACTGCTAATCAACATCCTTTGGGAACAGGCCAGGTCTACTTTCAAGTTACCCCGGATGGTCTTGTATATGCTCCAAGCATGTTTCAGCCACAGTCCCTAGCCCCTCAGCAGTTATCTGAGAATGCATACAACATGAACTCTTTCCCTGGAGCATTGCCTTATCTGACCCAGGCATCTTCGGTTTACCCTGGCTATGTCCCAGGATACCAACAGAATATCCCATATACACCGAACGCTCGATCTGGCTACTATCCTGACAGATCCGATCATTCTCACTCGACCAAAGATGTTCCTGGCCTCGAGAATCGCCGCGGCTCGTACTCCACTACAGAGTCTCTTCCTGGAACACCATATTACGCCTCGTTCGCCCATCGTGAATCTGGTGCTCACATTGCCGCGATCGACCGATCTCCATTCGGCTCGACCCCATCCCCACAGCAGCTTCCAGTTCCTCACGCTCAACCCCTTGTGAAGGCACTTCCATATCCCACGGTCCCTATTGGTGTCGATATCCAGGCTCTTGTGAAGCAGTTTCCACCAATTCCAAAGGCTGTTCCCGCAGTTTTTACCCCCACCGAGAACATGAGAACTTTGGACCAGAGCCTGCACAACCCCATCAAGAACAACCGCAATGTCTACATTCGTGGACTTCACCCAAACACCGATGATGAAACACTCGCGCAGTATGCCGCGCGCTTCGGTAAGGTTGAGACCTCTAAGGCAATCATCGACACAGCTACTGGTGCTTGCAAAGGGTATGTTATTTCGATTCATTGAAACCTTTGCTCATCACTAATAGCCTTATAGATTTGGTTTTGCTAAGTATTTCGATGTTCGCCACTCCGAGCTTTGCATTCGTGGCTTTTGGGAACTTGGTTATGAAGTCGGCTTTGCTAGAGTATGTCCTCAGCCATAATATCCATTGGTCGTTAACTAAAATTTTACAGGAATCCTTCAATGCTCGTCTTAAGGCAGAAGGCGATGAGGCATCCACCAATCTTTACGTCTCCAACTTGCCAAAGACCATGACTGAATCCGTTAGTGTTTCCATAACTGCTTGTCTTCAATTTGACTAATCTTGGTGTAGGAACTGGGTGCTATCTTCATGGACTACAAGGTCAGCAGCAGTCGCATTCTTCGCGATAGTCAGAACCACAGCCGTGGAGTTGGATTTGCTCGGTAAGTTGACGGATTTCCACTTTAACACTAGCATATGGGACTGACTTAGTGTTACAGTTTCGAGAACCGTGATGTCTGCGAAGAGATCATCCGAAAATTCCACGGTCAGCCTATTGGTGAAGAAGGCCTTTTACTTCAAGTTCGCTACGCCGACACTCCGGCACAGAAGGACTTGAAGCGTATCACCACTGAACGTCGTCAATTCCGCACCAATGAGTACAACGTTGGAGCTTATGGTGCTCCTGCGGCAGATATGATTGCATTGGCCTCTCCTTCAATGCCATCCCCTATTCTTCCCCGAGCTTCTCAGATTGCTCGCCACCTACCTGGCTCCAGATCCAGCGGATCTTGGAAGAGAGAGGGTGTTCCTAGGTAGGCCACACCTTCATCATCTTGAAAGGACAGTAAGTACTAACTTTGGTGCAGCCCTGTTCATCATGTCTCAGGCTTCAAGGATTTGGATCGATCGGTTGTTAAAGTTTCATTGACCGAAGCTTCTCCCAAGAAGTGCTTGACTCAGTAAGTTCATTGAATTGCGGTACGTGCGGCGTTGAGAATGCACTAACATGTTCACAGCGTTGTCGTTCCAAGCGTCACCCCAACAGTTTCTGAGAGCGGCTCTGCCGACGATGGAGTCACGATTCACGATTCTCCAGTTGTCGTCCACAGTTCATCCATAGCCCATAGCGCTTCTGCCGCCTCTCCATCTGCTCGCAAGTAGAGAAATCATTCTGTAACATCATATAACTTCATGTCAACATTTACCCAAATTTTGTCCGCCAAATTTCATTATCGCACGAATACCTACCTCGAGATGGCGAGGCATGGCCCGCTTTTGACGATACCTATTATGAAAAATCCCATACCTCCCAGCATACATGCTTACTCACCAAGCATACATACTCACCCCTGGTCGAAGTATTACATATGTTACATTACATACTCGCTTCTGGTTTAATATTTTTCGAAGCTGGCGATCTGTACATCCACGAGGGTGTGACATATTGACGATAGTGGTACGAAACATTACTTTTATGTCAGTAGGGGAGGATATCAGGCAGATTGCTTTTTTCATTGTAATTTTTTCGTTTTTCATTGTTCTTGTTGCAACAGTAGTAGGTAGATGGAGACTTTTCTGTAGCATAATCGAGCTAAATTTGCATCAAAAGCCTAATCGTATGAGAATTTGTGACAAAGAATATTGGATGTCCTGAAGCTAGCCACATCAATGACGCAGAGTATACCGTATTACTACAACTATTACAAATTAGGACTTAGATATGTCTCTACTTTGAGAGTGCAGGTACTTACATTGATGGCCTGGATTAAGCCCCTTTGCAGGTATATTCTGGTATAGTCATGCTACAACTGTACTTGCTCTATATTACTGTATAGAAGGATTCCTCCGATGCTTTTGGACGTAGTAGCAACCACAAATATAGATCGTATAGGTCACCACAAAGTAAGCGGTAAGTCCTCAATACAAGCAATAAATCTCGCGTTCAGTATTAATTATTCTTTCATTTTGTCTGAGAATTGGAATCAAGTCTTCTCTTCAATCTTGAGATTTGACAGTGAAAGTTCCGCCTTGCGATCATCTAACAGCCCTGCACTTCCCTCTGTTTCAATCTCTGTAGTTTTTTCACCCTGCAGTTCGGTTTTCGCTGGGTCTACGTGGCTATCGCCTTCATGGATAGCTGCATCACCATCTTCTTCTTCTTCTTCGTCATCATCATCATCATCACTCGCTTCTTCTTCATCGTCAAATTCATCGTCACTTCTTTCGGCCCCTGGTTTGCCATCGCCATCGCCATCAACGCCAACCGCTTTCATATATGCCTCAAGCTCTTTCGCCATTTTCTTTGAGAATCCAGATGCCTCGACAGATACATCCAATCTTTTCACACCGTCTTTACCTATAAGTTTGCGGGCATCCTTGAAATGAGGACCCTTTTCATTACTTGTAAAATGAAATCTTCGGTCAAAGAAACGCTTGATACAGTTGACGTCTCGATCAAAGTAGTATTCCGCGTTCACATGGTCCACGGAAACCATTTGAGGGAAATCAATGAGGATGGGAGTTAAGGTGACTGGTTCTTCAGGTTTTTCTGGGTTCGCTTCCTCCTTAATTAGGATGTTAAATTCGTTGAAATCGCCATGAATGAGGCCGTATTGCGCTAGGCGAAGGATCATGGAAATAAGTTCGGCATATAAAGAGGCTGGATCTGGAACAGAAGATATTTGACGCATGGGGAATGCGTCGATCAGAGACATGACTATAGTATGTCGAGATTGTGCGAGTGGTTCCGGTACTGGAAATCCATTGTCTCGCAGAGCCGTCATAAATGTGAATTCCTTCAATGCTGCTAATCGTGACATATGCATCCATGATGCCGAAGATCGATGTCGTAGATAATCTCGATTCGCCTTGACCGTTCTAAACGATATTCGTCCCAATCGGTGGATCTTCAATACCCTCTGCACTCCTTTTTCATCTGCTACCACGAAGATATCACTCTCTTTTCCAACACCAATCTGGTTTCCGACACTGTATACGTCCTTGCGTTTTCGATATGTATTCAGAGCAAGGTAATCAAGCCCTCCATATGTGAGACGATAGCCATCGTATTTTGCGTTCTTGAGTCGTGCGATCAAATTTACTTTTGCGAGTGCCGATATGCATCTGTGAACCCCGCCTCTAAGACCTGATAATTGTTCAATGAGTTTTGTAGGGACAACTTCATGGTTTTTGGATCCTTGTTCGACTGCTGTGAGTGTGCGCCAGTCTTCAGCGGTCAAATACCGCATAGCCTTGGTATCCAACTTCATCTTGAAGGTTGTTATTGGATTTTGTTGTAGATTCGACCGTCACTTGTGAATTAATTTTTGGATTTTCTGCCGCTGGGCTGTGAATGAATGTGGTGTGATTTTATTAACGTCTTGATAAATTCACTCCTTTTTCACCCAAACTTTTAAGGTGTGAACTTAAGGTTGGTGTCTTTCGGCTGCTAGGGACACTATTTTAAGCTATGATCTGGTGAAGCTGCTTAGACGCGAAAGCAGACCTGCCTGGAGGACCTTGTTAAGAATTCAAAACTATCACGAATTCCACGATATACCACTCACTTTTACTACCAATTACCCCTTGACCTGTGGTGATTTATACCCTTCCTGCGCATTGTCTTTAGCCTTTTTTTTGATATCTCCAGCAAACTCAGAACCCGTCGCTCTCCACATCAACATTTAGAAACAACATGGCGCAAGATGGCGAACCACCAAAGTCTGTTGACAAGGGCAAAGGCAAGGCGGTCTCAGATCCCAAGAACCCAGAGGAGGTAGAGAAGGATACAGATGGAAAGCCCATAGTTAATGGGGCCAAAGAAGAGCCAGTCGTTGGAGGTATGTTGCTAGTAATGGAATGGATGGGCACTTACTAATGCCATGTAACAGCGGAGGAGCTCAGCGAGGAAGACCAACAATTGAAGAGTGAACTTGATATGCTGGTGGAACGATTAACTGTATGCGTGTACTCATCACTAATGCTGCAGGTGAAACTAACTGTCTCAACTATAGGAATCGGACCAATCTCTTTACAAAAGTGCCCTCGAAGCTATCAAAGATTCGATCAAAACCTCCACCTCGTCTATGACCGCTGTGCCAAAACCTCTCAAGTTCCTCAGACCGCATTATGAGCCTATGATTAAGCTGTATGAGCAATGGCCGGAAGGAGATGACAAAACATCTCTTGCAGATGTTCTTTCAGTTATTGGTATGACATTTTCAGACGAAGAAAGACAAGATACTCTCAAATATCGATTGCTTGCACCCACATCAGATATTGCGTCATGGGGTCACGAATATACAAGGCATCTTGCTTTGGAATTGGGAGAGATGTACAGCAAGAGATTAGCAGAAGATCAACCAACTCAAGATCTTATTGATCTGGCCTTGATTCTTGTGCCGTTATTTTTGAAGAGTAACGCCGAAGCTGACGCTGTCGATTTGATGAGCGAGCTTGAAATTATCGAACAAATTCCAAATTACTTGGATAAGGATACTTACACGCGAGCATGTCTTTACATGGTTAGCATGGTCAACCTCTTGACTTATCCAGAGGACCAGACATTCCTCAGAACCGCACACCATATCTACAAGAAATATAACCAACTTACCCAAGCGATTGTCCTTGCAATTAGATTAAACGACCTTGATCTCGTCATGACCGATTTTGATTCTACCACGGACCCGGCATTGAAAAAGCAGATGGCTTTCCTTATTGCCCGCCAAAGAATAGTTCTCGACGACCTACCATGCGAAACGAGCGAAGACCAGGAGATCATGGAGTGTATGTATAACACAAAGATGCCGGAACATTTCAAGGCTCTGGCCAAGGAATTGAATATTCTGGATCCAAAGACAACGGAAGACATTTACAAGAGTCATTTGGAAAGTACCAGGGTGTCAGGCTTAACGAACCTTGACTCTGCTGGGCATAATTTGGCAGCAGGATTTGTCAATGCTTTCGTAAATGCTGGATTCGGCAATGATAAGATGATGATGGTTGAGGATGAGAAGTCAAGCTGGGTCTGGAAGACAAAGGAAGAGGGGATGATGTCCACTGTCGCTTCAATGGGTACATTACTTCTCTGGGACATTGAGACAGGTTTGGACAAAATTGACAAATACACATACGCTCCAGAAATTCAAATTCAAGCCGGTACGTTGTTGGCGATTGGTATAATGAACTCTGGAGTACGAATCGATTCTGACCCTGCTCTCGCACTTCTTGGCGAAGAGGAGAAGCTTAACCACGATAATCCTCTCGTCAGAGTTGGTGCCATCATGGGTCTGGGTCTTGCTTATGCTGGATCAAATAGAGAACAACTTCTTGATCTTCTCTTACCTATTGTTACCGACACATCTGTGGAAATGCAAATCTCCGCGATGGCGGCTCTTTCTTTAGGTATGATATTCGTTGGTTCTGGCAACAGTGATATCACTTCAGCTATCTTCCAAACTTTCCTTGACGAGGATCGCAAATCTCAACTTAAGGACAAGTGGACTAGATTTATGGCTCTTGGTTTAGGTTTATTGTTCTTTGGACAACAAGAGAATGTGGACGTTATTCTCGAGACTCTAAAAGCTGTTGATCACCCCATGTCTAAGCCAACAGCTGTTTTGGCAGAGATTTGTGCCTGGGCTGGAACTGGAACAGTTTTGAAGCTCCAAGAACTTCTTCACATTTGCAATGATCACATTGAAGAAAGTGATGATAAGAAGGGCGATGAATTACTTCAAGCTTATGCTGTCCTGGGTCTTGGTTTGGTCGCTATGGGAGAAGATGTTGGGCAAGAGATGGTTTTGCGTCAATTTGCTCATTTGATGCACTACGGTGAAGCCAATATTCGAAAAGCAGTTCCTCTCGCCATGGGTCTGTTAAGTCCTAGTAACCCACAGATGAAGGTGTATGATACATTATCTCGATACAGTCATGACAATGACAACGATGTTGCGATTAATGCTATCTTCGCTATGGGTCTCTTGGGTGCTGGAACCAACAATGCTAGACTTGCTCAATTACTCCGACAATTGGCTAGTTACTACCACCGGGATACTGATGCACTGTTCATGGTAAGAATTGCCCAAGGTTTGCTTCACATGGGTAAAGGAACTCTTTCCATTAACCCATTCCACACCGATCGTCAAGTACTTTCACGAGTGGCTGCCGGTGGTCTTCTTTCCGTCTTGATCGCCATGATTGATGCCAAACAATTCGTCACTTCTAAGTCACATTACCTCCTATACTACCTCGTCACAGCCATGCACCCCAGATTCCTCGTCACACTTGACGAAGATTTGAAACCTTTAACAGTTAATGTTCGAGTCGGGCAAGCTGTTGATGTCGTAGGTCAAGCTGGTCGTCCCAAGACCATTACTGGTTGGCAAACACAGAGTACCCCTGTACTTTTGGCGTATGGTGAAAGAGCGGAACTGGAAGACGAACAATATATCAGTTTGAGCAGTAATCTGGAGGGATTAGTCATTTTGAGAAAGGTATGTTCATAATTTTGTGTGAAGCGCGCTGTGTGCATATTTGAATATGGAAAATGCTAACTAATATACGCAATAGAACCCAGAGTGGGAGGATGGAAAGAGCTAGTGTGTTGAGAGGTAGGAAAGAAAAGAAAGGAATGGGATATTAAACTAGTGTATTATAATGGCTGGTACAGTGGAGGGGCTATAGTAGTAGATATGCATATCATGTTCCTTTGAATGAGGGAAGATATCGGATAACTACGAAATGAAAATGAAAATGAAAACGATAGATTTTTTGCGAGAATTACTTCGGATCGATGAAATTGATGGAACCTCTTTGATGTGATGGATTGTTGGTATATTTCTAAGCTTTGCTTCTTGATTTTGATTTTCAATACGTATTAGATGAGGAATTGTCGCAGTAGGTAGTCAAGTAGATATCTATCTACCTAGGTAATCCTACAAATGAGTATATGAAAATCATTTAAACAATACACTAGTTTTGGTATTGATATTTATAATAAAACTTGAATATTAATTTAGTATAGCGCAGCATTTAATATAGTAGTTATAATAAAATAAATATTTGATTTATACTAGGAGGCTAGAAGTCCAGAAAGCTTAGGGGCTAAATATGAGTAGATAGAGTAAGTAAGATCCTATTAGAATTAGATTAGATTAGATTAGATTAGATGAATGGGTGGATGGGTGGATAGATAGTTGTGGTAAGTAAGTTTGGTTTGGTTTGGTTTGGTTTGTGTATTTGTTTGTTCGTTTGTTTGTTGTGGACGATGGGTGTGTCTGCTTTCTCCTACAGGGGTACTTGGTTTTTGTTATGTTGTGGTGTGGTGTGGTGTGGTATACTTGGAAATTGTATTATGCTATAATATGATATGATATACTATGCTATTAATCCTATAACTGTAAATTGTAATGTGATTCAATAGTCTAGCTGGTCTACTAGCTCATGTAATGCGATGTGATGTGATGCGATGCGATGAGAAATGTAAGACTTATATACATACTATACACCTATTTCTTCCCATCCACATCATTCATCCCTTGAGAATACAATATAATATAATATAGCAAAGCGAGCTCCACCTATAATAATCAACACATTCTCATATCCACTCTCATTCACATCTTCCCATCCATCCATCCCATCCCTCCATCCCTCATAAACCCAACTTAACCTAACACCGTTCAAAAACCCTATACAAGCCCTTCAAATTCGCAACCTCGAGCACCGCACCACCCATCAAATCTCTCGTCGCAATCAACCTCGTCCGAAAAGCAGGAAACAAAACATCTTCCACCATTTTTCTCACCGCCTCTCTCCTCTGTTTAATTTCCGGGGCGATGAAAGGTTCTCCTGATGTTTCGTTTTGTTCTTCTTCCTCGTGTTGAGGATTCTCCGGACCAGGAGATGGAGGTAATTGTTCCGGGACATAGAATTTAGCTAATTCTTGTAGGAAGGAGGAAAAACATTCTTTTTCGTTGGTCCAGTTTACGTGCGGACCTAGACGGAGGAGAAATTGGGGGAGTTTGGAGAGAGCTGGTGTGTAGTTTTTGAGGAGGAGGGGGATTCCTTCGAGGAGTCCATCGGCGGTGATTGAGAAGGAGAAATATTCCTGTAACATTTCGCGACGGGAGATGAGTTGTTCCGAGACGATTTCTACTACTTCTTCTATTTCGAAATCATCTTCGGGAGCGACATTCAGAGGAGCAGTCTCTTTTTCGTGAGTGGCTGCGATGGTTAGGAGGGAAGTGAGGGATAAAGGGGGATCGAAGCGGATTTGACCGAAGTTTCCGAAGTCGGTGAGGCCGACTTGGTAGAAGAAGGCAGAGGAGATAGCGGCATAGTCGACGAGGAAAAGTTTTACACCGGATTGAATGGCAGCAAGACGGCGCCGCTCATCAACGATACCGACGAAAGTATGACTAGCAAATATTTCGGTTAGCGTATTATGCATGGAGTCGCGGACAGAGGCGCGAAGCTCTTTGATGGTCATTAAGCGGCAAATGATGGGCTCGCGGTCGGTGTATGTATATTCTACATCTTGGGAGGGGGTAACTGTAGTGCCTCCAGAGGGAATAGGTGTGTCGTCTCTAGCAGCAGCTACCGCCTTCATGGTGGGCGGAAGCATAGTGGTGATTTTGCGAAGTTTAGAATCTGTTCGTACGAGGTTATTTTCGTAGGGTCTGGTCGTGGTTCGGGCTTTTCCCGCCGCGACAGATGCGCCAGGATCAAGCATGTCTGCTACTAATGGTGCTTGAGCTCCGGGAAGAAGGGTTTGCGTCATGAAGTTTCGACTTTTATCTACATCTGCGAGCTTTATTCGGACGTCGGCGCATATCTTCTCGATAATCTCTTCTTCATTGAGGAAGTTGACCTCTCGTTTGGTGGGGTGAACATTGACATCTAACCGTTGTGGCTCGATCTCAAGATTGAGGTATGTGAAAGGATGACCACCTTTAGGGAGGAATGCAGAATACGTCTGTTCGACAGCTTTTCGGATGGCTATCGACTCAACAGAACGATGGTTGATGAATAAAAGTAACGTTGTCTTCTTGACATGGTAATTTGCATTAGTTGTCCAACCTTGAGCAGTAAAACCCCACCGCGGATCAGCAGATTTGAACTCGATTAGCTCATTTGCTACTCCACTACCGTGAATTTGTCGAATGCGATCTACAGTAGAAGAAGCTATCTGCGTTGAGATTGTGGTGCTAGCCTCCCCATGTTTCTTACAGCTAAACGCTACCCCATCGCAATGAATGGCATATCTCCCAACAACGTCAAGAATTTTGTTATACTCTTCAGATGCTGATCTGAAAGCACGGCGCCGTGTAGGTACATTATAGAAGAGATCTTCCACCGTGATTTGTGTACCAGGACGACCAGCAATAGGCTTTGGATCCGAACCTTGACCAGGCTTTGCAGGTATCAAACGACCACTATCATAATGTGCTCTGAAAGCACAATTAGAATCTTTCGTCCTCGTTGTGACAGTGAGATGTGCAATATGACTAATACTGGCTAAAGCTTCTCCACGAAAACCGTAAGTACCAATCGACGTCAAGTCTTCAAATTGCTTGAGCTTGGAGGTTGTAAACCGTTCACATAAAATTGCCATATCTTCTTTCTAAAATACTTAGCTCGTGTACAGAAAAAGCTTTAAAGGAAATTTGAGACATACATTAATTCCATGTCCATTGTCAGTGATTTGTAATAACTTCAAACCACCATCTTTGACAAGTACTTCAATAGATGTTGAGCCCGCATCAACGGCATTCTCAATGAGTTCTTTAAGCGCATGTACTGGAGCTACGATAATCTCGCCTGCTGCAATCTTATTGACTACATCGGGATCCAACGCCTATATAATAATCAGCATACAGTTATATTATATTGGGAGTTCCTAAGACTCGCCTTGATACGCCTTGGGGCGGTGACTTCTGGGAGTTCATTTTCAGCTTTTCTTTTTGTACCTCTTGATGCCTCTGCCACTGCATCAAGATCCATTGGCTCAGACATGGTTATGCTTTTGGTTTTAACTGCCACTATCCGCTCCGCATTAATTATTGATAAAATATCAGGTGTAGATAGCAGGCAACATTTCGGCTTTGAGACCAGGGTGGATGAGTGTTTAGGGTCAAGTGAGAATATAATTGTACAACTCAAAAGTATAAGAGAAAGGATTTTTACTGGAAAGCAACAGTCTCAAGTGGCACTCGTTTCGAAATTTAAAAAGAATGTGTAATTACTTCATGAAAGTATTTTGACCAGAAAAGAACGAGATGCAGATGAATCATGATGTCGCGCACGTGATAGCCGTCCCGCTCAAAGCTGCGTGATTCTGCCGGGCGGTGTACATTATTAATGTACTTCCTCTAAAAGAATTCTATGCGACCATGGGATGAAAGTAACCAGAACATGCCGTACCAGATCGATTAGGAAAAGTAGTCGGCGTATTTATACATGTTATGTCCATTTTACCACTATAATTCTAATTACAATGAGAAGCAACTTTTATGTCTAATGACAAGTGACAAGGTCAAAATTGGTTGTGCAAATACTAGTACCTCCCAAAACTTCCAGAAACTACAACTCTCCCCTTCATTACATTCCAATATCCTTGAATCACATAAATCTTCAGTCGACAGAATTTTGTCTCACACCGAAACTTCCCAACGCAAATCATCGCAATCAACCATGTAATTGATCCGTCGATACTGTTGCATACTTGACTTCCAGCATTGAAGCTACCATATGAAAATCAGAACGTTCCATCGTTTTGAACATTAATGCTGGTGCCGGAAGTATATCGAGCACAGGAGCAGGAGACGTGATTTTAGGTGTCGGTACGTCTGTACCTGCTACATGAGTAGGAACAAGAGTTGAAGCTATCTGCTCAAACTTTGCCCCAAATACAGCTGCCACATCTGCTAATGCGTTCTGACTGGTGGTAATTGACTGAGATGTTTGACTTGCCGGCGAGAGATGCGTAGTTTGTACAGCCTGAAGAGTCGTAGTTGGTATAAATGGCGACGCGGAGGTTGTTGAATCTGGTGCAGGAGCTGGAGCACCCTTGTTAATGGTTTTTGATTGAACATCTATATTTGAAGTTGAAAGTTTGGAAGTGGATTTGATGTCGATAATGGATGTTGCTACAACAGACGTGGTGGCGGAAGTGCTTGCATGTGGTGTTGGCACAGGGGCAATATGTACACTTGCAGTTCCAGGTGACATGAAGGCACTCTCCGAAGCGTTTCTAAGGGCCGGACTTCCAATATCGGCACCAACAGAAAGAGTCGTCGCGGTCGATTGAGCTACGGAGTTTCTAATTGGCGTTCCAACTATAGTTGTTCCCATTTCATGGGCTGATTGAGAAGAATCATTCCAGCCTTGTATAACAGGCAGTAGTGCTGATGCGCTGATTGCCGAGCTTCCCAAGTTAGACATAAATGGATGGGTGGAAATTTTCTCTACTTGTGGTCCAGGGATTGGAAAGCCCGCCAGAGGTGATATGACGTGGAAGGATGACAAAGGGGAAGGTGACGCTAAAAGTGATGGCACAATTTGTGGGGTTGTAGAACTTGGTACCGGATTTGAGGCGGATATTTTCAAAGAATTGATTGTCAAATTCGACAAGACTGGACCAGGGCGTGCAAATGAAGAGCTTTTACCACACCCTTTAGGAGATAATCCATAGTTGTCACGCTTTATAGTATCAGCAGCCTAGTATTGAGTCAGCAAGGATAAAAGCCGGATGACAAGGGAAGCATATTACCTTTTCTGCAATGGCATAGACTGGTGCTTGTAGGTGGGAGGCGGGAAGCATTGGTATGATGCCAGCATCGACAATTCTAAGATTTTTGGTTCCGTAGACCCGAAGATCTGGATCTACCACACCTCCCAGCTCGCGTGGCATCATGGAAGTTGAACCAGAACCATGAAACTCTGTTCTTACACCCGAATAAATTGCAGGTTTTAGGGTTTCTGGTGTGGCATCAGGAAGAAACGGATAGTAAGGTCTCGGTTGCAATAACTTCATCGAATTAGTGTTCACAACTTTGTTGTTGAACATAAGAGCGTCCGTCAATATCTCAAGATCGAGTGGATTTGAACAGTAGCGTGGGTCGATATTGGGTGGTACATATGGGTTATCCGTCGTAATATGAACACTTCCTCTGGATAGAGGATGCATTACAGCAACTGAAAGGAGTCCTTCATTATCATTGAGAAGCTCGTAAGCACTGACATCAGAGCGGTTAAGAAGCTTAACAATAAGGTCTTTTTGCGCAGCATATCCTGAGACAACACTCGCATCCAGGCCCGGCACTAAGTAGTCCGTTACACCTTGTTTCTCGGCATCGGCAATTCTGTTAGTCCAATTTGAAGTAATCTGGGATAGTGATGGGAAAGCGACTGTATTAATTGCTCCGGCAGTCCAGGGCCCTAAAATCGTTAGTGCTCAGCTTAGCATTAGGGGGGTAATCCCACCGGTCTTGTTAACGTAATATTCCTGCTCTGCTTGACTGAGAAGCCGTTGGTCATTGTCTATTTGAACAATGGTTGGGTAGCTGGAATTAGAATCTAGCACTGTTAGAGTTACTGTGAAAGGGAAGAAGAGCACTTACAGTAGTATACGGCACCAACGTATGGATGATCTTGGAAGTTCTCTCCCACTCCTGGCAAATTGATCTGTACAGGCAAGCCGAGTTGTTCAAGTATATATGACTGGCCGATGCCAGAGAGCTCAAGTATTTGAGGAGTGTGAACACTTCCTGCTGCGAGTATGACTTCTCGTGAGCATGAAATTTCACGTACGACCGTACTGAGAGAAGGTGCAACCTGGATAATGTGAGCCGAGACTTTCAGGCTAGCCTCTCAATGTAATTTTATTACCTGAATACCAGTAATCCACTGGCCGTCTGGAAGGTCCCGGGTAAGAACCTCTGGAGGAGCTGAGTCCATCAAAACTCTAATGACAACAAGGCCAGTGGCAACGTGTAGGTTTGTACGGTTGATAAAACCGTCATAATAACCACGCCTCGCATCAGAACGTGTTTGGTTATCGGGTGAAAGGCTATTTGGTATCAACATTCCGCCAGCAGTTGTACCATTGTTTGGGTCGAGCAGGGTGGGGATTCCAAGCTCTCGTAGTCCATCAAGGAATAATTCTGGTGCATTGTTAGGTCATAGTTCGTCGTGTGTGGTGAGAATGCTAGGGTAACTTACTAGACTGAGGATAGAAGTATTTTGGGTACGAGACATCGATATATCCAGTGGTACCATGCGTCGAAGCATCCGGATACACATATAGCTCGTGGGCAAAAGCTGCATCGACATCATGGGTGTACTTCTCGGTCTGATTGAACATACGGTTAGCCAGATTTCAGCACGAACTAGATGAGATCTTACTTTTTTGAAGTATGGTAAAAGATCATTCCATCCCCATCCAGGGTTTCCAAGAGCTACCCAGGCATCATAGTCGGCGATCGCACCTCTAGTCCAGCACATGCCATTGATGAGACTGCCACCCCCCACACCTTTTCCGAGATCAATTGGCCTGGAAGAGCCATCAAGAGATGTCTGGGGTGCAGACCAAAGATTCCAGTCATAACTTGATCCAAGACCTTCTCCATCATCAAAAGGGTACATGATAAAATCTTCCTCATTATCCCTTGTTCATTGTTAACAGCAGCCAAGCGACAAAGTTGACAAAAACTTACAGATTACCAGCTTCAATGACCAGAACTGTTACATCAGGATCCTCTGACAATCTGTTGGCAAGGACAAGTCCAGAAACACCGCCTCCAGCAATAATGTAGTCGTAGCATGGCAAGAAGTCCGCATTGAGATCACGATGAGCGAGACGTATAGAAGATGCCAAACCACTGAGCTGGACCGTAAGGAATATGAAGGAAAGCTTGTAGAATCCCATGGTAAAGAATCAAAACGTCACGAAATGCGAGATGTCGATGTCGGACTGGTGGACCAAGAAATCAAAAAAGCAAAAAAGCAAAAGGAAGCAAGCAAAATTGGAAGCAAGTTGTGATCAAAATCTCCGTGTAGCAAAATGGAGGGTGTTTATTTGAGAAAAGAAGAACGGAGGGAGGTTCAACATTTCGAGATAAAGTAATTCTTCATTGTGTCTACTCGCGCTTTCCCAAAGTGTTAGAACCAGGATATGATGTCTATTTACAGATTTTGCGAGGAAGGAAAGATGAAAAGATAGGTCAGCGGGCCAAAATGTATAACTTTGATCATGGTCCAATGTTCTGAGTGCAATTGGTTAATTTAAATCGATTAAAACTGCCAAATACATTGAATACTACAACCGCATCTAATGCCAGAAATAGATTTGATACTCCTCTTAAAACTCGAACTATTTTGTTGCATTGAGGAGTGAGTATTGAAAGCTAGAGTCCGTAAATACCTACCTGACAGCAGGTATGTTTTGCTCCCATTGTGCTCCTTGAAGACTTCTGGCGTTGTTGATTTCAGAGTTTCGTAAACTTAGCTCCAGGTGAGCTTCCGCCGAACGATTGCACGAACTAGAACTGTTGAGAAAATTTAGGAGTTTCTACAAAGAGTTTCGAGAATACTCATTTGCCATTCCTTCCTTCATTTCTTCACTACTCCTGTACTCTCAAGCCTTCGCTTTACTGGATTTCTAATTTACTCGAACCTGATCAGATGCTTGTCAAAATGACTGGCTGTTTGTGCTTGATCACGCGTAAGTTTTATTCTCGCTGTAGCAGCTTCGATGAAACCTTCGGCCTCCTCCAGGCACTTCGAGTTACGACTTTGCTACGACTTGGAGTCCAGAAGTCAAATATCTACCAAGCTTTATGACAAGAATCAACGGCTTAAAATAATCAAATTCTGAAGTAATACGTATAATAGGTTTGGACGTTATGTCCTTGCTGCATGATAGAAAATAACGTAGAGAGTGTGTGTGTCATGATGTAATGAGCATGAGATTGTCTAAGGCCCTTATACTCGCCTAAGATCTCTGCCCATTATACTGTACTAGGTTCGTTTTGAACTTGTTGCCAGAAATAAAACACAGACTGCTATTATTGCAACTGCGACTGTCGTGAGAACCTACAGAGGATTTAAAGTTAGCATATCAATTCGTAGTTGCTGTCTAATAACAGGTAGACGGCGCTTGATTCTTCTTAGATGCTTTAGATGCTGGAACGTCTGCATTAGAGACCTTTTTAACCAGCTTTCAAAGTCTTCTCAACTTTTCCCTTAAATGGATATCAACCACGCTACTGAGATGCTACTAGGAAACACCTCCTCTACGAAGCCCACCAAATGAAGGCAGCAAAAGAAAAGAACAACCACTCACCCCTTGCGTCTTCCATCCACTCTGCACAATAGCCACCCTCCGACTATACTTATTAACCGTCTTCATATAATTTCCAAACCCTAAAGCCAAGCAAACGAGAGATAGCACCCAAAAGATTATGCCAAGAGGTTGGGCCATACGCAGCTCAAGCTGTGTGGGTGTTGACTTTAGGTGGAAAGAGAGAACTATGGCTAAAGAGACAATGGTCATGTAGATGGAAAGGCGTAGGTAAGACAGGAAGGTTCGTTCATTAGCGCAATGATCGCGACAATCGCTGTCGACATTATCGAAGAGGAGGGGGCCGAAGAGTGGGGGTGTGCAGAAGACAGATTCACCGTGGTAGCTAGAACGAGTTTGTAAGCTGGATATGATAACTTGGAGGTTATTATAAAAGGGGAACATGGATGTAGATGGAATCAGAATCGGAATTAAAAGACGGTGAAAAAGAAACATACTTTGCGACATCAACAGGTGCAGGACGACGGGGAAAATAAATTGGTGAGTATAATTCCGGTTGGGACTCTTGATGTCCTTCTCCTTCTTCCTCTTGAACACGAGCCATCGTGGATAGTGATAGATTGATATATTAAGAAGAAAAGTCCAGAATTTATCAGTAATGCAGCTCAAAATAATACCGGGAATGTTCCATCATCACTCAAGTTTAAGCTTCAAAGCTGCAATGATACCCCAGACTTTATGCTTAGTGTACCGTACAGTGAGTGCAGCGGATCACGAAATGACCCAAGCGGGATTCGCGGTATCATTAATCCGCTCCGATCGATTTCGCCTCGGATGGTAACAAATTTTAGACCCTTGATGCTGCTCTCTCTCTGGTGGCTGGTTTTCTATTTTTCCAATTATTTTTTTGACACATCATATTTTTCATCGCATAAGCATCACCCACTTATCAACTAGATCTAACTCGCCAGATCCTATCGCAATTCGTGCTCGGGAATCTTCGCACTCATTAAATCCTTTATCCCAGAAGACTTCTGTTTGTTCAGGGAATACCTGCCTATCGGGGTTTAGTATTCGTAATTTGAATGAACATTTCCGATGGTTGACATTTGCCATTATTGGACAGGGAATTCTTTGGCCGACAAGCCTGGTGGATTTACTTTGCTATGGTGGGGTGGACCCCCGTTTCCGCTCAAACCATGTCAGCGGGCACATGTAGAAGAAAATGGATCGATCGTTTACTGGGTTGGCCTGGACGGTGAGTGAGTGAGTGAGTGAGTGAGTGAGTGAGTGAGTGAGTGAGTGAGTCTTAATTCAATTTCCAATTGAGTCCTGCTTGTGTTCTTCTATATATTTTGATTGACTCTACTTTCCTTCTTCATTTATTGTCCGCGCGGGATACGTGTTTGTCAACGAGAGCATCTTTCATTGCACTGCGCCAGTTCTTACATTTTTTGTGCTGGGCGAAGAGAGGCAAGAAAGAATCCCAACCGTAGCTCTTATCAAGCATAATCTACAATCTTTTAAAATATTTGATACGCAGATATATACCACCGTTACAACGATGTCTTCTTTTCCAGTACCAATCAAATCTAGGGATGAGGGGCACCTACGGGACTCAATCTCCAGATCTCCTTTTAGCACTTCATTCATATCTCGCTCACCTATTGCTCAAGAATCACTTGCGAGAGATTTGGCGGAATATCCCGCAGATGATATAGAAACACCGGCGCAGAATGAATGCACTAGCTCTGGGGATGAGTCTTCAGAGGCTTCCACAATTCGCCAATCGGAGGCTCAGCACGCAATGACGCATTCGTATCGGAGGCCAAGTTTTGTGGCATTTGCTGGTACTCGTCCTGCGCTTACTCCCCAGTTCAAAGATACAGCATGGTTGAGCAAGAAGGAAAGACATGACACGAGGAACGAGGAAAGGAGTTTATTGAGGGACAATCATCTAGCTCCACCAAAACATCCCGAGCCAGCGAAGCGAAGCGCCTTCAACCGGTTATACAGGAAATTGTTTAGCACAAAAATACCAAAGCCAACGGGCGATGAAGAAGCTGGAACGCCATCAGAGACTTCAGCATTGCTACCAAATGGGCAGCACGAGTCTGCGCGTTCACGCCACGAGAGACTAAACAGACAATGGGAAGAAGCTGTCGCAGCAGGGAAGATCAAAACAACATGGCAACGAGAGGCGAAGACTTTATTGAGATATTCGAGCCCATTGGTCGTGACTTTTGTCCTTCAATATTCCCTTACTGTTGCGAGTATATTCACAGTCGGACATCTCGGGAAAATAGAATTGGGTGCTGTCAGTTTGGCTAGTATGACAGCGAATATTAGTGGATATGCTATCTATCAAGGACTGGCTACAAGTTTGGATACACTTTGTGCGCAGGCATACGGATCTGGTAGAAAAGGTCTAGTCGGATTACAATTGCAAAGAATGGTATGGTTCCTCTGGGCTCTGACTATACCAATAGGCATAATTTGGTTGAGTGCCGAGAAAATCCTGGAAACTATCGTACCCAATAAACGTTCCGCAGAGCTGGCAGGTCTATATCTTCGAGTTTTACTATTCGGAGCTCCTGGAATGGCACTTTTTGAAAGTGCGAAAAGATTCGTACAAGCACAAGGATTGTTTTCTGCAACCACTTACGTTTTGCTTATCTGCGCACCTCTCAATGCTTTCATGAATTGGTTGTTTGTTTGGCAGTTTGAGTGGGGGTTTATTGGAGCTCCAATCGCTGTTGCTGTGACAGATAATCTCTTACCTCTTCTTTTATTTCTATATGTCCGATTCGTGGATGGAAAAGATTGTTGGGATGGATTTACATGGAGAGCTTTTCATAACTGGGGTAAGTTTTAGCTGCACTCTGCTTATATAATTCTAACAAGTGCCAGGTCCGATGATCAAGCTCGCTCTTCCTGGCCTCGTCATGGTGTTGGCGGAGTACTTAGCATTTGAGGTTCTAACTTTAGCGTCGAGCTACTTTTCCGTAACGCATCTCGCGGCTCAAAGTGTCCTTACTACCATAACTGCTTTAACTTTCCAAATCCCATTCTCCATTTCTATCGCAGCTTCCACCCGTGTGGCAAATCTTATCGGCGCCACACTCTCAGATGCGGCTAAAACTAGTTCGAAAGTGGTACGTAAAGCTTCAATTTTGTGTTCCCAGGTGTTATGCATCCCCATTTAAGAGCCGTTGAGCTAACAAGGCTTACCTGCCAGGCCATCTATGCTGCCTGCATAGTTGGACTATTCAACTTTACACTAATTTCCTCCCTGCGCAATATCGTACCCCGTCTCTTCACCGACGACGTCGACGTTATAAACATCGTCGCCAGTGTCTTACCTCTCTGTGCTGCATTCCAACTCTTTGATGCCTTAGCAGCAAATTGTAATGGCTTGCTCAGAGGATTGGGAAGACAGGAGATAGGTGGATATGTTAATCTCTTCTGCTACTATGTATTAGCGATGCCAATTAGTTTTGGAACGGCATTTGGATTAGGATGGCAATTAGAGGGATTGTGGTTGGGTGTTGCCCTTGCGTTGGGTCTGGTGGCAGCGATTGAGGGGTGGTTTTTGGTGAGAACGGATTGGGAGCGTGCCGTGGAGGTATGTTTTTGGGCTTTCCTTGAAGCAGTTGCTTATTTTGAGAAAATTACTAACGTGTACATGATCACAGGCAGCACAAGATCGAAATGCAGCAGGATGATTTTTTGTTGATGTAAATGATGTAATGATTTTTAATTTCAGGAAAACTAGGTGATTAGGCAGGAGAGAAAGTTATAAAATTTATGAGGGTTAAAATCTACGGTGGTGGTTCAATTTTAGAGGAGGTTGCGTGTTAAGAACCTCTACAGCTAGATTGATGGTTTGATATATTTATCTTTACTTGAACATTTTTTGGCGACAATTTTCTTTCCTCCGTTTTCGTTATTGATTATATCGAAACTGAGCTCTGTTTTGTACATGAGCGAGCGGTCGTACTTGTATACTTGTACATACCCCACCTGCGATATATAAGCATGCACACATATGTCATATGAAATATGATATATGATTGGTAGATTGGATGATTATATACAAATCCTGAAGCTCAGTTAAGAGCATGCGTTCAGCAGTTTCTTTTTGTGTGTGATATGATATGATATGATATGATGGGATGGGATGTCAAAAAATTTAATATCTCATCTTTTGAAATCCTATCTTGTCTTGTCTTGTTTTTGTCACGATTCACGATTTAGATTAGAGTAGTATTATTGATGTCGGTGATTTAGATGCCGATTATCAGGGGGGTGTGATTTAACCATTGTTTTCAAAAGGCCTAATCGTTTACAAATACGAACTCAGGATTTCTAGGATAAGTATCCTAAGCAATTATATTAGAATAGGACAAGTGTTTTAGCTAATTGGTTGTAATAGAATAATCACCTTAAAGGATATTGTATTCTAGGATTGTGATTCCTAGAGGAAAACTTTTGGGATAAATGTTTCAGGAAAGGAGAGACTTCAGGATCAATCATATAATAAGAAGCCCTAAAAGCTTAAAAAGCTTTTGAGTTTTACAAAGCTTCTTTTCATTCATTAATATATAATCAGAATAATTTTATAATTTAGAGGTTTTATGCTTAATTTAATTATCAATTAGTTTATTTATATTTCAATTGATTTAATAACAAATTCATTTTCAAATAAATAATCAGTGATTAATAACTTTAATTTACAACTATCAATCATACAAAACCTCAGGCAGCCGCTGCCTCGACCGGATCGTTACAATTATATATAATTATATAATTATTATATAAGTATTTTATTTATATATATAAATACTTTTTATAAGTTATAATTCTTCAGTTATAGATTCTAAAGAATATAATTGATTCTGTTTATTCAACTCTTATAAGATTTTTGTATATTATACTTTGTTTATTAATCAATTTTATTTCTTTATTTTGATATTAAGTTATTTTAAAGAGAGTTTTCTTAGGCTTTTATTGTTGGTTTTATTAGACTTTTCATCGATAGGTTATAGTAGTGTAAGATAATATAGAATAAATAACATGATTTATCACTATGTGGGCCACTTTGACCTCAATTCGTATCTTCAAATCCATATTATTCAACAACTACTAAATTTGTTAGAAACTCACGTGTTACACTCGTACTAGCCTAGACGCTAGTCAGATTACCTCTAGGATCTTCTCTACAGATTATTAGCTACACTTAATACAATCACACATATCCACTTCTAACAAAACTAATGATTGTTGAGCACGAAGCTCTATAGTAATGAAATCCAGCCTGATTATATAGACCTTCTTGCTCTTGGAAACCGATAAATCGATTAGCATAAAACCGATCTCGACTTATTGGTTTATCGATCATATGCTTTTGCCTGGGTTGCAAGTCATTTGATTAGGTATTTGATTTTGTCTTTGATGTATTTATAGTCTAATATCGTTTCGACATTGTATACGGTGTTTGGGTTGATTGGTTCGATTCTGGTAATGGGTGTGTCGAGTGCTTTTGGTGGTGCTAGTTCGAGTAGGGATATATGGAATACTGGATGGATATTTATGATATCTGGTAGTTTTAATTTGAAATTGATAGATTCTATTATTTTGTCGATTTCGAATGGTCCCAGTTTCTTATAATTTAGTTTATCGCTCGGTCTTTGAGTTTGAATATTTCTTCGAATCAAATAAACTTTATCCTTCTTTTTAAGTGTAGATCCTATACTATATGATTCGTTGTAATATACGATTATTCTCAAGGTTGTGGATTGCAGATCCAATGAGAGCTGTTCGTATAGTTTCTTGATTTCTGATACATCTTTTATAGCTTCGTCGGCGTCCGCTGTCTGTAGGAGTGGTGATCGATAGGCCAATAGGGTATATCCATAATTAGTATATACTGGCATTACTTTCGTTGTTTCCGTTTCCGATGTATTATATGCGAACTGAGCTAAGGGTAGTAGTTCAATCCAATTGTCTTGTTTGTAGTTGATGTAATAGTATAAATAAGCTTCCATCGTTTGATTTAAATGCTCTGTTTGGCTATCTGTTTGAAGGTGAAATGTTGTAGAGAGCTTGTATTTGATTCCGAGTAGTGCTATAAGAGTAGTCCAAAATTTCGATATAAAGAGCTTGTCTTTATCTAAGATTATTTCTTCTAGTACATTATATATGTTGATTATATTTCGTAGGAACATATAAGCCAGATTATCCGCTATCTATTTCTTATAGAATGGTATCATATAGGCGAATTTCGTTAATCTGTCCGTCACTATTAGAATAGAATCATATTCTTTTAAGATGATTGGTTCTTCGGATATTGGTAGCTTTATTACGAAATCCTATATAATAGATTTCTATGGTTAAGTAAATAAGTTAGGGGTTTTGAGCTGACTATATGGAGCATATCTAGCAGCCTTGTTCTATATGCAGGTATTGCAGTTCCCAACTACTTTCTCAATTATGGATCTCATTCTTGGAAGTAAACTTCTTTCCTGATTCTAATAAAGGTTCTGGTGATTCCTTGATGCCCATGAGCCGGAAGCTCGTGTTGTTCTCGAATATATCCTTTAGCCAATTTGGAAGGCATATGTTACGAGGTTTGCCGTCTAGATCATGTGGAAGTGCTCTAGGCTCTCGAGGTGGTTTATAACTAGGCGTCAAGCAGGGACTTAAGTAACAACAGTAGTGATTACAATTCGTAACTAATAGTAGATTATACTAAATGATTGATCTTGAGTATGAAGCTCTATAGTAATGAAATCCATTCCGTTTATATAGACCTTCGTGTTACACATCCCACTGCTCTCTATTGTCCCACTACTATAGGAATAATTCCCATTACGGGGAGAAATCTCACCTTGGTGGGATTCCTTAATCACGTGCCTTTGGGTAAGACTCGATGTCTGTGCTTACTGGGCCGCAGGCAAAAGCGCAGCAAATTTGTATGGCACACCTGCTTATTCTGCTGTATAGGTCTCCCCACCTTCAAGCTCATATAGACAGATAAACTGTTACTTTGTAACATGGAATTTGGGGAACCTAGAATGCCTTGTACTCTAGGAATATTGTCCTGTGATACAAGATTAGATAGGACACTGGCCCTATGACTGAAGTAGTCCTAGTGTGATAATCGTGCTAGTACAATTGTCCTAGGATATTTGTCCTAGCCTACGTGTCGCACTCCTTACTTGTACCTTCGGTACAGTGGTTGCCTAATTGGCTCAGCCGACACTCCTCCTCCATATAGTCTTGAGCTGCTCTCGCGGCTCTCTTCCTTCTTTGTGATACAACATCTTACTTAACACCTTGGTACCTTTGCACCGTGATACCAAAAGAAAAAAACTCTTCAAGCCTTATTGCTCTTTTAATATTCAGTCCGTATATCAAATATCAATATGGCGTCTATACAAATACAATCAGTTCCATATTTTACGACAACTCCCGATTGCTATAAATGTCAAAGGCCAACAATTCGCTGTATTACTCGAAGATCGAATCGTATAGGAAACGCCAATCGTCCATATTATACCTGCCCTCCATGCGGAAAGTTTCATAGCTTCGATGACCATCGCGGTATTAGTTCTACAAATCCACTTTGCTATTGCCAAGCATTTAGCAGAATGCAAGTCTCGGGACCATACAAGCGAGTGCCAGGAGGATTGCATTATGTATGCAGTTCGGGAGCATGTGATTATTACAGTGCTCGCCGGGATGCTCAGCAGCGGCACCTTACCTTAAACGAAGACTTTATACATCGCTTTGTAGCCCTAAAGATCATTTAGGGTTGAGTAGTAGTGTCAGGAAATGTCCAACTATGGCTAGAATAAGGATCGGAATATTCAGGTTTCTCTTGAATGGTAAATGGGCGAATCATATTTGAGGTAAAGGATTTTACGAAATAGTGGGACAGTCTGGAGGGTAGTTTAGAGGGCAGTTTGATAGGGCGGCAATTTGGTAAAGCAGATGAAGATATATCGATAAGTCTTGACCTCAGATTCGATGGAGATGGATGCGTAGATATATTCTCGGTGCAAAATCTTTTGCCGGAAAAAATGAAATTAAAAATTATTATTTGTGCTGGATAAGTCAGGCGGTATATCTGATTCAAACCTAAAGTGAAAATAATCTTTATATTCATCAGCCGGAACACTTCGCTTCCATTACACCTTCTCAGGTATTACACTCCTTCGGTTACCCTTGATACTAGATCAACTGCAAAGTCTCCTACTTCTCGAATAAGCTCTTGAAATGAACGCTTTTGAACCAGTTCTTTTTTGTGTAAAGCCACCACATTCACCACAGTTTTCCTTATAGTATTGGTGTCGATATCATTCGATGTTGTGTATACTTCGCGAATACAATCGGGAAATGTATCACTAATCCAATGCTGTTGTAGTTGCTTTTCGAACTTCTTACATGAAAGTATCTTTAGCTGTTCTATTCGGAACATGTCTGCAAGAGCAAACACTCTTGGATGTTTAAGTAACTCGAGATCATCACCTATATTATATTAACTTTGGTATCTTAAAAGGAGAGAGAAATACACTTTACTTTCCTTACTTTCAAAAGCGATGAATACTGCAATTGGTTGGATTAAAGTATTGACTTCTCTCTGAATAAATGGTCGTAATCTTGCTGCTAGGTTCGTACTATCATTGTGGAGTATATTGTCATCTCTCCATTTACTTTTCAGTGTCACGATACGAAACGTCTTGCTGTCATCAACTCTTTACTGAACTACAAAAACTTCCAGAGTATACCACTTGTACGCAAACCCTTAATAGAATCCTCCCCGTTGGTAATCTTACCACATCACAGCCATACAATCAGAGACGAAACGCCTCATAGCCTCCTTATCCCATCATACCGAATGCGCTTATGGTTTCGCAATGCATCTTTGTTCTTACTACCTAGGTACAGAACTACCTTTTATCTCTCCAAAACCACGTTTTCCTCCTGGATTCACCATCGCTAAAATATAATAAAAAGCAAGAAATCAATGATAGGGAGGGATATCTATCTCACTCGATTCCAAGCAACTCTTGAGCAGAAAACCTCCTGGGCTTTATGACTATAATATTATATAAGAAGCTCCTAAATAATCATGAGGAATAAACTAGTATCAGTCTTGTAATCTAAATTAGAACTATCAAATGCGGAGGAGAGAAAATTCCTAAGCTAACTCAAAGAGAATCATTGGTGGGAATTGAATCCCCATTATTCTTCTAAAGATTTTTGTTATTTCCAACTGTGTATTGCCAATTCATTCAAAGCTTTGCTATAATCATTGTATATTCTTGTAGTGTATTATATATACATTACCACTATCATTATATCTAGAATCCCATCACCTCAAAACGACAGAACGATAACAGCAACCACAATCAAAACCAACAATCAACTACAGCCCCCCGAAAACCGCACCGAAAGAACCGCGAAAAACTTCAAGATCTCTGCGTACAAACATAAATTTACAGAGTGCCAGTAGTACAAGAAAGTGAACTCCTGACTCAAGGTCATGCATGAAGAGTAATTGAATTTGATTCTTCAAGTTATGTTTTGAAATCACGAGGGTTTAAATAATTATAAAACGAAGAAAAAGAATAGAACTATCTATCTTTTTGTGAGATTTTCTAATAAGTTATTAAATCACTTAATAATATTAGCCGAACCAATGATCGGATAATTATGTGATATATTAATAATATTCATATTTATTATTAAATTTCATTATCATATGAAATTTCAATTATAATTTATATCAAATTGATTTATAAGGAAATAGAATAAAATGGAAGTGTATAAAATCTCTTATTTATTAGATTGAATATTATTGATTATTATTTCTTTTTATTATATAAAATAATTTTATAAAATTTAATTCAAATTGATTTTATTATTAATTATAGAATATATTAAAATTTTATTAAATATTATAAGTACAAAGGTTTTCTTCAAAGAATCCTTTGAAAAAACAAGGTAGAAAAAACAATAAAATCTCTACTTTATTATTCTGACTTCAATTTATGATTATATTCGACTTTACTTTATTAAGCTTAAACACGACTAAGTCTTTCATTACTAATATAAATAATATTATTATTATGATTATTATTATTTATTATCGATTAACCTCCTCCGAGAGGTTTCACTACCGGTTGATCTTTACCTCGTTCACCGTGTGCAATCTCCAGATTAGCCCCCAATCCTCCAGCTCCGCCTCGACCTGTGAATCATTAGCTGCGACCTATCATCAAGCTTGGATCAGTTTTGGCTTACCCCCATATGTCTTGCAAACATCTGTGTAACAAGAGCCAGATGTTGAGTGATAGAAGATTCCCAGCCGTCCGCAGCCTTCTCATCAAACCGCCAAGCCTTTAGAAGAGCACATTGCGATTCAATCGTTTTTGCAAATTCCGTTACCCGATCCGGCCACTTTAACGCTGTATTGGAGTTGGTTCTGTACATTGATTTCCCGTATCCAATAGGTGTGAAGTTAACAAAGCACAGTATTTTGCCTAATACTCTGTGAGCGTGTTTCCTCAAAAGGTTGAGATTAAAAGCTTACCACATTCCCCACCGTCACCGCCATCACCACCTTTGTCTGTTCCGTTCTCACGAGAGACACCTCTTCCGCCATCACCACCAGAACAGTTCAATGTCAATCTGGAGGAAATACCGGGGTCTGGTTCTTGAACACAGAGACAGATCGACCCACCCGCGCCCCCAGGTTTCCCTTTATCTCTTTTCGCCTCGGTGGTTCCAGCCTCGCCATTGTTGCCGGAGACATCGATACAGACTTTGTCTTCCGTCAACTTGAGCCTCCTACACAAAATTCGCAAGTGAAGTCCCGCGACCCGAATGATTTCACTAGATAATTTAACAGTGTCGGCGTAGATAAAAACATTCTTGTATTTCGTAGCAAACGTCCCGCCTAACATAACACCTTGAGCCTGCTCAGACAGCACAACTAGGGAGTCATTTCCACGGAACACAACGTAGTCGCTGGTTTCCAATGTCGGTGGTGCTGGGCTGAACTTTTCTTCAGGTGGATCTTGATGCGACATATTCAATGAGAAGGCACAACCTTACAAGCTGACCAATGTAGACATTCATAAGGTTTGTCAAAGCTTGATGGAAGAAAGTTGTCCAAAAGCCTGAAGAGACCAGGTTATGGCTAGATGTACCTCAAAACACGGCCTTATCATACGCATGTGCTCGCTTGGGCACTGGGCTTCTTATGCTCCCATTGTGTAGAGCGTCGGTAAGAGGAGATTTGCGAACCTCAATGGGTCTACGGTTGCCACCGGCCTACCTGATTTATTCGTTTAAAGCCGAAGATAATCATGCCAGATGCTGAGTCTGGACCGGTTTACTTCATGATGCGGCCAGAATAGAGTCTTTCTCGAGTCACAATGAAGGTGTGATGGGCCTACATTAGCTAGCGAATTGTAATCTCCAGTGGCACAACTCAACGTTACAATCAGTAGATATCACCGGTTAGAAAAAGTTTACAATGGTTTCCAGCTCAGAAGAATAGCTCTTTTCTCGATAGCCTTACCGCCACAATTTGTATTGAATTGTTCTAGATCACTCTAATATTCTTGCGCCCAGACGTACAAACGCTCCAGGAATAAAAACGGGTATATGATCGAACTGAGCGTGGAACTTAGAAGACCATTAAAAATTCAGCTGACGAGATAAGCCACTCATAGGCTACCTGCTGTCAGGTAAACGTGGTATTAGTACGATGACAATACGGGTAGCAAAAGGATGGATTAATGGATCTAGGGAAGGAAGAAAATAAGTGGAGAAAGAGATCCTAAGTAGGGCTAGTAGCTCACCAACCGAACGTGTGTGACCATAATCGTGACTTCAGATCTCCATATTCAGCGATCTCCGATCTGACACCTGCTTCATCCGTGCCCGTAATCTAGTTTCCACATCGACTCTATTTTAGAGTTTTTATACTCTTTTTCGATTGGATATTATGAGCGAACTCTTTCAAAGTATCCAACCGATCAATTTTTAAATTATATTTATAAATAATTTAAAATATAATTTAATATTAATAAACCAGGGCCTGCGCCCCGGACCCCTGACTTTTAAGAAAGTCTAATGAAAATTTAAGTTTTAAAAAATTTATAATAAATTTAAATATTGAATATATATCAGGGTGCAGGCAGAATATCGGCTTGTTTTTGATAATTGAAAATTAAAATATTTTATTTAAAAATAATAATTATAATATGATTTAATATTATTTATAATATCATTCATTATTATTATTATTATTATTATTATTATTTCTATTATAATAATAAGTTGAATAAGTTGAATTGAGCAACTGCGGATCTATCATACATGATAGTGTCACAAGTACGTCTCAAAAAGGAGAAAGTAAGTCCGCCTTGACTATTATAGCCTCAAATAAAGCTGATCGTTTCGCAGAGGGCATGGCTTTTTCATTCAAATTCTCGTCCGAATCATCAACCGTTCCTAAGATCAAGTATGAGTCTAATAATCTCAAGTACTATATGAGCGGTACAGACATTAATCTCACCGAGACCCCGAGTACGTTGGTGTGTGATTCTGAGCGACCCTTAAGCAATCACAAACCTATCTCCGTCTCTTTTAAAAGTAACACAAAACGTTTGGAATGGAGCAAGAACACCTACATAGGCAATGCGAGCGATGGTTTTTGGGATCCTGAGCACGGTGCCTGCAACCTCACCTTCAAGTGGTCGGCTAAGGGGCAGTGGAAAGGGAGCCAGAACATGAAAGACCATCCGAACCAACTGGGTATTACTTTTAATTTCGATAATACATTCGGAGTGGAAGTCAATGCAGAAGGAGCAAGTTTTTGGAATAGCCTTTTAGGCAAGGTCGATTCTGTTCCTTCAGAGTATTCAAGTCTTAAGCCACCTGCACCGACTATCGACCTAAAGCTAAAGCCGTTGGATTACTTTTTAACGACAAATCTTCTGTTACCCGGCGAGCAAGTGTTTATTGCCGACTCACCGGTTCCGGAGAACAGCGGAATTCAGTCTGGACTTATGACACCTCGGGATACCATTCTTACAGGTCAAATTGCCACGAGTCTTGCCGGAAAGAACATGAGGATTAAGGCGCTCAATGCTCACAGGCTGCTATCAGGACAAGCAATGGTGGCGGAGCCTTCCCCACCACCCACCGGCTTAAATGGGTGGAAAGAGGCTTTGCTCTCTTTTCCTGACAATAAAATCCTGGCCGACATGTTACTATGTTACTCTAAAGCAACTGATAAAACAGACGCTGCCATCGAAAGCGTGCTTGCGAGTCACAACTTTAAAGATCTCATTGATGCTGATTTCTTCGCTCTCTGGGGCACCAGCATGGACCAGTTGATCAATCCCAAGTCCACGACACAGGCTGCTCCTAAACTAGCTGAAGCAGCTGGAATCAGAAGCATTGATCTTCGGCTTTTTGGAGCCATCTACGCAGTCGCTCAGCCCAAAGATGCTGAAGGTGAGCAGTTTATGATTCACCCTACCCGTGGAACGATTGTATTTGGCCGGGACGAAATCACTCCTCTACAGACCTTCGATACTAACACGCAAAAGACTGTAATCACCTGGACCAGAAAGTCTGGTTACACATATGCAGCAAGTTTCAGCGTTGTTTGGGATTCTCAACTTGAACAACTTGGCGTGGAATGCGCTGGTACTGTGCACAGTCGGGATGGAGGCACAGTACCATTCCAGGCCTTCAGCAAAGGATATCCCTCTAAAGGCGATAATAATCCTCCAACCGGAAATTTGTTAAATCTCCAGCAGCAGCAGCAACAGGACCCAGCTAGCTCAGCGGGCTTATGGATAGGAATGATCGCTGGATCATTGACAATATTGTGCTTTGGTGTGGGCTGTATCAAGTCCTGGCGCGGCAGGCGCCAGCAAATCAGACAAGACCAAGCTGCCTACAATTCTCTCATCCAGTTTGCTGCGGGATTAAGTGCTCGGGCCGCTCGCGAGAAGTACGGAGACCATCGTGGTGCCACGGAAGAAGCATTCCAAGACCTGGAGAGGCGCGTAGAAACCGACATTAAGGACAAAATAAGGGAATTGACTCACCAAGACAAGAATTTCTGGAAGAAAATGGAAAACGATGCAAATTTTAAGAAAGATACCATGCAAGCCCTGTTTGATGTGGCAAGTGACCGGGTGAAGAGGGAAGTTGATCGTTTTGCTTCGGTGCCTACTGGACTTATGCAGGAGCAGCTTGATGGAAACCCAATATATCAAGGCGTTACAACAGAGCAAAAACATGATATCACCATTGAATTCGTGCAAGAGGAGCTTTCCAATTTGGAAAACAACCTGGAGAAGCCTGGCGAGTCTGGTGAATCATACGTTGAATCACTGTCACATACTATTCTCGAGATACAGGAGATTGCGGAAATTGAGAAATCACAGGAAACTGTTCTGAACGAAAGTCTGAAGATTGATCATGATATAGCAGAGTCAGAAGCTGAGACATCGAAGAGACAAAAGGAGTCTGACCATTTACAGGAGGAGTTCAACAACGAGAAAAATGAAGAGATGAGAGAGATCCGCAAGAAGGAGTTGGATAAAGCGAACGACCGTCTCAATGAATCCAAGGATAAAACGGAAAATGAGGTCAAGAAGAGGGAAGAGATCAAGTCTGAAAAAACAAAGCTAGAAACAGAGCATAAGGAGAAGACTGAAAAGAAAGAAAAGTTGGAGAAGAATGTTAAAGAAGCCAAAAAGGAGGTATTCCAACGTAAATTAGTTTTATAGAATATTAAGTATAAATATTAAAGTGAATATTATAGTTATATATAAAGTAATTGATATTATTTCAATATTAAGGGTGTTGAGATCTACTGAAATACTCGTGTGTGAAAATGATAGATCGTATCCATATTACTCATCTCACACAAAGTACCCAGCGGTTATCATTTACTTTAGTGACAACAATAAGAGACAAAGATGGTTACAACAAGACCATAAGATGACAACCAGCCGCAAATCTACTCGTATTTTACCTGTTTCCGATATTATATGTTATCTTTGACAAGAGAAACAGAACGAAAACCACCGGTACTACTAGCGGCGCCATGTATATTGAAGAATCATAGGGATGCGTACATTCCACCTGCAGGTTCATGCACCCTTTTTATGCCTTCCAATTCAAAACGTAAGATTACCAAAGTCTCAGTGGTGCCACGGTGATAAGATCCTACAATAGGTAAACAAACAATAGCGCAATATACCGCAGTCTTCACAGTAACCTATCCACAGACTTTCAGCCTATCTCAATCTATCTCACTTAGTAAGATACCATAACTATATAGCAAATCTAAGTAACCTCAACAACAATAGATAGAGATAAGATCTTCAAAGAGGATGAAATATTTAAACTGAACACCCCCTAAATACCATCCACTATCAGCAGTAACAATAATTCAAGAACTCAACACATCAGTCTGAAAGTAAAAATTCTTGGCCACTAGCGCCAGATAGCTATTCCAGAGTCGTCTTCAAATTTGATTGCCTAGGTTCTCTGGCGCCTGAATAGCATTCTTTGATGAAGGGGCGACGTATTTATAACTAGGTTACCTACTAGGTCATCTATAGATATGACCTAGGAGAGCCTCAGGTGAGTAATTATAGATTGTATTTAGCACGAGTAGATAGAGGGATGGAATGACAGGAGTAGGTAAATATCTAGGTATGACTTTCGTTGATACCGTGCATATTTACTCCACTCCACCAATCAAGCAACTCCTACTAACTTTTCTGAATTTTTTGTTGCATATCTATCGTAGCCTGAAGAAGCCTATAATTGAATAGTTATTATACCTACGGAAGCAAGAATTAGTGTCATTCTAGTGTAGTAGAAATCAGTGGGGGATGTTACATGTTACCTTGGAAATATGCCATGCACTCAAAATTGCCTGATAATTGGTCGAGTCCTGTATCGTGGTGATCATCAGTTCTTTCCGGTATTATGATATCCCTAATGCCTCAGATGTTGTGATCACAAAAACAACTTAAGAGCAAGGCCAAACCAGCATATCCGAAAAGATTTCCAGTAGGACAACTTTAGGCGAGTGATATATAGCTACGTAAAATGTGTCCATCATTCAGGGATAAACGTCTCGTTGACCTTTGAAACAAATACACTCTTCAAAATCAACACTTTCGCGACCTCATTCGATCCCGCTCCACTGTTCCTCTCGAAAGTATAAAGTTTTTCTACTTGGAGAGTCTCCAAATACCTTATCGCCTTGACAAAATTTGTTCCAACATGTCCAATACCATGGCTATCATCAGACAATGTAAACTTTCCACCAAGGTCTCTGAATGTCTATTGTACAGTCAGCATTTTCTCATTCCTATCTACACACAAAATACATACCTCGCAAATCTCTCTTTCTGGGTATGGTTCTTTCAATCCCTTCCTCAATGCACTAGTATTAATTTCCAATAGCCCTCCATATTTCGTCACCTCTAACAAATTTCGCAAAATCTTTTGCCAAATTCCATCCCACTCTTTCAAATTCCTATCCGGCTTCTCGCTCAACAATCTAATCAAATCAAAATGGCCCACCACCTTCGGTTTCAACGATTGCAACATCTCGTACTGCTGGTCAAAATAATCCCCATATAGCTTCTCCTCCGAACCTCCAGATCTCTCGACAGCTTTTGCATAAAGCGCAGCATCGTAATCAATAGGTATCTCATTCACATGATGTATCGAACCGATGAAGAAATCAATGATAGGATTGGAAGCAAGCTGTTGAATCAGAGGTCCATAATCCGAACGAATCCATTCTCCCTCAAAGCCTATGAGAATATGAATTTTATTCTCATATTTTTCACGAAGACGAACAGCTTCGGCGAGATAGGCTTCGTGTCTTGGTATAAAACGAGAGATGTCATCTCCGGCTTCTACCTGTATATGTTAGATTATTTGAGGTGAAATGATGAGATGATAAAGCAAAATCTTACTTCTTCAGGGTATAAATCCGAGTTGGAGTTTCGTGGCATATGTTCTGTTAATGCAAAAGTTTGCATGCCCCTGGAAATGGCGGTTTGGATCACTTCTTCCAGTGTATCTTTGGCGTGACCGGGACAAAATTGTCCGGAATGACTGTGCATTGAAAATGCCATGATGGGTATGTGTATTAAGTATCTATTGCAGATGAAGAATTATACTTGTAGAAGTCTATCTGGTCTAAAATCTTTCAATGCTCGAAGTGCGAAAATGATGACGCATAGGAGGGGTATCTAGTTGGCGGCCACTCCAAAATTTTTAATAACTGTTGGAGGTTGAGTATCTAACAAAAGAGGTAGATCGGAAACCACAAGAAAGGAAGAATCAAGATTATATATACAAAGATATAACCTCAATGTAACCTCCTAGGTGCGATATAAATATTTCGTGCCCCGAGTGACTCTTAACTAATAGAAAAGAGATGTCCAATACCATAACCTAGATAATAAACGTGGGGCAGGATTTGACCAATCATTTGCATTTTCACATGCCCGCCAAGTGGTTGTCAGATCAGAGGCGACATCACGTGACATGATCCTCCCAGAACGGCTTTAGATTATAAATTAACACAGAATCGCTTAGCGGAATATACTTGGGTGATTGGCGCAATGGTAGCGTGTGGACCTCCTATTATGGGAAGCTTTCCAGTCTAAGGTTGAGGGTTCGAGTCCCTTGTCGCTCGTAGTTAAGGCTCTTTGCTTCTTATTTTTATTTTTGATAGGGTTGAAATGTTTTCAACTCTGTTTGATATATATGGTCTTGATGCGGAGCTAGTAACATTGCAAGCGCTCAATATCTACGGATTCTTAATGATGTGATTAGTCGTTGTTTTGGTTGTTTACATGTTTATCACTTGCTAACCGTTTTCTTTAAGCCAATACCGGATATGTTGAGAATGAGACGACCATTTTCCGGGCATGAATTCTCTTCGGCTGTTATCCTTTAAATTATCCGAATATTTACTAGACGACCTTCTCGGAAGTCTGTAAATTTTGAACTATCTCTGCTGATCTCAAAATGATTAGATCAGGACGGAGTCTACGGCCAACGATCAATTAAAACCGAAATCCTACCTCGAATGATGAGTTGACTCCTTCAAGTGTGATGACTTTGTCTAACAGGTTGCGGAAAGGAGATGGGGAACATCGGTCTACGTATCCTCTCGAGCTCGCAAAATTAAAAAAAGGCCCCGAATAAGCCTTAATACATGACTAACACTACATACCAGAGGCGATGTTGGACAAACGCATACGAGGACTACGACCGCATGCTTCCCTAAGATTTTGGAAAGTTTTACTAAAGACGACAATCCAGTTGCACCAACGCCATTCCTCTTAAATGCTCTCCCAAGCAAGGGAGTTTTCAAGGTACTCCGAATTTCAACAATCATTCTTTCTTCAACAAGAACCGTAAACTACGTCACTGATGTAAAGCCCATTTCCTCGACGAATCCGACATTATCAAAACTATCTTCTATTCCCCACATGGTATATGAAACTTTCACATCCCAACGATGTCCATCCATTTCAAATTTCATCGTAACATTCACAGCTCCAGCATCCCAACTCTATTGTCACCCAACTATATGGGTCATCAAATGCCGTATAATTTACTTTAAGACCAGTTAAGCCAGTACATGACCAACATTCTACTCCTGGGACTCGCTCATCATTGCTGGAATCAGGAGGTATATAGTTCATGGTCACGGAATAAGGAGCTTCGCTGCTGTATTCAAGGAAAAGTTCGTCTCGGCACAATGTTTGGCAGTCATTTAAAAGATTGGGCTTAGCGCGCGTCGTCTTCTTTTCGCACTTTCCACATGCGGTAATGGAAGAAACGAGGTTCAGGATCCTTTGAACTATGGTAATGAAGAATGAGGGAGACACCTCCAAACTAATGACGCGAGTGGAAAACGGGGAGCTCTTTATGCCTATATCTAAGTGGAGGGTTTTTCAAGCTTAAGGGAAGTTAATGTTAAATGTGGTTAGTAGATCTTTTAAAGTGTTTTCTTTCCTGCCAACGAAATATCAATGTGTTGACGCATGGAAGCAAGCCAGTTCGCATACCTGAGATTGCCTAGGTGAAATGTTAATGAGTCTTTGAAGTAAGCGTGTACAGGAAATCCGTGCTGGAATCACCAGGTCTTAAATAACCCTTTGTCGGCAACATCAACCATGGAATACTGATCCTAGCGCTCCACATTTCTACGAACATACGCAGATTCTTCGTTTGTCTCTTTTCACCTACGAAGTCCTGTCATTCATAAAAATATTCGCCGGTCTCTCGCACTTTCCTTACTAATCAAACTTCTTCGCGTAGGTACTAACTTCCAAGGTAGCAATCATTTGCTACTTGCTCGTGTCAGGACCCATCACGATGCTCTACAAAAGCCAGGAGACCCCTCATCGGAAAGTTCAAATTGACGGTTGAACTTCCCTATCAACCATGTCACTAGCAAACCTTATTCACAAGCAATTGTTTTTCCACTTCATGCTCAATTTTTGTTGCATATATGTACAGGGACCTGCGAAATTTCACAAAGACAAGTTGTCAATCTTCGGCCATGGATTCCTAGTAAATCAGCCAGAGGCTTGAGGACATGCACTCGGGTGTTTAGTTATAGGCCAGACTTTTAAGTTTCCAATAGTCTCCAATCCCTGCTGGCTTCATACAAACACAACCATAGTTCGGAAATACTCCCAATTGTTGCATATCTATACAGGGACCTGTATCGTTAGTCTACACCAAAATACTAGTTCACCAAATATCGTAACTGGGTTTAACAGCCCAAGGACAAGCTAACTTGACGTTACCTATTAAACTATGTAGATAGCCCCATTTAGCCCGCACGAAACCTTTAAGGTTGAGAATACAATCCTTTTGTTTCACGTCTGTACAGGGATATAAATCATAAACAAATTTCGTATATAACTCTAGTGAGTAGAAAAACCACCAAGAACCGACTTTCCAGCTTTCAGGGAATAGTTAAGTCATTCTAATTATCTCCTTATTCCCTCACTATCCAGATTTACACACACAAATGTTCATAGACTACAGATCTAAACTTGAAAATCCTTCCTGTTGCATCTGCATACAAAGACTTCTATTCATTACCCATAAAAAGAAAAAGGGAAAACCTTACTCCAAATCACAACTTCAGCAAGCCGACAAGACCATAAGAACGAAACATACGATTTCCTAACTTTCCACACCATCATCGTTCTAAACCATCTAACTAATTGGATAAGCTCAATCTTTATACTTCATTCTAAATTCTAAAGAAATTTGTTGTATATCTATACATGTACAAGGATCTATATAAAAAATACACGCGATCTTCCAGAAGCCCCGGTAAGTCCTAAGATTTAATTATCATTAAAAGTTCTCAAAAAGTCTATTTATCTATACCGCTTCAATACGCCGTTCCCCACTACTCTTACAATGTATATAAACTCCAATCTAAGATCCTTTAGTATGCATTTGTTGCATATCTACATATGTACAAGGATCTATATAAATAATAAGAGCGATCTTCTAGACCCCCAGCAAATCCTAAGATTTACTACTATACCCCTTCAAGATAAGCCCTTCCCACTACTCCTACACTATATATAAGTTCCAACCTAAGATCTTCTAACATATATCCTGTTGCATATCTACACATGTACAAGGATCTATATTTATAAAATTACAAATAATAAGAGCGATCTTTCAAAACCCTCAACAAATCCTAAGATTTATTATTAAAAATTCTTAATAAATATCTATCTATATATCTTAAAACAAGTCGTTTCTTATTACTTCTATATTATATATAAGTTCCAATCTAAGTTCTCCTAATATATATCCTGTTGCATATCTACATATGGGTATAAAATCCTATTATATATTATATATATGATCTAATTACTAGCTATCAGTAATTAAGACTTAATCAGTCAACCATAAAACATCCGACACTATCCTCTATCCATACAAGCGCCATATATACAATGATATAATATTCAGCCTAAATCCTTCCAACATCCACTCCATTACATATCCATCCAAGGAAAAGATATAAAATCTCATCCTATCCCAGTACTGAGTATTCCTTCCACATAACTAGCTAGCTAGCTAGCTATAGCCAAATCCAGAAAACATATGTATGCATACTAGCTACATATAAAGAACCTAGTCTTTTTCTGTCATTTACAGTGATTCTTTTCCTCCAATGGAATGGTAAGGAGCGGGATTCAAAAATGATTATGTAATTATTAGTTAATCGCAAGATTACGGGAAACGGAAATATCGGAGAAGAGGATTGTGAATTTGTGAGTTTATATTTGACATAGGTCATGCACGCGCCGAGGATAAGGACGATGTGGTGTTGCTGATGCAGTTGTGCATTGGGGTTCTGTGGTTCTTGGAGATAGAGATGGAGATGTTCTTGATTTACATCTCTGCTATAGAGGCGAGGATGATTGGAAGACAAAACACAAGTTACGACATGATTTGATTATCGAAAATCGGAGAAATCTTGGCCTGCTACTAAAGTCATTTACATACACAATGCACAAAATTCATTCCTCCACCCCATCATCATCTCTTGTTTTCAACTCATCATTATCAATCTTTATGAAGATAGTGGATAAACCTGCTACGAAATAACATATCTATTGTGGAATATTGGTTAGCACATCTATTCCACTCAAGTAGTTTAGCTTATCTTCTTGAGACCTCGCTTCCCAATCAAAGAATGAAGGATTACATACAGCAGCAACGAAGAAAGGTAAGGCGTGCCAAAAAGACGGTAGATGTAAAGTGGCGGCAAATATATGTTGCATAGAAGGATCATTGATAGCATGGCCAATGTTCTCGAGCACGGCTATGGAAGCGTAGAGGGTGGCGAGGGAGGAGGCGGGGATGAAATGGGATATCAGGGAGAGTGTTGAGATGCGAGAACCGACTGGAGTAGATGTTAATTGTGGGTTTGGAAGAAAACGGGAAACGGGTATGGGTATGGATAGAATGGAATTTAGGCGATGAATTAGAACAGTACGCACAGCCTGCGGCAAAAATAGAGACCCCTACTTCTAGGTTAGTGATGATAAAGTCGGGTATGAGGGAAGACCATACCAACTGGAATCCAGCCACTTGTCGGTGCCAACCCTATAGCAAGAGAACCTAGCAAAAGAAAACATACACTAATCCGCATAAGTGCCAGGTCAATTTTCTCGGTCCTAACAGGATTTTTCAATTGTATGAAAGCGGTTATCCTCGGGAGAAGGAAAAGAAATAGAAATATATTAATAATAGCTGTTTCAGTGTAGAACATGGCTCCTTGAGATATCTTGGTATTGAAACGGACGGAAGAATATTGGATTAGGAGATTAAGGGTTGTGTATCTGAGAGTTCCGACGAGGAAGACGGGAATGCAGAGGAGAACGTTGGGTTGGGTTAAGGCGTAGTTGATGGTGGTGAGGATAGTGGAATTAGGAGTGTGGTTTGTGGACTGTGGGTATGGTGTAGTTGATGATGAGGATGTTGGAGGTGATGGTGATCTTGGCTGCGGGGAGGATTGACTAAATGGTACTATCCACAATAAGAGTAACCCCAAAATTACAGATCCCATGGCCATACTACAGGCAATCCAAGGAGAAATGTCTATAGTGATAGAAGCTAAATATGATCCTACCAGCTCTGCAATGTAGAACGCCGAGAATATATAGTAGAATGCATAGCTTCTGTTACACGCAATCTATCAGCCTGAAACAATTTTCGCAAGGAGTGTATTAACCTTTTATTTTCCGGTATGAGCGATGAAGCCATCGCCCACATTAAAGCTGCACTTGAATATAGGCCCCCTCCACATAAAAGGAAAAAGGAAGATAGCCACACCCAACGCAAATTAAATACCTTGGGAAAAGCACCTCATCAGACATGAAATTAGCAATATTCTAGTATACTAAAACAAAGTAACAATATACATACAAACAACAAAGATTTCCACGAAAGATAATCCAACTCCAATTAAAGATAATGCCATAATCTTCCTCCTTCCATACCGATCTCCCAAATTTCCAACGGGGATTGCTACTAATAAAACTATTTACCTATCAGCTCCTCTTTTCTTTTAACCCTTTCCTTTTCCTTGCTCCAATTCTCTAATATCTATTCCAGATAAAAATAAAATAACAAAATACCAGGCACCGTATCCCCAAAACTCTTCCATCCTCTAATCGTAGCTAATGGACCTTGTATCTCTGGGATTTTGCAAAGCTCTAGTCTGATATTATGCTGTACAATAGTAGCAGCTGCTTCCGGAAAATTATAATAAGATTGACAGAGAGAAGATTCAAAGAGCGAGATGAGGGGAGCAACAAGGACCAATTCGCAAAAGGCGATGAGGAAGTGGAAGGTCATGAAATAGAGGATGAGAGTTGTGAGGGATGAAGAGGGCGTGGCGCTCGAGAGGGATGACGGGGAAGAGGGAAGAGAACATGTTGAATCGATATCATCGGAATGGGGGGTAGGGATAAGAGGAGAGCGTTCATCATCTGGGATTATAGATAGTAAGTTTGGCTTTGTGGGGGTGGAGACCGACATCATCACTCTGAGACAATTGTACTAGATGGGTGATCGATCATGTAGGAAGTTGGTGGAGACGTGGCGTGGCTGGTTAGAATCATAGTCAAGTCGTTTGCGCCACATATTATTCTAGATGTGGCGTCGAGCTGGATAATCCTAGTGAAAATCACAACATCTATGTTAATGAACAAATTGGTAACCTTATCAATATTATTGAGCAGATGAGTTGAATTCAATAACTAACGTAATCTTACTAGACACCATAGTATAGTTTTAGTTATATATTCTACGATAGGCTATATACTATTATGAGGAATTTATAACTTCAAAGTATACACTTGACTTATTAATATCCAACTATATTGAACTAGATTCACAAATAATTTCATAATTTGAATGCTATATTAATACTCAAGTTTGTATCCCAGTATTTATGTATTGTCTGATCAAGACAGATATACTCTTCGATCGTCAAACTTCGAATAGTTCCCTCAACAGTTATTTTATATCCCCAAGAATATTCCTTTCCCTTCGATGAAGGTGTTTGCATGAACGAACACAAGCGGCAAGTGATTTATTCAACAGATACGTTAAAGTCTAGAAGTGTGTTGATATCCTCGACGAGTTCTTCAATAAGTGTTTGCACGGGGTGTTCATAGGTATTCCTCCCAATGTGGTAAGTTCTTGGATTGGGTTAATTTTTCTAAGAAAAGGAAGTGAAGGCTATTAGTATTGTTGTGCAACTGAGTGATATAGGACTTACAATTCGTCTAGCTCATACATAGAACAATATGTCAACCCCGGTGAACGTTGAAAACGACGTCAAAAATTGCAACCTCACACACAGCTCACCAGGAGCTCAACTGCGAGAATACCACTAGGCTGATTCACCCGGAATATTTGCAACCAACGGTTAGGGGTAGAAAGCTGGCGAGGAGGAACCGCCCCAATTCGCACGAATAGAAAACGCATCTAGCCATCTACATCATACATGATGAGACTAAAGTATTCTTGTATCCATTTCCTTATTTCAGTGGATTGGTAATTATACCCATTACAATCACAGGTAATAGATCATGCGGTTTTCCAACATACCAAGTATAAATCATCCCAGCTCTTTGATCACTGCGTCGGACTGTATCTTGCGTGGATTACTAAAAGACACCAAGAATATCCATCGTCATTCCCCATCTGTTTGAGAAATCCACAGATCATTCCAGCATTTTGGCCCTCTTTGCTTGGAGCAGAACTCGATTGGGCATTTACTACTACTCCCCAGGTGATTCTCCCAATAGATTTCCACAAAATTTGTTCTAATTGCTCGTGATGAAGAGAGAGCTCGGCAGTCGCACGATTAGCCTTCCTGGTTGTCTAGTTCTGAGGGCATCGAGTAACCTCAATGCCCAAGCTTTTACCGCTGCATTCAAGGTTGGAATTGATGCCTGGGAAGAGCTTGGAAACCAAGGATAGGATTGGGATATTAGAAACCTTACTACAGACAGTGCCATACTGATGCAATTCCAAGCGACAACACACGACAGGAGTGGGGTTTAAACTATCTGACGCCTTTGGAAAATTCACACTCTGACGGTCCTATTCAAACGTCGTACCCTGAGAAAATAGATGCACTCCAAAAGGATGGGTTGATACTTTCAATACATTGAAGTACGGAATATCCGAGAAGGCATTCTCAGGATCATCGATTGGTCAACATTGCAATGGTTAATAGCGCTACCACGGAAGGAGCTATTCCGTAAATGTTTACTTCAAACCTGCGCAAAATCGACCAAATCTTCATCTCGTGACTGAAGCTCGAGTTGAAAAGATCATCCTCGAAGAAGAATTGATGATCCTGGACTTCCTTGCTCGCCTGAAATCGATGTATATGCTGCAAACGCTAACGTGGGAGAAAATTTCCAAGATCATGCCATCAGTGGAATGAGTTCTGAGGTAATTGATAAAATTTCAGACTTCAGATGCTCTTAACCGCCAAGAACCCGAAGCTATAGCAGCGGCAATATCGTCCCTCGCTTACATGCCAGTTCCAAACTTCCAGACCCGAAGGCCAGGCTGAGTTAAAGTATTTGCTGCTTACCCGCAAACCCAATACTGAGAGTGTAATATTTGAGTTCGTACGCTATATTCTTGCCAGTGCTGACAAGAGTTCTGCTTGCTACTTTGTCTATGCTGCCTATGGAAGCTTTGGATCTGATGCAGGCTCGGCAAAGAACGTCACTATCACCAAGAAGACTAGAAGCTTTCTCACAATTGCTTGCGAGCTTGGGCATCCTCTTTCGCGAGGTGGCGTCCATGTCAAATCTTCTTTTGGCGTCGGGTAGCCCTAACATTGATCCCAGAAACTTCAGTAACCCTATTGACCTGGATATCCACGCAGGATTCTTACGATTCATTCACAACATTGCTGCAAGAGAGCCAATGGCAAAATTCGACAAACCTTTGCCGCATTTGGTATAGGCCTGGAAGCTGCCAAAGACTATGTCCGAAAAACCATGATTTCTCTGTAGGACCCCTGCGGTACCTGTGCAAAGTTACCTTTGGCGGATTGCGGCGTCTTAGGCGATTAAGCTGATCGTTTATGGCACGAAAAACGTCAGGAGAGTTGATGCAAGCATGATACCTTTGATCCCAAGGAGCGATGTCCAATCAACTGTTTACGTTGTAGCTGATAGAGCGGCCTCTTTGATCAAGCTGAATCATAATATCTCTTAGAGATGCTTTCATTATTTGGATTGCGCATATTGACTTGTTTCCTCCAAAGCACAATACTATGTTATAAGTCAAATGGATTATTTAGTACCTTCGGGATCATAGCAAATTCATATACATGTATGTCTTGATAGAATGGATGTAGTGAAGTTAGTGCTATATCGGTAAAATCTAGTAGTTGTTCTGAGAGATGTAGACATGCTGACTAAGCTCCCACCACTGACGTAACTGGTCAAACAGCCTCTCATAATTCTTCCAAAAAGCACCATTGAGACGCGATTCCCAGCTCTCATGTTCCACAAAATGAATAGGATACCTCTCCCACGCGTACCGCTCTCATCATTTCTTTCCTCTGCCAAAAGTGCACTAAATGGAGGCATAAAGACCGAAGGGAAACTTAACATTGTCGTGGGTAATGAATCCGCTGGTAGGTGCCCCTCATATATTTTGAAGTTCTAGTATATACATGGCTACAAACATTGAAATAGCTAACGAAGACAGTAACCAGATCTGGATTCCCTCTGCAGTGCCATTCTCCTAGCCTACCTACGCACTTACTCCCCACGAAACATTACCAAAGCCCTCTACATCCCTCTCTCCAATTTGCCTCGCGCGGATTTAGCATTACGGCCAGAATTACATCCCGTGTTAGAAAAAGCAAAAGTGAAGGTGGGAGAACTAATCAGTTTGGATGATTTGAGACAGCAGGATGCGGAGTTTAAATTTAAACCAGATGATACAAAATGGATATTGGTGGATCATAATGCATTGCAGGGAGAATTAGGACAGGTTTATGGAGAAAGAGTTAGAGGGTGTATTGATCATCATGAGGAGGAAGGAAAGTTTCCTGCAAAGGAAGTTTGTGAGGGAGAGGGAGAAATGAGGATCGTGGAGAAGAGCGGAAGTTGTGCGAGTTTGATTGTTGGTTGGGGAAGAGGAGACTGGGTGGAGATGACGAGGAGAAAGCGGGAGGTGGATGGGGAAGGGGATGTAAGGTAAGCTGCACTTTCTAATGCCCAGTTTGGTCTAGATGTCTTACGTGCCTCATCTCTCGTCATAATCCCTTTGAAATTTCTTGTGATTAATCACTAACTCACCGATTTCTAGTCACTGGGATGGAGAACTAGCCTACCTAGCCCTAGGACCAATATTAATCGACACAAATAATCTACAATCTCCCGACAGGACCCAAGACAGCGATCGAGCCGCCGTCCAATTCCTAGAGGACTTAATTACAAAAGACCCCAACACTCCCCACTGGAACCGAGACGAATATTTCTCCTCGATAACAGCCGCCAAAGAAGACATAGAAAACATGAGCCTACGCGACATACTACGCAAAGATTACAAAGAATGGAACGAAGGAGGAATGAACCTAGGTATAAGTTCAGTAGTACAAGATTTCAACTTCCTGCTCTCAAAAGCCGGGAGCAAGGAGAAATTTTTACAAGTCCTGGGAGACTGGGGAAAGGAAAGAAAGTTGGGTATCTGCGCGGTGATGACAACAAGTCATAGCGAAGGGGTGTTCAGAAGAGAACTTTTAGTCTGGGGCCTGGGTGAACAGGGAGTACAGAGTTTAGAGAAGTTTAAGACGGTGGGAGAGGAAAAATTAGGGTTGAGGGTCTGGGGCGAGGGCGTGTTGAATGTGAATGGCGAGAGAGAAATTAGACATTGTTGGTGGCAGGAGCGAATTGAGAATAGTAGAAAGCAGGTTGCTCCTCTTCTGAGGCAATCGATGCTTTGATATTGAGTGGGTCATATCACCATCAGGTTTGAGGTTTGTGACATGGTCGAGCTGAATGAGAGGTAAGTTGAAAGTGGCCCAGGTTGCCAGAAAGGAGCGTAATCACCATTTATAAGTTGAAACATCAACCCCAGACCATTTGGTCCAAGGTGGTCTTCGACTTAAATTATCAGAAATAATATAAGGAAATAGCTCGTGCGAACAAAATATCCCCAAGATCATGACAAGATTTACAATTGCATCACATAGGACGGCAAAACGGGATATCAAATAATTATCTAGACAATTGAATAAAGCAGTAAAATATCTATAATTAATAAGGCTGTCTTTAAGAAATCAAAAATCAACGCGAGAGTCTCAGACACCTCCGAATAAAAGCCACGCTACTGAAGAAGCAAGAATTAGAAGTTAACCGTTAGAGAAGAAAGCTATCCCAAGCAATTCTGAAGTCAAATCGCTCGACCCTTCCCCTTCCCCTTCCCCGCAAATCCGAGTCCCGGAAACTCGTCAGTCTCGGCTTCAGCCTCTTGTTTGCTTCGTTCCTCCGCCAAACTAAGCTGCAAAGCAAACTCAAGGTCATCCGCTAATTGAGCATGCTTGTCCATAGAATATGACCCTTCCGAACTGAATCTGTTCTTGGATGCTTGACTAGTTGATGGCGAGGTTGATGTTGAACGTCCTGTCTTTTTTTGTTTGTAGGTGAAGTTTATGTCATAATCGCCATTGCCTGGGGAATAGCCGTTGTCACCGATTGCATGGCCATCCATTAAAGAAAGACGTATAGCCTCCTCAAGATCATGATCGTAGTCAGGTTGGGCCTCTGTACTCGACATGGGAGCCATGGGTTGACTTCTAGTGCTAGCTTCAGGTGTGACAGTTCTGGCGCTACTACCACCTTTGGTGGGAGAATCCTCGCCAGTATCTGCAAAATACCCGGATTCACTGATACGACGTTCTTCATCGTCTATGAGGGCTTGAGCAGACACCATTTCTGCATAGCGCAAAGCTTCTTCTTCACTAAGGCCAGCGAAGCCAACACCAAATCGACCAGCAAATCTGGCTGCCTCCTTAGCCTTTTCCTTCTTTTCCTGGTCGACTTCTTGTTGTTCGATGGCAATTTGACTCAATATAGCCCCCCTGCCAGTATTGCTAAATCGATCACTTGCTCCATTACTACCACGTTCACCCCGACGCAGCCTTCGTTTTTTGGTCTGGAATTGATCGGCAGCAGAGGAACTGTAGTGCCAGTATCGAAGATGAGTACCAAGTGATACCATGCCACGTAAGATAGTTGGGTCAGGATCAAGAACAATGGCACCTGCTGCATAAAGATTGATGCCTACACCATGAATTCGCGCCTCAGCTTGGATTAATCGTCGTCGAGCACGGGAAGAGAAGCGAGAGTGTAGAGTACGAACGGGCTGAGCAGACGATGCCAGAGGATCCCAGGCTTGTACAAGGCCATCATTACCACCATGAACAACAAACAATGCAGAAACCGCCAAACATGATACTTGAGGGGATTCCGTGACGATAGTACGAATTGGATGTAATTCGTTAACTACTTGAGGATTCGCAGATTGAGGGCCACGCATATTCCACAATATAACCTGGCCTATCTTGGTGCCTACAGCTAAATAACGTGCACGATATCCAGGAATGCTGATTGACGAAGTCTCATCAGATGGTGTTTCTGGGAAAGGAGCAAAGCTTGTATTCCCATTCACCGTGCGTAATGGGTCTTCATCAATTGTGAGCAGGGCATATGCTGATAAATCAATAGCAGACGTGGTGATCTCAACACCGGGATAGGATTTCAAAGATAGTAAAGAGATTCGCCATTCTTCATCCATAAGAGACTTCAGATCTCCGGAAGGTTGGTCTAGCTTCGTCATGGGCGATATTGGTGAATTTGGCGAAGTGATCTCCTCTGACTTAATTTTCGACACGTTTCCAAATATGGAGGGTATCTCAGCCTGCTCGGAAGGCACTGGAGGTGTTGCCGGAGCAGTTCTTGGTAACGTAAATCCGTCCAGCGATGCTTGTTCGATTTTACACCTTGTATATCGCTTGATTTCGGCGTTCTCTCCAGGATTGATCCCACAACCAATTACAAACACGCTCTCGCCAGCTCCGTTACCATCATCGCCACTGAAGTCAACTTCAAGTCTTCGGCGCATATCCCATCCATGACAGACAGTGCGGAAATGCAAGGGACGAAACCTCAGGAATTTTTCAATCTCATGGGTTTCCGCCACCAGCTGCTGCCGGGAAAGATTCATAGAAGAACATGACGATCTAGGGGAATAGCTGCCATGAACTTCAGCCTCCTGCCATGGATCATCGCGTGCTATACGTCGAGATGCTTCCACAACTTGCCAGTATACGGAACGACCACAGATCCAGGCCTGCCTACCCAAGTAATCCTCGCCTAATAATGCATTGAATGGAGGGTGTATAGGTACGTCACTTAGGTAGAAAACCTCGCCTAAAGCGTTCAGGGCGACTGCCCAAGCTCGACCCAATGCTCTGCGTGACTGACTATAAGAGTCATCCACGCTAATTGAAATTATAGGGACGCCAGGAGAAGGGATCCAACGAGCCATCACCTGCCCAGGTTTGGTCTTCACATAGTCCGCGCTCAGACTGTAAGCTGTGATAACACCGAGTGTCGAGCCAGTCATAATGCCAATCAGACCATTAGTGGCATTGGGTGCAGACATAGATTTAGCAATCCAAAGTGAGGATATCGCTTCGGTGAGAGGTGGTATATTTGGTATCCCAGATTCTGCGTCTGCTAAACTGGGTGGTGAATGAGCTAGAAAACGACCACGAATTTCATTTGTTGCTCTGTAGTAGACCGAACCTCCTGGAAAACCTTCTCCATACACCATTCCGAAGGGCTGACTAACATCCATAACGTTTGGAAGACCTGCGGGACCATCTCCAAGACCGTAGGGCACATCGCCCGTAAAGAGGTCTGCAAATTGGGGCAGTGCCTGTGGATCAGCCAAACCCCAAGAATCAATTTTTCCAAGTTTAGGATCGCTACTATTCGCAGAACCAGTTTCATCAGAGCCATGAATAAATCGCGGATATTTCTTTCCTTCGGCGAAAATGCCATGGAGGTGATTGATGGACGTGAAAAGTCCTGAGGTATATGTCGTGACAGCGCTTGTATTTCCGACACCGTTCGTTCGGCTTGAACCGCTTTGTTCGACACCTTGAGCAGGTTTTCCTCTTCCAAGACTTCTCAAGAGGCGCGTTCGGAGCACATATTCGCTCCTCCAGCTTGCCAACCCTGTCAGTCGCGTGAAGAATCGTTGCTCGCGAAATTGTTCTCGTTCCTCATCATCTGAAATACGACCCAAAGTTATAGGTGACGTGTCTGTAATATCTTGGCCCGGAAAAAACCTCGAAAATGCGACGCGCCATGCGTGAGGGGTGGTGACCAAATTGTAAAACCTTCGCGATGCAAGTGAGACTGCAGATAGAGAAGATGCGGGCAAATGCGATAGAATATGGGTCAAGACCTCTGTAAGAAATAATATTAGAAAAATGTCATTTGATGCCAAGAAAAGGATCGAACAATACCATTGGGAAAATTCTCCAGCTGGGGTCCTTCATCACTTCTCATACTGCCTTTCTTCTTCACAACCATAAACCCAGGTCCCTCAGGCTGTTTTCTGGATGGACTAGGAGCAAGTGCATTCTCATACTCAGCAATTCGTTGATAGGATGGTCTCGGACGATTTTCAAAATCGGTCTCCAAGTTCAATCCATGCAATGACTCCTGCACGTCATCGAGAGACGATCGCCATCCCAATCCTGCTCCTGCTGAACCTGGCGAAGGGGTTGAGCTTGCCGTTGAGTTGGCGAGTCCATTTTGAGGACTGACCAGCTCGCTGGACTGGAGGCGAGGAGAGTGGATGCCATAATTAGAAGAATTGGATATTTCTGACCGGTTTTCGAGGGTAAGATTTCTGTTAAAATTATCGGGAGGCGACGGCTGCATAAAATTGAACGTAAAGAGGTGGGGAATAAAAGTTTGACTGAGCCAGGATATCCGGTCAGTCTGTTGTAAATAAGGTGGTCGGCGGCGTCCTGTTCTTTCGTTCGGGATGTTCGTGTGTGACTTGTAGTCTTTTGTTTTGTGTTAGTTGTGAATTGAATATCTGAATCTTACTCTATATCTCGTTTCTATGTGACACAAATTTGAAGAGTCATGTACGAGTAATTTCCATTGTGCATAGTGACGTTTTTACTACGTATGCCTGAGGTTGTGATACATGTACCCCACGCCTACACATACATTTATATGGGGGTCAACCGAAATCACCTATCCCTTTAATTGCCAACAACGGCCGCCGTCGCTTAACAAAGATCATAGTAGCCAATCATATTACTAGAATTCCTTTTATTTAAAGAGATATTTATGTTTATTTGATGATATAAAATAAAATCGATATCAACATAATCTTCAAATTTGATCAGTATTAATCTGAGTCTATTCTTTTATAATTCTTTTTTGATTATATTAAAATATTTAAAATATTAAAATCAAAATAAAATTTGAAAAGAAGATCTTTGAAAAGTTCTAGAAGATCCTTCTGACCAATTAGAGCTTATCATTCAAGGTGATCCATGAAAAGATATTGTTCCGGATCACTTAAGGGGATAGTTAACCTTAGCAATATCAAATTCAGGAAGCGAGAGGGGCACATCTTCATGGATTGTGTAGGAGGGAACGTGGGAGTTTTTATAGGCCGTGTATAGAGGAAAGAAGTGTAAGAATTTAGGCCCCTGTACCAGCTCTAGAGATAAGTTCAAAGAGTTGTGCGAAAACAAATGTGATGGTATAAGTGTGAGACAGTATGAGGCTGGGAAGACAAGTAAAAAGTCATTGTGGTGTGGAAGGGCTTCATAGTTTTGCAAAATAGTTCCAGTTACTGAATAGCTGAAAGTAAATCAGTGTTTTTGGTCTTCAACTTAGTACAACTTGTACTGGTAAAGGCAAGATAAACAGAGTGTGTCCTGATCAAAAGTATGAAATAACTCGGCAATCAACCGCTGGATTTTCTTAATAAACCAAATAAACTATACAAACCCGTTCTGGGTCTAGATAAGTTACCTGTGGCAGCACGCAAAAGTCAAACGCTAGGCAAGGGAAATGTTGGGAAACAAAATGGACTATGGAGGGGGCAATAAGTGGTTACATTTCAAATATAGCAACCACATCCTACCTGGGGGTAAATCCAAATCACGTTTTGTCTAGCGATGTTAATTATTTGCCTAATCATATCCGGCCAAAGAGAGCTTCTGAATCAAGTGACGCTTGGCTAAAAAAAGTTTATAGTCCTCGGCGAATCAAAGATGAGATTTAAGGCATCCCACTATCCAGATTCAGGATAACCTTGTGATGATCATTGCCGCACGTTATAAGGGTTATGTACCTAGCGATAATAGCTTAGTATCGAACCCTTCAATACGTCGAAGCTCTAGACTAGTGCGTACTATACAACACTAGTCACGCAATAGTGCGAATCCAGTCCAAATATAGCAAAGAAGATCGGACAAAGACACTCTCAGAAAATAGATCTTGCACTTTGAATGAGATGACGGAACTCCTAAGTAAAAATCTGGATCTTGAAATGACAGAATATTTATGAAGAAAAACACAAAGAGCCGATGCCTTTTGCCCAACAGAAATCATGAAAGCAGTAATTAATCAAATGACCTGCCAGATATCAAATTTTAGGTACGATGATGGTAGTATATGTACTAAAAATCAACACTCATAAAGGTTCATGATATCTGACCTCCCAAGTGCCAAAAAAATAACGTGGTAATGCAGGTGGAAAAGCATGTTGATAGCCTAGCAATATTACATAGCCACACACTATCAATATGGCAATATGCTTCTAATCAAGAACAAGCTATACAGGTTCTCTTTCCACGCTATGATGCTTTTCCGTCCCTGGGGGTCTTGGTATTTGTGCGAGTCTGGGGTAGACTGCACGTAAAGAATGAGCGTCCTAATCACATTCTTTTGAATAGAGATTTTAAGGAAACAGCAGTCTTTGATGGTTGCACTTCTTTTTGGCTCAAGCAGAATTCGCTTTTGCTGACCTTATGATCATGGATCCAGAGGTTGGGATTTATATAACTTTGATGGCAAGGAACTGTTGCTGGTGCTTGAAGCATATAATTCATTAGTTGACAGCTTTTACACCTCTGATTTTAAGTGGCATGGGATCTCTCCTACCTTAGTAACTGTGCTGACCTAATCTAACTTGTCAACCGTGCCCACTAGCTTCTGGCTCTACCTTCAATTTTCTTTTAGCTTTATAGGTCAAGTGATAATCCCTTTGATTGACCGACTACTCTTCTCAGCTCGATCATGCTCAATCGTTGACATGATCATTCTTGTGCCCCAGGATCGAAAGTTGTTCTTGGCAATGTTGGAGCGCGATAACTTTCGGCACCGCCCGATATCTTCCAGGCCGATGGCCCCATCAAACCTTTGTAGTTGATAGACGGAAATAGGGTATGGCAAAAGCATTGTTATAACTTCTTACATGGTACATCTCTGTTTGTTAGGGGCTCTGGAAATCTGTATGCTTTCGCTTGGTCGAATCCTGATTCCTCCTTTTCATTGCTTTCTCTTGCTTCTTCGGTGCTCCCAGTCTACTCTTTTATCTATCTTTCTATCCCGTAACAGTCAAACCAAACTCAAACAACCATAGTACGAACATTAATTGGTTTCCTCTACGTCTTGGTCCAAATTCCTTTAACTCCGCTTAATTTACTATATCCCTTTTTGTACTCTTGCGGGACTTGGCCGAGTGATTACCCACCACGGTAGTTTTCTGTATTTTTATACAGTATTCTGTTATGAAATGATCTCCTTTACCCCAAGACGTACTCTTGCACAAGTGGGTTTGATCCTAACTTTGGGAAGAATCATTGATAGTGTGGCTGCTGCCACAGCTTTAAGTCTAACGCCGTCTACCGGTTGGTATGGCAAATACTATCCTTTCTCGCCCCTTCCTCTCCATGGAGATGCTGACATAAATCAAAGGTATGGAGACGATGGATCGTGGTCTGCCGTTTCTATCAGATTGGGCACACCACAGCAATGGGTCAATCTCCTTCCAAACACTGTCAGCGCTGAAATCTGGGGTGTCGGACCTTATGGTTGTCAAGATGGAGGTATGTTGTGCTCCTCTACATCATCTCTTTGTCCTTTTGAGATATTTTCACTCTTGTCACCAGATGATGATACCTAGATCATTAACTCAATCACAAATCTTTGTCGAACTTCATGCTTTCAATGCCAAATCATGGGGTAGATGTCGTCCATTCAATATCAAGTGATAATCTATGGACAAGTCATTTACAATTACATCATTCACGGATCACATAACTCCAACTTGAAATCATAGTCAGAGCAATATTTTATTTCGATCACCTCAAGCATCAGATCACACTTAATGAAAGACTGTTTTGAAACCACTCTCACTTAATTGCATCCCCAATCTTTTATGACAGTCTCCGAATTACTTTTCTTTATGACAACATTCATTAGGCAACATCCTTTCAATGCGAAATTATAGTGTTTGGCTTGGATTTTATCAGGCTGAATATTTAAGATTTTGAGTTATAGTAGCAATACAGGATTACATGTGGCCAGATACTTCTTCAACCACCAATCTCCTGACAGAATTACTTGTGTTCAAGGTGCAGTCGGAAAAGACGATTACCTTGAATACTGATTCAATGCAGTACACTGATTTCATCTGAGGCGTTAAACCTCATGAAATCAGAAGCCATTATTAAAAGATCCAAAAATTGTGAAAATTCGTATTCATTTCCCTTTATTAGGTCGAGCTCAAATACCCTGCTTCGCTTAGATGCTAACTATACTTCAAAGCTCCCGAGTGCTCCACTAGCAGGGGCTCACTCTTTAATGCAGCCTCATCGTCGACATGGAACTCTCTTCTGACATTGGAATCTTCGCCTATTTGGAATCTTGGTACGGGAGACTCGCTATACTGGCCACCATATGGAGATTATGGGCTTGATAATCTTGCATTTGGGCCTGACGGTCCAACCATACCTAACGCTACAATTGCCATGATCAATTCCACAGCGTATTGGGTGGGGAGCTTCGGCTTAGGTGCCAGCGTTGGAAACTATTCTTATGTTACTCCAAATTCGACATACACACTATTAGAAAGTATGGGAGAAATAGTAGGGGCAGGTTATGGATACACTGCTGGTGCTGTGTATCGTGAGTATTTAAAATCTTCATACATTTCTTGGCACAGTTTACTGAACCCCTCTAGAACAAAAGGGAGAACCAATGTCTCTGACACTGGGCGGATATGATGAAAATCGGTTCATACATCATAACATTTCGTTCACTCTCACACAAGATCCCGCTGTTCCGCAAGCATTTGTCGAAAGTATTTCTGTGTCATCTTCCAACGGATCAAATAAATCTATACAACTTGCTTCTGCCGGTGACATGATCAGCGCGTTAATCGATAGCTCAACCCCTTATCTATGGCTCCCAGAAGCTGTTTGCGATCGATTTGCAGATGCCCTAGGACTAACGTACAATGAGTCCTTGAACTTATATACCTTCGACGAGAATCCCAACCAGCATAACAACCTTTCGGACTCATCCACGGCGACAACGTTTACTTTTAGATTTAAAGACACATCTACAGATACAGATATTGTGGAAATTAATTTACCATATGCGGCTTTTGACTTGCAATTGACCTACCCATACATTCCAAATAGTGAATATGGAACAGACCAGGCATCGAAGTTCTACTTCCCGTTAGCTAGATCAGCAAATACTAGTCAATACACCATCGGCCGAGTATTTTTACAAGAGGCATATATCATTACCTCCTACGAGACCAACCAATTCTCCTTACACCAAGCCGTCCATGTATATGACACGTTAAATAACAAGAGCATTGTTGCTATACCAAGTGGAGGTGTTACCACGGGACAAAAAACTGGTACTGTGGTAGTCGGATCGAAGACTGAGGAAGCTCGCTTGTCTAATGGCAAAATCGCCGCCATCGTTCTCAGTGTTGCCGGCACATTAGCTATTATGTTGGCCACCCTCTACTTTTCTTGTCTCAAAAACTTTAAACCAAACAGACTTTCGCTTAATTCTAAAAATTCTACTTCTGAGTCTGAAGCTGGCGGTGACTTTCAACAGCTTCATAACCTTGCTTCAGTAACAGCAAATGGTTCAGAAAATCCTAACAACAATAATACACCTGTTGAAATAAACTCAGATGCGGTAGCACCAACGGCAATTAACTTCGAAAGTCCCCATCAACTAGAACTTGCAACCGCGATTCCGGGAGAGCTTTCAACAGGACGCCCAGTTGAACTCCCGGCAGTAATCCCGGCAGATCGATCCTATAAAGCGTTTACGCTCGATACATCTCCCACCGCCAGCTCTACGTTTAGCTCTCTCTCTACTTCACAATCTGGTTCACTACCATCAAATACTACTCTCACTGCTAATTATGCGGGGCCATCGCCGGAGCGGGGATCAATTCGTGAAACTCTTCCTCGCCCTTTTATTACGTCAGGTCACGTATCGCCCATGTTTTCCGAGAGAATATTACGCCCGGAAAATCTCCATCCCATAGGCGATACCGAATGCCGCTTGAACCCTCCTCCTACATATGCTCTTACACAGCGTAATAACTACGCTTGCGCTGAAGAGATGCCTTCCAGTAATCAACTTCCAAACCAATTTCCTCCATCTACTGGAAATCGAGCCGGAGAGCCTAGTAGCTATGACTTTGCCGAAGAAATGCTGTCTGGTATCCAACCTCCGAATCTCATTAACCCAACTACCAGGAACCAAGACACAAAAGTAGATGAACGGCGCAACCATCATACTGAAAGACAAGAACGCGGTGCAGAACTCTCTCCTCAGTCGTTAGCTCATGATGAGAGTGCTCGCGAAATCCAATTTCAGGCGCGCCGCCACACTCACAGGCTGGAACTCGAGAGAATGGAACGTCAAGGAATCGATCATTTAAAATATCTCAATGGGGATGTGGGAGATATTCAAAACCCTTTTCGAGCTCTGGATCAAACTCATGTGCTTCATGGGTCTTATGATTTAGTTTCTGGAGTACAGGGTCAGGAGAATATGTTTCGTGAACCAGCTGGAGGAGCAGGTCCAAATTTTGATACAGAAACTGCTCCTCTTCGCTTCTCCTTTGAAAAGGGAGATGACCTCTGTAATATTTCAAGCCCGTAAATGTTTACTCCGATCTTCTATGTTGCATTCAAAAATCCGTCTCCCGCAGGGGTCGCCAAGCTCTGGTGAATTTATCAACAATCAGGAAGAACGAGATCTTATAATAAATGGAAAGCTTATCTTCCAGTACTGACTAGAATTTTTCTTGAGATCTACAATAGTTTGGCTCATCTCATATGTGGACTTGGTTTTCAAGAAACGGTATCTACTTATATTTAATTCGCAAATATATAGGAAATATTATATGATAGTGAAGGGTAATATTGGACTCGTATATAGAGACAAATAATATTGTAAGACCTAAATCAAACGCCAAATACTTCCAATGTGAGCCCTTTGGATATGACAGAAACCAAAGAACTCCTCGTGAGCTCATAGTTCTGGATTATGAGTCGAGAACATCCAGCTTGGAGTTCTTGATGAGCTATCTAGACTAGGTCGTTGAGGTAAGTCGTACCTGGAAGAGAAGTCTCCTGTCCACATCTGAAGCCTTTCATACTTAAACTTGGATTGACATCTCAACTCTTATATATGACTTCAGTTTAGAAGAAATGTAAAGATTGTTTGCCCACAATACTAAGTTACACAAGAGAATAAATGAGCGTGTCTTTGAATCATCAACCAGAGATACTTGAAACGAGAACAACAAGTGAAACTTTCCATGGACTACTAAGATAATAGTACTATTCTATTAATAGCGTACTCCATGTAATTTCTTGGCTGGATGATCCAAGAAACCGGAGAGAAAACAATAACATCGGAAGTACCTCCACGATATAAGGTTATCCCCAACCTTAAAACCCGAGTAACCTCTCTGACGAAAACTCCGAGTGTCACCAGCAACCCTATCAACCACCAACCATCAAAGATTGCATTGCATTCATAGTAGCAGAAGTACAACCACCTCATTCCGCCCGCACACACATCATGCAGACCCCAATTGCAAGCCCACACGACAAAAAAGCACAAAATGCACAAACACACCAACAAAGCATTCACCGCAAAAGAATCAATCAATCAATCACACGATTTGTCGATCCCTCACCAAATCCCCACGACTGGCATTAACTGCTGCCAACCATAACACAAAGCTACACAGCTACACAGCCACTCTGTCCTTCGCACAACATTTCACAAGTAGGTGGCAAACTCCCAAGATCTCCATGATTCTTTTCTTGTTTTCCTGATATGGAGCTCTTCATGCTGCTAATATGCTGCGCCTAATTTGATGGATATATGTCAAGAGACCAAGTGATCATGAGTTGAAGTTGAATTGCAACTCATTATTATCTTTTCCTACCCACCTACCCACCTACCCACCTAAAGCTACCTAACTATCCTATCTACCCTCCCTTGTGTACGTAATCTCCAAGCATGATGCTCCGTAACTATCCACCCATCAAAGACTCCCTCGTCGATTTTTGTCGCTTCTTGCTTCAATTTACACATATACACCACAATATAAAAAAATTCTATCATGATCAATATTGAATCAATCAACCAATCAATCAAAGACAAAAGAAAACTAATACGTCATAGAAATCCCCGTCATCGCTCCTTCTCCGATTCGTCTAAGCGAGCTTCGCCCTCCAGTTCTTTGTCCTCTCTTCCAATAACATCTCATCCTCATGTAACACATACGCTCCTCTCTTCTTGCCAAGGGTGCGTTACATTTTCCATTTACGTGTAATTATAACCAATTACCATCCAATGACATAAGATCTTACAAAATGCGCATTAATTGAATAAATATACCCACCTATAGCCCCTCAAATCATCATCATCCGCATTGTGACACAACTTCACTGCACTGCACTGCACTGCACTGCATTGCATCAATATCCATAACGCAGGAATAGAATAGCATGCGGGGATTTCATTCCCAACTCATTCCCTAGCAAAACAAGACAAGAAAAGACAAGCAAGCCATGAAAGAAATACAAAGAAAAGAATCGTGGCAAAACATGTAAATATGACAGAGGGAGACAGAGAAATCTCTCATAATTATTCCTGTGCCATCTCATGCACGCATGTATGCATGGAGCTTCCCGTAGCAACTCGTCATACCTAGCAGCTTTAAATAGTGAATAGATAGAGGAGCCGTCCTCCCTCTTGGCTTGTCGTGGCTCGCTCTTTGTGTTTGATGTAATCAAGAGTTACCAAATTAGCAGTTTTCGATTCGGATGATCCAGCCAAGCTCGGTATTTGAAATATTAAGCTTCGTCTGCATTTGCAGGACTGAAACCGAAACTGAAAAATCTAGAAACCGAATTAAAGATCTTACATGAAGCTGCGCAAACGATAACAAATAGGAAAACCATTATATATATATATATATTTTCCGCACGAGCGAAATAGCTTACCCGTCGAAACAAATATGGCTTCACCACAAGCTCAAAGTTCGTTCTACGTTCTAACCCAGTCTTTGAGATCGAATAATTTCAACTGACATTTTCTTCTCCTCTCTCCTCAGCCCACACCCCATCTCCCACCTCTCCAATCTCCTCGGACTCCCCTCTAGGCCTTACGCACAATGATCCCTTCGCAGCACAACGCAAAGATCCCATAGACAACAACCCGTTTGCGTCGAAAACCCAAGGCCCAATAAACATACCGACTCCCACATCTCCAAACGCAACAGTAAACACACATAGCGGATCACCAAATCAAGATCGAAGATTAAGTTCCGATGAATGGGGTTCGTTGAATTTCCCTCTCCATCGTCGTCCTTTCCATCCCAATTCCTCACCTCTGTTATTACCATCATTTCCCTCTTCCTCACCTTCTCCTTTTACCTTACCCCATTCATCACATCCCCCACCATCTAAATATTCCCTATCTGCCCTATCTTCCTTATCTTCCCATCCTCTCAGTCCTTCCAACTTCTCCCCCCTCTCAATCCCCCGGCCAACATCGCCAATAAAACTAACACCAACGCTAACACAACTTACCCCTTTTTCTTTCCAGACGCTTCCAAAACCCCTCCTTCCCGTTTTCAAAAACGTAAAGGTTCGATTTACGCTACGCCGAGTTCTCGCGATGGTCATGTCGATAAACATATTGATCGCGATGCTGTATTCCATGCAACACATGCGGAGAAAGGATATGGGAGTATCTTCGGTTTAGGTGGGAGTCGCAATAAAGAGGGAGGAAACCAACTTGGAAGGAGAGTTAGCAAGAGCGACTGAGTGGATAGGGGAGTATGAACGAGTCAGTGGAAGCGGAAAGATGATAGCGGAAAATCTGTTGAGGATGCGTGACGAAGCGGGTGGTCCGGAGGATATGAAAAGAGACGGAATATAAGCAATAATGACATATGGATACCTAGCGTTGATGAATTATGTAAGAAGGGACCCGACGGTGAATTTGTACAAGGAGGAGAGAAGAGTTGGAACCACAATTTCCATCATTCTGCGAAGCAAGTGTTGATATTTCTATCGCCTGTAACTATGATACCAATAACATACATATACATATGCAGCCATCATGGCCTTGATCATATGTGAATCCAGTTGAAAACGCCGTCCTATGCATTGAGAATCCGTAAAATCTCAGAATTCCCACTATGTCCAAACTCCCTCTGGTTAATGTTCCCGTATTTTGACCTCGCCTTCCAATGAACCTCGCTTAGCTATTCTCTCATTCATCATCCATACCATCTATATCAATAGCGTCAGGATTTTCAGTAACCATTATTTCTGGTTCTTTGATATTCCCACCCTGGGGACCCGTGCTTGCCGGTACAAATCCGACAGGGGCTCGTGCCTCACGTTCTAATGCCGCCATTGCATCGGCAGCCTCTTCTCCATCCTCATCAGTCTTCGCCTGACTTCGAGCAAGGGCTTGAGAGGCGATGAAATTAACATCAGTATTGTATTGTGCTTGTACACTTCTCTTGATACGAAGCATTTCTTTGAATGTGTCCTCATTGCCATGTTGGACCTCAAACGCTTCCCATTTGGACCAGAACGTTGGACTTGTTCTAGGATCGCAGAATTGTGATCCATGTCCGTAGATCGCCCTTGCACGATCGATTTCGCCTAGTCGTTTCTCCATATCGGCGAATTTTAAACACATATCTCTGGCATCTTTGTCTGGTAAAGCTGCAATAGCTCTTTCGTAAATTGGTCGCGTTGAAGGTAGACCAAAATTTGACGCTGACTTGGTGATATAGAAATTAAACATATCTGCACGATCTTCATCAGAGACAGCTCGGGTTGCTCTCTCGTAAATTCTCATCGCATGTCTTGCTAAACCCCGCTCCTCCTCTAGGTTTCCATACATAAGATACAATACTTTGGCAAATCTTGGTGGACATCCTTCGACTGCTTGCTCGAATAAATCCCGAAGTCGTTCAATACCGATTTTTCGATCAACTGCCTTGGTCAAGTACAAATTCCAAAGTTCGAACGCTACCGGATAGCTGAACAAATCAAGCCCTCTCTCGTAGATTTTGAAAGACTCCTCGAAATACTTGTTCTCTTCCAGTAAATTGGCGTAATTGACAACAGTTTGTGGCGTCGCGATTCGAAGTTCGAAAATTCGTTCGTATATTTTCTTGGTCTCTTCCAAGGTACTAACGCTCTCCACCAAGTCTACATAAAAACTCCACAACTTCCAGCTCTTGTGGACTCTCTGCTGAGGTGAAAGGGTTTCGTCAAAATAGTCAACATTAGATCGTTTCGGTGCTTGAACTGCCTTTGCCATAATCTTGACGGCTTCATCGAAATTCTCGTTTCGCAGCTCCATTTCCGCCCACTCAATCCAAGTATCTGCAAGTTCTGCCACAGACTTAAATGGGACTTTCACGGCTTTCTCGAAAATAACACGGGCATTACGTAAATCCCCACCTTCCTCGTAGAACTTGGCATAATTTGACCATAACTCGTGGAACTGTCCGACGGCTTTCTTCGGCTGAATAGCAGCAATCGCATCGGTGTATGCTTTAACCACTTCAACTTTATTGTCTCCCCACAGAGAAATGCGCTTCATCCATTCAGAGACGTTGCTGGGGTTCTGCCGTAATAAAACATCGTTCAGTAAAAATGGTCGGCGATCCATGAGTTGTTCGAATCTCATCATCCGAATATCCAAATCAAAATCGGCATTTTCATCCACTATGCCCTTTTCTGATCGAACTGCAGCAGCCTCCATCAGAACTCCGGTAATTGATTCCTCGAACTCGGCGTAGGAATCAAATATTAACGTAAAATCTCGAACGGTCATGACTGTCGTAATGCCCTCTTCGAAGATATCTCGTGCCCGTTCAAAACTACCCCGAGTAATCCAGTATGTCGCTAAACCAGACCATAATTTTCCTCTTTGATCGGCAAATCTATCAATGCCACTTCGAATGATTTTCTCAACATCAATTCCTACTTCATCTCCAGTTTCGACTTGCTTGGCATGCTCAACAAGAAGATCTACCATCTCACTCCATAATTGGTAATGTCCCTTTCCGTGTTTGCTCCGGAACTTGGGGTTATTAAGGATATCCATATATTTTTTAACTGCTTCTGTGTAGAGTTTCATCTCAATTAATAGTTCAATAAAATCTTCGGCATCCTCTGGATGGATTTGCATGTAGCGTCGCCATATCTTGACGGCTGTAGAGCCGGAAGCTGAATTTGCAAAAGGACGGTAGAGGGCCCACATTCTATTATGCTGCGTGATAGGTAAAGCTCGAAGCGCTCGGTCGAAGGTCCGGCGCGTGAGAGTAACGAGCGGTTGGAGCATCAAAAATTGAAGATACATTTCCCAGATTTTTGGCATCTTGTTCAAAAGAATCAGGGCTCTTTCGTATAGCGCGTTGACTTTGGCATATTCGGAGGCAAATACTGCAGGATTTAACTTTCCCAAGTGCTTCATTCGCAATGTAAGGTACTATATCTCGTCAGCAGATGTTGAAGTGGGGCCTGCGCGCATAGATGTTACCATTTTCCATAACTTATAAGACCTTGGTAATTGTAAACAAGCTCGTTCCAAAACGAAAGCTTGCTCAAGTTGAGTCCCATGTTGAAATTTAAACTCGATGTATGCCAACCAAGGTTTCGTACTGCCTGGATCGCGTAGGATATCCTGTTCATAAATGGTGTCTTCTTCGGACTGTAATCTTATTAGTCGACCGGATCATTGAACGAAGGCCGTAAATTTTTGAGTATATTAACGTACAATAAGATATAAATCTGGCTTTCCTCGAATTGATAAGGTTAAAGCTGATTTTACTTCGGGGACGCTGGGAGCAGCCATGATAGGGAGCAACTCTCCAGGCATTCTCTGCCTGGGAAACAGAGAATGCGATCCGCCCGAAAGGAAGAGATATTGTGATAAGCGTCTTAAAAGACGTTGAAAATGTTGGGTTGTTCTTGTCTGGTCGGTCGTTCGACCTCTTTTTTTCTACCAACAATCAAGCGACTTTTATCTAATGGTCCGACAGGGTCTATTAGCACATGTGAGTATGTAAGCGGTGGTATCGGGAAATATGAACCTTTACCACCGATAGGTAGGAATAAGGAACAGGTGAAGCAAGAGACAAGAGATATGGGATGTGAAAGATATGAAAGATATGACATCCCTCAAAAGCAGATGAACAAGCAAGAAGACAATTGAATAGCTCTCAAAAGTAACTATGTCTATCGATTGAATAATAACATCTTTCCTACCTAACCCGAGTCCAAAAATAGAGATCTGCGTGAATCACGTGGAAGATAATTAACATGCAACAAGCACGCGCATCTGAAAAGCGCTAATTTCACACCCCAGGAGCTTGGACTTGGACTTGGGCAGTTGCAACCTTGAAGTGGGAGAGCTCAATCAACAACTTCTTATCAGCCTTCTCCTTCTACAGCAACGTGCCATAATTTGAGAGTTCGCCTTGATTCCAGATCGATTGAAGGGATTTGAGTTCACAGAAATACTACTTCGTCAATCCTTTAGTGAAGAGGAAAGACTGTCAAAATGTCTGGAGCCACGGTAAGACAAAGCAACCCATTTCATAGATTTATATATCTTCATAACTAACAAACATATCATAGAATCGAGAAGCTGTTTTCGCAACACGGCAGTCCTTGGGATTGATGAAAGCAAAATTGAAGGGAGCACAAACCGGTCATGATCTATTAAAGAGAAAGAGTGAAGCCTTAACCAAGTATGTCTAATCCAAATCCAACCTCTTTCCCATACTAACTCTCATCGGGCAGACGTTTCCGAGGTAATTACTCTGCGGTTGCCAACGATATTCTCTACATTTCCTAACCACTCCCCAGAAATCACTCGCCGAATCGATGAAGCCAAACGAAAGATGGGCCGAGTAATGCAGATAGCCGCCTTTTCTCTAGCAGAAGTAACCTATGCAGTAGGAGGAGATATTGGTTACCAAGTACAAGAGTCCGCGAAATCGGCACGATTCCGTGTACGGACGAAGCAAGAGAATGTATCAGGTGTATTTCTACCGGCATTTGAGAGCTATACGACGGAAGGCAATAACGATTTTGGTCTAACGGGTTTGGGAAAGGGTGGTCAACAGGTACAGAGGTGTAGGGAGACCTATGCGAGGGCTGTTGAAACCCTGGTGGAATTGGCGAGTTTACAGGTATGCTCGGAAAAGGTTTCAGTAAGGATATTGGGTACGATAGGGCTGACACTTTGTGGCTAGACTGCTTTTGTTATTCTGGATGAGGTTATCAAGGTTGTGAACAGGAGAGGTAAGTTTTAACCATGCTTTGAAGAATATAACATAACATATGCTAATGTGGTACAGTAAACGCAATGTCAGTCTTCCATCGTCCATGGCCCTACTACTTCATACTGACTGCGCAACAGTGAACATGTGATCATCCCACGTACAGAAAACACTATCAAATATATCAACTCTGAGCTCGATGAGTTGGACAGAGAAGAATTCTTCCGATTGAAGAAAGTTCAAAACAAGAAACAGAGGGATACAGCCGCCCAGGATGCGGAAATGAAGGCGAAAAAAGAGGCTGCAGCAGAGAAAGACAAGGCCGGTGGTAGCGATAAGGAGAATCCTACTCATACTGGAGACATTCTGGGTGATGACGAAGATGAAGACGTTATTTTCTGATGCATCACGAAAGCCATTTTATTTGTTTTTAGTTCTAGCAATCGAGTGCTCACCAACTCGAATAAATATCATGTAGTATTAGCGTATTAGCAGATACCGTAATTAAGATTGAGCATTCTCGTTCCTAGCTTAGGTATACTTATCTGTGAAAGCAAATTTCAAAGCATACCCATTCATAGCTGCAATAAATTTCATGAAATGAAACGAGCACCTGAAAGCTTTATATCTTCCTATTTCCATGCCAACAACATCCGTCCATAACTTACTGTCTTTGATAAGTAACCTTAATAACCTTCTGCTCAGCACCCAACGTCATACCCGCCGTATTCTCCTTCGCGCCAATACTTCCAGTCTCAGTCTCATACTCAACGAACGCAATACCCTTTCTTCCAGGCACCAATCGCACCTCCCTAAAGCCCTCAAATCGTCCAAAGATACTCGTCAACATATCAACATCATACTCTTCAGGTAGATTTTGCACGAAAAGAATCTTGTTAGGAGGTAAGTACTCATCAGGCACGACAGCTGCAGCGGCAGGATTCGAAGATTTGAGTCCAGCTCCTCTGGTAGCTTTGATAGGTCTCGCAGCGAGATCTGCAGGGTTGGCGAGCGGTGCTCCAGCACTGGGTCGTTTGAGCGTATTGCTTGACGCGAGCTCTGCGGCCTTTTTCTTGTCTAAATGTAAAAAAAGATATTATTAGCCTTGCCATCTCCTGGTAACACATTCCCACCCCTTCCAAAGATCCATCACAATCGCCTTAGGCATTCATAAGCAAGAAAATAAACTCACCCTTCTCCGCCAACCTCCTCCTCTTATGAACCTCATATTCCTCCTCGCCCCCCTCCCTCTTCACACTAGCATCGCTCCTGGTCTTTGCATACGCAATCCGCATTTCCTTTCCAAAGAGCTCAAAACCCTGAATATCCTCTATAGCTTTCGTAGCACTCTCTACATTTTCAAAAACGATAAATGCCTGGCCTTTAGCTTTTAGATTCGTCTTTGCGATGATCTCGATAATTGTGCCATATTCAGAGAAGAGTTCCGTGAGCGCTTCGATTAGCGCGGGGATCTTGACGGTTTCTTCGAGGTTATTGATGTAGAGTCTAGATTTGTTAGTTTAGTTGTTTTTTGTTTGTGTTTTTGGTATAGGAGGGGCTAGGACGTGTCGGGGTGCAATGACACGTACGTAGCGTTTGGTGGTGGTGAGCCACTGGGTAGGTTGGTGTTGGACATGCTGGTGAGTTCTTTTCTTGGTTGAGAAAAGGTTGTTGGATTGAGGGAGCTTCGGGTTGGAGCTTAGCTGACGTTACTGTTATTTTTGGTGCCTTGCGACAGTGAGTGGTGCCTAAGGCATCAATTAGTTCCATCCCCGGTGAGCTTAGACTACGAAGTATTAATCGTAAGGAATTACACAATTACAGTAAATGGTTCTGATGCAAGAGATTCATGGACAAAGTTTTTGGAACTATACAATTCTGTCAAATATTACAAAGAAGTTCACTTGAGTATCTGTCATCATATTTGCTCCCAAGTACAGAGTATCACAGCAAGGTTCGGGTACCCTCGATTATTGCCTTTGGCATACACATCCTCATTCATTTCAGAGAACACCTTGATGAAAGAATTTAAATGATTGTTGTTTTTATTAGTTATAACAGTACTCTGTTGATAATACATAGATACGGGCTTACCGTACAACGGAGGTATTCTATAATACATCATTAAGTCATGCTTGTAATCATAGCCATCATCGATCATACCGCTGATTCGGCCAAGTTCCTTTCCGAAGGATCATGAACCAATTGACCTTGACCATATCGCTTCAAAAGCGCAGCTTTAATGTTTTTCAAGAATACCACTGACACCTTCATCGTCATCCGAAATCAAAGGTGAATTCAAAGATGCTGGCGTCTTTAGCCAATCATTCTTTTCATCCTCCCTACTTTTTGCCACAGTCTGAATCCATTTCCACATCTTCTTCACTGATTTCTCATCAAGATCAACAAAAGATTTCATGGTTGAAGACACCTGTCTTGTTCTCAAAAGCCCAAATTGTGGAGCCTGTTTCACTGTGGAATCCTCCTTGATCTCTCTTTCCATAGCTTTCCAAAAGCCGAGTAATGACCTTGCCGGATGATCGTCTGGTAATCCTTCGGGACTTGGCAACTCTGCATGTAGCAGCCATTCTGAGAATTCTTCCGTCTTCTCCTGGCCAATCCATTTCAACAAGTTCGTCCATGTCAGGTTTGAGTTGTTGACTAGATGAAATACTTTTGCCTTGTGTAGTGCCGTTAGAGGCAGTAAAGGATATGGAAGAGCTTTTTGCAAGGCGATTTCAACAATTGCCGCAGCTGCTATATCAAGTGGAAGCCACGAAAGCCGCATTGGGAGCTCTGGTAGAGAATTTAGACATCCGGGGACTCCAGCACTTAGCATTAGTGGCCACGCTTCTTTTTCATTCCAGATTCCATTGACGGTATTGCCGCATAATTGGCCAATCCTGACTATGCTAATATTTGCTCTTGTCTTTTGACATGCCAAAGAGCAGATCGCTTCTGCGACCCACTTACTCTTCGCGTAGCCCAAAGATCCAGCATGCAAAGGATCCCGGTCTATAGTTTCTATGACAAGGTTCCCATTGTTGCTGGCTTTGGCCACGCTTGCTATGGATGAACAGAACACCATGTGCTTTGGTCTTTCACCAGACAGAGAGAAATTGATCAGATTGCGAAGTCCTTGAAATTGCTCGGAGAAATCTCTCAAAGGAATGGAGAAATTTACTTCCCAGGCTGCCTGTAGTTTGGATTTAGTAATTGCGCCAACGGGATGGCTAGCTTAGGAGGGGAGTTTACATGAATAATTGTAGTTACATGCTTGCGAAGATCAAACAAAATATCTCTCGAAAGACCGAATTCAATTTCGTCCAACTTCGCAGCTCTGCATTCAAAGCTCGTGGTAGTGGATACTAGATTTTGATATATATCGTGATAGCGCAGCGCTTCTTCTACTCTACCAAGTGCTTCTTTGTCATTTTTGGCTCGAACGAGGCAAACAATCCGAAGTTTTTTGTCATTTGACAATATAGATCGCAGCAAGCTGACGATGTTCACGCCAAGCCTACCGGTGACTCCAGTTATGAGCTGTTAATTTGGTTAGTAATTTTTTAGAATGCAGATCCAAGTATAGCAATGGGTTGGATCCTTACTATGGTTTCTTTGAAGTCCTGTGTGAGTGTGAAACATGCCTTCGTTGTCTCATCCATCAACGACTTGCCAAATTGTTTGACAATGCTGTTCATCCGTTGAACTTCGTTCTCGTCATCATCCAGAATAGGTCCATTTCGAGAAGCTTTGATGTAGTCGGTGAGTCTAGTCATTTGTGTAAGCTTTTTTCTTATTGCTCTTTTGTTACTGCTCTTAGCAGGTTTCGCCATCTTGCGAAAGCTTGATTGAATGCTTGTATGTCGAGAAATGACATGCACACAAGTATTACCCGTCACCTGCAATGTAATTTACGAAGATTCGAGGAACCCAGTCATGATGCAAAGGCTGATGGAGTACTTACGCTCTGACACTTCCACATTCGTATACCAAATTCCAAGGGAAGGGCTTGGCGTCTGATGCGCTGGAGAATGCCTAGAATTTTATCAGCATCAAGATATACCGTTCAAGAATAGATGCCTGTACAGAATTGAGATGCGATCTGATTCGTGTCGCCTGCACGGAATCAATATCGTGAGCCCGGAAGTCTGAATCATAATGCAGCTCTATAGTGGCACCAATAGCTGTCTTGACGATGTCCATTACGATATCCAATGAGACTTCACTGCCGTGTTTTGCCGTAACACCTTTGTAGGAATCTTTGATATCGGCATCATAGTATATCTCGGCCATTTGCCTTCTTGTCGTTCCTTTCGCGGTTTTTGCCAACAAGGCGGTATGCGGCTTTATGACCAGCATGTCTTTAAAGATTTTGGCATGAGTTGGGCCAATGTTGTTCAAGCTTTCAATATAAGGCCAAATTGTATCCCTGACTTCCTCATTGCTCATACCCAGAGCTCCACGCGACTTTAAAATTATTGCCCCAGGGTACATCTGTCCATTACCGAATATAAATGCATCCTGTACGAGGGGAAATCTCTTGAATGCCTCTTCAATGCAAACAGGATCGAATTTCTTCCCAGTTGAAAGAGTAATTTGGGTATCTTTTCTCCCTACATGTTTCCATGCATTCTTAATGAAAGGGTGTGGCTCAAACAAATCACTCGTTGCAAAGCTCCCGTTGGGTCGATTGCACTTTGGCAAGTGTGGCCAACCCTTCGTGACCACTAACTCGAATCTGCCGGAACCATCAGGCAGTGGTTCAAATTCAAGATATCGAAGACCCTCCGGAACTCTGAAGTATTGCCATTCACGATCCGTTTCATAATGGCGGTGCGACGAAAGAAGAAATGAACACTCGGCACTACCAAATCGAGAAGCAAGGTTGATTCCCTCGGAGACGAGAAAGTCTCCATCTTCTTTCGGCATGCTAGCTCCACCTACACCCACAATTTTCATCGTTCGAAGAAATGCAAGTCCTTTCGCGGATTTAGAAAGCATTTGAGCTATCATTGGAACACAAGAAAAGTACATCAGTTCTGGACCAGTTTTTGGTGAACCGCAGAATCTACGCATTAGGAATTCATAAGTCTTTTGCGCCTGAGAGAAAGATTCAATGATTGTCTCGGAGGTAAGTGGACAGCCATCATTAGGAGCGAGGCAGATTGTTGATAAACTAGTCCAGGCACGTAAACAATCCGCGATACCACCAGTGTAGAGAGGCGTTGTGGTGAAGGTCAATGTATTTCGATCATTTAGTATTGGCAATGCTCCGCATGCAGCATGGTGAGAGTAGGGAACGGGCTTCAGAAGGCCCGAGGTGCCAGACGTATGGTGATGGTAAGCTGTGCTTTCCCCCGTAGCCTTATGAAGTGATATACCTTGATTTCGAGGAGTACTGTCAAGGACTGAAAAAAGATCCATAAGGTTTGAGGTCGAGTATGCTCGCATCTTATATGGAGGATTGCATGATATCATGTAATCCGAAGCTTCATAATACTCTTCTCGGACGGTTGAGTCGTAAAACACGATATTAATGTTACATTGTCTGCACAAATGCTCGACGTTTTCCTCGCTAGACGATGGCCTATAACGTGTCAATAATCACCATTTGATGGTTGAGGCAATTAACAATGTAATATCGAGATTGAAGGCATTTCATACTTACGTGATGATCATGACGGAAACTCCCAATCTCATCAACGCCAACCACATGAAGAGAAATCCCAGGTCACTTCTGCCCATAAGACCAACACACCTAGAATGTTTTGAACCTATGCCAGTCGTACCTTTGCTCACAGCTGCCTTTGTTGTCTCAGGAAGCTGTATAGTCCGCGCGAGTTGCAATGAACAGTCCCGCAATTTTGTAAAATTGAAAAAATGAAACGTCCATCGTTCAGTACCACTGGATGTTGAGGGTTCTTTCCAGTCGCTGAATACTGCCCCTTTATCGGATGGTAAACCCGCAGTTGAACCCTTTCTTGGCCCACCTCTATCAGGAACACTTTTGGGAACTGCTATGGCTAATTGGTCTCCATTGTGTTCAGCTTGGTAATCGAGGAAATCGTTGATCGTGTCATATTGATCGATTGAAGGAGTTAGGTTTTTAATTTCAGCCTCACCCAAAGTACAAATGAAGTGATTGAGATCGGTAGGAGGAACAGCAGCCATTTTGAATAAAGATGAGATACCCAAAAATGTCGATGTAATTGATCAGAAAAAGTCCAAGAGGAGTTGCACTACATAGCATTCGAAAAGTATGAGGATGGAAGAAGAAACCTCACGGCATTGACAGGAGAGGAAACTTCATCCCACTGATCCCAATTGCCATTTACTTTCAAGAGAATCTAGAAAGGTAGCTACTATGAGCCAGATCTTGATTGGCAACTTCTTCATTTACTAGTTTCAAAAGCCCCTTAGCCTTGTCACATTTTCCAAGATTTGGGAGGGGCTAAATTCGGAAATCTAATGATATCCTGAGGACATATGAAGCAACCTTTGTTTACTCCAAAATGCAAGCGTCATGATTACTCAGTAGCGGCGGGAACGTAGATTTCAACGAAGGGGTAGCATGAGAGGAACGTTAGGGACATAGCCTTTTCATCTTTCTAGATCAAGCGTAACTATACACTCGGTGATACAAAATTATTCGCCGCCAACATAAAAAGATTTGAATCTTTAAAGATGGGTTTGTCGACCAAAAGATATGACGGACGTCAACATCCTTCGGGAAGCTGGGACGAAGTAATGATCACGTGACATTGAAAAATGCTACGGGTAGTCATTACAACCTTTGCGCACTAAATCCTCGAACGCGTGAGTGTGGTTTCTTTTTGGTCTATCCAACCTATGTGAACTCAACTTGCATGTATACTTCTCGACAACTTCATTAAATCTCATAAATCATCATCTTTTACATAAAGGTACGCGATATGTCACTCTTAATGGATGGCTGGGATCCCTGATGCAGAGTTTTGACGCTACGGATGTCTCCCCTTGGAAAGCTTTGGATAACTAGTATAACATCGCGATTTCGCAGATGCTTCAAACTTATCAGATTACTGAATACATTCACCATCTGATCCAAGCTTCATTTCATGGAGATCACCAAAATCACCTCTTTTTGGATTCTCCCCTATTTTGGCACGTGATCATGTTCTTGTCTACACGCGAGCATTGCAACCTACAAGTGTTTGGTCTTTCTATCGCTTCTACATAAAGTAGGGGTACTGAGCTTTACCGTACGGCAATACTCGATCCTCTTCATGATAATCTACATATAAGCCCTTGACATGTCACATTCATTGCCTTCACAACTAAAAATTCAACAGACTTTCTCGGTAAATTTCAACAAAGTATTCCTAAAGTTTAACCATCCCCCGTCATGCCTTACAACAATGCCGCAATTCCTCCTCGTCACGAGGCAACGGGAACAACTCAGCTACCTCGTAAGCTCAACCCTACCCAAGCCTCCTCGTCCCAAACTAACATCTACCAGTATCACGTATCAAGAAGATTATCGGAACCGATCAAGACATTAACATGTGCTCTAACAATGCCGCGTTTGTCATTACTCTAGCCACGGTATGTTTTCAATGCCTCTCTGATACTCTGCATACAAAAGCTAAGCATACAAAAGGAAATGTTCATTCAATACATGGCCGAATCAGGCCACAATGTTGTCAAGTCTGAACGCAAACCTCGCCGCAACATCCAGTACCGGGATCTTTGTAAGTTTCTCCTCCTTCCAGTTCCACCACATACGTTCGTCTCAATCACGAAGTTGCCCCTTCACCTCTCAATCTCCACCAACACACTAAAACAATCCTCAGCCTCCGCCGTCTCCCACATCGACAACCTCGAATTCCTCAGCGACATAATCCCACGCACCGTCCCACTCAAAGTCGTAAAAGCCCGCGCCCACATAGCCAACACCCTCATACAAGCCCAACCCACCAACCCGCTTCCCACCCCGCCCCACCGTCACCATCTCCGGCCCCTCAACCACCCACGCCGGCCCCTCAGGCACAAACACCTTCCCCCACCCCTCGACACCGCCCCACCCTGTTTCCGTCTCCGGCCTCCTAGACTCCATCTGGATCCCCATCTAACCCCACCCCTCCAGCTCTCAACCAAATCCAGCCTCAAACCCAAACCCAAATCCAGAACCAACCTCAACCTCAAACCCATCCAAACACCATCCCCATAATCCACACCAATGGTTTCACTCCCGCCAACGGGTTTACCCCCGCCAATAAACCCCAAAAACAACAACAACAAAAACAGCGGAGAACTAGTTCTGGTACAACTACAGGCACAAGCCCCGAAGAAGAAGATCCTAATGCGCAATTGAGGATGGAGAGTCAAGCTAATAGTGATGAGCAAGAAGATGTGGAGATGAGTTAGAACGGTGGTGTTATTTGCATTGGATTGAGGATTTTAATTTCTGCAAGGGGGGCGGGATGCTTGGGGTGGAATGAAGAAGAAAAGGAAGAGTTGTTTTGTAAAGAGAGGTGTTACTTTTTTGATTGCGCGTGTGGTTCGGAGTCTGTATCCTTGTACCATAAATATCACATTGCGTTACAAAGGCTGAATCAAAATTCAATACATCAGGTGTCAAAGATGATTTGGACATAGCAATAAGCTTTCTTTTTGCGCGCATCACCATGTCGTCCGTTCAAATCCATCACATACATAAACAGCATCATCTCGCCAGAAACGCCCAGTGATATGCAACCTATATGGGAATACTTTTCTCTCTTTCCTTTCCGTTCAATATCTCATGATATAATATCATCTCGTCTCATATCCTCCCGTCCTAACCAGACCCAGAACAGTTCCAATATGCATCGATTATAGCCCCTCGTTGATAGCACCAACCTGCAAATTTATTCTTTCATTGCTCTTTTTCTTCATTCCTCCATTGGATCATCGCCCTGCGCGGCAGCGGGAACCCTTCCTTCATTCAACTCTTTCTCTAGTTTAATAATCTCCTGCAAACTCTTTGCATTCTTAATTAATTCTTCAACCCTCTTTCGTTCTTTATCGGTAAGCTTAACGCGGTAGGATTTAGATGTTGAGGATGCGGAAGCGCCATTGGTCGTGCTGGCTGTGTCGAATGTGCGAGATTTGATTCCCATAATCTGGAGGAACTATGTTAGGAAATTGATGGGAAGAAAGGTGAATAGAGAGATGTTTACCTTTGATGCAAGAGCGGATGGTTCTGCAGATGTACCGAATAATTCTTGTGCTCTTTCCCGCTCTGCAGCCTTGACTTTCTTGTAATCCAGAAATCTCACATTTGGACATCGGAAGAGGACCCATTCTCTATAATGCTATACCCCGGTCCATCAATTAGCCTCATTCATTCCACTTCATTTAACCAAACAACGTTAATCCTCTCCTCATTCCACAAGACAAAACAAAAATGACCCACCTCCTTCCTAGTCACAGGATTCTCCATCAAAACCAAACTCGTCAACCTCGCACACCCAGCCAATGCATCCAAATCAGCTAACTCTGCCACATTGTTACTTGTCAAAACCAACGTCGTCAGATTTGGTAATGATTTCGACAATGTAGGTGAGATACTGGAGACGCGATTGCGAGCTAGTAGGAGGGTTCTTAGACGTGGACTGAGAGGGAAGTTGCTCAGAACTTGGATATCATTGTCTGTGAAATCAATTGCATCGTGTGGCTATTTTCGTCAGCTTTCTATCTTGTGAGGCAGAGTCAGAGACAGAGTAGAGCTAGAATGCGAGCACGAGATCGCCTCTTTTTTCTTCCCTCTCCCTCTTCCCTCCCCAAATCAACCACCCGAACCAACAAAACCAAGAAATAAGGAACCAAAAAAACTCACCCCCGCAGCCCCCAAATTCTCCACCGCCGGAATCTTATGACCTGCATATCCCAAAAAACACCAGTATCAACTCAGCTCTTTTCAAAAGTGTAGCATTGGGACTCTGTTCTTAACAGAAATGTATAATTACGCACCTCGAAGATCTAATTCGCGTTCCTTGAGCGGATTGAGGTAGGAGAGGGAGGATTGGATGAGGTCCGCTGTGAGACGCATGTTTGTTTACTTGTGAGGTTCTTTGTTTGCAAAATTAGGAGGCGATGTGAAGAGTTGAGGGCGTTTATGAAGGTTGTGAAATCGGTGGATGAGGTCGCAAGGCTGACATCTTGAATCCTCACAATCTCGAAATTATTTTGGTGAGCTAAGCTTTGATTCGCGCTAACCATTTTTGATTGTCAGCCTTTTCGAGTTCGGAGACATAATTATTTTCATCTAGATCATATCATAAATATTTACCAGGATTACATTATAATGATTCATTACTATCGTCTAATAGATCCATGAGCTCATCGCTCAATCTATGTATACCACTCGTCTCAATATCACAATAACCCCATTTCCCATCCTCAATCTCAAGGATTTGTTTACCACCAAGTCCATAACTCCTATCCCTCGTATATTCTCAGAATCCCACTCAATTCACTGAAAGACAAAGATAACGCCCCCTCTATCAACACTAACCATCATACCGTAAGGACTCTCTAGCAACGCCACATCCAAAATTGAATCCAAATGCGCCCTCAATAATTTCTGTCCTTGCAACGAAATAACCGTACTCCTTGGCGCCTTTCCACCTCCTTTACTACCCCCCTCTGCTTTACCTCCATCATTGCCCCTGTCTCTTGTTCCAGCATTAGGGGCTGTTGGGTTCTGTCTGGGGACTCGCTCGTTGTTCAATGTAAGTATTGGTGTAGGATGTGAGCTAGCGTAAGACGGTTTGAGCTCATCAGTCTCTAAACCACTCACAACCATTGAACTTTCAACGCGCGATAGATCCCAAAAACGGATCTTCCGGTCCGAACCACCAGTGATAAGAAAACCATATTTGACATCACGATTATCATCATTGGCATCAGTGCCGGCAATCATAGCACGAATGCCATAATTTGAGGCAGTGGCTGTTGGCTCAAGAGCTCCTGCAAAACGGCCAAGCATACCTTCTGGACGATCCTCATCCACAGGCCAAGGTTCATAATTCTTTGGCGCCTCTCGACTTGACCCAGATCGATAAACTTCTCGACATTGCGTCTTTTCGACATCCCAGACAGTAACTTCTCCCTGTCCACTACCACCAGCAACACAAACCCATCTTCCTCGACCTCTGGTAGGATGAATACGAATTCGGTATATAGATGTGGCTCCTGGTACACCCCAAGCCTTCAGACGGACTTTGAACCGTAGATCCCACAGATCCAAGATACCATGGGAAGTTCCAAGTAATAACCAGCTACGTTTTTTATCTATACAGAAACATGTAGGAGTGCCATGGTGCACAGGATTCTCTAAAGTATAGAGAATTGTCATGGCTCTTAAATCGATAGCCAAGACCCTTGAACGATTTGTGGCAATAAGCAAAACGGAATTCGTTTCTAGTTTAAAATGCTCCGCCCAAAGAGCAAATTCGTTTTTCTGGAGCTGATACTCGCGCAAAAGGCGAAGTTTACCATATCTTCCCACTCCACCACTTTGGATACAATCAACTTTGACTACATTGATACTTCCATCACTTCCGCAGCTGACAAAAGAGTGCGTGTGCTCCACAAAACATAATGCAGTAACTTTGGCATCATTTCCATGTTTGTGTGTTTGTCTGGATCGATGAGCGATATTCCGTTCAAGTCTCCCAGTATCCCAGATTTTTACACAACCATCATCTCCGCCAGTGAGGAAGAAGACATGATCTGGAGCAACAGCAATATGATGAATTGGTCCAACATGCTCAGCAAAAGTAGCAACAAGCGTACCCTCAGGCCTCCATGGTTTGTCCGCAGCTTGACTATTATTTCTACTAATAGCTCTGCGCCGACTCGACGGTGCGATCATAGGTCCAAATTCTGCAATATCATTGGGGTAATTGTCCACATACATCGCATCCAGCATTTTTAGTATGTTTGGATCGTTACCTGAATAGGTATGAGCTGCTCTGAATCGAATTTCGCTTTTTGCTGAGCCATCCTGATCTCTTGCCAGACTTATTGGCAAAGGTTGAGTTGTGAATTGTGTGAAAGGTCCTTCAACTTTACCGAACGCATTTGTTGAAGTAGTACCTGTCTCGGGAACACTTTTTCCCGATTCTTTACGATTCATGAGAGTCATCGCAGAAGGCTTATGGCGCATACCACGAACAGTATCCCCTGACTTGATAGGTGTAGCTTCCAACAGTGACGCTGTTCCATCGTCACTCATTTGACCAGTTGTGTCTGGGCTTCCAGGGCGTACCAACGATCCTTTTCGTGGCGTTGAAGAGGACCGAGGTGTCGAGGAATCCGAAGGGGATAGGAATGCTGGTGATAAAGTTGGAGAGTGCGGCTCCAATCCGTTACTCGTAATTGGTAGGCCGGCTTTCGATTTATGTCTATTCATCGCAGAAAGTTTTCTTTTGGCAATGGGATCATCGATGGTCATGGAAGCATCTAGTAAAGCATCAGTAATGGAGTGCTGTTCCCCATTGCCCTCTAAGCCATTACTAATTTTGCGTGGTGGTTCTTCTGTAATCTGTTCATCGAACATTACTGTCTGTGGTGTGATATTGAGGCTTCGAAGATTGATGACGTTATTTAGATAGGATGGATGTGTTGAACCTTCTCTAGCTTTTGAAGGTGCAAGGCGCCATATATATTCTCTCAAGGCAAGTAACTTTGCTTCATCGTCGTGGCTCATTCCTATATTTCGAAGTTTGGCCAACCATTGTTCATCCTCTTCATTCTTTGGTATTCTGTGTAAAGGGTTATGACCAGACTCGTTTGATGAAATAGTCGGTACAAAATTGCACGAGCTGAAAGAAAACGTTCGTAACTGATTGACAGGTTTCCAGAATATGCCTCTATCCACTTTCAGAGCCCAGTTAATAGACATATCAAGAACTGCTCTCGATAATGGTTTCTTGAGTGCATCAAGCAAAGCTAATTCTGAGTAGTCGTTAACTCCAGTCTTGAGATATGGTCGGATGAGCGGTAAGATAATGCATAGATTGTCGGCACTGGACAAGAAAATAGTTGCGGATGAAATGAAGTTCACCGCAGCTTCTCTTATCCAGATGTTGGGATGCATTGTGAAGCGGCTGACAACATCTACCATTTCCCATATCTTTGATCGTTGAAACAAACCTAGCTGGGCCATATCAGCAAACGAGTGCAAGACACTCCTCACTACAAACTCTTCAGGATCCGTCAAAGCCTGAACCATTAACGGCAGTATGAACTCTTCAAGACTGGTCCCGCCTAGAAAAGTTGCAACACCCACAATCGTCTCGAAGAAAGCACATTTTAAAATCCAGTTTCGATCATTTAAGTAAGTATTAAGGTGACTCAAGATAATATCATTCGAGTCTGCTGTACCAAAGAACATACATAGCTCTGGCACAGATCCCAGAAAAGCTCTTTTGACAGAAGAGTCGTTGTCTGTTATCAAGGCCTTGGTATGCGCTTCGAATATCTCTATGAGCTCCGCTCGAGCTGTGTCAAATAGGCCTTGGAATGGTGCTTCCCCACTAATGGTGTCATCGGCATCGGGGTCTGAAGTAGGAAGTGAACCATCAGATCTCAAAGTTGCAACCATATCGAGGAACTTGGAGGCGGAAGTCGCAAGGCTTCCAAGACATGCTGCATAGGTAGCTCTTACCAAAGCGCCAGGCTCTGTTGGTGAACCTGAGAGGAATATTTGCATCCGTGGTAAGATGTATTCTGGGAAAACATGTGCATTTATTGCTGAGACCACCGTAACAAGAGCCAAAAGCTGGGTTACTGTACGAATAGCTGCGACTTTCACAAGTTCAGATTTATCAGTGAGCAACGTCATGATATATGGAAGAACCCGATCTAGTTTCGCTTCATCGGTCAATCTCTCGGCGAAGGCCAGTAATATATCACAAGCTCGTATCTTTGCGGTGGCTCTTGCAGTATTTCGCATTGATGATACAACTAAAGTTAGGAAAATCAAAGTCCCATCGTCTACAGGTCGCCTACCAAGAGCAGAAGCAACGTGCTCATTGTTCGGTATGTTGAGATGTACAGGGATAGGTCGTAAGCTTGTTCCTGTAGACAGACTCCTAGTAGCTGGTGCTGGTTTCTCATTTTCATAGCCTAAGAAATACGAAATCTTATCAAAGTCGTAATAGATACGATCAATGCGTTCATCAGCTTCGCCCAGATTAGCCGACGATCCAGATATTGGAGTTCTTCCCGACGATGGGTCCGTGATTAATCCCATGTATTGATGTAGAAAGCTGTAAAAGTAATCTGGGAAGACCTTCTTTCTCCAAAATTGCAAATATTCTTCTGCTGAATATCTAGATTCCGGACTGAGTTGTATCATGTGCGACACCATTTCTCGTACATCTTTATCTGTTATTCGGTTGAGCAGTGAGGCAACTGGATCATACTCTCCCCTGCGATATTGGTATAGCTGGCTTAATGTGAAAATAGGGGTCTCCGTAAATAGCTCAGCAATCACACAACCGACACTGAAGACATCCATAGCCCAAGTAATTGGTGCTTTCGGATCTGGCGTTTCTCCTGTGGTCAAGAACCTCTCTGGCGCTAGATAGCATGTTCTTCGTCCAGCAGTATCAAAATAGTACGAGAAGTCTGCCGGATTATCTTCCGGTAATGTTGTTGGTTTGAAAGAGGAAGAGAAGTCGGAAAGATATAACCAGTTCCATGAAGTAACCAATGCATTCTCCGTCTTTATATCTCCATGAAATACGTCCCTAGCATGACAGTCGCGAACGGCGCATAAAAGTTGAAATGCGAGCCATTTCCTCTCGATATCCTCTAAAAATGGTCTTGTACTCATGCGATCGTATAGGGAGCTATATAGATATTGTCGCACAAGATAGCCATTCGTCTCGGTCTCCGCTATTCGTTGATAAGCAAGCGCATTTGGGACATCTGCCAAGGCTTTTCGTTCTCCTGCGCAGATATGTTAGATTCTGTCGGGTAGATCCAATTTGCGTTGCTCACGTATTATCTTTTTCCTATACTTCTTGAGATCCATGGCATAAGGCTTGACGACAACCTTGACGAGTACAACTCCATCTTGACTACGAGCGCGAATACTTTTCATAAACCGAGCAGTTCCCATGGACTTCTCATAGACCAAATCTGAGAGCTCCGGCACATCAATACCTGCAGAGCCCGCAGAGAGCGTGGTGAGTGAGAAACCTTGACCCATGGTTGAAGGAAACGGAGGTTCATCTGTGTCAAGTCATGGATGTGATTGCTTTATGCAGACAAGTAAATGGAGCTTCTGGGAGCTGTAGTACGAGAATACTATTAGATAGGGCGGTGAGTTATATCCATCAAATGTTTTTAAAATGGTTGCAGTTGGCGCAAAGTGTTTGTAGTTGTCGATTTCAATGAATTGATATGACGATAGTTCGCGAGCGACTATGATTACTAAGCGAGAAAACGGTAGATAAGTCCCTACTAGGTTATTTAGCTACGTATCTAATAATTGTTAGCCTCGAAGTCTTCAAACACCACTGAATCTTTCGAAATTGTTAAATCCTCCAACATGAATTCAGCATCTCAAGTGAGTTCAACACCAATGCCATTGAGAAGTCTGGCATATCACAATAGCTCGAGAAATGCTCTACTGCGGGCTGAAGGTTCACTATCACGCTGCAACGATGGATTTTTATAAACGCCATTATTGGCGATGAGACATGATACGATAATCAATGACCTTTTATCACTTCATCTCTGTATCTCTTTCCAATATAAATTACAGTGACTCCTCAACTCATGTCCTAACTCCGCCGATAGAGCCTATTCATACAACTTATCATCCCATGAAATATACCGGTGGGTATGTATTCATTTACTTGCTTGCAACACATTCATATGGTTTGCGTTCCATTTAAGCCTTTCCCTTTCTCTTCAACTCAGCCTCTTCCTCTTCTCTCAGCTGTTGGTCGATTGTGGCACCTCTGCTGGGCTCGTTGCCGTGCATCTTGGCCTAAAGAATAAAATATTAGTGCAGTTTTTAACAACATGATGGCTTGATTATCAAACAAAATTCGATAGAGCGAGCGATGTTTGTTGATAGGAGTTGGTAGGACAATAACTTACTGGGAGGGTAGCATCCTTCTTGGCTGCTTTGTCTTCCTTGCTCATCTCCTCAGGCTCATGCTCACGTTGCTCTTCTCTAGCCAACTTGTTTGCAATGGTTCTCTCGTCCTCTATTTAAGCAATCAGTGACCAAGTTTTGAAGAAACTCGAGCGTTGGGAAAATCTTACTGGAATCGAGTGCAAGATGGCTGTTCTCCTTTCCCTCGTGGAATCTGTCACCGGTCTCGTTGTTTGAGCTCATTTTGATTGATTTGTTTGAGGTTTGTGTAAATTGAAATGGGGGACAGGTGGATAGGGGAGAATATGATGTGAATGATTGTTTTAGAAGTTGTAGAATGTATGAAATGAAGAACGATTGAAGGAGTACGCTTCGACTATAAAATAGTTGATGAAACCCGACAGACAATACGTCATAATGAAAGCTTTTCCAAACACCAACTTGCCTTGCTATCAGAACATCATGTTTTCGGAACTATCATAGAAAAGACGTCACTAGACATTCACTTAGTATGTGAGGTACCCGCTCTTCTTGAGAATATCAAGAAAGAGATCGTGCCAAATCTAATCAATCGTAAAGGTTACAATAGCATTGGATATTTCTCTCCACTTACATAATTCAGATATCAAATTGATTGGCCTCTTCTCTGCCTGCCCCTCCTATCATCGATCAATCGTAAGGCAGGGCAGGAAACTTCGAAAAAATGTTTTATTCTTGAGAAGATTGATACCGTTACAATGATATTTTTCTGTTCAAGATTTATCATAATGATGAAGGATAGGGGTAGCTTGGTGAGTTTGTAATTGTTGCTTTCTTTTTCCTACTTAGGCGTCACGCCACCAAGCTTCACATATTCGTGAATATTCTGTTACAGGACAAGCCGCGATCAATTGATATAAATCACAAGAGGAAGACAGCTTAAGTTTAAGCTTACTAATATAACTCCCGGACGATCAAACGAATGGTAATGTACTCAATATCTGATCTCTCCCTGCACGTCCTCAGCACTTCATTTCCGAAAACCCAGAACCAGCAACACAACCATCAAGGATTATGAGACTTCATGACAGTCGATAAGACGACATCGACAACCTCGGCGAGGATACAAGCAAGGGCGACTCCTATTTTTGAAGCAATGCAGATCAATGCGTCGAGATGTTTGCCATGAGTGAGAAGCCTAAAAAATACACGCGATGAACGATATTGCACAAGTCGTTCATCCCAAGGTCGTTCGTTGCTATGGGTGGGATGATATGACAGGGTTGATCTTGTTTTACATGAACCCCCTCTCTCTTTTAGTTTTGTCTCTAACCCGCATACCAGTATATCGTTTCCATGCGGAGTTCAAGCAGCGAAATGAAATCCCTCAAAGAAAGGTCATTGTCACACTCATCAGCATATGTTCAATCACTGGCGATACTCAAGTACCTCCGTACCATGGCTGAGAACAAGCAGATAACGACGACGATAATATTATCATCATTCAGTATTCAATATTCTAAGCAATCGATTGGGCAATATGAAACCATTGACCTCCTCAGAGACTACAAAGACGTGAGCATTGCTTCAAAACAAACCTCGTACCCCAGCGTAACCGCAATTTCATGGAAACTTGCATCTTTCTCATTTCCCAGCCCCCTTCATCTAGACCAAATGGAGTATTAGCCATCTATTTCGGCTCTGAAAAGCCTGAACCGCAAAGCCGGAAGCTTACAGACTTAACATAACAGGCATTTATTTTGCTATTGAAACCAATCCAGACATGGGAAGAACAAAGTAAGAATATTCGGATATTTTCTATGCCAGACACCCTTCCGAAATACCTGGAGATGAATAAGTTACTACCGTAGGTAAAGATGATTCAGCGTAGCATGGAACGTGGCAATGAACGAAGTTGGGACAAGCAAGACTACAATGTATACTGGTGATGAGCTTCGCGGGGGAGGAAAGGTTATCAAACCACAATTGGACGAAACGTGGTTTTTATCCGATGAACTTTTAGCGACCGATTCATGTTTCTTCTTTTTCCAAACCGGCAGAGTACATTCATTCATTGTCCGTGAGCCTCTCTCAGCCAGTAAATATCAGTTCAATCTTGTCAACTGTCAGGATTGTAAATCTTTCTCCGAATTCTTTCTTTATGACAACTCAGATAATCCCAGCCGGTCAATGGATTGGGTAAGAAGGCTTTTCCTAAAGCACGGTATTCAGACAGACGTGCATCGCATCACGCATCGCATCACGCATCGCATCTTTCTATCGATTGTTGTAATAAACAAGTAGGTAGGTATCTAGTATACTCCGCATGTACGGAATCATCAACCCAACCCCGATAACCCTCTCCTCCAAGAGTTGCAGGTCCAACCAATTCTTCGGAATCTTTCAACCAATGAATTCTTTACTCTCTCTTAACTGAAAAGATATTAACATCCATTTTACCTGCTCCGGAGTCCGTACAGTTTGCTACACCTCATCTTAAATATTGTCTGCTAAGGCAAGTTACTCCCTGTCATCTACAAGGGTCACTGTGCGCAAACCCATACCTAGTGAATCTTATCTTTTTCCCACTTTGGCCTGAGCGCAGGCTTTTGAACCTTTTTTAGACATCATTCCGGCCTCGCCAACAAGCCAAAACTTTCCTTTCGTTCTGTGTACTTGAGTTTCAGGGCCTTCTTCCCTCTAGGCCTTTTCTTTCCTTAGGTAGAGATTTCTGAACCCTAATCCATTCTACCTACATAAAAGCTTCAAAACACAAGAGGCGGTCACTAAAGGAAGGAAGAGGCTGATCGGTCGACTTTGAACCGTCTTTTGGTCCTTCTTCTTCTTCTTCTTCTTCTAGAGCAGCCAATACCTTTCAATTTTCTCACTCATTTTGTTCATTACCAACTTCAATCGTTACAAAATAACTGAATCATCCGTTTGAATTTTCAATTCGTTTTTGGAAGAACTTCTTTTTTTCTTTTCTACAAATTCTGTTTAGATCAATAACTACCTCTTTGGATATTAGGTGGTACTTTTGTTTATTGAGCTGAGGTTATTGAGAGAGACGGTCTGGGAACGCAGTGAAGGGCATAATTGCGAAGAGTTGGGATTTGGTGTATGAGCAAGGACGATTACGGAAAAGAAAACATGAGCAACGAAATCTTGGGAAAGAGTTCCGATTACACCCTCACCGCAAGTTACCCATCGATATCGAATAATGAGAAGCATTGCGGCAACAGCAGGGCATCCAATTCATTGAAATCATCTTCATCTCGAACAATGGCGGAAGTGGTGTTGAGAGATAGGAAAGAACTCGGCACAAGCAAACGAAAGCAACGGTGGACTGGATTCTATGCCAAGACAGCTCTATTATCAATTCTCGCAACTGCACCTCTTGCAATTGCAGATTGCATATCTCTTTCAGGTTCTACACAATGTCCTGCATTTACTTCTGCTTCAGTTGAGACCAGCCTGACCGGACTTTTGTATGTTTTGATTTCATCCTGCTAGCATGCGTTTGCTGATCCATGCTGACTATAACTTTAGCCCATTTCTATCCTATGTTTCCGATCGCGCCACTTTCGATACTCAATTAAGCGCATATGTTCAAACAAGCTATGTGCAGTTAAAGTATGCATATATATTATTCTGAAATTGCCGATACCGATATTTGTCTAACGCGATCATGCAGGTACCAGCAACTCCTCGGATGCGGAAATATAAATCTTACAAACACAACAAACCTTTACGCTAGATACACAACCACAGCTATATGTAATTCTATTATACAGAATTCAAAAAAATCATGTAGTCTATCGGATACTCAAGCACCACCAGTTTGTGCCGATTCTTGCGTGAGTTTCTATCAGATCAAAATATAAACTTGAAATTAACAGGTAGACACAGGCCCAATTTGCCGAGAGTGAATCGATAATAATCTCTGATGGACAACTCTGTTCAAACCCTGGGGATAATGCTGTTTCCCAAATTCGTGCCGACTTCACTAATTGCGCATTACCATCAGATTCATTAGCTGGATCTTGTGTTGAAGGCTCCACCAATGAACCGGATAATTGTGGATTTGGAAATAGCACATTTGGATTATGTCAGTACTGTGGTACGGGTGGGCAAAATAGTACGGACACATGCTGCTATAATTCAAAAGCAGAGACTCGTTGTGCTGGTATAGTATTACCTACAATCACAGGATTCATAAACTTCACCACAAGTACTGCCTCGGGATCCGGAACATCTACCCCAACTGCATCTTCCACAGGAGTCCCCAGCTCCACATCAAAGAAGGGAATATCTGGTGGTGCCATTGCTGGTATCGTTATTGGATCATTAATTGGTTTGGCTGCACTCGTTGCCTTAATCTTTCTCATTGCGTTGTGCTTGCGTAGACGACGTGGAAGTCAGCACGGAAGTATTCTTAATCAACCGACACCGCCTAGAAATAAGGGAATGACATACAATCCTGTAGGTTCCAATATTACACCCGAGGGATACGAAGTACTCCCCGGAGGACGAATTGCCCGAATGTCGGCACTCGAAGGACATTCTCACTCCGCACATTCTTCATCTCCACACGACAGAGGAGCTTCAGCTGCTGGCGCTGTATTAGGCGGGGCGGCTGGCTATGCTGCTGGGCGACGACATGAGCATCAATCTTCATCGAGTGAATTTGGAGAAAGTCCAACTTCAGCTATGCAAGGTGGAATCTTGCGACCACCTCCGAATAGACGAACTGCGTCACTTTCCAGTGGCTCGGTTCTTGGAATTGACGATCCTCAGACTCCTGGTAGTATTTCATCACCACAAGCCTTGGCGAGCAATCAATCTGAGCAGCTACCATTCTTCAAGGACTACTATTCTCAAGATGAGATTCACCCTGGCGATAAAGTTGCAACGTTATGGGCCTATCAACCACGCGCCGGAGATGAGTTTTCATTGGAACGCGGTGATATGCTCAAGATTGTCGGGATTTGGGATGATGGATGGGCTACTGGAGTCATGATTAATGAGCGGGCGGATGAATGGGACGAGAAACGTAAGATGCAACGCGACAGTGGTGTCTCAAATACATCCGGACGAAAAGATCAATCTCCAAACGCTAGTGGTGAGATCAAAGCTTTCCCATTGGTCTGTGTCTGTCTTCCGGAACATTGGAAAAGGACAATCGATGGTGATGGTTCAACGGACTCCGGTGGTCCACCAGGCCTTTCATGATGATGGCAGATTTCATATTTTCCCTTTCATTAATAATTTCACGGCTTCACGACTATTGTTTTCCTCTCGGCACAGGCGTTACGGACTATAAGATTCTTTTCACACGCCCATCATAGGACCTTTCACACACAACGCGATACCTTATTTACATTCGAGATACATTTCACGCCCCGTTACGTTTTAGATTTTACTTACGGCATTACACCACAAGTTTCCTGGCCTTGGGCTTATGTGCCCATGATTCAGCTTTAATTATAATGATAGCATCATCGTCTTGTTGCTTGATTATGGAGAAACGTGTTAAATTATATTGATACTACTCAGTTTACAATTTTTTTCTTTTTATATACCCAAATTCGTTTATACTGCTAGCAGAATGCAAACAAAACTTGGGAGGTTAGAGGCATTTTTTGATTTGCATAATAATGGCTATTGAAGAAATTCTTTTCGTGGGGATGAAGCAGGCTTTTCAATTAGAAGAATAGGAGGGAGCAAGGAAGGGGAATGATCACCTAGTATCTGCATGAGCTTTCAGGCTCGTAAAAAATCAAAATAAAAGAAGTTCAAGATGATAGAAGCTTTATGAATGAAAGTCTGTGGTGAATGTAGGTAGGCAATTAATCACCAACAGATTTACCTCTTAATATCATGCCCCGCCACTAGCGTCCCGCTTTTCCCCAAAATTTATAATTCTGCCAAAGCGGTCAATCATCAAATTCGATATTTCGAGTTCGACCTAGAGAGGACGCTCATAAGAGGCCGATTTACCCACAAAATTAATTACAGAGGATTAATCACATACACGATTTCAAAATGGTTAAGAAAAGAGTTCGCGATCCGGAAGAACTTCCTGATGCACCTACTCATAGTGCAGGGGAGGAAAATGATAGTGGAAGTGACGTGAGTTTGGCTTTCTTTCGAGTGTGGATAATAAACATAGATGAGTTGAAGGGGAGGATGAAAAAGAGGAATTTAGGACAGGAATTGGAGTGGCGGAATGCATTTCCTATTTCTTTTTTTCTCCCTCTCAACTGCGCAATATGTTTGTAGCAACGAGAGTCAAAGTATCCCACACTAACACACATGCAATAACCAGGGCGAAGATATCCTCAACGTCGACTTTGAATGGTTCAATTTCCGCGAAATCGATTTCCACGGCGTCAAGAGTCTCATTCGTCAATTATTCGATGTGGATAGTCAGTTATTGGATTTAAGCGGATTGGCAGATGAAGTTGTTAAGCAGGGGACGATTGGTAGTACGGTGAAGGTTGATGGGGAGGGTACGGATGCGTATGCTTTTATGACGGTGCTTAATTTACATCGAGGGAATGTGTCGGAAGGGGATAAAGGGGAGAAGGAGGTAGGAGACGCGGTTAGGGGGCTTAGGGGCTATTTGGCTAGTCAGGCGAAGGAGGGAGGTTTGCTTCAGAGGGTTGTTGGTGGAGGAGGACAATTGGGTGGCGATGTGGGGGTGGTTTTGGCGGAGAGATTGATCAATGTTCCTGCGGAGGTGGCGCCGCCTATGTATGGGATGTTGGTTGATGAGTTGGAGGCAGCGGTGGAGGATGGGGAACCCTATGATTTTGCGTATTATTTAGTTGTGTCGAGGGGATATCGAGAGGTAGAATCTAGACTAGATAGAGAGGAGCAGGGTCCGAAGAGTAAGAAGAGTAAGGGCAAAGCGAGGGCGTCGGGGGAGTTGTTTTATTTTCATCCAGAGGATGAGGTGCTTAAGAGGTTTAGTTGTGCGTATGAGGAATTTGATTATAAGAAGGATGAGGGGGAGGGTATGGCGGATAGTAAGAGGGCTTTTCAGGAAATGGGTATTAGAGCCGTGGGAGAACTTATTCTTATTGAGAAGGCTAAATGGGAGGAATGTGTTAAAGCTTTGGGGGAATATTTGGGTGCGCCGGTTGAGAGTTCTTAGAAGAAATGAAAGAAATAAATTCAATATTAATGTCATGCATAGCTTGGAAGTGTTTTATATATTCTTTTTAATCGGTCTTCCACTCTGACCTTTTACTTCCTAAATTTTGCAATCTATCCGGGTATACTTCTATTTTGATCATCCTCCCGTCCATCTATTTTACTTTTCCTCTTCTGTAGCCATTCCATGAACCTCCGACCATTCATTCTTTTTATGAAGTTTTTCTTCTATTTTAATCCTTCTTCTCTAACCTCTGCATCAAATACTCCACTTCCACCACCTTAGTCAATGGAATCACAAAATCCCTATACAATCCCTCTACCGCCTCTACATTAATCTTGCCCTGCGGTTCTTCTCCATTTCCATTCCCATTATTCAAACTCGGATCCGTGCCATAAGTTCTAGCCTTCAATCTCAACCTCTCCAATACCTGCAACTCAACCTTCTCATTCGTGATTGCGCGTCCTAATCCTTCCCGATCTCCCGCTTGTATCATCTTCGTAAATGCCTCTTCCTCAGCTTGAAACTTGCTCTCGGCGACAAATTTCCCAAAATGTATGCGCCGGGATAATGCTTGTAGACAGTTGATATCACATGTAGCAGCTGATCCATAATTTTCTTCTCTTTCGCCGCGGTCTGAACGTCCTGTTTGTAGACAGGCTTTGGGGAGGAATGTCTGGATGTAATGGTCTTTAATCTCGGTATTGACGTTTACATCATTTGGATGCAGGATGGTGGGATAATGAAGGGGTTGGAGAATCGGCTCTTTGAGAGCGTCGGGGAAAAAGGGATATTCGTCTGGGGATTGGAAACGGCGGATGAGGGAATCGAGGGTTTCGCGGGAACGGAGGAGCCAGTCGAGGAAACTGAGCGTGCTGTCGGGAAGGGGAAGTGCGCCGGGAATGTAGATTGTGGGATTGAGGGGGAATTGGACTCGTTCGATTAGATGGAAGGTTATGGTGTCTTCGAGGCGGCTGGAGGGTTGTTAGCTGGCGATTTGGAGAGATGGATGGGGAGGTTGAAAGGGGGGCAGGGTGGTAAATACATGAGTTGGAAACGGATATTGGCTAGATCAAGAGCTTTAGAAGCATCTGAAAGATCAATCGCAGCGTCCATTATAGAGCTTTTGTAAATGTTATGTATAAATGGAACTATTCAATTGCTCAAAAAGTAAATATGGGATTTCCAAGTTCAACTGTGAGTACAATTCAAGAATATAAGGAACTCCACGATGAAGAATAATTTGAGGAAACTAAACTCAATTTATATTTGAAGATGAAAAGGAAGGTAAGGAGGTAGGAAGCTATTCATATGTCCTCGGATCCGGAGAAATTGACTATGTCAAGGTTAACAGGTCACCTCGTATATTCTTTTGAAAGCCATGAAAGTTTAATTTTTGTTGGATACGCGTACAAGCACAGTCATAGTTAGAGGATAAGTATGGGTGAGGATGGTGGGGTAGACCAACAACTCTATGGGAGCTCCAGAGTTTAGCCTTGTATGCAGAGCAGAGAACCTTGTGCGGCTTGTGCTGCCCTTTTGTGCCAGATTTTGTGCAAGGACCAGATCTTGTATAAGGGTTGTGCAGAGATAGACAAGTGCATCGTACCTTTATCCGATTTTATGATATCCATCACAATTTTTATGCACATCTTCCACCTATCAATCAAAACATCAATTACGGAACCACCAAATCCATCATATCTTCAAGATCTTAACCTTAACAGAATATGAACAAATTAAAAATCTTCTAAGTTCCAAAATCCTCTACCCAAAACCACACTATTTGTGCCAACACACACATTCAAGGGGAACCAACCAGACACTCGTTTTTCTTTTTGTGCTGCATTGAATTATCAATCACAAGAGAAAAGTTCTCTTATCATTGAATTGAATCGGATTGACATTTGTATGGCTGGCTCCAGTAGCCGCAATGCCTCTTCATTCGGGGCAGAAGAGGATGAAGATGGGGCTCTGATATCTGTATGTTTATGCCGTGTTCTTCTTAGTTCTACTGCATTTTTCCCACCTTGCATATTCTTTTAATTTTTATCCAGTTTACCATAATTGCGCTAATGGGTATCTATCTCAATCAGACCCGAGGGCTAGAAGCTTTTGGTAGGAAAGTTACAACTACAGCTGGTCATTTAATAGGGCCCATCGATCCCACCTCTAGCACCCACTATCAGAATGCCATGAGCGATCTACATAAACAACTTCGCAGACCCAATCTTCAGCGAAGCGTCTTCTCGTTTGCGAAAACTACACCTACCGATTTGGTGCGCTCAAAGTTGTCGACGTCGGAGATTCAGTATAGGGCCCTGACGTTCTTGCCGGATGAGTTGTTGAGGAATATACCCGAGAATGAAAATAGTTATTCCTTGTTTCAAGGATTTCAAGCAACGTTACCCGAGGCAGGGGAGGGGAAGGGGAAAAAACATAGAAGGAGGATCTCGAGGGGAAGAAAACTCATCGACAATGCTAGTGAGGGGGGTTCGGAGGGGGATGGACCACCTAGTGTGGCGAAGTTGAAAAAAGAAAAGGAGGCTCTCAATCATCGATTGGAGATGATGGGTATTAGGAAGAACATGGCAAGTAGTGAGATTCATGGAATTGATAATAAAATCGCAAATCTAAATTCTATGAGGAGAATAGTCTTGGATAGGTTGGCGGGGTTGGAACAGGAAGAGTCAATGTTGGAACATGAGAGTGAGTATAATTTTGAGTGTTGAACTGCGGGGTAACTAACTTCGGAATAGTTCTAGATGTGGAGAATCGATTAGAGGAGGCTCAAGAACAAATCGAAGATGCGGAAGCATTGGGGAAATCTATTGTTGCGGCTGAGGAAGGAGATGATGTCGAGAATTCAGGAATGGAATCTTCATTCATGTCGGAATCGATTTACGAGAAACTTCCCTCGAGCGCAAGTACATCTTCCTCGAAAGGATCAAGAAGACACAAAACAATTCGAAGGAAATCTATGCCAATTTTACATGAACATTTCGAACCTGGGTCTTCAATTCGAGAAATTCAAGCACATGATGATATGGTTACAGCTCTCGATTTCGATGTCCCATTCGGTACAATGGTCTCCTCGGCTTTAGATGATACTGTTCGAGTATGGGATATGAATGCGGGTAGATGTATGGGACTTCTCGAGGGACATACTGCATCTGTACGAACTCTTCAAGTTGAAGATAATATCGTCGCCACTGGATCTATGGATGCTACAATTCGATTATGGGATTTAAGCAAAGCTCGTTATGATCCTCAAGATAAAATTAAGGAAGAACAAGAAGAGGGGGAAGAAGAAGATCAACTTGCTTTCGGTGAAGCTTTGGAACGTGAACAACCAATACAGATTCCACAAGGAACAATGCAGGATTGTCCACTATTCACATTAGAAGCTCATGTTGATGAAGTAACAGCTCTTCATTTCCGTGGCGATACCCTTATATCTGGTTCGGCTGATAAAACATTAAGGCAATGGGATTTAGAAAAAGGAAGATGTGTACAAACATTGGATGTTATGTGGGCAGCAGCACAAGCTTCAGCAACAATGGGTTCTAATGAGGGTACATGGCGACAAACTGGACGTTTACCAGATGCAACAGCTGATTTTGTAGGCGCCGTACAAGTTTTTGATGCGGCTCTTGCTTGTGGTACTGCTGATGGAATGGTTCGCTTATGGGATTTGAGAAGTGGTCAGGTGCATAGGAGTTTAGTAGGACATACAGGTCCAGTTACTTGCTTGCAATTTGATGATGTGCATTTGGTTACTGGAAGTTTGGATAGGAGTATTAGAGTATGTTTCTGCACTTTCATTTTTCATTTTTCTATTTCACGATACATGTCTAGTGGATGTGTCGAAAGGATTTAGTGGAATCAATAACTAACAACAAAACAGATCTGGGATCTCCGGACAGGAGCAATCTATGATGCATATGCATATGATGCACCTATCACAAGTATGATGTTTGATACTAGACGTATTGTAGCAGCTGCTGGTGAGGATGTGGTTAAGGTGTATGATAAAACGGATGGAAGACATTGGGATTGTGGTGTTGGAGCTCAAAGGGAGGCAAGTGAAGAGATGGTTGAGAGGGATATTATAGAGAAATGTAGGGTTAAAGATGGGTATATGGTGGAGGGAAGAAGAAGTGGTATGGTAGGGATTTGGAGTTGTTAGATCTTTGGGATGTGTGGTGTAAAAGGAAGGACAGATCAGATAAGACGATATGGAAGCGCTTGATACGAGAGATGAAATGGGAAGTGTTATTCACTTCTTCAAAGTTGGACTAACTTGGATTTCGGTTGAGGTTGAGGTGATCAAAGAATAAAATCGGGAGGGATACGGATAAATGTGTATGTTGTGGATGAATCCATAAGCTATGCATATAATATCATATACATACGAAATCAATGAATGAATGATTGAACGAATAAAGAAAAGAGGAGTTTACTGTATTTCTCGGCTGTGAAACTAATTAAAATGATCAATGATGATAAATGGTATTTGGGTATGGTGTATAGTGTATAGTGTACAACTATTGTCTGTAGATGTAGTTATATAATAAAATGAAGCTTGGCTAGACTACCTCTCCTCATCTTATCTCAGAAATAGAATATAAATCTCCATTGGTAGTTCTTTGCTGATACACTTACTAGCTAGCTTTTTGTATCCCCATCCTAAAGCAATAATAAGAGAGAAATGTATATGGATATGGGTATGGGGGTTTTCATTTTAAAGTTGGAGTTGGAGTTGGAGTTGGGTGGGGTGGGATGGGGGTGATTGGAGTGTGATGATGGGAATGAGGTGGGTTGGGATGAGATGGGTTGAAATGGGGTTGAGATGGGCGAGTGAGTGTGATGGATATGATATGGAGTTTGAATTGGGATTGGGATTGGGATTGGGATTGGAGGGGGGTTGATTGGAAGTTGATGGGAGGGTGATGAAGTTGTGGGCGGTGGGGAGATTAGTGAGAGGTTTATGCTATGGAGATGAGTGATTGGGTGATGTTACTTTAGGGAGAGTTTGAGGTTGCGGTTTGTGATTTGATGATTTGATGTAATAAGATAGGGGTGAAGTCCTCGAGAAAAAGGAGTAAGCAAGTAACAAATTCACAAATCCTTTGCTTCAAGTAAATTTTAAACCACAAATAGAACTAAAAGCAAGAGCAGCGGGTAATATCCCCAGGACCATCTCCCTGAATATTGAAGACTAAATCATTACTTTAATTTTCACTATAGCTACTAGCTAGGAGCTCTAGATCTACTAAGAATGTAAGATTTTGACGTGGGATGTCCTAGGATAGGATAGGATAGGATCGTAATCGTGTATATAGCTATTAGCTAGTGGATTGCTTTGCAGATTTGGAGGATGTGGAGGATGTGAAGTAGGCTTTTGAGTAGATTTGAAATTGGAATTGGAATTAATATGAGGCTGCTGGATTGATGTGTTGGTTTCTTCTTCTTTCCTTCTGATATTCTCTTCTTCGAGGTCTTTCGTCTTTGTTCTTTTGAAGGGGGCAAGCACTCTGAGATTTTGTGACTCAAGACTTAAGGCTTAAGACTTGAAGATTGTGATTGTGACTGCGATTGGAGATTGGAGATTGCTGGTTTAGAAGGGATTGTTGATGAGATGATGTGCTTTGCTAGTATGATAGACATGATTTATTAATTATTCTGGTTTTATAAGATTAGGTCTTTATTTTAGTATTAGTATTAGGATTAGAGGCTTGGGATGTTGATATCGATATTGATATTCATATTGCGTAATTGATTATAATAGTACGCTGAAGTTTGTATTCTTTTGCTAATTAATAATATAATATATATGGATCGATTTCATATATTCACAGCTTATAACTACAAGGTCCCAGACTAGATGGACAACTTCCAATTTACAGAATTCTTAGTCCACCTAGGGGCAATTGATATATTTATCAATATTTACAATACAATGCTAGGGTTATATATATATCCTCGAAAAATGAAAATAATAAAGAGTGTTCGAATTCGGAACGTCGTCTGGGATTTTTCGATCCATATGTACGGCCGAGTCTTCGGGATTTTTTTGAAGATTTTCGAAGGAATTCCATTGGAGTAAATTTAAGTAGTTCATCGAGTTCCTTCAGAAATCTGGATTTCTTTGGTTTACCCAGGGAAGTGTGTGGTGTTCCGTTAGTAGGACTTGTGGTTTGGTTATAGGAAGGAGGTTTTTGGATGTTGAAGCGTTTTGGATATTGAGGTCAGGGGATCCGATGATCTGGATTAGTAGAATGGGCTCGAATGTTTATTTTTTGGTTAGTTTCAGTTTTTGGGAACGAATGGCTTTCTTAGGGTGATGGGATTATTCAAAATGGATTTTTGGTTTCAATGAAAACTAAGATTAAAGAATATACTCATGGCTCATTATTATAGATAAAAGTATCACTATATTCATTTTCAGGAATCAACCTGTAAATCTTAATTACAGGATAATGTTTGGAATATCTAAGCATCTCTTCTAAAGTGTTTACTTTTCTCGCAGAATATGGTAGAGAAGGATCTCATTATTTGTAGAATATGATGATTATGGTTGTCTTGATCCATGGACTGATTCAAAGTATTTGAAATCCTAGAATTAGATTGAAGTGGCCATGGAGCATTTGCTTGTTTTGATGCAGGAGCACCAGCACCATTTGGAAGATATGTCCGATCCCTCTCCTTTGATGTTTCTGATTTAGGCTTGGACTTGGAGGCATCAATTACCACGGACTCGTTTATTTATGAATGTTTAAATGATTTATGGGACAAATATTCTTAAAATTTCCGCTGGAGGTTTTGGAAGTGTGGACATCGTGGTTGTGCTGTGCGAAAGAATAAAAAAATCTGCAATGACATACGATTTTAGGAATGACATTATTTCTAATTCCTTCAAGCTCATTAAATAATGAGACGAGAATTTATTTCATTCATCATAACATTACACAAAGCCTACTGTACACGATAGGGAGGTTTTCAAAAAGCGATCACGGTATATATTGTCCCTACCCGCTGTGACCTTCACGGATGGCTTATATGAGATCTCAAGTTTGACTTTCCTTGTTATTTAAGGAAGAAACCGTACTTTTGAATAATCTCACTACTAATTTTTAAGTATTTAAAGCTAAGATAACTATTTGCTTAGCGAAAAGAGAAAGGGAGAACAAATTAGCGAAAGAGAATGCAGAATCAGAAATCCTAATTTCATCTATCCATCGTATATAATACATCAATATCGAGATCTGGAGTATAAATTGAGAATTATCAAATGCCAATTCCGGTGGAATTTTGATCGTTTATTTCGATACTTAACCAAATAATGAAGAATGCCATGAGATCATGAAGCCAGACAAGTTGAAGACATTTGATTGTCAGAATTCAGATTCATATCTTGTAGAGTGATACGAGCTATTCAAGCCTGACGACTATCTATCTGATTCTGTTGAATTCAGACATGAAAAACAAAGAATTATGAGATTTTTGATCCCGAATACTTGATCCGACCGTTTGCACTCTACCCAAAACTAACTAATGATGTGTTTATCATCATAGCACTAATCGATAATCATTGATTCAGGATATGTCTTCTCTATCAATTGATATAAAAAGATATAACTTTTCACCATCATTCAGTTTCTCAAAAGACGATACATATCCGGATCCATGGATGCTATAGCTAACCGACATCACGGAAGTTAAACGCTACTGAGTTATACTCCGTCATCATATCATAACCGAAAACACCTAATTTAGCCGAACGGATAAGGTTACATCTTCGATATCCGACATAATATAAAAGCCAGCTCACAGCATAAATTGCACAACCACGCATTAGTTCCACCGCATCCCAACATCTCAGTTTCCAAATTAGATATACGCAGGCAAGCCACATTAATAGAGCAGGTCGCCACAGAAAAATCCAGAATATCAGCAAGATGAGGTGATGTGATGTTGGTATGATTCAATCGGTGCCGCCCGTCGTGCGATCTGGAAAATATCCAGAAGGATGCTTTCGCATGCCCGGCCCTTGTAAATGTGTATGGGAATTTCCCGAATATATATATAGGAGTATTACCATGCATCACTAATAGATAGAACAGGGATAATAGCCACAACAGCGTTTCAGTGGTGAAGAAAAAAGGTGATTCACCTATATCTTGGCATCTCTGCCTATAATATCATACAAAAATGGCGCAAAGTATTCCGTAACAATGCATAAATTAGTCAGAAAACCTATTCTGCCGTATTACCAACGATACGCTATGCATACTCATATATTTTTCATCTAATTGTCAGCCATGCCTGAAATCAGCTTACTCATATTTCAAAAGATTTTCGGGAATCAGATTGATTGCGTCAGAAAAAATTTGTGATAATGGGCTGAATAATAGATGAATGTCTTGGTATTTTAAGCCATGGCATTGTTGATATTAAGATCGTCTCATCTTATTTTTTCTGTAAGGTTACTTTTCGGATGAATTGTGAATCCTGTCTGGAGGTTTGTATAGATTATTTATTTTTTAATCTTGTAAGCGATTGATTAAATAAGCTTGAGAACTAATCTAGAGTTTAGTTTAGGAACGAGACCATCTATTTCATGATTACTCACGAATATTATATAATATATATTACCCCTTTACCTCGGCGAAAATTTCATCGGGACGGGATAATTAGCTCATCAGCTACAAGTCTCGAGATCTGTATGCGTGCATAGGATATCGACCTAGAATCGAAGACGATGTCACCTAATATATTACAATTATTACAACGTTAACATTACTCACTCACTATCCCAGAACCACCGCGGAAAAAATAAATGCAAGACAGTTTTGTGACATTTCATCAGCTTTAAGCCAAGTTTGAAAATTAGAAAGGGCGGTGCACCAGTGAACCAGTGAGACACATTGATGTTTAGCATTCAAGGCAGAAAGAATATCATGGAATCCTAAGGATCAGACAACTTCCTCGGCGGATTTAGCCACTGTTATTCTTGTGTGTGTGTGTGTGTATGTGTGTTGTTTTAGATATACAGGGGAATAATGCATATGTGTTGTACGGAAGATCTCAGGAATTCTCACCTTAAACTACAGCCTGTTTTGGTGGTCAGCGATGTGGCTAATTGAGGACGAGAGGGGAGTGTCTATATAATTTATATATACTTAGGTATTTAGGTATCTTAGTTTCAGACGGTAATATGGTTGGTTACCTACCTATATACCCTTGATTAACACAGGGGGTTCCTTCCTGGTACTTCTCGAACATTATCTTACCAGGTAACCCGTAGACAATGCGACTATAGTCAATAGATATTGAAATCTATGTATTGAAAGATAGTGAGAAGTATCTATACATCCATGTATCTTTATACAAAAAAACGAGAGTAGGGCTTTTATTTGCCTATCAGACTGCTCCATTGCCTTACACTACAGTACATTAAATTGCATCACATTGCATCACATTGCATCACATTACATTGAATTACCGCACCGTATCCCTCATTCTCCAATCTCCAAGCTCAAAATCTAAACAAACGCAGAAATCACAATTATATCCTCAAGTAAAATTTCTGCGTCTCCCCCTAAAAACCACATCAAAAGCAAGCAAACTAATGAACAAACAAACAAGAATAATTTAAAAATCCGCAAAAATCAAAATTACAAACTCTAAAAGCCATTCATCTATTACATTCTCTTCAAAACACATGATTAAAGTAGAAACACTAATCAAGATATCAACACATCACCACATCAGTAGAAACCAATGCAAAAAAAAGATGTATATATATTCCCCAAAAACTAAACTAATAATACAACCAACCGATCAACCAAGCAAAATCCCTATTCCAAAACCTCATATCTAAAGCTCCTGCCCCTTCTTTAATGAAATAAAAACTCCAAACAAACTGACAGTTTCTGCGCGAGCAGTGATATCTAAGCTATCTGTACAGAAAGCAAAGGAGGAGAAGATATATATATATATATAAGCCTTATAAAAAAGAAAAAAGGGAAAAAAAAGACAAGAAAAAGGAAAAGAAAAAGAAAACAAGCGCATCCTCCCCCAAACCACTTCTTCCAATAAGCGAAAAAATGAAAACAATGTACCCAGCTAGGGCGAAAACAAAAAGAAAAATGTTATGAAGGAAAAAACCACTTCTGAAATATCATACTCCCACCTCGACTCCGCAATTAAACCCCCCGCCTCACATATAATATCCCAAGAAACCAATCTAATAAGAAAACGGCCCAATAAGACTTCCACTAGTCTTCCCCTGACCCTTCAAAATCTCCGTAACATTCTTCATCGCACTCTCATGAAAACCTTGAAAATCGAAATCCAAACTAAAACAAGCATAAATATTCCACAACCAACTCGAACTCCTCGACCCAATCGCATGCACATCAACAATATCCCAAGTTCCGCCCAAGATCCCCGGCGCTCCACTCGTCAAATTAAAATAAAATGGAGCGTCGCCCATTTGGAATTTTTGGAAGAACCCCGCGTTATTCGGGTATGGTTTGTAGAGGGTGAGTTCTTCGGTTATAGGGTAGATACCTGCGCCGGGGATTTCGCCGAGGAGATGGCGTTTTGCGCCGGGGATGTAGCCAGTTCCGGTGACGGATTCGGGACTCGTGCCGAACCAGGAGGTTTGGAGGAAGTCGCCTATGATGGATTGGAGGTCTGAGGCTGAGGCGGGGATGATGGCTACGGAGGTGGAGACTTGGTAGTAGGTTCCTGCGGGGCAGGAACATGGTTGTGGGGTTGGACCGCAGGCGGGAAGCTTGGGTGGTGAGGGTGTTGGATGAGGTTTGTAGTTCGTGTTTGCGACTGTTGCTGCTGGTAATGCGAGAGCAGAGGCAATGAGGGGAGTGATGGCGAAGATTGAGAAACGCATTTTGATTGTGGTGGCTGTTAATAGACTGAAAATTGGATAGGTTGAAGGTAGATAGAATGTTTTATGTGAAAGATTGTATAAGACTTTTGATAGAGATAGTTGGTTTTACTGAGATTTGATTGTAGTGCGAAGACTGTTGTTGATGTTAATGTTAACGATAGTTAAGATGATTTTGATGTTAATGACCGTTAAGATGATGATGTTGATGATGATGATGATGAAAAAGAAGTTAATCTCAGGAAACCAACAACCTCTTATACATTTCAACCTCCTACAATCTCCTCGCCACAAAATCCACCACAGCCCCCTCAAACTCGAAACTTCACAAGAATTACTTGCGGCTCCGAGAACATACTCCAAAGCTCAAAGCTCAAACGACCCAGAATCCTTCAACAAGCTACCCATAATTACGACCCCACGTGGATGACTGCAATATGAGTATGTGGAGTCGATGGAAATAGCAACAAAGATTCCAAATCCTTGGTTCGATATCCCACTTTAGCACCTTAGTGGAAGCAAAGCCCCCTGATTACAGGTAGACAGGCATTGAGATCTCGGTTCCCACGTGGATGACTGTAGTGACACTCTGTGGAGTCTATGGAAATAGAAACGAGAATTCCAAATCCTTGGGTCAAACACCTCATTTAGGTCCTGAGTGATAGCAAAGCCACACTTATCGCAGACAAACATGGGTTGAGATCTCGATTTCCACGTGGATGACTGCATTTCTGATCGTACCTTACAGATGTCAAACACTTCATTGGATATCTGAACTGAAACCTGAACACCAAGAATAGAGCCACCCTGAAAGCCATGTGCTGTGTAAGGTTGTGCGTCGTATAGTTCCTATAGTAGGTATGGTGGTAAGGCTGAAAAACGTGGTTGAGATGCATGGTGATGATGATCTCCGGTGCATTGCAGCATTGCCTCGGAAATCTAGCCGCCATGCAGGTCCTTGGTATTGAAATGGTCGAGCCTCATATCTTACTAACTGATCAATATCACGGGTTAGTCCGTCTGATTGTGAATCTGACAGAGTAAGCGAGGGCGTGATGAGATTTTGGTCGGATCCGGTGATCGGATATCAAGTGACGGACCGGAAACTTATCCTCGTATCTTATTCTGCAGCTTATTGTAATCGTTTGGATTCTTTTTTAATATCATAATCAATGGAATTCGGTCTTCCTGCTCCGGTGTCGTCGGATTAGATATATTCATAGAGCTTAGTAGTGACAATTACTGATAGATGGCATATAAATCTGGTCTTTCTCACCATTCCTACTGATCATTCAGCAGTCAAAATGTTTCCAAATACTTTTATTGCAGGGCAATTTGTCATAGCCGTAGTAATATGCGGCTGTTTTATTTTCAGAAAGCCTTTGACGGCTACATGTAATAGTATTCTGTCCAAAACCCTCAATGTGAGTGGCTGCACCGCCATACAGCCAAGTGCTATACAGCAGTCATGCTAAACGAGACTGACTTTCTAAATAGGCATATTTGTCATACCGATACCCAGTCAAGCACGTCGAGTTTGGACATAGACTCCCAGGTTGTGATTATGAGTTCCCGAATGGCCAGGGTGATGGTGCAAAATTCCTTCATGGAAAAGAGAACAGTGAACTATGGGAATCAAAATATGGTTCTATTTACCAGATTTGGTCAGGCCATAAACCAGAGATGTGAGTGAACTTTCCAATATACATTCGTACCAAGAAATAAAAAGCCAGGTTCTGATATGGATGATAGTGTTCTCACTCAAGCCGCCGATATTCAAGCTGTTTTCAGTGATTCGGATAAACACTTCAAAGCCGTGAACAACAACTCCGGATATTTGCTGGGCCAAATACTTGGCCAATGTGTTGGGCTGATCAGTGGCCAGCAATGGAAGCGTGTCCGATCCATTGTAGAAAAGCCATTTCACCGCAATGTCACTCCAAGATATGTTCCAATGATAGAACAACGAACGGCTTCATTCTTTCAAGAACTCTGGGACTCTAGAGACTTGTCACGTGGTCTTATCGACCCTGCAGACGATTTGAAACTTCTTCCATTCTTGATCGTGGCCGAAGTCGTTTACGGGAAGCTAGCTCCCGATGTTGAATCTGAGCTCCGTGCACTTGCTCCAATCCGCGAATCCTTCTTCAAGCACGTCATCTCAGGCGGGCTTACTCGTTTCGACTGGTCAGCTTATCTACCTACACAAGCCAATAAAGACCTTGCAGCATTTCGAGAGCGATGGATTGCATTCAATGAATTTGCTTGTCGAAGAGCAAAAGAACAAGGTCTCAACGCCCCCATCTTGGACTTATTCGCCGCGAAAGAAATGGGAGAATTAACCGAGAATGAAATGCTGCACACCCTTGATGAAATGTTATACGCCAATCTTGATGTCACAATTGGCGGTGTGAGCTGGAATCTTGTGTTTCTTGCATCGGACATATCCGTGCAGAATGAGTTGCGAGCAGAATACCAAGCCGCCCAGAAAGAAGCCGACGAAAATGGTTTGACGCTAGAGAAATATTTGTCGAGTAACACGACACTTCTCGCCGCTTGTGTGTCGGAAGCTTCTCGTCTACGGCCCCTTGCTGCATTCTCGGTACCACAAAGTATTCCCACACCAAGAGTTGTCGGAGGCTATGAATTTCCCGCCGGAACAAATTTCGTAATTGACTCATATGCTTTGAATATTCGTAACTCATACTGGGGCGAAGATAAAGCCATATATCGTCCAAGTCGTTTCATGGAGAGAACCGCAACACAGTCACGATACAACTTTTGGAGATTTGGATTCGGTCCAAGGCAATGTATGGGAAAATTTGTGGCGGATATTTTGATAAGGAATATTTTGGTACATTTGGTGAGAGAGTATGATCTGTCATTATTAAAAACCGAAGAGTGGCAGAGAAACCCTGAGATTTGGATTAATCATCCAGATATGAAGTTAAGGTGTGTAAAGAGAGAAGGATAAATGTGTGATGTGGGCGGTTCGGTGATTGGGCAGCTGAGTCGGAGCGATGGCGTATTTTCATCTTACAAAGCCATTTGAATGTATCTCTTCAAATCAAAATGTCTGTTGAATGTCTCTTGAAAGTACCTTGAATATCTGATTTTGAGATGGTGGCGATCAGAAGCCTTGGATGAACATAACTCGTCGTGACATAAAAAAAACCATCCTAAACGTAACAGACAATAGTTGAAAGTGTACTTGTCGCCCCTGGGTTTGGATGGTTTTAATCCTTGTTGTATGATCTATACTGAGGTGTTCCGTCGTGAAAAATAAAGAAATAGAACGGACCGAAATGAATACTGAGGAAATTTGCATGAGCCAAATGTCAAATCGGTAACAACTGGGTGTATTTTTTGTTCCTATTCTAATCATTTTGAATAACTTTTATTGCCAAGATTCACTATAACTCCAATCATTATCAACATTGAATATACCGGCATCTGAAAAATCGAAGATGTCACCTTGGAACTATAATGGAGACAAATCAGATTAGTATGATGTTATAGGGGTTGCACGCAAATTTCAACGAGAAATATAACAGAAAGAGGGATTTACCTGACTGATTTCAGGTGTCAAAGTGGTTAATTGATCTAAATATCCCGGCTGATTGGTATACATGGCCTGGTCTACGATAGGCATTGAAACGTCTGCTGTTGGTGCTGTCCTTATGGTGTTTTTATTGTCCTGCAAGAAAATTAATCCATTTGTGTCGCTTCACAATTCATAGCAACTCCTTACCTTGTTCAGTTCGGGACTTTGAGACGGAAGCTTGACTTCTTCATTGGGGAAAGATTGTAGCAAGGTTTGCCTGCAAGTTGACAACGCCTTCTTAGCACCTTCGTACATCAAGTTCTCTTTTAGATCAGATGTACCATTCGCTCGTACTGATTGCATCACTACGGAAAGAATGAGAACATCTTTGAGGTCACTACCGAATTCTCCAACTCTTTTGGTGAAGCCTTCTAGTGTGCTTTCCACTATCCGAGTGAGTCTCGCTTTTGAAAATTGTGTATTTGTTGCTGGAGGACTTGGTAGGCTCGTTGGAAATTGATTCGGTGTAAATCCCGGACTTGGCATATTGCTTTGATATCCAGATGTTGACGTTTTGATATATTGGCAGACACTCAAGACAGCGGCTAAAACATCATTTTTGCAACAGATTTGGAACATGATCCAATACAAGTTTGTACTTAGTAGATCCAAGTCGGCGACTGAGGGATCAAAATAATCCTGGTAAGAAAGAATGGCGACTGACGATTCCAAACAAATCTGTTGCATCTCCCGGAAAGAAGGGTCATCTTGCCGCTCTTCCCATAGAAGTAATCGATAAAGATTGAGAAAAGGTCTCCTGAGATATATATCCAGCAAAACGCAATCCAATAGATGGGAAGGGGAACGTTGAAGTGTTCCATCTAGTTTGAGTGGTGCTGGTACACGTCGCAAAAGCTCCTCCAGTTTTCTCCCTTCTCTGACCACTTCCGTAAGATCCATGACAGGGCTAATATCTTTGATAAGCGACACAACCTTCAGCTGCTGGGCTAGAGACATAGCTAATGTAACTTGGGCAAGGGAGTCGGTCCATTCATATAAAGGTTTTGAAGGGGGGAGCTCGGTTGTACATTCGTCAAAGTCCGTATCGTTTAGATTTGCTGGAGCCAGTTGATTGAAATCTATGTCAGGAACAATACTTGGCATGCTTGCAGCCATGGATGCTTGTAGGTCCATTTGAACAATTGTTACCCAGATTCTTCGTCTTAGTTCAGCATGAAACGGTGAGATTTTCTTATATTCCGCTGGTCTTAAGTGAAGTCCCATAACCATGGCGGAACGGACCAAAGCACCCGTGGCACACCATAACTTATCTGGAGAAAGAAGTTGTAACTGTCGGGCAAGGAGGAGAAGTGTTTCTGTTTGCAGACTTGATATATCGATTGCCTGCTTCCTACTGATTGTATCAATCCAAGCCGTTACAAGCTCAAGTGATGCCATTTCGAGATATGTTTTCTGATCGTCATCAAATCCTGAATTGCTATCGAGGAATTTGTAACATATCGCCAGTATGGTTGTCAACTGAGGTAAAAACGACGAGGTTTGGAATATCTTGTCGTCGGGGGATGTCCAAAATTGCGAGTACAGACGAAGGAAGGAAGGCACATGAAGAATCCTTGAACTCTTTTCAAAATTATCAGTGTAGATTTTTAACAGCCTGTCACAAACAGGTTTTCCGGGAAGAAATTCTCGAAGCTTTGAAAGAATCGCTGCACTTTCTTGACTTGATGTCTCCTTTCTCATGGTAAGATGACCCCGGGACTTTTGCTGTAGATATTGAACATCTTTGGCAAGGTTAATGATGGAAGTATTACTGTTTGCACTCTTATTTATGAAATCTTTTGCCTCGGGAAACTTCAAATAATGTTAGTATCGTATCGTGTGGTATCGTATCAAATCAGATCAATATAATAGGTAGGACGGAAAATCAGCGGAGCGCATACCTGATTCAACAAGGTGATTCGATCATTTTGACCATGATATCTACTCCTCGATCCTTTCACAATCAGGTTACAAAGACCTGGTATCAATCTAGGCGGAACATTTGTACGCTTTGATACTCTGTGAGTTGGTGATGATTGTGATGTTGATCTTTGAATGTTTGATAACTTTCCGGAGACTTGCAGTAGCTCTTCAAGTCTTGCAACACGAGATTGAAGTTCTTCAACGACTCCAACCCCACCATTATTACTCTAGGGAAAGGAGAAGATGTATTAGCTAAGATGGAAGTGATTGCAGAAATCAGCTACATAGTATCTAATAAAAGACGTACCTGGATGATATTTACACTATTCCCTAATGTTGGTATGTTCCTAAGGTCAGGTGTGCGATCTCCCGGTGAATTTGTCGCAGGTCGTGATTTCGGGATTGATTTCGCAGGGTCGTGATTGTAAGTACATTCATTTGAGCCACCTGGGACCTTGGTACAGTTTTGACACGGTAAAAGTCGATCGCATTTCAATTTCTTTTCACGACATCTTAGACAAGACACAACTGGTCGTGGTCGTTTGCGAGATGAATCAAATCGAGTATCCTCCATATTTTCCAGGTTCTGTGATTGTTCTGTGATTCTCGTGAATCTCGTGATAATAGACGCCGGCAGAATGTGAAAGAGGCTATGGAGGTACGGAGTGGAGTGTGCTGCTAGGTGGTAGGTACTGGCAGCTCGTGGGAAGTTGTGATACCTAAATGCCCAGGTGTGGAAAGGGTCTGACCGGGAAGGGGGACAGCGGAGGATTAAATTGTTTGTTTGGATTTGGATTCACTGCAGATGGGGGGCAGGACAGAACAAGGTACACAATAGTAATAATACGAATGTCAGATTCCCGTGATGAAACCACCGAGGGCGTGTGGTCGATAGCTAGACCGGTAGCTAATAATCACCGATGTTGTATGTATAAAATATATAAGATGTGTATAGTACAGTCAGCCGCCGGTGAGAAGTGGCATGGTAGCCTGTCTTTTCATCAGCCGGTAAAAGATGGTGCTTACTCTGTTTTGAAAAGTACGTACAGGAAAGGGACTCGAGTAATCAGACTTTCCCCGATTTTGACTTGTTAATACTCCATAATTATAAATTTGTTGTAATTAGGGGATTAGTGAGTTTAGCGTTTAGTGAGATAAAGAGAGGTATAAGACATATAAGACAAATAAGACAAATAAGACATATGACATATAAGATATACAAGTCATATAAGACATAACGGCACGTTACTTACCCGGTAGGTACTGAGGTACTTCAAGAGCTACAGGCGATGGGTGCTTGGTTCCAATATTCCAATGGCTGAGTTGCCGAATTCGAACCTTCTGCAGCCTGAAATGGAAAGTTGCGACTTCTAATCGGGATTACGATCTTACGCAGCAATATGTACTAGGTACTAGGAATGTAGGTAGTCTTACTACATGGTAGAATGAATGCATCTCCTTCTCTCGCTGCTTGAAGAAAGTTGAAGAAAACGCCTTTTCTTCTCTTTCCCACCTGTAGAATTATCAGCTATACTATACGTAGCTAATTAGCTGACTCGGAACCGCGATGATTTTGATATTAAACTTACTGATGAGTATAGCTCGACTTACCTACGGTACAGAGGCAATTGCAAGCTGAACGAACGACGAGAGTATAAGGGCACACATACGCGTAGATACTGTAGACACCAATTGCCGACCTAGTTAGTGTATCCCCGTACCTATAAGGAGGCTAGCTGGCTGGCTCACTTAGTACAGTACAGTTGATTATCCGTCGATCAGAAAACATGCGAACGAATGGCTTTCCATGATATTGAACCTTTCTTTGCTTTGCTCTAACTTGGTTTGCGGGTGAATGTTGGTGATAAATATTGATGTTCTATCGATGGGTCCACTGTTTGCCGATAAGGTAAAGGTTAATAGGTGGGGTGGGCTTTTGGATGGCTTGAACGGAGAGCCGAGATGTCGCATTGTGCAATCAATCAGTCAACGGGAAGACCATCCAACATCAAGATCAACATCAACATCAACATCCACATCCACATCCACATCCACATCCTACATCCTACATCCTGCATCCTACCACAAAATCATGACGCACATGAGACCTAAATGAGATATACTACCTTCGTATTCGGCTACCTGGACCAGGACTGCTATTCTTAATCCAATCTATGCAATCGTCAGCATACTGGAACCGCCACTTTCGATTTGAATTCCCAGACAACTGGAAAAATGGTCCCTGCATTTGATAATGAGATAATTATTACACCATTCCATCCTCAACAAACAACTCCATTCACCATTCTCCATTCTCCATTTCCCTCTCAATAGAGTCTAATTCGTTAATACCGGAGTTTGTGAATCCCATGTTTTTTGCTCTGCTGCATCGACAAGCCAGTTGGCTACACTTTCTCGAGTGATACTGGCCATCATGGCCATGCCTTGTCCCTTGTTCCCATATACTTTGACCGGCTTTACTTCACCTTCCTCAAGTCTTGCAGGTCGAGCGAGAACATAGTCAATCCCACTTGCCTTCACCTCTTTATCCACCAAGTTGTGGTCATCGTATTGGAGGTACATGTTTGACTTCTTCATCAACATTCGCAGCAAGAAGTGCATGTGCGGCCAGCTATCCCCAACACCAAAAGCCTGCATTATCACAATCTTACGCACACCAAACTCCTTCATAGCGGCAATTACATTGGCGTTTGAGTCAGCCATCAGCCTTGGAGGAGATATCGAGGCAGAGAAAGGGCTATCGGATGCTCGAGGAGCGTTCAATGTAACAAGAACAACGGACGGAATTTCGGGACTTGCTTCGAATGCGACTTTGATATCGGCTTTATTGAGTGGGGTGCCTGTTGTGGCTAGAATTAGTCGAGGGCCTTCTTGCAGATATCTAGCTTGGATGCAATACCCAATTGTGGCATTTGAGATATGTTCCTTACCTTTTACAAGCTTTAAACCATCCCTGAGTTCTATCGAGGAGGGATCTCGAACCAGTGCTGTCACATCATGACCTAAACCTGCACATCAGCATTCGGATTTCGGCAGTGTAGGAATGGCAACATCGCTGATTTCTCGGATTACTGATGCATTCTTACGCTATGTACGTACCTCGGAGTAGGGCCTCTTCAATAACCATCTTACCCGTCCTTCCACTACCGCCAATTACAAAAAGCTGCATAGTTTTTGAAACGCTAAGCTTCAGCTGACTGTCGTTTATCTGGCTTATGATGAATGTTCAATTGGGCTGCAAAGGTTGTGTGATGCATGTAAAGGTCATGCTACGGACGCTTGAGGCGAGTTGGCATATACAGATAGGCGATATTTCTGTTTCCTTATAAGCAATTATGGTTGTTCTTGAGCTCGTTCAAATTTGGTTTCGAAGCCAAAGGACTCCTGAGCTGTATATTTACTCTCTTCCTGCAGGCAATGATTTTGAAAATCGGAGCCGATCGGAGCCGGCTCCTTCACGAGTCATCCAATCATCACCGTTTCTTGCACCTCCTACAATAATTTAATTTCATTCTGAGATGTTCATTCTAAATCCTCAGACTGATTACAAACATTGAAATATTAGCCTGCTGATGTTGAAGAACAGTGAATGGTTGGCTATTGGATTACCAAGTGGTCACTTCACAAGTTCAATAGTCCACAATGCGTTCTGACAACAACAGAATGAATATTGCACCTTGAATATAAGTTTCATAACAATCTCATTGGGCGTTGTGAACTTATTCGAAAACGTATCCACCGAACCAACTCCACCATTCTTTAGTTCTCAAGTTTAGAATGCACATCATGTGCTCACTATGAAGTCTTCATGACCAGCAGCCCGTTCGTCAACTGCAGGACAGATGACTTTACCATATCATTCATTTATCCCAACAAGCAGTCTCACCATTCTCGCGACTGTAACATAGGATTTTGGAATCGACATTAATTTCAAGATAATTGAGGACGATTAACAGTTTTATCTACCTGTCCATAACAATAGGCTCCAACCATAACTCCGAAAATTGAATAAAGTCAAAGCTCTAGGCGCTTACAACTTCGGTATTGACCGTCTCTTTTTCCAAAATCTTCGACTCGGCTTCCTTTTGCTGCTGCTTTTTTTGTTCGGCAAAGCTTTCAACCATTGCATGTCCCCCTCTTTCGTTGAAGAAAAGGTTCAAGTACATCCAAGTTTCTTTCGCATAACCTTCTGCACGATCAAACATGGCCAGCTCATACTTTCTTACAGCTTCCGACAAACCCTCTGCATCATTAAATTTTTCTTTTCCTTCCCAGGTTGCTTTGCGAGCAATTATAGCCCTTGCAAGTTCCATTGCATCCTCCATCGCAACGTTTACTCCTACGCCAGCAAATGGAGTCATGAGATGAGCTGCATCACCTAACAGGGTTGCACTAAGAAATGGTCAGATGATGTTCTTAAACTGTGGAAGGGGGCAAAATTCGGCAATGACCCAATGAATGAAAAAGCGAATGGCATGAAAAGTATCTTACCCAGCTCTGTGAAGCCATCTATGCCCAATTGGAAGCATATACATTGGCCTTGGGATTGGTTCCTCATCACTCTTGGTTATCAGGTCCTTTGCATCTTGGTCCCAGTCTTCGTAGTATTTATCCACAAACTTCTGTCCAACACCAGGAGCGGACCAATTGATACCGCAGCTTTCTTGCCAATCTTCAGGTCTTCGGAAGAATCCATATGTTTGGACAGATCCATCTCCATTACGCTGTGACAATACGGTTTGGTGGTTACCAAGAGTGAGACACATACCCAAGCCTACCCTTTTTGCAAGAGCTGGGTCCTTCTGGTCGATGTTCAAAATTTTTGCTTCTACTCCAGTGATTCCAGAGAAGTTTGGCCTTGTGTTGGAGATTATGTGGCGCACTTTGCTCCAGGCTCCATCCGCTCCAACGACCAAGTCAAACCCTCTCTCAACAGAATCCTTAAAGTGTAAATCATATGTGAGGGAGGTTCCGTCAATGGATGTGTCCACACGTTGTAGTTTGTGTCCCCACTTGATGCTACCGGGCTCAAGAGAATCCAAAAGCATATTACGGAGCTGGACTCGATCGACTTCAGGTCGGCCTTTGAAAGAATCTGGTCTGCTTTCACCAATATCTTTGCTCTCATCCATAAGCAAATTTCCAGAAGGGTCGTAGATCTTGAGAACTTCGCCCTCAGGTCGTGCAACTGCCAAGAATTGTTCATACAATCCAGCTTCACGGAGTGCAACTTGAGCAGATCCTTCATGGATATCGAGTGTACCTCCTCGAGTACGTGCATTTCGATCTTCGTCTAACTCGAATATGGTACATGGAATGCCATTGTATTGAACGAGACGAGCAAAAGTTAACCCCGCTGGGCCAGCTGTAATTTATTAGAACCTGCATAATTTTATACTGGAATCCAGAAAACGACTTACCACCTATAACGGCAATCTTTGGAAGAGACATTTCGACCACAAAGTACCAGGCTTAGTCGTGAAAATTTTGATCTGGAGAGAGAAAAGTGGCAGAAGTTTAGAGCTCAAAGTTAATGATTTGAAATTCTAGAAATCAATGGTGAATGTTATTGATTAGTATTATATAATTCCAGCACGCAATGGAAAGCCCGTCCAATATCAAATCGTGCTAAGAACGTGCTGAGAAGGGATGATTTTCGGATCCGGTACTACGGTACTTTGTAAATTCGACAAATTTTTGCCAAACAACTACGTTTACTTTTTACCATATACGAGCGGATTGTCCCACAACCACATCCTACTTACCACTAGAATTTCACAAAAAGCTGAAGGATAGGTATGACTAAGTCTCAGAAAGAATTATTATATCAGCCTGCAAGTAAGAAATGTGGAATTATCGTTCCGACAGCAGTTTTTATCATTTCCGGATATGCTTCTCCGATCGGAGATGCTCGGGATCAAGCGATCCTCACAACAGCTCCCCTTTTTTTATTGTCCCTAGCGCTTGGCGTAGCTTTCTTCACACTTTTGACTTGCATCTTAGGGTACTGAATGGATTTTCATTACAAACTAAAGTACTATACGAGACAAGCGTTTGATGTTAGTAGCCGTAGGCTTGGGATGCTAATCTTAGTTTCCACAATTTTCCCCTCCGGTTTTATGTTACACATGACGAGAGGATTTTGTGATTGTAAACCCGGTGACATTACTCAATATGTGAACGTAGGGCACCACCGTGATACGCAAACTTGTGTGCCCGTATATCACGCAATTTTACATTAGCCAAGAGCTCACAATTGCCATGGATTGCAGAACTAAGAGCTCAGTTACTAGTTCGATATGGTGTATGCATCTAGAATGTGCTGAAGATGCTTCTTCTCGGCCTCTGCGAACCATGATGTGTAAGACTCGTTCCTGCAATACTCATCATCAAGAAGCGCTGAGGAGAGAATTTAGATAGAATATCATCGACTTTTCGGAGCCGGATGAAAAGATTTATGTTTCATCTAGAAAGTTCCTTGCTCTATCCATCACCATGATTCCCTTATGTATGGCCGTTTTCTCCTCCTGCATTTGTACTTCCATCTCAGAAATCAGCATCGACAACAAAGATCATTATCACAATGTCTCCATTCATTGATATCATTGGTAACACCAACAGTACCAAACGAAACATGGTCGAAGGGACTTCCGGCATGATACCGTCAAAGAAAGAAGCCCTTATTATCAGTCACCTATGCTCGATACTTGAGATTCCACCAACGAAAGTTGATCTGGACTCCAATTTCGTTAGCCTTGGTGGTCATTCATTGATGGCTATCAAGCTATCCAAAGCATGCAAGAAAGATGGTCTCGCCCTATCAATACCATCCATTCTTTTAAGTCCCACTCTTACACAGCTCATCGAATCGGCTACTGAAACAAGATCCACTCCTTCAACAAATATTCTAAAGAACACACATGATCTGAATACACCTGTCAGCCCTACACGATTGACACATGAACGTCGCATGTCATTCTCTAGAACTATGCCTTCCAACAAACATGCAACATCAACGTCCACTCTTTCAATAACAGAGATGCAACATTCCTTTATGCATAGCTATCAAAGACAACCTGGTAGCAACATCATCAGTTTCTACGAGACATACAGCACCGCCGATATCCCAACCATGAAAATGGCTTGGAAGACGGTTATAGATTCGGAACCAGTATTCCGCACGATTTTTGATCACGAAAGAGCTACTGCGACATATTCAAAACAACCATTACCATTCATCTGGGATGAGGTTTTTGTTGAAGATACAGATACATATATTTCAGAACTAGAGAAGGAAATTGTTCCGGAAAAGATGGAGGTTACTTTTAAAGTTCTTACTCCCAGGACCCAAAGATCTGGAAATGTTGGCGTTAGCACGATAATTTGGAGGGTTCATCATGCATTTGTTGATGGATACTCGGCCAACCTATTGTACCAGAAAGTTCGAAAGATTGTGATGGGTCAGGGTATCGTTCCTGGCACACCATTCTCGAATGTTATCCATGAAGTTCAAAAATGCCAGCAGATGAACCGAGATGTAAGCAGAGCTTTTTGGAGGAAACAAATGGAACTACATCCATCACCTGTGGGCGACTTAGCTCTTCCAGTTCCATCTTCAGCATCTAAAACATCTCGAAATGCCGACGTTTCGTTCACGATACCTTCCGATGAGATTTCTGCCGCTGCGAAGTCAGCTGGTATTTCATTGGCATCATGGTTTCAAGCAGCTTGGGGTTTGGTACTATCCATGTATGCTGATTCCGATACCGTGGTTTTTGGTACCGTTCTTTCGGGTCGTAATTTACCAATTCATGGAATGGATGACACGATTGGACCTTTGATTAATACCTTGCCATTTCATGTCTCGCTAGACCGCAGCCAAACGACTTTGGAATATGTTCAGTCTGTCTTTAGACACTCGGTTGAGCTAAGCACATTTCAACATTCGCTTCCTGAAGATGGATACAGTAGGCAATTTGCATCTGCCTTGGCAATGGAATTTGATATGCAACCTACGGATGATCATAAGGTTCGCCCCATTGGTCAATCATGGTTTAAAGTCGTTCCAGACATCCCGCTCAGTATCTTCATGACCACGACTGGAACTATCAGGATGTCATATCAAACCCGGAAATATGCAGAGTCTGATATCGAACTACTATCCGAGAACTTCCAGAGCGCTATCTTGTCCCTTTTGTCACCAACTAAGACCATCGGTGAATGCTTTTCTAGTCTTCTCTCGACCGCATCTTGTGAGACTTTAATGAAGATGGGGAACTGCTTATCAGATGAAACATCACCAGCCTCAATCAAAGATGATTTAGTGACCTTATTCGAGCGCGCCGCCGCAGAAAATCCGTCAATTCTAGCAGTAGAGAAAGCTGGAGCAAGCCTAACTTATCAAGAATTCGACAAATTGGCCACCAAATTATCAGCTCAACTCTCCAAGTATGTTCAGCCTGGAGATGTCGTCTGCGTTCATGCAGATCGAAGTATCAACTGGCTTGTGGCTATCTACGGTATCCTGAAGTCTGGTGCAGTATATTCGGCACAAGATGCAGCATTGCCGGGACATATCCGTGAAGCTAATTTTCAGACTGCTGGTGGAAAGCTCTTTTTAACACCCGCGTCATCTCAACGGGACATTGCACCTGAGTCGTGCAAATTGTGTCTTTCGGTTGAGGATTTAGTTCAATTACCTGTGCCAAGCTCTATGGTGGTCACTCCAAGACAAACACCAAGACCTGCCGATAATGCATATCTCTGCTTTACATCTGGTTCAACCGGCAAACCTAAAGGTGTCATGTGTAGTCATGAAGGACTTGTGGCCTTCCAGAAAGATCTTGCTGTTCGACTTTTCGCGCTGCCTGGCCAAAGAATCTCTCAATTGATGTCTCCAGCCTTTGACGGAAGTATCCACGAGATATTTTCCGCTCTCAGCTATGGTGCTACTATTGTTCTAGCTGATGGCATTCATCCATTTTCGCACTTGGAAAAATCCACCGCGGCAATCTTGACTCCATCTATCGCCAACATCTTAGATCCAGAAGACTTCCCCATGTTGCGAAACGTATATCTTGTCGGTGAACCCGTACCACAACACGTAAATGATGTGTGGTCTAGTGTCAAGAATCTCTACAACATGTATGGTCCTACTGAAGCCACGTGCGGAGCCACTATCAAACGTCTTCTTCCCGGAAAACCGGTAAACATAGGCGCACCAAATCCTACTACTCGTATCTACATCCTCGATCGAAACCAACAGCTTCTTCCACCCGGTGTGATTGGAGAAATCTATCTCGCTGGTGTGCAAGTAGCGCGTGGATATATAGGCATGCCACAAATGTCCGCCGAACGATTCCTCCCAGACACTATCTGCAATCGTCAAGGTGAAATGATGTATCGAACAGGTGATCGAGGATACTTCAATCGAGTTGGTGAGGTTGAATGTCTAGGACGCAATGATCGACAAATAAAATTACGCGGTTTCCGTCTTGATCTTAATGACTTGGAAATTCGTGTTGCGGAGGCGGTTCCCGAATGTTCCGGTATTGCTATTTGTCAAAAGGGTGATTATCTTGTTGCTATGGTGCAACCTGAGACTCTTGATATTGCGAAGGTTAGAGCAAAGGTTACGAAGGTCCTGCCTGTTCATGCTGTTCCTAGAGTTTTTATGGCTGTGGAAAAATTCCCCATGACACCGGCTGGAAAGTTGGACTATAAGGCTATTACCAATATGACGCAGGTGGAGAAAGAGTCCGCACCAAAAAAGATTGAAAGTTCAACTGAAGCTAAGATTGCCGAAGCATGGAAGGAATTATTGGGACTCGAGCCCAATGTGGAGATTACGAGAGACTCGGAGTTTGTTTCGCTTGGAGGTCATTCCGTTATGCAGCTTCGTCTTGCTAGCAAACTCTCTGATATATTCCATGTGAGGATGACAGTTTCGCATATTATGCAATCGGTCAATCTATTTGAAATGGCGAAGACTATCGATAATCTTCGTGCTCAGGCTCAACCTGTCGATGAGATTGATGGTTTGATACCACTCGGGAAATATAGAGTTTCGCCCATCGAGCGTGAATGGTGGGAGAAGTATAGATTGAATGTTGGAACTTCTTCATTCAATGTCACCTATGCCTGCTCAATTGATGGTAATGTGGTTGATACAGACAAACTTATCTCAGCATGGAACACGGTACTAGCACGTCATCGAATTCTTCGATGCAGATATGTCAGGACCGGACAAAAAGGAGGGGTAAGAAGAGGTTACGACCGATTCCCACCTCAGATCAAAACAGTCAACAAACTTGGTCTCTGGAGAGAATGCAACCGACCTTTTGATTTGGAACGTCAACATCCCATTCGAGTTTTCCTTTCTAGAAATACAATGCTTGCATCCATGAGTCACATCATTGCAGATTTGACATCCCTCGAAGTTCTCCTCAGAGAAGTTACTACGCTTTATAGCGGTGGCTCATTACAACCTGTCGAGCATACTTACATGGATACCACACAATGGAGCACCACAGCCACTCCAGCCGAGCAGAAATGGTGGAAAGAATATCTCCACGGAGCATCACAAACTTATACTCTTCCCAATCTCCCGCAACGTACCACATACGCAGGTCGTACACGTCTTACGAAACTTCCACAAGATCTCACGCGTCAAATCCTCACATTTACAGAAGAACAAAAAGTGACACTTCACCAATTAGCTCTGGGAGCCGTAGCACTTTCCCTCCAACATGACCAGAATGACGTGGACATCGTCCTCGGAGGACCCTACTTCAACCGCGGAGCCAAAGACCTCGAAACCGTCGGACTATTCCTCGAACCTCTCCCCATCCGCATCCGCCACCCATCCACACAACCCGCAAGCAGCACGTCCTTCCTCCGCAGCGTACAAACCTCCAGCCAAGAAGCCATCGCGCACGCCATGCCCTGGGATCAAATCCTCTCTGCCACATCCACGCAGTCGCAATTTCCCAATCATCCACTCCTAGACGTCATGGTTACATTCCACGATAACCGCACTCCGAAAACCACAATCGAGGGTGTAGATCCTCTGATTACTTATACAGAAGGTAGTAAATTTGCGCTTTTGGTTGAATTCTCCGTGCTTTCTGATAAGGCCATTGCGTTGAGATTGGAGTATGACGTTAAATGTGTGGCGAGATCTGAGATTGTGGCGTTTGAGGCGGTGGTTTTGGAGGCGCTTAGGGGGTTGATTGGGGGCGTGGAGATGGATGTGCTGAGGAGGGATTTGGGGGTTAGGAAGAGGGGGGTAGAGGTGGAGAAGGAGGGGAGACAGGCTGCGGCGGTGAGTTACTTTGGGAAGAGGGTGGAGGTTTTGAGTGGGTGGTAGATTTGAGATTGGGTACTGGGGATCGAGGATTGTGGCGGTTTGGGTGGTAAAATTGTTTTTAGAAGGGTAGGTTTAGATGATTTGTAACATTTAGAGAAGAGAGAAGATTCGTAAAGCTAGGTATTTTAGGTGTTTGGGAATTTATGATTTAGGGCTTATGAATTTTATTCTTTCTAGAATTCCGTGTTTCTGCTACAATTGTGAAGTGAATTATTAGGAGGAAACCTTCTTTTCCCTTAGACACCCACTTTAAATTTATTATTTCTATCTTGGTCATTATCTTGAGATACCTTGGTCCAGTAAAATCAAGGAATTTGCACACTTCTCTGACACTTATCGAAAGGGTGGTTATTACTGTCACTGTCGACCCGGTTCATTCAAACAACATGGGGAAATAGAAACAAAATCCTCACAGTCCAGCAATCTAGCAATCCAGTAATTAAAACGAATATCCCGGATAGAGCTAGATCAACTAAATATCGCACAGTGCTAACGAATCCTGAAATTATTATCCTAGGTCTATAACTTTCTTAATTCCGATGTACAAAAAATATCAAATTTCATATCATTAGAAAAACTGCAGTAAGTGGAATATTTTCAAAATCTGTGAACTGTCAATAATCGGTTTTTGCTATTACAGAAATAAATATATGTGTCAAAAATGATAAATCTAATCAGTATGGCAAATTCACCCACCCGGACTTATTATCTTATATTGCTATAACTTTATGGCTTTGGGGTTACTCATGACCTGTCCCAAGCTCATGGGATATGACTGATGACGTTTGAAGCTGCTGGCGGGCACAACAAGCAATGGGAACGTGGATTCTGCTTATAGCTACATTGATATGGACGGATGACACTGGAAGATATCATTTGTACCTCGAGGAAGTCAGATTGCGCGACTGGAAATTGTGGTACAACTTCGACGTTCAAAGGCTCGAAACAACCAATGGGCTCGCAATCTTCCTATCTGCTTCGCGCATATACGAATCATAATAGTCAATTTCAATGATTCTATACAATATGACGACCTCTCCTGTGGATTCCGCTACTCTCAGTGTACTTCAAATGCACCGTCAGAGTCAAATTTTGCACACCTATCTACAGTACATAAAATTGGAATGCTTAGTTGAGGGCTAGTGAATACATGTGTTAATTATGAGATGGTAGCCATGCCTTGGGAGAAAGAAAGTTTCTGATTCACTACGAGCAGAATTATAAGATAGTAGCACTCCTGGGCAGATAGTGAGATCAAGACCAAAGAAGTGAGAGTCCCATATTCAGCAGAATAGGTGATGATCGTGTCCAGGTGTGTAAATGATCACATATCTGGTGCAAGGTTTGCTACACAGTTCGTTTGTGCTATAATATGCAACACTTCTGTGTCCCGATCATAATTTTAATTACCTAGTACTCAATCGATGACACTTCAAGAGTTGAAGCACGCTGCAACAACAAATGGTCAACGAATTGTCAATTCTGATTCTGAAGTCTTTGGCTGTAAGATTTTAGAATCTAAATGCCCTATAAAGTCTTAAACAGAATATGGCAATCAATGGTTATGATTTTCACGGCATGCATTAAACTCAAAGGTTGAGGGTAAGAAAGTTTATAAAACTGCTTTGAATCCCATCTCCTGTACATAACCCATCCAACCATCATACCAAACCCCTCTCAGCTCAAACAACCCCAGAACATCTATGAACAGCCTCTCCGCATCTAGAGATCCCTCATACATCATCACTGCCTCAAACATTAACTTCCCTTCTTCCTCTCCAATGGGGGGCAGTTTGAGTCCCAAATTTGATGCCCAGGAGAGGAGAAGTCCGAAGTCAACGTGGTCCGACTCATCACCCCTATTAAAAAGCGTAGACGCCCGCAAACGCACGAGTTCCACGAGGGTAACAACATACCCTTTCCCAAAACTGAAAACCTCTGGAATCCGTGGTACAAATGGACCTCCCAACTCAACGAGTTCGACGGTGACCTTGGAGAGTTTGTCGTTCAGGGAATCCAACTTGTCCCACTTAATGGACCCATCGGTGTCCCTGTAAAAGCCCTCCCGAATATTTCAACGTCTTTGGCTCTCCGGTCTAGGATACCATGGGCGATGCTCGCGGCACAACCAAAAAGATGACAGTTTGGCGGAGGTTATGAGGCACTAAGGCACAGGCGGAGACGTAGACGTCGAGATACGCTTGTTGAAGAGGTGTGATTTCTCGGACCATTGTTGAGGCACCGAAGATGTAGAAGGGTCGAGATCGAGATACGGATAGCTATTCTAGGGAACGTTCTGAGGTCGGTTGAAAGAGAGGAAGAGATTTGGTATGAGGTCGGGTGATGGTCTGTACAGAAGATGGGATTTCCTATTAACTTCTATTAGCATTCTTTCCTTCAAGACGGTTTTGAGTCCTCGATGAGCATACCAAAAATTCTAAAGCTGGACATAAAAAATATATCTTTTAGCGATACTTGTTATATACAAGAATAGAAAGAAAACGAGATGAATGAAGGCGATCAAAAGTTATGATGGCCTAGATAATTGAGTTTGAGCATCCATAGCTGCTGCTGCTTCTACTTCTGTTGACTGAGGAGGCGCTCTGCCAGAATAGGAAGGGATAACTCATAGCTTCATTAACTTTCTGCCAGTCCTCAGTCGATCATAAGCCTACGAACACTTACCAGGAATAATTCTAAGAATTAATCGTGGTGTGCAATCAAGGAATGCAACACTCATGAAGAAATCAGGCTCCATGATAGATTTTTGGGCTCGCGAAATGAAGTATCATGTAGCGAGAAATGCCCTTCCCATTCCAAACTCTATTTGCGGAAGGTATAGTTCCTTTTGCCTTAACATAGATATGTAAATGTGAGGAATAAAAGATGGCAACAGAAAGTTCTGATTTCAGAAAGAAATAATTCTTATGCTTAGCTAGCTAAGTCACTTGTGCTAAGGGTCTAGTAGGTCACGGCATAATTGCCGAAGTGCATTCATATCACATGCAATCAGGATGTAGCAGTCTGTAGTCGACAATGCGAATCTCAGTCTAGGAGGGAAGAACAAGAGGTCATTTGAAGATAGCCATCAGGTGTTGAGATCCAAATGAAAGTCGTCATCAAGAAGTCGGAGGAGGAGAGCTTCACTGCTCCCTACCCGGCTAAAAGCCCATGTACACCTGAACCTTTTTGATTGCCACCCCCGCGATATAAGGTTGTGTTTAGTAACTGTCGGTACATCATGTGATTAACCTCGAAAGGGAGCCGTACGACTAGTGCATTCTAAACCCGTACCCCTTTCAATATAAATAGGTCTCTCCCCTCTAGATAGATAATAATCATCCATGAACAAAATACAGAAATACTACTATGCATAGCACAGTATCACCGAAGTGATACCAACAGTAACTTAACTGAAGAAGACATCCGTTCTCAGCATATGCATGTGATGGTTTATTTGCTAAGGGCATGGCTAAGTCTCTAGCCTTGCGCGCTAAAACGCACCCGTATATAAGCGATAATTTTTCTCTTACCTGAATTGCCTTTTTCAATATTATTCGATATCTTTTATCGATCACATATATTTCAATATCTTCGACATTTTCCACCTGCCTACCATTCCACATCTTTCTCCTCATGTCTGTAATTCCTACACGTGTGATGGTCATTTCTGACACTCACGAGCACTCCCTCAATGGAGCTAATATGCTAGACGTTGATGTCCTCCACACTGGCGACTTAACCAATTTTGGTGAATTAAATGCTTTGAGAGATTCCATCAAAATGATGGGAACGATCACAGCAGAATTAAAATTGGTCATTGCTGGAAACCATGACATATCTCTTGACAAGCAAAGCAGAGTGGAGAATATGTCTGATGACGGGTATTTGTAGTACCATCATTCTGCGCTTGAAATCATGACGGGTCAATCGGCGAAAGACGCAGGAGTTACCTATCTCAAGGAAGGTACTCATACATTCACACTTAAGAATGGTGCTGAATTCACAGTATATGCCACACCGTACACGTGTGGGTCCATGGGATTCCAATATCAAATAAACGAAGACCGATTCAATGACGCAACTCAAATCGCTCCAGGCCAAACCTCGATCGCCACCAATCCTATTCCTGCGGGAGTCGACATTGTTATGACCCACGGCCCTCCACATATGATTCTTGACTAAGTCGACGGCGAATATAAAGGTTGCCGCAATCTTCTCCGTGCTGTCGGCCGTGTGCGGCCACTTATGCACTGCTTCGGACACATTCACGAAGGAAGCGGTGAAAATCTTGTAACTTGGAAACCTGGTGGGAGCGTTAAAGATCCATCATCTGCCACGCCTATGGAGACTGAACAAATCAATGAGTATCCGTATACAAACGAGTGGCCTACTCAATCCGGAAAACAAACGCTGATGGTCAACGCGGCAATCATGATGAATACGGCGAAGGGTATGCGTCCAAACTATAAGCCCTTCGTAGTATCGCTTGATTTGCCTCGCCAGCATTAATAAATCTGTTGCTTTTACTTTTATCTGTAAACTAGTTATTTTACCGAGTTTTTAAATTGGTATTTGGCGGATTTGGTGTTGGTGGATATGCGCTGTTGGATTTGAACACTTAATGGTATAATAACGATTCCCATTCTAGCGAGCTTTATTGGTTTAGAAATAATCAATTGAACTTTTCAAACAAATTTTTTGACCTGTTATAAAAGTCCAAACTTGATTAAAAAATGTTGCTTGACTACCTTGCCCTTCTCGCTTACTCTACCCGCCTCCGGTCATGTACACACGTGAGGGTTAGTTTGCGAAATGCCACCCACAGCTGATATGTGCTCCGATAAGCAGATTAGATGCTGAAGCTTTGAGATATGATTTAACTCTATCGATACACCAGTTTTAAACAATATAAATAATTCCTTACCCGATTTGAAATAATAATTTTACAGTTCTCGCATTTCTCGCCGCCTCGAAGATGTACAATATGTCTCTAAACTACGAAACTATTTAAAAGCAAAAAAGCCTCTAGGCTTGATAGGTCTTTGAACTGTATGTATGTAACTGTTGAAACAAATGAATAGCCTCAAAGTTTGATAGGTCTCTTAACACAAGTTTTTATAGAGAAAAACAAAGAGTCTCTAAGTTTAACAGATCTTCAGATCATCATCCCACGAAGGGGTATATAAAACAAATACTTTACAGCCTGTCATGATTTTAGTGCAAATCACTCTAATCTCGAAATTGAACCAGGGAGAATGATGGTGAAGCTTGATCCCAAATTAAAATATCGAATGCCTGTTGCAGAAAGTTAACCTCGGGGCACTTGATGCACCTAAAAGCGTGATCTCGTTGTTATTCATGCGGCAACTCAAGAATCTATGGCTTCTACAGCCAAATTAGCATAGCCAGTTCTGTGAGCTTTCATAGCCTTTGGAGTCTGGCGCAACAATAGCTTCACGGCTTTCCGCGTCATATTCCTCAATTTTTGGATAAATCGGCGTATCAAGCGGTGGTTTCTGGGAATGTTGAGTGGGTTAATGTACGGATGATTTGACGCCATCGACGATGGCGTTGGACTCCCTGCTGCTCATCTAGATCTTTTAGTTTCTATCTTGGATTTGACCCCAGGGAATATGTATTGTGGATGCTCCGTAGTGAATTTCATATCTTTCATGACTATAGTCAAAATTTTAGTTTAAGTCTATGTGGAAGGGTAAAGTCTAATTACTTACAGCAATATCGCCAGATATCACAGTCGAGGATAACTTGTATATATGATGGGCCATAGTGTGGTTTTTGCATGTACGTAGTACGTTGGTGAATAAGCATCCCTATTTGATTTGGATCACCGGCTGCTGGTAAGAACCGAATCACCAAAACCCACGCCGACATCACTGCAAATAAAATTCCTGGATAAAAGGTCTTCGCAGACCTGGCGCGTATAACTGCCATTGAAATAAATCTGCATACGGATTTTCAAATTCCCAGAAACGTTGTTGGTATTGTAAGGATGGTTCTCTTTTTCAGCGATGTTCAAAACCGTCAAAACGTTCGTCACACGGCGAGCCAAACAAATGGAAACCGTAATACCTCCAAAATTTGATCTTAGAAACTTATCAAACTTTGCTATTATACTGAAAAGTAACTCTTCAATCTATTTCCGAAGTTTTAAAACCTTCTAACGCCCACATTTTCCATAATCTCAAAATGAAGGATTTCAGGCCTTCATCTGACCAATAGCAGACCTTCCACGTGACTATTTTATGCCTCCTAAAAGTTTGGTTGCACGTCTGAGGGACATATGGAAAAAGGGGCTTTTTGACAAAGTAAAAATATTTTTGTAGATACAGAAAGCTCTCGACCGCGCGATTTCAGGAAAACTATCAGCGTTCAAATCCGAAGAGTAATTGAGGTAGGAGAACTAAGGGCGTTTTTGATGGTTTCGGGGTCGGTTTGTTTACTTGTGGTTATCATCCCGTCAAAATCTTCGTCTGATGTCGATTTCTTCATTCACTTGCACTGCACATTTTGAGGGATCTCGGTACCTTTTCAACCGGTCTATCTAGTAAGGTTTTCGAGCTCGGAATGGATTGATTACTGTCGACGTCACTCATATCAATGCTCAGATTCATTCCCCTACCTCTCAAATTTCATCCACTCAGAGCAACGACGACTACCGGCACTTCCTTTTTTCTACTTGCTTGTGTATGCGCCTCACACATGCACAGGAGTCCGAAGTCTAGGCTAACTCGGCTCCAGAATTCTTCAATGTCCAAAACTGTGATCTTTAAGCACAGCCGAATGACCTGAATGCTGGAAATTCTAACTGCATATGATACTTAAGATAGATCCAAGATTCCTATGGCTTGAATATTTCCAGAAAGTTGACTGTATAATCTTATTCAAAGAACAAGAGTCCCTCATGATTGAATTACAATCTAGGCTATTGGAAATCATGGTAGTACCTCAATTTTCAAATGCTTCCAAACAATCAAATATATAGTCTATAAAATGGGCGTGCTGGAAACTCAAGTTCAGTTTTACTTGATGAAATAAACTCAAGGTAATAATAACAAGATGTTATTCCTTCTACCAGTATGCGCTCTTGGTAGGTCATATCTCCTAGCATAGCAAATGAAACTATTCCAATCCAATCCCATATCCAACAAAGTGTTTAACAGAAACCATGACATAAATGAGCAGGAAGATATTATTCAGTAAATCTCTGCTTTACAAATTTCGAGCTCAACTTCCTTACTAAACCGAATTTCACCCGATATCTTACGAGGAATGCGAAAAGATCTCGGAAGAAAGTTACATCGCTGACTACTTGATGGTGAGATGTGGTCAGATGGTTGGAAAACTTTCAGATGTTCTGACAATTAAATTGTATTAAATAGAGACTTCTTCTCCTCATTTTTGGAGCTTCTCTCACTTCTCCATCTTCCCCTCTACTTTCAGTCACATTTGTCTACCACTTGCCAACTTCTTACCCAAGTTAGCTTTACTTCAAAACTCATTGATATGTCCAGCAAACCAACATTTGTCTTGATTCCTGGAGCATGGCACCGTGCTGAAATTTGGAAGAAAGTTATTTCACTCCTGGAAAAACAACAGGACAAATGTATTCCAGTGGAACTACCATCAACGGCAGGAGATCCCACCACAAGTTTTGGCGATGATATCGCCGCTGTTCGAAATATCATATTATCAGAAACGAAACAGGGACGCGATGTGATAATAGTGGTACATTCCTATGGTGGTGCAGTTGGTCAGAGTGCGGTTAAAGGGCTTACCCGTCACAACTCCGATGACCTCGAATCTACAAGCGACCGACCGACGGGCCATGTCATCGGTCTCGTTATGATGGCTTGTGGATTTGGGCAAACGGGAATGAGCTTCATCGACGCTATTGGCGGGACACCACCACCATTGTGGAGATGGGACGATAGTGGATTCGTGACATTAGAACTTCCAGCTAGAGAATCATTTTACCATGATCTTCCTGAGGAAGAAGGTGAATATTGGGTTAGCAAGTTGACGAAGCAATCACAGAAGGTTTTGAAGGAGGGTGGGGAGTGGGCTTATGCGGGATGGATGGATCTGCCAGTTTGGTATTTGATGACGATGGATGATAGGACGTTTCCGGTTGAGGTGCAAGAGATGTTTGTGAAAATGGCGAGGGATGCTGGGGCAGATGTTACGGTGCGACAGGTTGCGAGTAGTCATTCGCCGATGTTGAGTAGACCAAAAGAGACGGTGGATTTTATATTGGAAGCGACGGTGTCTCTGGTCAAAGAATGAGAGCGCAGGAGATTATTGTACAATGCAGAAATCCCAACTTTATTTTACCTAGTTACTGGCAATGCCTTAGTAGCTACAAGGCTACACCCATCCTCTTAATCCTCCAATACTTTTCGGCCTTTCAGTTACTCTCAATATCACAACTCTTTCCAATGTCCGAAGTTCTCTCAACGATCAAATAAATAACCAGTAAACGCAATAGCCGAAAACTCCTAGAATTTTATGTACCGATAGCTTAGAATGAATTTGATGAATCAAAGATTTCTCATTGTCGGACTGTACTTCGGACGGGCAATCATGGGTAATATGTTGGTTTATTCTTCTAATAAAGGATCAAATTAAACATCCATGATTTGTCCGAATATACGTAAACACCATATTGACTGTCGTTATTACAACTGTTTGTTTCTTAAGAAAAAGGAAATTCATAAGCAGGAGCCGGTGTTAAGAAAAAATCCGGTTGCGGAAAATGAATAGACCGTTGTACTGTATGAAAAGGCCGGTCGGATATAAAACTGTCGTTATTCCGGCTCGGATCCGATCGATTCATCAGACCACCATCATAATATGAGCCAACTGGTCAACGGCATATTGGAAGATGATAAATTCAAGTGAGTCTCCTTCGTTCAAAAGGTATTATATTTCACATAACTTCCATTCAAAGATTAATACTTTCGATAACTTCAACATCTTCTACATTACCTATAACTCCTGCAACTCCAACAACTCCAACAACTCCACAACCTCAAAACAAATCCAAATAACTTTACATATTTCATCTCCCTCATTCAGTCGAAATGTCCACACCATCTTCTAAAGAAGTCGCTATCATTGGATCAGGATTATCTGGTCTAACTCTCGCTCTCGCCCTTCATCAAAACAACATCAAATGTCGAGTTTACGAAAGTCGTCCTGCGCCTTTGAACATTGGAGGTGCTGTCATGCTTTCTCCAAATGCTCTCAAAATCTTGAACGCCCTCAACGTCTATGAACGCATTCGTCACAAAGGTTACAACTTTGATAATCTTGAGTATCGAACTGCTGGAGATGGAAAATTGGTGGAAATTCAAGAATTTGGTTCTGAAGAGAAATATGGCTTCCAGGCCCTTCGTATTTACAGAAATATCCTAATCACTGAGCTGCTTGAAATGTTCAAGGAACAGGACATTCCCATCAGTTTTGGCAAAAAATTCTCACATGTCACTTCGGAGACCGAAAAACAAGTTGAATGGGAATTCACTGATGGTACAAAGGGTACTGCACCTCTTCTCATTGGAGCTGATGGTATTCATTCCACTGTTCGTCGTTATCTCTATCCAGATTTGGAGACCAAGTTCACTGGAATGGTTGGAATCACAGCAGCTGTACCAACATCTCAATTACAACTTCCGGAAGGATATTATATTCCTGTCACCTTGATGTCCCCTAAGGGTGCATTTGTGATTGCTCCTCAGCAAGAAGATGGGTCTGAGGTATTGATTGGAAAGCAATTACGCATTGAAGAGAAAGATAGAGCTGGTTGGAATGATATGTCAAACAACAAGGAAGAAAGCGTCAAATTCTTGCAAAGTAACAATGATCTATTCCCTGAGATCGTTCACAATGCAGTATCCAAGATTTCCCACGACAAGATTAATGTTTGGCCATTTTATATCGTGCCCAAGCTCGATAATTGGGTATCTCAAAATCGTCGTGTGGTTATCCTTGGCGACGCAGCTCATGCAATTCCTCCTTCTGCAGGTCAAGGTATCAACCAGGCATATGAAGATGTTTATATCTTTGCATTGCTACTTGCAAAGGCAAACAAGGAGGATATTCAAAGTGCACTCTCTTTCTGGCAAGACTACCGACAGAAGAGAGTCGGAAAGGTTTTGGAATTGAATCAGCAAATTGATTTGAGACGTTTACCAGGAAATTCCGCAGATCAGAAGAGAGAACCATTTGATCTGGGCTGGTTGTATAATGCGGACTTCGAGGCAGATGTAGAAGAGTGGATTGCTCAGCAAAAGAATTGAATTGATTAGGGCTTTTTAGTGGATTTCGGGGATCGTGGTGAGACAGGCTTTCTCTAGGACGGGAAAGGATGAAAATCGGGGACTGAATGCAGGCAGGTTATTGGGAGTTACGGGGTATGAATTAATTGAGGATAGACGGAATGAATGAAATGCGACTTTTCTCCTCTTAAACAAGTTGACATCTAGAAAAAGAATTTTCCAATTGTCTGAAGTCAGACGATAAGGATATGCATGTATGATATGTGATGGCTTAATCTACAAAATCCATTTGGAACATCAAGTCCATATCAAGTATTGAGTTATATTCAATAGCCGGAGTAATGATCGATCAGGACGAGGTGGATAAGGTTTTTGCCATGGCTTACAGGCCAAGCATGGTCACCATACACGCCACACAGGGCCTAATGCAAAGCTTTTCATCCCCCCTGTACATCCTGAATCGATGCCGAAAATATGTGGGGGGGATTCTTTTAGGCTTAGACACAACCCTAAATACCCCACAAGCTTACGTCGTTGGTACACGGTGGTACTCGTACCTGTTTTCATTAATATTGTGTCACCTAGGCTACCATACCGGGCGGAATATACAGTACGGAGTATACTGCCTTTACATCTCAGCTCTCCTATCTCTACGGAAAGGACCCCGCTAGATAACTTCTCCAACTTGCTTCAAAAGGCAAAACATCAGTCAAAGTCCCACATTAGACATCATGGAGTCTCCTAAACCATCAACGGCAGCTTCGGATCCAGCACCAAGAAAATATACCGGTATGGATTGTAGGTTTTGCCAGAGAAGTTTCTCCAAAGGCGAACATTTGAGGGTTAGCATGACAATATTATCAAGATATACATCTTTTACTCACTAATCATTATTACAGAGACACGAGAGAAGCCGTAAGGACAGACCTCTCGAAATGAATTCCTCGTTCTTAAGAACCGTAAGCTAATCAAGTGATGAAAAGATACTGGATCCCGACCCTTCATATGTAAAGATTGCGGAAGACCATTTGCTAGACAAGATTCACTTGCTCGTCATGAAAGATTACATACTCGTAGGGAAATCAATTATCCTTCACCACCCTCGAGTATGATTTCTCAATCAAGTATCCCATCTATATTACCTGTGGTTGATACAAATCTTCAAGTCGAAACACCAAAATCACAACAAGGAATTATGAACAATAGTGGGGCCAGCCATTCTATAATTGGGATTACACCTTCTTCAACAGAAGATATTGATTTTGAACTAATGTGGCCAGATTCGGAGGATTTATTTGAAACTTTGATGTCTTCCGATCCAATGATTCCATGGCAAATGCCAATTGGGATACTGCCTGTACCCATCACAACTCGATCACATGTGAACAATGGAAGTTTTGGGATTCCAGGTCCGTTTCAACAAAAGGGATCGATTGGTTCTATCCCAGTAGGGGAAAGTCACCAAGCTGTACATAATGTTAGTGAGATGGTTACTAGTCTGGTAAGTTCAACAAGACCTTGAATGAAACCAGTATTAATCAAAAGATAGTCGTCAACTGTTACGGCTGCTGTTGAAGCTACATCTCTCACCTCAGTTTTCTTAGATGAATGTTTACATATGTTCTTTGTAAGATTCATACCCACATTTCCAGTATTACATCGATCAACCTTTGTCTTTCGAGAATGTACTCAACCTTTACTTCTCAATGCCATGGCTATCGGTTCTTTATATCTTGGACCTAAAGATTCAGTGGCAAAAGGTGAAGCTTTATGGAGACTTGCACATGTAGCAGTTGCAACGTCTTGGGAAACATTAATCACTCATAAAGGTCCCTATGATAGTTGCCAGGGAGTACAATTAGTCGTCACTGCTCTACTTGCTCAAATATACGGCGCTCTTTCAAGGAATCGAGTCATTCGAACCACAAGTCAAGCATTTCATGCTCTTGGATTCTTTTGGGCAAGACAGTGCGCAATATCTGATAGTGAACCATACTCAAGAAGCAATTTACCTAGCCAAAATTCAACCGACGAAGAAAAGGATAGAGCTTGGAAGTTTTGGGCAGCAAAAGAGATTAAACAACGTGCATTATTGGGCCACTACGTATTAGATGGTTTAATATCTCGAATGTCTGGGGAAACTCCATCAGTTCGACATGCCGCCAATCAATTGGGTTTACCTAGTAGTGAAACAGCATTTGAAGCTAGAACTGCCAGTGAATGGCTTAATCATATGAGATCTCAAGAACCATCTCAATACTCCTTCCGAAGTATCATCCGATCACTTTTCGACCCAACTAATCAACCTCTTACGAGTTTCCATGCATTCTCGGCATTTTCCCTTCGTGTCATTCTAGAAGGTCTTCAATCCTTGGTTTCGGACTGTGATTCCGATGATCTGTCTACGGTTGGTGTACCGACAAAGCTCGAATCACGAAAAGCTCTAAGTCACGTCTTCGAAGCTATATCCATAAGCTCCAATCTTTCGCATTCCGAACGACTTGAGCTTTTACTCAGATGGCACACCATCTGCCTTGATACTTGCAAAGATTCATCACTACTCTGCCGATCCATCTGTTCTCGTTACGGTATCGTGCAGCATGTATGCGGAGGAAAAAATATCATGAAACCTGAACAAGATCTGATAAGTTGGGCGGGTACAGAAGAAGCAAGAAAGGCTCTCGTGCATGCTATTGCTATCCAAGAGATTGTAGAACAATTACCAAGAGGCAGAGCACATGTTATCCATATCCCCAGTTCATTATTCGCATCCGCAACAGTTTATTGTGTATTTTCTCTTGCCGGTCAAGGTGCAGTTAGTGTACCGAATGTGGTGGATTGGCAAGCTGTTTTGGCGACGAATGATTTGGGGGAATCTTCGATTCAGTCGACATGTTCTAGTCATTCGGAGACTCAATTGTTTTTACGAGGTGGTAATTCAGCGTTTAGAGGATTGGGCACTACGAAAAATCTCCTCTATGAACTTAATTCTATGCAGAAACTTTTTAAATGTTTGTGTTCGCAATGGGGGATCGCTTTTGATATGGAAGATGTTTTGGATCAGTGGAATACTCTTTGTCATTGAGTTTTGGGTGGTGCGGGGATATATATTTCACGATTTGTTGTTTATGGTTATAAGGATATATGGCGTTGTACATGTGTTTTTCATCAGGTTCAGGTTGGCGTGTGATGGTAAAAGGGTTGGGGTTGGGTTGGAGTTGGAGTTGGACTTGGATGGGTTTTTGATAAATATGGGTGTAGATTTAAGATTATGTAATTTTCGAGTTCATTTTCGCATAGTATTAGGATGAGGTGCGTGAATGAAGATAACTATGAGACATGTTTTGAGGCAAGCATTGATTGCATGACTAGCTTTCATTTATTTCTTTGCTTTAGGAATGTTAATTATACTATTTAGCACGCAATAGACAAAATACCTACCCAGTAGATCTGATCAACTTATCAAAAAAGAATATCACTAAACTTACCTACCTACATACCTACCTACCTGTCTCCCTTGGTATCCATCATCTCTATATAATATATCACTTCGAATTCAACATATATCCTCATTTAAATTTCAAATTAATAATCAAAAATCAAATAATCCCCAAGCTTAGATAGACACCTCAGCGGTAATTAGTGATAGTGATAGTGATAGACTTATAATAAGATATATTTTTAATATCTAATCAATTAATGATTAATAATTTGCCAAATTAATTTTCTAGAATACCTAGTAGGTTCTTTGATTTGTGTGTGAGTAAGTGCTGATGTATAATAACTTTAGTACTCTTGTATTTCTACTTTTATTTAAGATGATATAGAATAAAAGATGGTTAATTTCTTGATTTTTTAATTCTGTTTTAAGAAAATTAAATTGAATCAAATTATTTTATTTTATTTTATTCTATATTATATTATTTTATATTATTTTATATCACTATTCTTTTGTTTATAATTTTTTAACTAGATAATAATAGGTTTAGAAGTGAAATATTAGAAGATTAGGGTTTTGTGTACGGAAGGGAGATTGTGATTCATAATTTAAGGTTATAATCCCTATGGGGTCAGTTTAAATGGAGTATGAGATTTTTGTGATGTAGGTTGTTGTAAGAGGAGGAGAGAGGAGAGGCAGGGGAAAAGGAGGGAACTGGACGGGGGACCGGACGGGGGACTAGACGAGACTAGGGGAGAAGTAGGTTCTATAATGTAAGATCTTATAATATATATCTAATTGTGATCTATAATGTATGCTATATAATTTATGATCTATGACATATTAAGAATCATTTAAAGATAATATAATAACTAAAATAACTAGCGCTCCACTCGCTTACTTAGCGCTCCTCATTTTTTGGTTCATTTCTTTTGGGACTAATATCCACTTCTTTTATTTGGGTTAATCTCAATGCGAATGTATATGCATTTTAAGATGATAGATGAAGGATATATGGGGATAGTGGGTGGGGATAGAGATAGGGAGATGAGGAGAAGAATAGTGGGAGTAGAATAGGTAGGAATGAGCGGGGATAGTAGAAAGGGTACAAAGGATAGGGGGATAGAGGGGGAATAGAGGGGAAAAGGAGATAGGAAAAGGATGGAAAGGAGGGGAATAAAGAATGGAGGAAAATGGAAGTAAGATGAATCTGAATATGGAGATAGGATGGATAAAGAAAAGAAGAGAGATGGATAGAATAGATAAATGGATAATAGGGGGGAAAGTGTGGCTAGGAGAGGATTGTGGTAATAATGATAGTGGTAGTAGATATAGGATGAAATATGACACAAAGCGGTAATGAAGATAAAGTATAGATCTAGAGACGGGGCTTAGAAGAAGGTCAGATGAAAATAGATGGGGATAGGTATCTAGGACAGGATATGAGGATCGAAGAAGAGCATATATCAAGTAGAATAATTAAATAATTTTCACCTCATCTATTTAACTAGGTAGCTAGCTACTTAATCTATATTGTGTAATTTATACAATCACTAGAGTAAAATAATATAAAATAACAAGATAAAACTATTTAAATAAGTTCAGGAATTTAATAGATGAATAAAAGTACTGAATATTAGTTTATTATATCAGATGAATAAACAAGAAATTAGAAATAAGATATCTTGCGTTATAGAAATATAATTAATCTAGAAAAATATAATAGCAGATGAAGAAATGAGAGTGATGCTCTTATACTTGTATTTTTGAATGGTATATTTTTGAGTAAATATAACAAAGAGCTTTCTTAAACCACTTAAAATAATCTATATCATATACACATACACATACAAAATGCCACCTAAATATCTAAATCCTAATCACAAACCTCTAAATAACTCTATCTCTATATTTAGCGTAAAGGAAACAATATTCATTAAATCATCAATCATGACTTCACAACCCTTTTCTCCCCATCCCCATTCTCATTCACAATCGCATTCCCAACCACAACACCTCGTTCCCCATCACTGTTGTGTCCAATTGTATCCGCAGGTTTAGATGGTCTCCATCTCTTCCCCATTAATTGTACGATGAACGTTGGGATGATACTAACGCCAACGAGAAGAGCAGCAGCTACTGCTGCACTGGATGAAAGACCGAGGTTTGTGAACATTGAGGGGAACCTAAGATAGGTGTTAATAACTAATTAGAGGTATAAAGAAGAGAAAGTGAATGTAACTTACCAAAAAGGACCAATGAATCCCCAAACCTGTCTTACGAAAGTAATAAAAACACCAATGCTGGCTGATTCCTCCAAATGTGAATCCACCGCATAGGTAATCAAAACAGTCGTCACAATTTGATTTCCAACACCCGCAATCGCAATACCAATCACTGGTGTAATATTCCAATGCATATCTCTCGCCTGTTCAGTTCTTACTAGGAAAACCACGACCCCGACGATAGTGAGGATGAATCCTGCATAACTTAACCATAAACGATATTCGGGAGCTGGTTGTACACCTGTTTTACGCGTGTGACGATTCATCCAGAAATCAGAGAGCGTACCGCCGAGTTGTTCACCGATTATAGAACCGATGATTAAAGCGAGAAATTGGTATCCGAGCTGTTGAGCGTCGAAACCGAATTTGGTGGCAAATAGTTGAGGAAGTTCGACAGTGATCATGATTGAGGCGAATAGGAAGACCATCGCGTATGCGGCGGCGGGAATTAAGATGCATGGTTTGGTGAATAAGGTGAGAGGATGAACGAAATCGTAGACGCGAAGAGGTGTAGGGTCAATTCGATGAAAGGTAAGGTATTCTTCCCGGAAAGAGGATTTAGGATGCTGAACTCCATGACGAAGGTAACGTGTTTCTGGACCGAAGAAAAGATATGCAATGAATTGAACACCGTTGATAATTGCGACGATCCAATAAATCCAACGCCAACCTACGCGAACGGCGACAAATCCCATGATGAAGGGGGAAAATGGTACACCAACTGTTAGCATCAGTGTCCAGATTCCCATATAACGAGCTCGATCTTTTTTAAAGAATGATTCTGTGACGACCGCACTACCGATTGCTGCAGCTGGAGAGATGAAGAAGGAAACGATTGCACGACAAGCTGCCATACTGGCATAGGTAGGTGACTTAGCACATCCTATATTTCCAACCAAGCTAACCAGAAGTGATATAAGAAATAAAGGCCTTCGTCCGAAAGTGTTGGATAATGGTTTCCAGAATAGAGGTGCCACTCCAGCGATAGCAATTTGGAGCGAGGTAAGATATGTAGCTTGTTGTAAAGATATACCTAATTCTTCTGCAATGCTTTCGTATGCAGGAATAATTGCTGCTGCTGTAAAAGTTGACATGCAAGCATGAAAAGCAACGAGGAAAAGGTTTGTAACTTTCTATACTTTTCATCAGTGAGGTCTTGAAAATAATAGATAATCAAATGTATACCTTTCTATTTGTCCAATTGTATGGATCAGCATCACTATGACTAGGTAGAGGATCTAAATCCAAAGTTCCATGTTTTGAAAGAAGATATTCTCTATGCTCTTGAGATAACTCATCTGCTTCGATATAAGTTGCACGAGTTGCTGTGTGGTCGATATTTTCAGAGAATTCACCACTTGGGCTTGAATCCTCACGCTCGATGACGTCTTTGGTAGCTGACATTGTATCGTTCCTTTGAAGACAATTCAATATCAAAATTTCACCTCCAATGAATCGTGGATATTTTCCCAAGTTGCACAACAATTAAGATGCACAATGTTGAACTAACTTCAATATTTTTTAGAAATCAAAAAGAGTTTGATACTGTAAAATTGAACCTCCAAAACTTCAAGTACTTAAATTGAGAAACTCGTAACGGGAACAAAAGAAGAAGTTCTCAAGCACAAAATGTTCAACTCGAATCGAGGATACCTCTTTGAAATAGGAGAAAATCTTCCCCATATTCAGCTAAACCAAACCGTTCTCCACACCATCTCTCTTGAATAAAGCCGGGGCCCCTGTGCTGAATTCCATGATGCCGCCGCATTCACGAATTTCCCCTGTCAACTATCCACAGTAGTTTAGTCCCGACCCTTTCCATTCATTCGTAAGTTGTGGACCTTGCCACCACTTAATATGAAGATAAGAACGACATGGAATTTATTAACGGTTTGTAACACTGTCGATAATGGATGCCCCGTATATGGTTTGCATACTAAGATGAAATGATTCGTGGTCTACTCACGAACTTTCGTGGGGACATGAAAAGTCGGCATTTATCAAGGTGTACAAATGGTAGGGATTGGAACAAGTGGAGGTGTGTTGCGCGGCCCCTCGTTTATCCAATTCGCGCGGGTCTTTTTTCTTCGGAGGTCAATATGCTCCATGAATGTTTAGCCTCTAACTTTTGAGGCTATTTCTTAAATCTTTTACCGAATATCTGGGGATGTGGGGATAAAGAAATGTTGGGGTATGGGGAAAATGAATTGAGTTTCTTCATTTAATTCGTACTTGAAAGGATTTCGATAATTTCACTAGAGGATCCTATCACCTCTGATTTGATACTTTGATTGCGATTGTAGTTTTGATTGTAATTATGATTGTGGTTGTGGTTGTGACATGTTGTGGATATTTGAGGTGCATTGATGTAGAAGTAGATGTCGGGTTGTAAAATACTTTTCCGAAGCGACGAAGTGGATAACCCTAACCTGGATGAGCGGGCGGGAAGCTAATGTGAGTCTAAGCACCACTGTTTTGCTTCATTACATATTGATCTACCCGCACATACAGAAGAAACACAATCAATTAGAATGGATAATGGGATCTGTAGATACTCTAGTCCGACGACTTCCGAAAATGGTATATTTTATTCACTTGAGTGGTATTTGGTTCGCTTTCAATGATTAGTATTCATACTCCTGATAAATATCCCATGTAAATCTTTTCTATGTTCCACTGTTTTACATTATATACGTTAATTCTTTCTAAAATAGTAAGTCTAAAACGAATATATAGCTTATTTAGCTATCGTATCTTTCAACACTATAAGTATCTACTCCCAGCATACTCCGAACTTCTATAAAGAGATGACAACATTACCCTCACAAAACTCGCAACAGTTTCAATCTCAGAATCTAAGGAGTACATTCGAATTACCCCTCCCGAATAATAAAAGTATTAGCAAGCAATACCGTTAACGTTTATCCCAAACAAGACATGGAGCATTCGCACGATGTCACCCTATATCATTCCTGCATCTACCGACATAACAAAACTCATCATATTAATCCACCATCCTACAATATTAAACAAATCAAGGAGGTCAGATAGCGGTATCAGTTCGTATCTAATATCTAGTGTCTTACCGTGAACCCATATATATGATGCCTTATCGCGAATTCATAAGAATCTTTGTGTTCTGGGTGGTACTCAAAGTTGATATTCAGATGAATGTTGTGATTGGCTTTCTCAGTGATAGCAGCAAGACATCCCTTTGCCCGAAAAGCTTAATGCCCTAATACTTCAATACTCTAACACCCTGATATCCTGATACCTTGATAGCTCAATACTTTAACACTCTAATACCCTAACACGGCCCTCCAACACAATACCTCCAAGAACCCCTTCCTTCAGTACTAGTTAGTATTCCAAATCACAATCCAAAATCCAATACAAATAAAACAAAAACATCTAAACAATTTGAATTTACCCTTCCCTTCACTTTATACCCTTACCCTTACCCTCAAACGCACATCATATTCTAAATTTTAGAATTTCCACAATACATCCAATCGATCTTTGATTCCTTATATCCCTCACATTCCCTTCCTATATCAAATTAAGCATCCATCCCTACATGAGTAAGTATTAAAGTATTAAAGTCTAAACACAAACTCAAATTCCAATTCCTGCAGGGGAGGGAGGATCAGTAATCATCTCCATCTCCTAATCTCACATCCATAAACACCCAAACACCATTCACATCCACAGACATAGACAATAATGATCAAGATCAAATGAAAAAAATAACATTGAAATCAAAGTAATGATAATGATAATTAAAATTAAAAATCTATCTTAAAACTAAATACTCATACATAAATACCTAAACTACATGTACATATATACAATACACATACTATACATCCAATACATCTAACATATACATTATATACATAACCCATCCCAATAAATAAATACACGTATACGTATGAAGATACATATACGTATACGTATACGTAAAATATACCCATCACTCCAATAAATATACATCAAAATCATAAAAAGAGACCATTTCTACAAATCATAAAAGAGTGTCTACGCGTATCTAATGCATTTACTCATATCATAACCAAAAAAATAAAAATCGACTTTTCCCTCCCTTCCATTCGTGTGCAACGCCATGCCATGTCTTTAATCCTGATCATAAAAGATATATGAGATCAAATCTATGGTGCTAATACCAAGGCCAACAATGCCATGCGACAGTAAAGGCCATATCTCATCTAAAAAATAATTAGTAAGGATTGAATCATTAAGGAAAAGGGTAACGTACCTGTCTAAAGTATGCAGCTCTTTGATCGAAATCCACTTCCTCTCTAATCTCAGCATTTCTTGGTAATGGATGCATAACAACCATTGAACTCTTAGCATTTCTCAATGTCTTGTTATCAATGATGAAACTATCCTTCAATCTTTCATATTCCTCCAAATCTGCAAATCGTTCCTTTTGTACACGAGTACAGTAAAGAACATCTGATCGAGCAATAATCTCAGGAGTCAATTCAGTAGAGACTGAAAGTAATTGACCAGGCTTGGATTTGATAAGTGCCAAGATATCCTGTGGAAGGGTTAAAGCTTGCGGGGAAACAAGTTGAATGTGAACATCATAGTGTTGAAGAAGCTTGACGAGAGAGTGAACGGTGCGACCATATCGAAGATCACCTGTAAATGTGATGGTAAGACCTCCGACCGTACCCAGTTCTTCTCGGATTGTGAACAAATCTAAGAATGCTTGAGTAGGATGTTCCTTGCTTCCGTTACCTCCGTTGATGATTGGCACAGGTGAAAACTTGGCAGCTGTTGCAGCACTACTCTCCTCAGGGTGACGGAGAACTATAGCATCTCCATAACAACCAAGAGTACGAATGGAATCTGCTAGAGATTCACCCTTAACAGTGGAAGAGTGAGAAGTAGCAATTGCGACTGTTCGTCCTCCCAATCGTTGCATGGCAGCATCAAATGATGCAGATGTACGAGTAGATGGTTCATAAAACATGGTGCAAAGTAGACGTCCTTTAAGAATAGAAAGAACACCTTCACGCTGAACACCTAATCTCATTTCTTGAGCGACAGAGAAAAGTAGATGAAGATCTTGACGGGAGAATTGATTGACCGAAAGAACGTGTTGGTTCTTGAATGGTGATTGACCGAGGAGAGTTTGTAGAGACGGTGCCATGGTCGGCTGAGGATACAATGGAGATCCCATATCCTCATGAACTGGAGAACGAAGCTGTTGTGCTTGATTGACAACACCATCCAAGAACCTTGAACGAGTTGGGGGACGCATGGCTGAGGATGGGGTACTGGAAAACTTTCTCAAACCATGAGAACTATCAGGTCTAGGGCCGAAGCCTGGAGATCCAGGATGAGCCTTGACGGATGGTGACTGTGGTACTGTGGTATGTAAATCAATAAGATGCGATGACATATCTTTCCCATCAACAGCATCTTGAGTTGGTAGACCATCTAGACAAGCAGTCTTATCCTGGAAGATGACTCTTTGAACAGCTCCTCTTGCAACCTTTCCAACAAGTGGGGACCAAACTGCTCCAGGCTTGAAAGTGTATGGTCGATCAATTTCAATCTCTACAGAAGCTCCAACTTGATCATGAATTTCGAAAATCTCCTTGGGATTATCATGAAGACGAGCCTTGATGTCATCGACTGTGATTTTACCATCTGCAACGGCTGAAAACAATAGAGGTAAAGTATCAGCAATACCAACAGCCGCGTTTGCCTCTGCCTTGGCAAAAGTTGCTAATTGATATGGTATGCTACCAATCGAAAAGACATCAATAATGTGCATGTGTTCCCACAATGCCTTTTGATCTCTAGCAGTTGGAAGGAAAGAAGCTCCAGAGAACTCATCCTGGCTGAAGAAAAGAGCGTAAACGGCAACATCACAAGTGACTTGAAGACCCTTCTCCTTAGCTAATGCAATCAATCCAATATCATCCTTAGTAGTGACGTTGGTGATGTGAATTTTTCTGCTATGGAGACTTGCAAGGAGAAGAATGGATGCAAGGTCGGTCATCTTTGCGTCGGTAATGATTGGCTTGAAAGATGGCCATGATTCAAAATGAGCAGTAACAGCAGGTACCTTGCTGATATTATCGGACAAATGGTTGAATGGGATGAAGAGGGAACCAACTTCACCAGTAACTTGACTAATTTGATCAGCGTTGGAAGAAGTTGCGGCAACGGAGAAATTGTAGTCGCAAGATGAACCAAGCTTGCTGTTAAGCTGTGCTGCCTTTAATGCTCTAGCATCAGTAACTGATCCATCAAGACCAAGTGGCATAACACGAATCATACTGAAACCAGATGCGATGGATGCTTTAGTAACAGTTTGGAAATCACGGCTACCACGGGTGGTAATGCCAGGAACGAAAGCGGCAATGTTAATAAAACCAGGAAGGACAATAGTTCTGTGACTAGTTTGAGCATCGAATCCACTGATTTCCATATCATAATGTCTTGCGATGGCTTCAATAAGGATCTTGGCGTTCTTGACATTGGTGACCAAAGGAGTTTGGTAGTCAACAGCCATGCGTCTGGTTTGGTAACCCTTGCTCATATAGTTGGCTGGCCTTCTGTATCTGTTGCTAGAAGGAAGATTGATATAAAGATCGATCATATTGTTGGCGAGATGTTGGGTCAGAGAGTATTCAGACTTTTGATCATCCTCACCCTTTCCGAGAATTTCGAGGTATTGAACTGGAACATCATGCTCTTGCAAGAAATCGGCGGTACCAGCTGTAGCAAAGAGCTTGTATCCCATCTTCTGAAGCTTGACAACCGATGGAAGCATTTCTTTCTTGTCCTTGAATGAACCAATGGAGAGAAGAATGTTACGCTTTGGGAGCTTGAATCCAGTTGAGATCAATGCCTTGATATAAGCCTCATACTTATCACGCCCGAAACAAGCGACTTCTCCAGTCGAAGCCATCTCAACACCAAGAACTGGATCAGCACCAGAAAGTCGAGAGAAACTGAACTGAGGTACCTTCACACCTACACAGCCTGAAGGTAATTCGGTTTGTGGGTAAGGCATGAATGGTACACCCATGATAGCTTTGGTAGCCATCTCAATAAGGTCAACACCCATGACTTTTGAAACAAATGGCGTTGATCTGGATGCTCGAACATTACATTCGATGACCTTGATGTCATTATCCTTGGCGATGAACTGAATATTATAAGGACCAGTGATGTTGAGGGCTTTACCAATCAAGCGAGTAGCTTCTTCAATCCTCTTGATGGTGGTAGGATCAAGATCTTGAGGAGGCAAAATCAAAGTAGCATCACCAGAATGCACACCAGCATTTTCAACATGCTCAGAGATGAAGTGACCAACCATGACACCATCCTTTGCAACGGCATCCATCTCAATTTCCTTGGCGTTCTCAATGTACTTGGTGATGACAACTGGATGATCTCTTGAAACCTCAACAGCTTGAGCAAGATAAGCCTCAAGATCTGGCTCAGAGTACACAGTGTTCATAGCTGCACCTGAGAGTACATAAGACGGTCGTACTGTATTATATCCGGAAGTCAGTATTGTCTACGACAAAAATGTTTGGAGGAAATAAGGAATCAAGGCTGAATTAGAGAATTAAGAGAATATATTTGAAAAAGAGGAAAGTGGTTGCGGATTCGGGAACGGATTGGATCTGAAAGCACATGAAATTGTAAATGAGTACGAACCTAAGACTGGGTAAGAAACTTTGTTACAGAATTTCTTTGCATCCTCGAAACTAGTCAATTCTTTCCATGTTGGCTGATCAACATGGATACCATCAAGCATACGAGAGAATTTGAAACGATTCTCGGCAGTATCAATCATCTCAGGCGATGTTCCAAGAATCTTGACGTTTTGTCGATGAAGTGGAAGGGCAATGTTGTTTGGTGTTTGACCTCCCATAGCAATAAGAACACCACTAGAAGACTCTAATTCATAGATATCGAGAATTGTCTCAAGGTTAATGTTCTCAAAGTACAATCTATCAGCTTCATCATAATCAGTACTTACGGTCTCCGGGTTATAATTGACCATGACAGTCTTGAACCCAGATTCGCGAAGGGTTCGTATGGCACGAACAGAACACCAATCGAACTCGACAGATGATCCGATTCTGTAAACTCCCGAACCGAGGACCATGACACCGTGATCGTTAAAGGAGATATCACTCTCGGATCCATTGTAGGTCATGTAAAGATAATTGGTGTGAGCCTCGAACTCAGCAGCAACAGTATCGATTTGCTTGACGACTGGGAGAATGCCGGCATCAGTTCTCAATAATCTCACAGCAAGTTCTGTGGAATCCCAAAATTTAGCCAATTGTCTGTCGCAGAATCCAAGCTGTTTAGCTTGTCTAATCTGGTCATATGAGATGGTGCTTGTAGTGAAGGTAGACATATGTTTGCTGAAGTCATTCAAACCCTTGAGCTTGTTCAAGAACCATTTGTCAATCTTTGTCATTTCCCAAATTTTGTTCACGGAGTAGCCGGACTGCATAGCATTGGCAATGGCAAATAGACGTTGATCGGAAGGCGTTTGAAGCTCATCATCGATTGACATCAGAGCCTTGGTTGCACTGAAGCCCAAATTGTGGAAATCTATAGCACGAATTGCTTTCTGGATGGCTTCTTCAAAAGTTCTTCCAATACTCATAACTTCACCAACACTCTTCATCGATGAACCAAGTTGTGTAGAAACACGAGTGAATTTCTTCAAATCCCAACGTGGCATCTTAACGACAACATAATCCAAAGATGGTTCGAAACAAGCACAAGTCTGTTGAGTGACTGAGTTCTTGATCTCGTTGAGAGGAATGTTAAGACCGAGCTTCGCGGCAATGAAGGCCAATGGATATCCAGTAGCCTTGGATGCAAGTGCTGAAGATCTGGACAATCTAGCATTAACCTCAATAATGCAGTATTCCTTCGAGTCAGGGTTGAGCGCGTATTGAATGTTACATTCTCCAACAACTCCAAGATGGCGGATGACGTTGACAGCTGTGGTCCTCAGCATGTTGTAATCCTCATCGGATAATGTTTGTGAGGGAGCAACAACAATTGAGTCTCCAGTATGGATTCCCAAAGGATCGAAGTTCTCCATATTACAAACCGTGATACAATTGTCACGACAATCTCGGACAACTTCGTACTCAATTTCCTTCCATCCTTTCATACTCCGCTCGATCAAAACCTGAGGACTGGCGGCGAAAGCTTTGTTGCAGAGTTCCATTAACTCTTGCTCATTATCCGCGAAACCACTTCCAAGGCCTCCCAGAGCATATGCGGCACGAACGATAACTGGGAAACCAATATCCTTCACAACGTGCATAGCTTCATCAATATTGTTGGCCGAAGCAGACTTGGCGCATTTTTCACCAATCGATTCCATACTTCGAGCGAACAACTCACGATCTTCCGTGGTGATGATAGTGCTAATAGGCGTACCTAGCACGCGAACCTGAATAACAAATTAGTAAACAATAAAGACGTACTTTAACGACAAAGGGCCTGAAAGTCAAACAATCGAGTCCAGGGGATCAAAATGGGATCCAAAACGAGGGTCCGCGGTTCTAGATAGTGTCCTCATCTAAGGGTGCTGGGACGAGAAGTGGGAGAGAAAAAGGCAAAAAGGGAAATAAAAACTATAACTCACTAAAACACCAGAGTTAGTAATTGCTTATCCAAGAAGGTTGTGACAGGGGAAAATTAGGGACGATGCACGAAATGAAAATCCCAACTGGAGGTGAATATCCAGGGAGATGGATATTCAAACAGAGTGGGACATTGAAAAGGTGTGAAATAAAGATCAGATTTGCTTACCTCCGAGACCTTCAAATTCATCCTTGAGTTGAATACCAACTTGTAAAGCGGTCTGACCACCAAATGTGACGTAAATCGCATCGGGTTTCTCATAAATGATGACCTTGCGAACGAACTCAGCAGTGACAGGAAGGAAATAAACCTTGTCAGCCAATCCTTTGGAAGTTTGAATTGTAGCGATGTTAGGATTGATCAAAATGGTGTAAATCCCTTCTTCTTTGAGAGCCTTGATAGCTTGACTTCCAGAGTAGTCGAATTCTCCTGCTTGACCAATACTAAGACCACCACTACCCAAAACAAGGACTTTCTTAACATTGACTTTTGGAGTGAGCTTTTCGTTTTCAGCTATTTCACCACCTGGGAAAACAACTGGCGCGGAAAGAAGCTTCTCGTCGTCAAGAATCTTGACAATTGTGTTGATGAATACATCAAAGAGAAATTCAGTATCCCTAGGACCAGGAGTACTTTCTGGATGGAATTGAACACTGAAATATGGTCTGTTGACATGTCTGATACCCTCATTACTTCCATCGTTGGCGTTGACAAAAAGTTCCTCCCAATCCGAGGGTAAGGAACTGGTTTGTACAGCATAACCATGATTTTGGGAAGTAATGTGGCATTTTCCAGTCAACAGATTTGTACATGGAATGTTATGTCCACGGTTTCCGAACTTCATCTTTTCAGTTTGAGCTCCAGCAGCTCTGGCAAGAAGTTGATGTCCAAGACAGATACCAAAAATTGGTGTACGGTTCTCCTTCAAAGCGGATTGAATGTGCTTGACAGTCTTTTCCATCATGGCTGGATCACCAGGACCATTGGAAATAAATAAACCATCATAATCCTTTCCAGCGAGGGTAGGGAAATCATAGTCCCATGGGCAAATGAGAACCTCCACGCCACGTTTTACAAGACAGCGCAATTGGTTGTATTTCAATCCAACGTCCAAACACAACACACGTATAGGTCTACCAGAAGGATGTTTTAAAGCATTCGAAGGATCAGGTTTGTATAGTTTTGGCTCGCGAATTGATACTAAGGCATGATGTTAGCCCTCCATTCGGGCTATAGCAAAGTAGAGACTCACCATCTGCTACAAGGTTCTTGGTATTTGGGTCCACCCAGTCAATCGCTTCAAACGATGATCTCCAATCCTTTGAAGATAAAGCAGAGATGTTGCCATTTCCATTCGTAAGTGTATCCTTTTGTAACAACATTCGTCCAAGCATGCTACCTTCTTCTCGTATTCTCTTGGTCAATGCTCTGGTGTCAACACCATAGATTGCCGGAACACCTTGCTCCTTCAACCATGTTCCCAAAGAGGAGGTTGCGAGGAAGTGGGAAAACTCTTCACCGGCGTATGACGCAGTAATCAAACCTGCAATGTGAATCTCGGATGCCTCGAAATGTGCTGGCAGATCCTTGAGAAGTTCATCCATTGTTTCTCTGGATGGTACACCATAATTACCCACTAAAGGAAACGTAATGACCAAGATTTGTCCACGGTATGACGGGTCAGTTATTGACTCTGGGTACCCCACCATACCCGTCTGGAAAACCAATTCTCCTGCAACACTCTTCCTCGCACCAAAACTGTATCCTTGATAAACTGTGCCATCCTTCAATTCCAGACTGATGAGTCCTTCATCTGTACCATTAAGGATTGGTGCGGCAACTGGAGGGAAAACTAATTCTGCCATTGTGATATAAGGTGCTGAAAAGAGGTTTTGAGATGTGGCAGGGACTTCAAGAAAATGCCCTTCAACAAGCTGCAAAGCAGATTGAGGAGTGCTTTAGTGATCCAAGTTCGCCAGTTTGTAGGTCAAGTAACTGAGGTTTAATTCTTGGCCGTCTGACTTTTTGGATATAAAAATTGAAAGTGCAAATAGTTTTTAGATTTTCTCTCCAGAAAATGGGACCTCAATTTTTTTTTCTGGTGCTGAACAACCGAAGGGGGCCAAGTCTGTATTGGGGTTAGCTTTGAAGCTAGCAGGGCTTCTAGCGCAAGGCTGGCATCACTTATCAGCAGCCTTGCATCAAGGAGGGGCAGACTTCCGTCACGTTCAATTTACCCCTCAAAAGTTTTCACTGGTACATTGCCAGAATAATACCGGCACTATACAAAATAAAAATGGATTCACCTGTAGGTAGCTATGTAATGATGCATGATGGATGTCACAGCGTGCGTCCAGCATGCATACTAAGAAGGTAAATTTTGGTGTTGTGATATCGGAATAGAAACCAACACACAACACCTGCTTTGGATGTCAGCATCGTCTCTTTTCATGGTAGAAATTTGCATCACACAGGTCGCCGTTGTTTGTAGGCGGATGTTTATCTTGGTGGCTTGAAGTATTGCTTAGCTAATGGGCATAGTCTTCAAAGATGCTGTTTATGCGGTGAGTCGATGAGTCGGTGAGTCGGTGAGCCGATCGATGCTCATCACCTTCATCAAGGCTACATCTCCAATTACTTTACCAAGCCACAAATGTATTCGAGTCAGATCTATAGAACCAACAGTCAATGATTGAATAGCGGTCTGTTTGTTGATTGATGATGTAAGGTCAAGCCAGTCAATCCCTTGGAGGATTTTTCTCTGCCCCCCACCTTCAACCTGCGGAGTACAAAAAGGTTTCGTACATATCGACCACACCATTTATGATTTGACCTTGACCTTGACCACCTGCTCGTTGTCCAATAGAGGCAACTGCAAAACAGACTAGGAAAAGACTGGAAACATGAGACACAAAGCACGCCTAGTATAGCACGAGGTACAAAGTATCATCTATCAAAGGGGAAACAATGCGGCTTTTTACTTTAAGGAACCCTCAAAACGGGCCAGAACTTTTCTTAGAAGGCGAGAAGATGGACATCGATGCAATCCTCATTTTTACAGCTGCCTTTTTAATGATATATACAAGTAAGCTGACCTTCCATATTAAAAGCCCAAAAGCCCAAAAGCCACCAACTTCTGGAAATGGGCTCAAATACATGATGATAATATTTTGTAAAATAGAGATGAGAGAGTAAAAGACTAACAAATTCCATTCAAGTTTTGGCTATCCATCTATTCACATTTATGCCTACTAGGTAGGTACCTATCTAAACAATTGAAATAGTATATCTTCATTTCATCACGAGGACATCTCATATGAACGGAAACTTTTCCATCTTCCTCAATCTCGAAGATAACCTCAATCCATTCTCGTGCTTTGATCTTTGATTGGATGAGATTGGAACACCATTGCTAGGTAATTGCTAGTATTGATCGGCAGCATGCATCTAAACGAGACAATAACATGCATGAATGGTTGCATCAAAAAAAAGTTGAGATCCTTCTAGGTTTCCCCTTCACTCGGCCGGTGAGTCGAAAAAGTCGATATTCGATGATGCTTCTTGTGTTGCTTTTTAGAGGTGAGATAAGCAGGATTTAGATTTGCTCTCTTTTCTTTACATTCTACAAGGGAAGATTTTATATCTTCATTTCACATCCTTCTTCATTCAAATTCCGTCCTCATGTCAAGGTTCTTTTAATACTGTACATAATTCAATTAATCCGATAAATTTATTGCTTGATCACTGTCAAGGAATATCCATCTATTCTTAACGACTGAGCCTTGGTTTCTGGGAGACGCGATAAGCTGGAAATTAATATTACTTTGTTGTTTATTTACAAACACTTCTATAATGTTCTGAAATTTCTTTTTTACAAACATTGAAACTAACTCTGCGGCCGATCGACTTTTTTGTTGCTTTGTTCCTTTTACGCACGGCAAGATGGAATAAATCAAGGCAGACTACCTCCTCAGAAATCAAACATTTCTCTCCACCTTCCATTTTTGATCCTCGAGGAAGAATCATTCAACCATAGTCCTCGAGTCAAGAAGATATCCCAGGCGAAAATGCTATCTTCATTACTGCGACCAAAGAAAACACGACGACGCGTACAAGAAATCCATTCCCCTTTCTCGTCACCGTATGTTGATCGATCTTCGCCAGCTGCAGAGAGAAGAGAACGCTTGCCTCGACATGCATCCGCAGATTTTACGGAAACAGAAATGGAGGAAGATACTGAGGAGGAGATTGTGTTAGAAAACAATGATGCAGATGAGAATGGAGGAGGTGATGAGGACGAACTAGAGGAAGAAGATGGGGATGAAGATCAACCTCTCTTGCCTATCTTCTCTGCAGCACATCTTGGTATTTGCAGGTTCTTACCTTCTCTTTGGATACACTAACTTTTTGAATAGATGCACTTCCAGTATATAACCTCACTCATGCCATTCGACTTATTATACTTCCGCGGACAGAAACAACATTGACCTGGGATCAATTACGGTCACCACAAGTTTCCCAGTTTTTAGTGAAGCCTATGCAACAACAAATTCGAACATCCCACTTTTCTCGAGCTACTTTATATGCGTTGATGGCAAATTGTTTACAATTTAAAAAGGAAAGTCAAGCAAATCCGGGTAACGCAGGGAATAGCTTGACGAGAGCTCTAGTTTGTGAGCTTCTAGCCATTAAATTATTGAAGGAATACAATACACGAGAGTTGATCGACGCCCTCTCTTATGACTTCTTTCCATTACAAGGTTTGGCTCAACCAGATCCGGCCATAACAAATTGGAATCAAAGAAATCGCATGAGGCCAGTTGCGGCGAGGATATCAACATTGGAAGTAGCTATTAGGGCATCTGCGAAACGATTATTGGCACATCCACTTGTGGTGCAACAACTAGAGGCTATTTGGGCAGGAACAATTGTTTTCCACTCGGCAGCGGATAATCTTCATCGTACATCCACAAGCCGGACAGGGTATAAGAAACAAAGTCCAAGCAATGGAAGTGCGGTTCCATTACTAACCCGTGAGCAACTTCGATATGGGGCAACAGCAGGTCCTCTAAAGCCTCCTAATAAGGAACCAGAGAGTCAGCAAGCCATCCAGACTTTGACTAGGAGAACCGTCACATTGTATGATCCTAGAGATGCGTCTTTATTCAAGCTTTCGAGGTTGAGGGTACCACGCTATCGGCAATTCTTCTCTACCTGCTCACTCGCTATTCTTCTCGTTCTATTTTTAGCTGTTCTCAGTCAAAGATCAACCGACATTACGGGCCTAGAAGTCATATTTTGGTTTTGGAGTGCAGGTTTTATGCTTGATGAAGTAGTTGGATTCAATGAACAAGGATTCTCGTTATACATAATGAGTTTCTGGAATGCTTTCGATTTGGGGATTCTCGTTTTACTCACCATTTACTACTGCATGCGTTTATATGGTATCTTCTTGGTGGACTACGGAAGAGAGGAGTGGAACAGTATGGCATATGATGTTCTTGCGACGAATGCAATTCTACTCTTTCCTCGATTGTTCAGCGTCCTCGACCACTACAGATATTTCTCACAATTGTTAATCGCATTCAGGTTGATGGCTATTGATCTTGTCGCGGTATTTGTACTAATCTTGATAGCTTGTAGTGGATTTTTCGTTGCATTTACTCTATCGTTTGGGAAAAGCGAATATGATGCAGCGGGGGTTGCTTACAAGATCTTTCAAATACTGATGGGATTTACACCTGCAGCATGGGAAGCATGGGAGACTTATAATTTCTTAGGGAAAGCATTACTAGTGCTTTTCTTATTCATTTGTCACTTCCTCGTTATTACGATTCTCATAACGGTCTTGACGAATTCCTTCATGTCAATTGTCTCAAACGCTAACGAAGAACATCAATTCGTCTTCGCTGTCAACACCATCTCTATGGTCAAGAATGATGCTCTCTTCTCTTATGTGGCACCAACAAACATTCTTGCATGGGTTCTTACACCATTCAGGTTTGTTTTTCCCTTTAGGACATTCATTAGGATGAATCGTACTGTTATCAAGATCACGCATTTCCCGTTGCTATTCAGTATCTGCGCCTACGAAAAGATTTTCTTAGCAAGGTCTGTCTTCGAACCTACAGATTTAGTTGAGAAAGTTGGACGAAGGACAAAGCGAACAATGTCATTTCAAGATCGTAGACATGGGCTCTTCAGTCCTAATCTACAGAGGCATGAATCTTCTGTTGCTGGTTTTCAGAAAGACAGAGCTCTTGATGAAGTATTCCGACTGACGCCTAGAGATACTCTTCCCAGAAACCGCCCTAGTTTTGAGCGTCGTCAAACTCATAATGTTATAAATAACTGGATGGAGCATCAAGGGGAGGTCGCTAGTCCACCACAAGAGCAAGATCGCTCGATATTGGAACGATTGGAGATGCGAAGACAATCTAGGAAAGCAACGATTATGAGACACCGCGGAATTAGTCGTGAGCTTTCCGGGAATAGATCCGTGGCTAGTGATCCGGCGGAGTTTATATCTACAGGATTTCATGATATGACTCGAATTTCCGATGATGCGTTACATCCAAACTCATTTGGTGGCGGTCATACTGATGCGGATGGAGATGATGAATTATTGACAAATGATGAAGACGAACTCCATACCGAGGATAAGCATACGGCGACAAACTTTAGCCAAAGTGATGCTGAATCCGAAGAAGATTACTTTCAAACCCCAACCGCGACTAGATTTGTTTCTCCAACTCCAGCATTCAATGCACAACAAGATTACGCTCGCCAAAATGGATCACCTCCAAAACAATCCAAAGCTACCCCAAGGAAAAAGGCCCATGATAGGAACTTATCTACAACGACAATCCTTTTCAACCCTGTTGCTTATACTTCTTCTGTTTCATCTATTTCACCTCCTCGCTCACGACCACTAACAGCAAAAATATATTCACAAGCCAATACTGGAACCAACACCCCAGCAGGTCCATCAGGATCCCGTACTCCAAAAACTGCTAACTACACAAATACAACCACTCGACCACGCCCTATTCTACCCAACCGTGCGAATTTTCAATCTATTCCAAATATCAATAAGCCAGACCCTGCACGCAACCGCCTTATGCGTCACAAAGATTCTAGTTTAAACATTAGTTTGTCAGAGATGGGCCTTGAACATGCTCAACTTGGTGCAGTACCTAGTTCATTTCAAACTCAAATGGCTATCGCTACTGAGATGGCAATGAAACGTGATAAAAAAGAAGAAACTGCAGATGGTATGATGGGAAGATTAATGTTGGCAAGAATGAAAACTTTGGAGGAAGGATTTGCTGAAGTCGTCAAGGAGTTTAGGGGGATGCGAACAGCTGGAAATTCCTCGGTTGAGAATGAACCTTCGATGGCAAAATGGAGAGAAGCAAAGGTGGATAAAAAGAAGAAACGGCCTAGCAGCGCCAATCTTTCACAAGCGAAAAGTGAAATAAATGTGGAGAGTCTAAGGATGACAAGTTCGAAGGGAAAAGAAAAGGGATACTTTGATAATAATCATGGCGGTGGCGATATTTCAACTGCTGGGCTTGAGGTTGAAGGATTTACGAGTCGAGGAACGAGCGAGTATAAGACTCCATATGAAACGCCAGACGCGGGTATTATTGCACAGTATCTGACCAAGGGGAATTCCTTGTAGTAATTGCAAATTAGCGGGAGTTTGGGTGGGCCGGAAATCTATGGTGGTGGTCTGTTTCTGCATTTTTTTATTCTGTATTATTTAAAGTACATGTATTGAATGATATGAGTAGAGGTTGAGTTTATTGTGCATAAAGGAGGATATACCCAATTGTTTTTAGGTTAATCGGTCAGTAATAATGATGGGCACATGGAATAATAATGAGAGGAATCATGACAAGACAATATCATTGGTGTAATTTCCTATATCGTGCTCGATCTATAATGCCCAGCAATTCGTCAACCTAAAAACACCCAGCATATTCACCGCACATCAACATCCCGTTCTAGTCCCAGTCCTAGTCTAAGCACCAACCACCGTCTTCTTAACCCCCTTCAACTGATTCATCACAGGCGGAATAGGCATACACCAAAACATGACAGCAGCAACAGCAGGAATATATCTGCGAGGAATCAAGATCTCAATCAGCACAGCACTAAATTTATCGTAAAACGACACAAAATCATGCAAGGGATTCAAGAATGTTAAAAAACGTACAGAAGTCCTGTTCCGTATACATTCTTCCACGCTTTTCCCCAGTATACGTCGCGGCCGAAGTAGATGGCTTGACGGGGGGCGGAGGATTTTGTAGAGGCGAATCGATGGGTCCGGGAGAGGTGGGTGAGGCGGGTGAGTTGGGAGAGGGTTGGACGGGACATTTTTTGAGGGGTTTGGGAGGTGGATGGAAGTTGGAGGTTGAGTTGAGGATTGAGGATTGCTGGGTGGGAGATTGTGAAGTGGTTATGATTGATTAAGCCCGTCGTATGTGGAAGTAGAGAGAAAATGGTGAAGTATAATTGATTCGTTGGTCGACGGTAAGAAAAAATCACGAACGGGGGATAGAGGACGAGGTCGAGAGAGAATTCAAGTCAAGTAAGTGATAAAGTCACATACAAGCGAATCACCAAAATGGGAAGAATGAATAAATGGAAGGAAGGAGTAAATAAGAAAACCCCAACTTCCCTTTCAGCAGGATACGCATATTTATGGATTTTTTCGGTGCTCCCTCATGATCAAAATTGGTCTCTTGCAGCTTGCATGTATAGCCTGATATTTTACCGCTCGTGATTTGAGATTGAGATTTCTTTGGCTGGAAATAAGACCCCGGTTCAAAGCCCGATTTGTTTCAGAGCCCGGATTGCTGTTTTTATTATCCCTTTTCAGGGGATAGAGAGGGATATCTGGGGTTTGGAATGGATGGGATGGATTTTTGATATTTTGTATTTAATCTTGGTTAGTTATGCGATGTGAGTAGTACCTGGATAATTGAATGATACCTACTTATTAAGTAGATTCTGACTGGAAAACAGCGAAAAGTATCTGATTAATTGAAAGACGACATATGTGTGCATCCCTACTATAGTATGATTCTATCTAAACATGTCTTTCCGATAGTACCGTAATACAACGTCGTATCAGATAACAGCCCATTATTGCATGAAGTGAGGAGGAAGTTATGTTTCGATTCCTATCCTGGGGTAATGCGGGGTAGATCTCACAGGGGCGGGTTAGCGTATCGCTTAACGTGACACGGGTGTGTTAGCCGGGTGACTAATGATTGTGGGAATAAAATGGGTTGGTGCTTTTGATCCTAGAACTAATCTATGATATCACAGGTTATATTGATACGACTGTTATATCACGTTACGCCAGATTTGGGACCTTTCCTTTAAGTATTTACTATTTATATATTGGATCTCTTCTATTCTCTACTTGTAAAACTGGGTATTCAGAGAGAGAGAGACTTTCACCGGGTCCGGTCATCCCACTTTCTAAAGCATTAAGCACATAATACTAGAGCCACAATGTCTTTAGATTCAAAGAAGAACTCTTATCTAGATCTTGTGAAGGCTTGTGATAAGTAAGTCATATATCATTCTACCTTAATAGCTTGTATATAATACTTACTACTTACGTCCCAGCTTCCCATACGATACAGACATCGACAAGCTGTACAAACTTTATCTCCCAGACGATAGTCGAATCCATGGATATATGCTTCCTGAAATTGTCTCCAGGATGCCATGGTCTCCCGATTTCACCATCACCCAAGATCAACCATTAAGTGTCCAACTGCATCCCATGAATATCACAAGCGAAGATTTCTCAACCGTTTGCAATAATGCATTTGCAAAGGTTATCAATGAAGCAATCGATAAAGATCTTTTCAGTACCCTCCACAGAGAACACAGTGAACCATATGCTATTCCAGGAGCAAAAGAACCCGTACAACTCGAACGTTATGCCGCTTCTCTATTCGGTACCGTGGCAAGGGGTGCACATCTCACAATCTTCACACATGTGAATGGAGAAATGAAAATCTGGGTCGCGAAAAGAAGTGCACATCTATTTTCATATCCCGGCAAATTCGACACGACGGTTGCAGGAGGTGTACGTGCAGATGAATCACCTTTCGAAACAATCGTTCATGAAGCAGACGAAGAAGCATCTCTCGACTCTGCACTAATCCGCTCAAATGTACACTCCACAGGTGTCATTACATACATGAAATCGACCGGCTCCGGATCCGGCGGTATCAAGGGATTAATCACCGCAGATATGGTATACGTGTACGATCTCGAAGTTGGGGAAGACACAGTACCAAAACCACGTGATGATGAAGTTGAGGGGTTCTATTTATGGGATGTGCAGAAGATCAAGGAGGAATTGTTGAATGGAGGTTTTAAGACTAATAGTGCGGTGGTCATGATTGATTTTTTTATTAGACATGGGATTATTACGCCGGAGAATGAATGTGATTATACGGATATTGTTATGAGGATGCATAGGAATTTACCGTTTCCGACGGCGCCGTCGAGTTAGGGTTTTTATTGTGGGTTGTTGGTTATAAAGAGAGGGATTTTTGGGGTTCGTTTTAGTTTGCTTGATATATGGTTTAGAATGATTGCTTGAAGGGTCCGGGAGATAACGAGGTATATTAGATAGATAAGATTCATCACCCTCCCAGATTCATTATCAATATAGTAATGAAGCGATTCAGTCTTATTCGTCCAAACTATTAATACATTTATTTATCTAATAACATCACTTCTTCGACACGTAGCCTACCCTGCTACCTTCCGCACCTTTATATTATTCATATTAATAGGTATCATCACTAGCCCCTCGAAAGTCCCTGCTCCAGTTTATTTTCTAAAATTTGAGCAATGAAGAATCAATCTGAATGAACGAACAAAAACCAAATAGTACCAACAACTAACTCAGTTGTCAAGAATCGATGATGGGATTTCCACCACTAACACTGAGGGAATCAGTGGCATGCGAGCCAAAGGCATTCGCACTGCTTGTTACAGCAGAAGACAGTTCGAAAAGTGAGATTAATGATCAAACGACAAATCTATTCTTTGTGTTAAGTTAGGTTAGCTCGCCCTAGTGAACGCCTTGACGACATTTTTGATTTTTCGGGGGACCTCAAAATCTTCGAGATCCTCGATCATTAAGTAAGTCAGTCATAGAGAAGTTAATTCTTTTTCCATGAAAAAGACGTTGGTTCTATTATAGTATTCTTACGTTTGATATCTTCAAATTTTTAATGTTCCGAAACATGTTCCTCTTGCTCATCAAGTCGCACCGTTACACACGCGCATGTATTAGATATCAGAGAGGACAAGGCTAGCTTGATATTCGTCAGGCTGAAGTTAAAGCGAATTCCTAGTCATCGGGATTCCTCTATACGAGTATGCTTCCTATTCTATGAACAAGGTTTCCACCAGGCCATCATTCTACAAAATGCGACTACGCCAAGCACACCTACAATGCTCCTTATGCTTTTATAGTTCCAATAAAATATAGTGGACGAGACTGTACCGTGTCGGTATGGATGAACATTACTTGTTGCTGGTTAATTTACTGAACAAACATACAGTATTACGCACAGAAGATCAAAATATAAACCTCACTTCCGGAACATATATCTCTGATCCCCACGCCGGTTATTGCACTGCAACTTTTAGCTATGAATGCTCCGGACCATCTCTTCGTCGTGAAATCCTGGTTTCGTTGTCAGCGAAGCAATATAGGCGACTTCAATGCTTTTCTCCTTCATGACGTTTGTCTGCAGACCTTACAAGCTATGCTGAAGCTCGAAATACCATCTGGAGCTCTATTTTCATTTTGCCAAGCATTAGCGAATGATTATCAGAAGCAGGATTCTAGTTCAAGAAGTGATATGTTCCGAAATCTAGGTAAGATTGCAAAATTCTCGGATCAAATAAATTATTCTAATTATGATTGCAGCCCGGTTCGATGTATTATCTCCAACTTTCGGAACATTAGCAGCTTCTGGAAACATTCCTAACCTAACTAACAATCATCATGAATCAAGATTGGATAAACTACCGTTAGATGTAATATAGTTGATCTTACCCTATCTCGATTCAAAACCATTGATCAGCTATTTCGCTTCTAGCAGTCTAGCTCTTTCATTAGCTTCTCTATACCCTCCCTGGAAACTTCTTCTTTCATATACACAATCCATCTTGGAAAAGAGAACCACAGCACAAGACATAGTGATCTTTGCTCATTGTAACTTTGATATCGATGATTACATTGCTCTAGAGAAGTTGGTAGCATGGATACAGAAATTGGATGATCTTGCATGCATCTTGAAAGTTCGATTATCATATCTTTCATCTTTCGAGGTTCCTCCAGGAATTACCTGCGTTTCGCATTCGGAACAACGCTTCTTACTTGGATATCAACAAATTACGATATTTATACCTAGTACGATCACCGATTTCAATGTATACTTCGTTTCGATTCATGGGAAGAGATATATCTCAGGATTAGAAGGGATACCATGTAGTACCCAGATATCCATAGGGGCCTGCTTTGGTATTACCCATCGTATAAGCTTCTCATCAAACAAATCAGATCTGGGTTTTGTTGCCGATTCATTGCGGATACGTAGTATTCGATTCGGCAAATCTGGATGGTCATCCGAAGTCCCATCCAATTTAGATTGTTTCGAAGGTTTGAGTATCAATAACGATAATGAATTGGTCGTCTTTATGGATATAAACTTTGACATTCTACCTCAATTGAATAATTGCTGACCTATCTTAGGCGCTGAAGTTTCGACATATTACTGGCAACACGATCCTGATATAAGAATATCCTTTCCCGAAACTATCATTATGAAGCCTCAGCGAATTGGGCAACTATCGCCGGAATATTACGTTCATAGATTCAATACTCCAACAGCTCCTCGTCGAAAAGAAGAGATAGCAGTAGAGTCAATATTTTTTGACAAGGATATGTTTGGATTATCTATGTATATCGAATTTGGGAATGGAATTACTAGTGTCCAAGTGCATTCGAAGACCAGGATACAATCTGTCGGAATATGCAATGGTGAGGAAACGCATTTTCCTATTCAGGCTTGTGAAGAGAGAATTAATAAAGTTTGTGTATGGACATCGCCTGGTCTTGATCTTACAGTATGTCTTCTTTCATTTTATTTTATGTTATTTTATGGAAGTTAACACCATGTTAGCTTTACACTACTTTGGGTCGACATCAGCATTTTGGTCAAGCCGATGGTTCACATAGAATTCTCGAACCACCAAACTATCAACTCATTCAAGGATGCTATTTTCGATTTTAGGGTCCTGGTCTTGAATATTTTGGTATCGTATGTCAAGATGGGGAGTTCAGAATTATAATATTTCCAAGGCGCAAGAGTCAAATCAAGTAGCATTCAAAAACTACAAACGTATGAAAGATTCAAGAGGACCTGTACACGGAGACTCGTATGTTGTGAATAAGATATCGTTGAAACCTTCCAAAAATATTGCAATTTCAAGGGAACACTGAAAACAGTTTTTTGGCTTCCGTCCATCCATCCGCATCAAGGCCTATAGTGTTGTTTGAATTAATCTTTCGCCATCTACACCCCTTAGGATTAGCGTCAGCCCAACCGTGGTAATTGAATACCCATGCATTTGTCGAGCGGGGATGCACGGGTGTTTCAGTCGACTTGGAGTACCAGAAATAATTCCTAACTAAAACAAATAGTGATCATCCGACGATCCGACGTAACAAGGTGTCGTCTGTTGGGATGAATATGGTCCGGAATATGTGCTTGAAATAGTATTGTGTGATGCATGGTACACTGGAGGAGCAATTCTTTTCACGAAGTCAAGAAACTCCTTGATCTGGTTGGCCTGGCTGGGGATCCGTGGACCTCTTCAAGAGGTGGTATCCGCTTTCTGTAGAACCCCCCATTAAAGGCACTTTAGTTACATTTCCCACACTCCTATCCTCATTCTCCGTATAAGAGAGATGCCAACCTCGAATCAATGTTCCATATGCAACTGCACCATAGACGGTGGCTTGCCCTTGTGCCTTGCCTGTCCCCGAGAAGTAATGCAGAGCATACGAATCCAACTGGTCTTCCATTTCCTCCCTCTTACGAACGGTCGGCTCTGCTGTTTGCAGTCTATTAATAAGATCATAACCGGTTGGAATCCTGTATCATAAGACCTAACCACAATATCTACCTACAGCTTTCGTCGTCTCATCGACCGGTTGCTGGGAATTCACAAAAAGATTATCTTCGGTTTTATATTATGAATTCAAAAGGTCCTCCCAAAATGGAACAGTGGCAGATTCTCGCAATACAACTTTGAAGGCTTGAAGGCAACCACTATATAAACCATAATTTGTGAGTAGACCAATGGGTTGAAAAGACATCTGTATTTTATCAGCAAATACAACATTATTGAAATTCTCATATACTTTTAGTCAAAGAGTATAAACTGATAATTATAATATTCACGACGAATATCCCCTCACCCCTTAATTATCATCATATATAATTCTTACTCCCCTATAAATCAGCACATACGACCACAGACTGAAGAGAATTGGGCATCCCGTCCGCTCTGCCATACACAAGCTTCAGATCGGTAGATTAGTAGTTGGGTGGGTGACCACCAGCGAATCCCTACTGTTGTATGTTTTTGTGCCTCTCTTTTTTTGTATTTGCATTTTGTAGATTTTTTGGTTTGGGGTAGGATTTGGGGGATGACGAGGAAAGAGGGGATGCTGGAATTGGGGAGGTTTGGGGCTGTTTTTTATGGGTTTGGGATTATCGATTAGATAGAAGATAGAGTTGGGCCCAGGAGGGGGAGGCTAGGTTTTTGAGGTAGATGGTGGTGTGAGATGTTGTTTGGGTAATTAGGAGTAATAATTTGAGTCGGTTTTGGTTGAGGAGGATGTTTTACTGTTGATATATAATACTTTTTTCTATGTTTGTTCGCGTAAACTCCTTCTTTGTCTTCATCGTTGTCACAACCACCCATACTATTTCCGAATCCCTCTATAGCCGGATAAAACAGCTATGGGACGAGTTGTCAAATGGAAGAAAAAGGCCCAGAATAAGAAGACAATAACTTTGCTTCTTATTAGATGTTATAGATGTACTGTTGTCTATAAATTTAATCTTACATGCATACATATAAATCGGTTTCTTCCCATCCACTAATCTTATCTCAGCTTCTAAGATCAAGATATCATTCAATCAAATCACATTTATTATGTCTATCAAGTATGATTTAAAAAAATCCAGCTGTGTCAATCATCAGGATACTTCCTGCTACAGATATCGTTCCATTGATAGGCGATGCGATTCCTGAAAATCATTAGTACTCAACCATTCCCAGAAAAGAAAAAAATATAGACTAGGAAAGGAAAGGAAACTTACCACCACTAGTAGCCAAATACAGAATATTTGCATCCATAATCGTTCTTCCAAAATGGCCAGAAGTAACACCAGCCAAAGTAGTTGAGATAACACTTCCAGCAACAAGGGTAGCTTGTTTTTTCCCAACAGGAATATAACTCAATTCATCCACTTGGTTCTGGGCAACCCAAATCGTTCCATCGCTTTTGAAAACAAAATCATCGGCTTTAGGAACATTGCTTACGACAACCTCGCTGGATCCAATGGGTGTTCCATTGATTTTGATTTTGATTCTGTTGACAGAACCAATAGCGGTATTGGTCCAGTAGAGATATGAACTTGAGATCTTAATACCGTTCACACCGAGAGCGGCGGAGGCACCGACGGGGAATTTCATTTTAGGATCATTGATGAGAATTTCATAAGCACCGGTTGTGACGCAAATTTTGTAAACCCATCCATTGTAAGCATCTCCGACGAGAATATTCTCATCATCTAGGGTGGTCATTCCATTGAGAAAATCGGCAGAGGTGATATCGACAAGCTTGGTGACTGTAGCTGGGGATGTGACGACTCCGTTTCTTTGAGCAAATGTGTTCATGTTAATTTTCCAGATGGAATTTACACCGCTTGCTTTGGCGAAAGAATCGTCAATTTGAGCGGAGGTAATGACGTAGAATACATCTTTTGTCGTTTCGGAGATACCGAGACAGCCTTTGTAGGTTATGGAGTCGAAGGTTGAGATGGTGATGGGTTCAAATGCGTTTGTGTGTGAGACAAGGAGGACCTCAGGGGTATCGAAACGGGAGACTAGGATGTCACCGTTGGATCTGATAGCCAAATTTTCAGCCCATGAAGGGTAGGAGAAGGTTTTCAGACTCTTGACGGCTAGAGGGAGATTTGGGTGGAAGGCGGAATCTGAGACTGAGCTAGATTGTGCGATGGGAGTGCACGTGCTGAGGGAGGGAAGAAAACTAAGGGCTGAGAGAGCCGCGCTCATGATTGATGCTTTCATCTTAAGGAGAGACAGACCGAACTTGAACTGTATCTAGAGCTAGCAGACAGGAAAGAAAATGAGATACGAATGAAAGAAAATGAGATTAGAGGAGAAAATAGAAAGTATATGTAGAGGCTGAGAAAAGAACACTATCAACAAAAATGTACGAAAGTTTCCAGCTGAATAAATTCAATAGTAAACCCCTTCAACGCTTGAGCCACGGGTTGTTAACCACGAATATTAGACTACTACATCTAGTATACCCATCAAAAGTGGGACTATTGAACGTAATCATGAACCATTGAAGACATTTATTTTCGGGGACAGATGGACTTGGCGCCGACTTAGATCATCTTTCGGTCCCGACTCAATACATCTTGTTTGTAAGGATTGAAGAAATGCACTGAGAAATGAAGAATGATGAAAAAGGTGTCGAAAAATATCGGTATCCCTCAACATTCTATTTCAATCTCCATGTTGGGTTAGGATACTTGGAGCTTGTTTAGAAGCTAGGATATATGGAGGATGTTGGTCTGCCGTCTTGTAAAGGGCGCTTGGGGTAGTGGAGTAGCTAAGTATTGGTGTATATCAGGGGCTGAACCTATCTAGTGTATTGATGGAGTATAATTGTACTCCCGTAAGACTTACTAGTGTTGTAGATAGAAATGTCAATCTTCAGTAACGATAATGATAATGATAATCTCAGTGCACTCCGTAACTTACACAATACCGCCACAAACCATTCGCATGCCACCATGCCACCATACCGTTCACCATCCAAGCTCTCCTAGGTAGCAGTAAGGTCACATCCACATCCACATCCACATCCGGCAAGAAATTGTTAATCATATAAAGAGTTTAACAGATTGTAAGATTAAGATCCTGCTGATCTTAACTTTGTAACTTTTTGCTTTATGGGCGGAAAAATTAAGCTTCTACATACGTAGTACACTCTGGAGAAAACTCAAAATTCAGCTCAAATCGAAAAGTTAAAAGCTTAGTCATTCTTACTTAAGCTAACCAACCATCCACTATCGAATCGATATTCTTTTTGTCCGTCATCCATCTAAACCCCTCCGCTCCCCTAAAGAAGAAAAGTATCAAAATACCCACTATGAATTTTACAATGTGTACGGAGTAGATCATGATAATCACAGAAGTATAGAAGCATAGAATAAGGTTACGTACCCCCACCCCACCTTACGGGGTATATACTCCCCTGCTTCATACCTCATGTATAAGGGGATATCTCGACTATGTCAATATATATATCATATATAACCGATCATTTACACGGTAATTAATAGAAGTCTCGAGTTCGAGTTCGAGTTCGAGTTCGTAAGATTATTAGAATTCCTAGATCTAAACCTACATATATACTCATTAATAAAAACTTGAACAAATAAAAAAAAATTCATCAATTTATATAAAACCTAAATAATTTTATAAATTAGAAAATCATAATATATAACATCACTTTCAAATTTTTAATTTATAATTCCTTAGATATAAATATAATATAATCTTATATTTACAAAAGAGATTTCTTTTCAAAGTATATATATAAAACATATTATTTATTCAACCCTCGCTTCCGCCCCTCCTTCCATCCCTCGTACCCCAAAAATATACTCCCCCTCCTCCCCCAAACACCAAATACTCATCCCCAAGTTCCTCATCCCCTCTTCCCCTCCCCTCCACCCCAAATCACCATCACCATCACTCATCTTTCTAAAAAAAAAACCTCAATCCATTTAATCCAACTCAATTTTCTCTCTCCCCATATCCCGATAACTAACACAAAAATCGGAGCTATCGCGCAGGCGCTAAGATGACAGATTACCGGATTCAGATAGAAGAAGAAGGGACTAATGAGGCGATTACGATGAGGTTAGATGGATGGGTGGAGAAATCCAAAGGGAATATCTTACTATACCCATTGTATACATGTGAAGAATGAGATGGAGTTATCTATCTAGTATTGCTTTATAACCCATAAGTGGGTTGTGTTTAAACTTATGATATCATTATGAGATGATAATCTTATATATATATATATATAATCGTACAATCTCCTCGATACAGCGAGTACGTATACAAACTCAAGGTATATAAGCTTACGAAATCTTCATAATGACTACCTAGGTACTTCGATTACAAATACATATAAATGCAGTGACTGCTTTAAGCAAGATATTTACCATCGAAAAATGCCGAAGGGTCTTAAACTGTCAAATATGGCTGAAAGTTGCAACTCCGTGGTACATTTAGGTAGTGTGAAATGAGCTGCCTTTCTACTCAGATAGGAGATGAATAAAGCTAGGACTCGCCTCCTAAAACATATAGCATTACTGGGGTCACTGGGCAATAATCAATGTTTTCGTTGAATCTCATGCTTGGCTCAAATTTTCTATATTGTTTGTCTTGATATATATCAATATCTATCGATGTCTGCTTGCTCTCTTTCGTAAATTCAAGTCGTGGCAAGGCCAAAGAACTAATTTTATCGTGATATGCATAGATCAAGACACCGGCTGAATATAACAGGAAGCTGCGTGTCGCAGAGCGGACGTGGATCACGCTGTGCCGGCCGAATCATGTTATTCGATGATCTGTGAAGGACTTGTCTCTGCAGAAGACCTTTCAATCATCAGGCAGAATGCTCTTAGGATCCATTCCAATCTCCTCACCAAGTCTTCTAACAACTGTCTTCAACGCAGTACAAGCTGGACTATCAGGCCAGGCATCGAAAAAACTTTCACCGTAATCGCACGACATCCCAATTCGAGGGTCTAGTGGTACGGCTCCTAGAAATGGGATATTCATCTCTTTAGCCAAAGCTCTTGCGCCTCCAGTTGTAGCTTGGAATATTTGACTTTCGTGTGTGCATTTCGGGCAGACGAATCCTGACATATTCTCCACAATCCCTAATACCTTAATTCCCGCCTTCCGACAAAAGTCGATTTCCTTTCTGACATCTAACAGTGAAACTTCCTGTGGTGTTGTAACTACTAAAGCTCCATCCACCCCACTTTCCTTAAGAAACGAGTTCACACTCAAATGCTCATCACTTGTTCCCGGAGGTGTGTCCACCAATAAAAAATCCATCTCTCCCCACTCCACATCCTTCAAAAACTGTTTTATCAATCCATTTTTCTTTGGTCCTCTCCATATCACGGCATCGTCTCGATTTGGTAACATAAATTGTACACTCATAACACCCAGATTCTCCATAACCCACACTGGACTCCAACCAGCACCACTAACATGTATTTGTTCCGTCTCTACTCCCATCATCTTTGGTATGCTTGGCCCGCAGATATCGGTATCCATGATTCCCACTGTATTATCCTCATTTGTAGCGAATGCATGCGCGAGTAAACTGGTGAATGTACTTTTTCCCACGCCACCTTTACCCGATAGAATTAAGACTTTATGTTTAATTCCTGCGAGACGTGCAGTTATAGCTGGGATATCTGGATCGGGGCCTTTGGGCGCAGAGGCACAAATTGCTTGGTTGGGACAGCCGGCGCAAGAGTCTGCCTTTCCTGCAGCTTCGGATTCTGGACCAGGACAATGTTCAGGTTCCGGGGCGACAAGCTTGGGAGCGTTTTTTAGAGGATTTGAGAGAACGTCTTGAACAGCCTCTGGCCTTTCTTCGAGAGAAGGTGCCATAATTATCTTGATATATCTAGAAGAGAGCTGTGAATTAATTATTGAATTGTGAAAACAAAATGTGGGATGATAAGGTCGCAGAATGTTTACAAAGCATGGGATTTTGACGGAGATTGGTCATATCACATTGACTTAATTGGTAAGCGGTGAGCTAGTGTCATTTCGTACGAATTTATGTTGCGGACTTTTGAAGTTTGAACTTATCATTCTCCACAACTACAGACGTCCATTTTCTCATTTTCTGCTATAGCAATCTTTTAACTATTTAAGATGCATTATTTACAACTGCTATTATTTGCCTGCGATGTTGAAAGCCCTTACTTTTGCACGAAAGAGAGTTTTCGAATGCACTCAAGATGACCGCAGAAACTCTTCCTTCATGCACGGAAAGTTTGGGGTCTCTAAAAAGCCCGATTGGTATTGACCTAGTGTCTGACTGAGATACTTCAAATTGTGATGACGAGATATTCTATAATCAGATGTTTGGTATCAAACGGGTTTCGATTTCGGTGGAACATATAATGAGACCTTGATGTTCCCATCACAATCACATTCGAGCGCCTGGCCTGTCGCAATGGAAAACTGGATCTGATTGTACTCCAGCTTGAAAGATCTTATGTGCACCGGCAGCTAGAAGTTTACAATCAGCCGGAGGCAGACAAGATTCCCTCACTTGCCATGGAAGCAGACGTCCACGTAGAATATTTCGTTGTCGGAAAGGATACTCGAGTATTGATGAACAAATGCAGATAACATTGGTTCTTATCAACTGGATATTTTCCGTCACTTCCCGAGGATCTGTACAACCAAAGTCTTCTTGGGAAGTAATTGACAGGTCAGAAAACGTGGGTGACAGAAATATGAATGGGTGTGGTACGGGATCCTTCCGTCATGTCAACCTTGTGTAGGATTTCCAGCTTGGAATGCTTCTCCATCTTTCCCCAGATATATTGAAAGCGGTAGAAGATGACAAAAAAGATAAATTAATCCTTGACCTTGCATAAAAAAGCACCTCATTGATCGTCTCCAACTGGGGGGCCATAACCGGGGGCATCACATGTCAATTTGTAACTGCAGATGCGAGGTAGTTCTATAGAATTCTATGTGAAAATTTTGTTGAATATTGCATACACTGTGCGGGATACGGGAGTGAGTAGTTTGACTGAATACGGAAAAGGACCATGTGTGTTGGCAAATGACGGGGATTTCCAAGAGAGAATACAATATCAAAAACAAAGAAATGAGCAAATAGGTTAGAGTTGTACAGGATTAATAATACCGACTCAGCTATATGGGAGTAGATCAATGCATGACAAGATCGAGGAGAAAAAGAAACAGCTCCAAAGCACTCAAACAATATAAATGTTTCTGCACTTCCTCAAAAGAAGATTGTTCACATTCATGTCATCTTCTTGCTGTGATTTCGGTGATTGACCATTATGACAAACAAAATCAATTTCCCACCGGTCAATATCCAGCAACTATCTAGGTAGGTAGGCAGGCATGTACCAACAAAAATTCGATCATTCTTTGTGAGCAATGTAATTCGTTGGAATTCACGTCCACTCTAATTGTTACAGGGAGATGCAAAGTGTGACTTACAGTAGTGAATCCATCTAGACCTCACACAAAAGGACAGCATATGGTTCATCCCACTTCCACAAATTCAACGTTTAAGCATATGTCCAACATAGTACATATAAGACTACATACATACATGCTTTAACACCTACTTCACCCACAATCTCCACCAACGTGTTTGTCCAACAACACGTAGGACTCTTCAGTTGACACACATAAGGTCTCAACGACATTGCCATTGCCGTTTTCAACACGGCAGAGTTAATACAGCATGAGTACCGGTACTTCTTCAATGAAGTCCCAGGATTCAAGCGGCTTGCGGGAACGAAACAATAATGTTCCTACCACAAATGAGGATAATATGACAACCCCTTGCGGTTCCGAGCCATCCTCTGAAGACTTCAAGCTCGAGAAGGACAAGAAGACGTTTGGCAGAACCCCCAATGGTACCAGTAAGTCAAGAATTTCATTCAAGTATCGCACAGCCATTATCATTTCGAAAGATCCAAGCTAATAGTCCCACAGTATTTACAGTACCTCAAACCCATGATATGGTTTCTCAATTACTCGATCCCCGACAACCCAAGAACCTTTCGGATTTGATTGTCTTGGTCATACTTGCCCTCCATATATTTGCACTTTACGCCTTGCCAAGTTCGCTGAAAAGACCAGTATTCGCCGTCTTGTTCTTGTTCTGGCGAGGATGCTACAATGTCGGCATTGGATACCTCCTTCACATACAATCGCACCACAGAAGAATAGTGGCATGGGCAAAGAAATGGAATTTATTTGAGAACCCCAATACTGGCAAAAATCCTCGACCGTGGTTATACAATTTAATCAAGACTGAGCTGGAGACTAAAATACCAGAAGATTACAAATTGGAAGAAGCTCCTATCGAGTACAATACATGGTTAGTCTTTCGAAGGGTGGTGGATCTCATTTTGATGTGTGATTTCACATCGTATTGTCTCTTTGCGATTGCTTGTGGGGGTGCGCCCACGGATGAAAGTTTCGCTATGTCAATACTTCGGTGGGGTGCAGGTATCATACTCGTTTTATTCAACCTATGGGTTAAGCTTGATGCACATCGAGTGGTAAAAGATTATGCTTGGTACTGGGGTGACTTCTTCTACTTGATCGATCAAGAATTGACATTTGACGGTGTTTTTGAAATGGCACCTCATCCAATGTATTCTGTTGGATATGCTGGTTATTATGGTATCTCAATGATGGCTGCAAGCTACAGCGTGTTAGCAATTTCGATCGTTGCACATATGGCTCAATTTGCATTTCTACTCGTTGTGGAGAACCCTCACATCGAAAAAACCTATAATGCACCACCTCCCAGAAAGCACCAAGAGAATTCAAGCTCAAGCGACAGCGATCATGCAAACGTACTGGCATCAAGTAAAGAAGGTTCAGAATATAGCGTAGATCCATCGTCCACGCCTATACCACTACTGAATGCCGCTCAACCATTATCCGTCCATAACCTCATGGGATTGGGTAATATTGATCTATTCCGAATCACAGATGTTTCTGTTCTTCTACTCCAAGGTTATGTCTTTCTCATTACTGCACTCACGCCGTCAACCCCAATTTATCAAGCACTGTTTGTTATCCATGCTATATTTTGGCGTTTATGGTACGCCGTTGGCCTTGGAATCATTCTTGACAGACAATCGAACAAAAAGATGTGGACACGACATTTTGTCAAATATGGTGATAGTACAGAAGAAGCCTGGAGACAGTGGAAAGGGATGTACCACTTGAGCATGACAATGTGCTACGCAAGTTTCATTGCTGCAACGTGGAAGATGTACTCTATGCCTTCCGACTGGGCTTATGGGCTTGTCTTGTTGCGACATGTCCTAGGTGCTGGCTTGGTTTCTCTTCAAATCTGGACTGCCATCAGTATCTATGAGTCTTTGGGTGAATTCGGATGGTTCTTTGGAGACTTCTTCTTTGATCATGCACCCAAACTTACTTATAGTGGTATTTACCGATATCTCAATAACCCAGAACGTATCATCGGGCTTGCTGGTATTTGGGGAGCGGTTTTCATCACTGGAAGCCGAGCTATATTCTTCTTAGCGCTTCTCAGCCATACACTTACATTTGCATTCCTTCAATTTGTTGAAAAACCTCACATGCAGAAATTGTATGGACTAAATCTTCGATCAGAAGCAGGTCTATCGAAAAGCATCAAGAGATCGTTACCGCCTCAAATCAAGAAATGGCATGGTAATGTTGATAGAGTCTTGGAGGAAACTGGTCATTTCGTTGAAGAATTTTTGGATGCCGCTCGACCAAAATTTGCAGCTGGTGTTTCTACTATATTTAGAGACACCACTGCAATCTTCAGTCAATATCCTGCTCGTCTGACCTTAACAAGAATTGCACCAGATTTGGCCGGCTTTGATCCGAGAGATTATTCTATCAAAATCGAGGGTACATCATTTGATTCGACTGTGCACAAACGTACAACTTCTAAAGAAGGAATCAACGCCCGCTTGCCACAAGAACGGATGGATGAATTCAAGCCACTCGTCTTTGAATACGGTGCACCGATTAAAGTGAAATGGACAGCGCCAATAAATCATAGCAATGCTGATTGGGTAGGTTTGTACATGGTAGCTGACAATGCATCTCGAGAAGTAACGCGAATTCCTTCATCCGGTCGCTGGGTTGCCACTGTTCCTAATGAGTACGAATTTACACCAGCAGATAAAGGTATCCTCGTCTCGAATAGATTTGTGTCAGGCGAAAAGCGTACAGATGGATCAACTCAAGATTACCTTGAAGGTGAAATGCTCTTTGAAGGAGACAAAATCTTCTGGAACCAAGGAGTTTTCGAATTCCGTTATCATCATGATGGTAAACACAATGTCATGGCTATCTCGCTTCCGTTCGAAATCCGCATCCCTCGTTTCGACGACGAAAACTCAAGTCTAAACATTTCTCTTGATTCCGACAACTCACATTCCCAATCTCTAATCCGTAGCGCAGTCGAGCAAGCTCTATTGCCTGTAGTGCGCAATTGTTTTGATCGAGATCCGGATATTGCTCCTAACTCAGTAGATGAAAGTTTTGGGGAACTGGTGGCTCGGGATGGAAAATATCCCAGGCGCGTGGTACACGCTGTTCATTATATGTTTGGTATTGAATTTGCGCCAGAGGTAGTGAGAGCGGATGGGAATGTTAGGAATTTAGCCTGGAGAATTTGTAATGCGAAGCAGGTACTGGTATGCAGATTTTCTCAAACTCGTCCAAGGTCATTTTCTCGACCAGCGTCATTACGACGTGATACATGAGGATATATTTCTTTTCGATTTTTCTAATTTTCATCATCTTCAATGGATGGGTTCTCGAGATGGGCTATTTTTTCGATCATTTTCAGATTACTTCAACTTCGACATTTCATTTTTTAAACTATTTTCTTTCCTTATGATATCCTGGAAATTATTCGGCCGGATCGGAAAGACGGACACCGTTAGAAAAAAATACCAAGATTCAGAGAGATAGACATTGACCAACAAAACTTGCAGGCTCCATATAGTATGTCGCTTTCGAAAGGGACGAATACACCGGTTGGTGAAGGGGAGAAGGTTTAAGTGGGTTGGCTGATGATGTGAGGATGATGAAGGAATGTTGCAGTGGATGATGAAAGAAGGTTGCTGTGGATGGGCATAGGGGAATAATCTTCAAGTGATTAAGATTTGTATGAAGATGACGATGATGATTTGATGGAGTGTTAGATGGTACGTGGTAATGCAGTAAAGATACAAAGATACCCTGTTCTGCATTGTCTTGTTTGATTCTTATTATTGGTGACGGACGACATGTCACAATTTTGTTGGGGAAGAAGAGTATAGTATAGTATAGTATAGTATGCATAGCACTAGTATTACAGAAATAAAAAGATCTAGAGATAGATAGATGGTCGTATATAAAAGTTTCTGATATTTTTCCTCCCTTTGTTGTTTGAAGTTCGGTTGTGATTTTATGTTTTATTGATGTTATTTATAATTTATTAAATAAGTGTTCATTACCTTTTTAGTATATTTATATATCATATATGGACTTTTGAATCTGATTTTTTCATGAATAATCATTAGATAAGATTAAAATCTTACTTCGCTCGCAGACTAGCTAGGTAGCTAGGCAGATAGCTAGGTAAGCTAAACGTAGAGGAGTAGCCAGATAATAAACACTAAAAATTCAAAAAGCTAATTGTTCCTTCCTTCCTTCCTTCCTTTTGTAGTTCAGACCGGCTAGCTAGCTAGCTATTGCTTCGTTGGTTTATTCCTTGCATTTCTTCCTCTCTCATGACTACTTTGATTTCGAAATCTTAAGTAGGATTACATAGATAAGGTAGGATATCCCACCCTATCTCTTCCCTCCCCTTCCCTTCTCTCTTTCCGTGCACTGATTGATGCGTCCCTCTCAATGCAAAAAAGTATCTTTAAAGTAAAGTAAAGCAAAGCAAAGCAAACCCATAGTCAAAACTTAAATAAAAAAATAAAAAAACCCACCCCCAGCAAAATACCCGGCAAAACACTACACACACACACACCTGCAAAGAGAAAGAAAAAGCAATCTTTCAATCACGCAGCAACGCCTACATAACCAAACCAAGCCCAAAAAGTAATAGCTACCCATATTGCGGCGAGTAAGTAAGTTGAGAGGAGGATTGTTTCTTCGTTAGCTTGTGAATTGTTGGTGTTGTTGTCGGTGTAGGATGGTTCCCAGATTTCAAGATCCGGATCTGGTTCGGTTGAGGGGTGGAGTGGAAGGACAGAGGTGATTTGGGTGTTGGTTTTTGTGTTATTCGTTGAGTTGGAGGGAGATGGTGTGCTGGTTGGATCTTCGATTTCGATTTCGGTGTCTGTGTCTGTGTCTGTGTTTGAATCTCCATCTCCATCTCCATCGATTTCCGTCTCAGTTTCTGTATCTGTTTCTATTTCGGAATTGTAGTCAAATTCCCAGATTTCTTTGCATGAAATGGGTTTCGGCTTCGGCTTTGTTTCCGAGACTAGAATTGGTATCGGTCTTGGTGTTGGGGGTGGGAATAGAAGGTCGATGGTGGTGGTGATGTTAGGGAGATCTGTTTCCGTGCGCATTTTCACAAGTACCTCGTCGATTTTGAATGTCGATCTAGGGATATTTAAAACGTCTTCTTTGTCGGCTTTAGCTGCGGATTCCTGTTCATCGTTCTTTGAAGTATTTTTTGCAATGGCGGGAGTTATTTCGAGATATGAGTCAGTCGCTTCCAAGACTGGTACTGTCATCGCAGATACAGATAGCTCTTCGGCCTCTTTGCACTCTTCAATTTCTTTAGACTCTCCCACCGTCTCAGTTTCTTCCTTTTCCTCTTCCCTCTCCGAAAATGTACCTCCAGATCTATTTTCTTCATCCGAATCCTCCTCACTCCCAGATCCAGCAAACTCAAAATCAAGACTCAATCTCTCTCCAATAGGTTCTGCTCCCTTGACACCAAAATCCATTTCCTCCCAAGGTACTCCCTCTTCTTCATTCACTCCATCCATGTTCATACTCAGTCCCATAAATCTAATCTTTTTCTCAACATTTTCCGCAAGCTCCCTTTTCACAATCTCCATCTTCTTCTTCAAATTTTCCACTTTCAAGTTATCCACAAACTCTTTGGCTTCCTCAGAGATACCTTTTTGAGTTTGAAAGAAATCACCACTCATTTTCTTCTCAAAACGCTCCCGATCTATGAGATGGGTTTGACGGAGTAGATGGGCCCGACGACCTAGATCGTAGGTCCGTCGTCTGATGGAGTTGGTGAGCGTTTTATGTATTTGTTGTAGGGTTTCTTGGCTGTAGTTTGATGGTTTGCCTACTGTGTGAGTTGTGAGTTTTAGGTTTTTTACGGGGTAGAGTGATAAGGTGGATGGAAAAGGATCTAAAAGTTTAGAAAAGAGAAAATCTTACCGAGATTATTATATGCCTCTTCAATATCCTTTCTAGTAACACTAGGACTCTCTGGTAATCCTAAAATGTTATAATAGGAAGTGGTATATCGGTTTGGCAAATCGGCTTCCACTTCGGGCTCGGTAACGGGATCTGGAGAAGAGCTCCGGTCATAGCGTGTGATTTGACTGGAGATGGTACTGATCACTGGAGCAGACACAACTCGTAGTGGAGTCGGAATGACTGGCTTGTTTTCCAGAAGATCCAAAGATCTCGAGCGAGCGCTTTTCCAGGACTCTAATCTTGTCATTTTGGTCGGGAGAGGGAGAGGAGGTGGGGATTGGAACTGATCGGGAGAGGTTGGTGGAGTGGGGAGATATGAGCGGTGCTTCGGTCCTCTTGGTGTGGCCATGTTGTTGTTTTGAAGTTGGAAGTACTAGGTAGGGATGAGTTTGGTTGAGTTGAGATGTTTGCTGTGGTAAGGTAAGGTAATAAAATCCGACGTCTGATAACTGAATCCTGATAGGGAATGCTTCTCGTAATTGTTGAATTCAGAAGCTTTCAATTGTTGTTCTTGTACTTGTGTTCGTTCCTGAACCTGAAATAATAAACAACGTTGCAACAAAGCAGAAGAGAGAACCACGCTCGAGAAATCCTCTCACGGTAAAAAATGAAGTCCAAAACCGTACTGACACCAACGCTACTGAGGGGACATACGATAATAGATGAAAGACTAGTATTAGCGAAATGAAGATAATGAGAAGAAAGTGGGTGAATTTTAATTATGTGTAGCGTGATAGATACGGTGGTGGGTTGGAGGTGAAGGCGAAGGTGGAGTGAATTTTGGTATTTGGGTGGGAGATGGAATGGGAGTGGAAATGGAAGCGGAAGTGAGGTCTGATGGTGTGATGTGTTGATGATGTGAATGAACTTGCAGGTTCGAAGCGATGGATGTCCAAGTTAAAAGTGCGGTGCAAAATACCAGCGACCTTAGCTAATGAGGATGAAAAACATACATTGAACTGATCGTGCGTGGAGTAATATACCTACTAGGTAGGTATTCCGTGGATGAAAACAATGTATGAAGTTACGCACATGAAGGTAAAATGAAACATGAAAAATGAGAAAATGGAGAAACGAGTAAAAACCAGATGATACAAGAAACAAGGCTAGTATATCATTACATCGCAGCTAGATAGATATTTCATCATCAGGAAGTTTAAAGACCTTGGGATCATCGAGTAAGGTTTTCTCTTGTTAGAAAAGGGAAGGTTGAATGTGAGTGATGTCTTTCCTTCTTTTCCCTTTTCTTTCGTGACCAGTGCGGGGTGTGCCTGAAACTTGCTTTTTTGACTTTTACCTTTGTTTTTGAAAGATTGAGGGGTATGAGGGGAGAAGTGTGGGGGATTGGAAGGATGCATAGTATATGGTAGATGGTTGTAGTGAGTTGGGAGGGGATTTTGATTTGTTTGGATTGGATTGGATTGGATTGGGTTGGATTGGGTTGGGTGTTATATTATGTTATGATGGATGTGGAGATGGTATCTGCTTCGAGTTTGATTTGTTTAATATTCTAGAGTGGTTGAGGTGATGAGGTGAGTGTTTTATAGTAGTAGCTGGTAGCTGGTAGCTGGTAGCTGGTAGCTGGTTTGTAAGTTATGTGTATCACTCAATTTTGCGTCCTCAACTTTCAGCTGGAAAGTACTTATTCTCATTCTTAGAAGATGGGGATATGTTCCAACGGAAAGCTTGAATCCATTTTCATATCGGGAGAGAAACTGGTAGCAAGAAGCCAACTTCATCTCTACAACCAGCAGGCAACATACACCTTTCTTCTACACTCAGAACTAATGTCCCCCCATATATCCACCACCAACCCTCAAATCCTCCCATCTCCCATCTTCCCGCCTCCTATACACTCTCCCACCACAATCAACCCCCATTGCCCCCTCCTCTACATCCAAAGAGCTCTCCACCCATTCCACAAACTCCCTTTCCCTCCTCCTATCCCTATCTCTCTTCACTTCCAATACCTTCCAAACTCTCTCAACACATCTCCATTCACGATCAATCCTCTCCTGTTCTTGAAATACAGCCTCTTGCATCCGTGCTTCCATCTCCATTACCCCTTCAATTCGTCTTTGAATGTTTAGTTCAACTTCAACTTCCCTTTCTCTTTCCCTTTCTCTATTAAAATACCCGTGTGATCATTGATTCGAGATTAGAAATTCTCATTTGCATCATTGTGGCTTCTGAATAATTCTTCAGTTCTTCTGCGCGTGAAGAGTTCCTCTCCATTTGTCCTTCTGTTACTCGTATTCTCTATCTCATTGGCTGATAATTCGGGATTAAACTCATAACCACTTCTTCGTTTTCGTTGCTGTCGTTGTCGTGGAGAAGATGGTGATGATGAGTTGCGCCCATGTAGTAATGCCATCATCGACCACAGGACCGCGAGCGAGATTTCCGGAACTTCAGGATGATTCTCTATCGCTGTACCATCCTGGAGTACAATGGGATGTCCTGCTAATATTTCTGTTTTGGCTAGAGCGGCTGGAAAAGAAGGTGTGAGGTGAAGAAACAGATTGCAAAATGTGTTCATGATGGAATAAAGGGTAATTGAAGGGACATCTTGAGTTCGAAGCTATTCTGGAAGATTAAATACCTAAGAGTAGTGAGAATTTATGAGAATTTCTAAAGGCTTTTATAAATTGTGTGCCACTTTGTCGATTTTTTTGACTAGGAAAAAATAAAAGTATGACCTTTCCTGTGACCAAACATCTTTCACTTGGACAGGAAGCAGTAATTTCTTTCCCATTCAAGAACAACTCACTTTAGTAGATACCAAAATAAGGTCTCGTTTGTTCTTCTATAGCAAATTCAGCGAAGAAGTCATGAAAAAGTTTGTGACACATCAAAAATCTGATATATAGAAATGTGGGCAATCAAATATGAGAAGAGGCACGACATAGATCCATGGAGAGATGATTTTGGAAAGAAAACTGGACACATCAAACCATATCGACCGCGTCAAAACACTCATGAAAATTAACATAAAGCAAGATAAATCATCGATTATCACGGGATGCGCAAATACAAAGCCCCTATATCTGATCACCGCAGCTCGTATCAATCGTCTGAACGGCACACCAACTTAGCAAGCAACAACACCGCGACTATAATCCCTCATCTTCACCCCACTCCCTAGATTGCCTTCAAATCAAACACAATCTCTCTCTCTGTCACCCTCCGATCCCTCACTTCTAAATATTCGTAAAGTTTAACCCATTCCTCCCGATTTAAATGCTTATAAGGACCCTGTTTCGGATCACTAAAATACGTCTGCAAATCCTCGTATCCCGCCGTGACTTTACACCTCTCTTCGTATATTTCCTGCACCAATATAGGATGAAATCTCAAGTCCGACTTACGGGCAGGTTGAAGATGAGCTGGAATATTTTTGTATTGCGAAAGTGCAGAAGCGGGCAGTGGGAATTGATCTGAACGGGGAGAATCCACAGGCTGGGTTGTTCGTCGGAATTCTTGGTAGGTGGGAGTTCTATCGGTAGGTGTGAAGGGTTGTTCACCGGCGGTGATTCGTTCGTCCCGGAGTTTGGCAACTTGGGGATCGGTTGGTACGGGGCTTCGGTCTAACGAGTTGGCTCTTTGTCGATGGATGTATCCTTTGCTTGAGGGGTGGTGTCGACTGAACCTGCTGTCATCTTTCTGGGTCGCGTAGAAAAGGTCTTGATTGTTTTGATTTTGGGAGAATGTAGAGGGGAACCTGTAAATTCCTTGGTCAAGACCTATGATGATTGATGATGATCTTGCGGTTCGAGTTGGAGGTTCTGACTTTGACGGACCAGGCGAAGCTGAGAATTGCGGTTGGTAGTCCTGGGATTGAGAACGTGTGACATGTTGTTGAGCAGGACTTTGGGAAAGAAGATCGATGTATGGAACAGCGGTATGTGAGGATGTACATGTCTGTACATCTTCTATGTGTTTGGGGAAAAGTTCAGACATGCCTGCGCTTACCGGAGATTGAGTTAGATCTGAAAGATGAATTAGATTTGGTGAGCGAGAAGGTCCAGGGTATACAGTCTGATATCTCGAAGTTGTAGAGATAAAATCTCGAGAGACACGAAGGGGATCTGGCAAATCGCTCTGAAGATATATCGAAGTTGGTGAATGAATCATTTCTTGCACATCGCGCGCAAAGCGGGGACTATACGGATATTCAGAAGGTAATCTACTGTCATTCTGCCTTCCATAACTTGGTCCTAGGAGCGTCTGGTTTTCTATTGGCGTGGGAGGGTAAGCAGAAGTTCGAGTTTGGATTGGAGATTGTGCTGCTTCTCCCTGAGGTGCGTCCGGTGGAAAGAAGGGTGCGAGGAGATCTGACCTAGGACGAGCACTATGGGGGAAAGCGGTTGATATACAGTCATCCACCCATTCGGAATTGCACATTGACAATGAAACCGCAGTGGCGAGTTCTCCTCGATTGGCTGGTGAGTCTGGCGACCTAGGCCATGCCGTGGTAGGGAGAGAGGCCGGACCGGAGTTGCTGGGATCCATAGTGAACTTACAATCGGGTTTTTTGGTGTTTCCTGTCTTTTTTATAGAATCCGACGGCTGTTAGAGAGTTGATGTATGGAAAAGAGTAATGAAGTTTGAGTCATGACAGGAGAGCAGCCCATTACCCGACCTCCCTTTTCGATCCCAGTGAATGATACATAATCATACCATCCATCTCTTATAATTCATCCACCACATCAATCTTCATTCTCTCCCTTCACAAACCCCATATGTAGCCTCCACCACTTCCTCAAAATCTCATCCTTCCCCACCTCTATCCCATAATCCTTCAAACTCTCCAATTGCTTAACCTTTCCAATTGGTACATCCAATCTCCTCCAATCAACCTCTTCTTTCTTCATCAATTCGAAATTTTTATATCTTAGATTCTATATTCCTCAATATTTCATCAGCCTTTCATTTCGGATCTCAAGCATGCTCAATTCTTCAAAGCAAGCACTTTTTATTTTTGGTCATGATCAAAGCAATTACACCGCGAAGGAAAACCTACCTTCACAACGTCCAACCATTCCTCGGCTTTCCCAACCTCCCCTTCCGCAAGCATAACTCCAGGCGGTCTTCCTGTCTTCAATAATACCGCACAGTCTAATTTCTTCGCAGCTTTGGTTATCTTTTCGATTTTTTTGACGGATGTCATGTGATGAGTCTTGATTAGTATTCTGGACAGGTTTTGCCCTGACCACATTGTTATGGCTTTTGTACCCGTGTAGATTGATGAGATCGCTTGTTTCTCACATACTGTGCGTTTTTGGAGTAACCTTTCCCTTTATAGCTGCTCCAGTAACGCAATCAAAATGATATCCAGGTTTTGATCATGTGTAGCTAACGACTCTGATTATGTAATCACAAAGGAGCTTTGACGCCCACCCCGCTAGTTGCTCAAGCTAGGGTGAGTTAAATTTTGAAATTTCTTGTTGCTGGACTTATTCTTCTTCTCCTTCCATCACAATGAAAATTATCAATTAAATATGCGCCGTCAATTGTGCCTCATGGGAACGGCACAATCATCTCCAAAAGGTCAGTCCAAAATTCTCCTACATTTTCCTCAATGTCCTCAAGCTTTGTGATGAACAAATCATAGCTTTTTAACCCCGAGTGCTTGCGCACCCTGAAGACCAAAAAACAACAACTCTAATTTTTTCCTGAATGCTTTCAAATTTACTATCTTGTTATACTATCAATCATAGTCATGATCACTTTGCTGACTATGTACACAGAATCTTTCCTTGTCTGAAAGCTTTGCATTCCCATTCAGCATCCATACTCGGTTTCGAAATCACTAGGCTGCGCGACTGTGTGCGATGGAACACTGCTCCGCAGTCTCCTATCTCGGGCGATTTAGGAATCCTGATGAGGATTTGACCAACACAAAAGTCAGATTATATATGGACAAGAGAGTTTGCAGACCTGCGGGGAATCTGAATGTCTTAAGAGCTTTCAGAACTTTCAGAAGTCTCCGAGTGTATCAATTGATTCATAAGTAGTTGGTGGCTGTGCGAGTGAAGTTTCCCAAAGGCTAAGCAACATTCCAATATTCTAAACTAAGTACCCCATAATCCCGTAAGTCATAGTTATAGTAAGACAAATAAAATGCAAATCAAAATTTCCCACACAAATAATGCCACTGTTGATTCTATAAAAATGAAACCTACATGTCTTCTGAGAATGATTTGGTGCCTACGATGCTCATAATCCAGTGCACCAGGTGGTGAGACCAATCTCTTCCTGTGACTACAACTCTTACGAGGACGCACCCCTTTCCAGAATATATCACTTGCGTTTAATGTGATGATCGAGACCCATCGACAATGATCCTGAATCTCGCCATCAATCTATCTCCAGTTAAACAGAGACAGCAAAAGGAGTAAAACGAGGTTTTCGTGGCTTTATTCATCATCAAGATGTTTGATCCTGGTCCACATTCCTCATTAGTCCCGAATTCGTTGGAGAACTTTGGCTCGAGCTTTACCAAATTTCATCACTTATGTTTATTCACCATGATTTAACGTTTTTTGATAAGATCAGCGTTAATTCAGGCCAGTTTTCAGGCTTTGAAATCTTAAAACACTGAAATTTTAGAGGATACCTCATTGCATTAATTTGATATCGAAGATATATGAAGTCATTCACTGACCTCCGTATAGATTATATTATGCATATAGACTATATTATGTTCTTGAGCTTGGTGTTCCGCCTATCATACTCGCTAATCTCTAATCCGCGTCCCCTTAGCCAACTGCGCAGTAGCGAGAGTACGTGACTAGCACTGGCAGTGCACTTCGTTAATCAGTTAACTACACTAATGAATTTTAGATTGAATTCGCAATTGAGCTAAGAAGCCGATACTTTCAAATGTTGAACTAGCTAAGCTCTCGGTTTAGTTTGTGTAACTTCAAACTGCCATTTTTTACCATGACCCTCGAAGATGCTAGTGTAAATAACTGATTCGAATTACTAGACACATCGACCACGTGGGTTTGTTTGTTCTTACTTCTGTGCTTCTGACTAAATTGAAGGTCGTGTGTAGTGTGTTGGGATGAGGTTTCCGCATTCTCAAAGGCTACCTGAGTAATCGTTGTAAGAAAAAGGAAAGCTGTGCATGTATTGTCGTGGCTGTTTCTCTGGACTTGGAGGAGTGGTCGAAGCGCCCTTGAGAATATCGATATTGATAAGGCATCTGTAGTCTGGAACATGATAGCTGAGCATGCTATGAAGAGTCAAAGGATCAATTTTGCTAGGCGTGACATCGTTGCTGATTTGTTGTAATTTTCAGCGAGGTTCCTGAGCAGGTTTGATCTTGTCTCTCCAGCTGCAGATTCAAAATTTTCAAAGTTCTTAAGGATTTTAACAAGGTGAGAGAATTTTGTAAAGGTGGGTAAATGAACTTGCGAACGAGACGACTCGGATGTCAATATTTAGGCAGAGAAATTGCCGATTTGTGCACGCCCTGGGCTGTAAGCTGAAAGCCAATGTTTTCATTTTGTTATCTCGGGTTTGTCTTGTTTGTAATCTTACTATGTACTCACTCATATCTTCTATCCTAGTTGAGAAAAGGTAAAATCGATACACAGCTTTTTATTGTGCGGAACAAGAAAACAAAGTGCAATTCACGGCACTGCTCTCTGTAACTTTATATCTAAATCCTCATACCTGACACCTCACGATTGAAGATGGAAGATGGAAGGTTCACCATACCGAGTTCAGTAGCACCAATTTTCCTGAATCATTGTAGAATTATTCTTGCCCAATTCTTGCAGAACTATCTCCCTCATTCTTCACAATGCTGTCTTCAATCCAAGCTGCAACCTGTTTCCACAGACTCATCCGGATAACTTAGCACAGAGCGGCGAGTAACAACCGTGTAACCATCTTCACAGCAGCAGCTCCATAACCGCCCATACCTGCGCTTTGCAGGAATGCAAACACACTTCTTCCCCTGACCAAACCGATCATGCTCTGCAGAAATGATGCGAATGATGCTGTCAGAAAATAAGTTACATGCTTCCCGCCTCGCTATCTCGTTTTTTTCTAACTTACCAGCCCTTGGTCCCAGTGAGGTGAAACCTAATAACTAGAGTACTGGACCATTTACTGCAGTTGGTGCGAATAAGACGACTCCTTCCGCAATATAGAAAGCTGTTCGCCATGGATTCGCCACGATCAAATCCTTGATCATGTTTGGTAGATCCTTCCATCTAATCTTGTACTATTTAGCATGTTCCTGCCATTACTAGTTCTTGGTTGGAGTAACTTACTCCCTTTATAATCTGAGTGAATGTGGGCGTTTTGGCCAAGTAAAGCCGGACGACGAGTTTTAAAAACGACAGCATGGTTGTAGGTTGATGCAAGGTTCGAGGTATTTACACGTTTGGGTCGAGTAGAGACGTGTATTTATACAAAATTGAAAGAATATGGGAAGACAAAGAAGCAAGTTCGGAATCGAATGTTTGATATTATCGTCGATCAAAAGTGCTTCTTCTCGGGTCTACGCCGTGGTATGCTGCGGAAACATGCATATATGATCTATCTTAATATTGCTTCATGCATCAGAACATTTTTCGTAGCAAAAAACATATCTTTACTATTCCCTTGGAATCTTTCATATTCGGCGGGGTTCTCTGCATTCTGAGACATTGACTGATTGACCTACCTCATCCGAAGGCATGGAAGAACATCACTGGAAGTTTCTATCATTGCCATTTACTAATTCTTTGCTAGAGGGTACTATACCTAGTAAAACCGGAATATGTAGACATTCTAAGAACCACATGGAAACGGGCCTGCCGGAAAAAGAAATGTTGGATGTACGTCAGGAATTGCTGATGGACGCTGGTATCAAAAAGCAGGAAGTCCGAGGCTGAGGCTGAACCGCCCATGACAAACTTGACAGATCATCTCAAGTAATCCCGAATGCTGTGTGTGATTTAAAAAATGGTATACGTAGATAGAACTATGATTAGGTGAAATAAAGGTTTGAGCAACCAAACCTTGCTTCAAGCTCCTCTGCGGATCCCCGCAACCCGCCAGTAACGCCACCAATTTGGGAAATTTATAACCTCAATCAACCACAGCTCGGTTGCTACACAGCTACTTGCTTTGGCTTGTGGCAGTCTTGTACCATCAGTTGACTAGAAGTATAACATAAAGAATAAAGTTCGTGAATGAGGTGTCTGAAACGTAACGTGATGTAAACCGATGGTTCATTAAAAACGACGCTATCTGCTTCATATGATCTCCTATACCTGAATTATAAGGTTCAAGTCCCTTAAGATGTCGAGAACATGACGCTCAAAGCTCCGTAGTGCCATTCCTAGCAGCAACTTTCCATCCCACGAGGCCACCAACAATGCCCGCAGCACCACTAAGTCTTGCCACCATATTCACAGCACCAAGCCCATAGCCTCCCATACCGGCACTCTGAAGATAAGCACGCGCGTTCTTTGCGACAACCACGCCAAACTTGCTGTGTAACATCGATGCAAATGAAGCTGTTGAGAAAATTAGCACCATAAGCCTTTTGAGATTCCTCACTTACCAGCCCTTTCTCCTTTGCCTGCGTATCCTAAGGCCCAAAGAATTGGACCACTAGATATAGCTGGAGCAAAGAATACGACTCCGTTCACAACGTAAAAGGCCGACTGCCATGGATGCTCCCGAATATAGTCCTGAATATCAACTGGTAAATCTTTCCATTCAATTTCATAGATTTTAGCATGCGCCTTTTTGACCTCATCACGGAATTCAAGCGGAAGTTGTGTATAGGTTGCTTCTGCAGTCTCTTTAAGCGCGATACCATGTTTCTTGAAGGCGTTCATGACACCAGTAATCCACTCTGCGGCGAGTTTATGAAACCCAATGACTTCAGAGGAGGTAATTGTTCCCATGACTTGAGTATGCACCTTCTCAACGTTACCCCGGATCCCTGAAGGCACTTGTGCGTAGATTGCTTCCGTCGACTTCTTTAGCGCTGTAGCATGTTTTTGAAAACTGGCAGTAAATGCAGTAAATGCAACGCCACCTTGCTGGAAGCCAACGCTTCCATGATCAAGAGAGGAAAGTGCTTGGGCGGGTGGATTCTCGTTGTTCGTAGTTTGACTCAAAGCACTAGTAGGTGTTGCGAGAAGGCATGCGCAGACAACGATTTTTCTGAAATTAACCATCGTCGTATATTGTTGTAAAGCGTAAGCTTACAATGAAAGATGCAAAGATGCTCCGATCTTATTCAATAATCAAAATATATATCAATATAAGAAAAACGGGGATTTCAATGGCAGCTTTGAAAGTGAGGGGACGATGTTAGGAAAGCAGAAAACCGAGGTTGCATCTTTGTTTGTGTCTAGCTACCTAAGCAGTAGGTGTCTACGTAGGGAGGTGTGTTTTATGAGGTTCGCTGTGGTTGCGCCGTCAGACTGGTGACCCTGGTGACCGCATTCACAGCCACCCTTTTATATATATGTGAAGTGAAGTTGGAGTTGAGGTTGAGGTTGAAGTTGAAGTGAAAGGGTTAAACAGCCAAGCCTTGCTCCAAGCTCCCTCCCGTCCGTGTCCCCGCATCGCGCCTGTAACGCGATCAATTTGGGAAATTTATAACCTCATCCATCGACCACAACTCAATTTCTACAGAATTTCTGTATGGCTCATGCACCCTAGAAAATGAATATGTTGTGAACCAAATGTGCCGGTTTGAGTTATTGGGTACCATTTTATTGTTATATTACGACTTGGCAGATTGGTTTAGGGACAGGAAGGAAAATCGGTACGGGCTACCAGCGCATTCCACTGCGACTTCTGAGTTTGCTGATTGTAAAAATATCCAGTCCTCAGCGAAAATGCTCCACGAGATACTCCTCTCACTCTCAGGACATCCGTCTCCGCTCCTCACTGCCGATCATACATCCTCATCCTCGATCCTCTCCCCCTCAGAAAGGTCCCTCCTCTCCTCTGTCGCCCATCTAAGTGACCTTCACTGTAGGCTCCTCGCGCATACAAATACTATATCTTCGAAGCACTCCTCGAGCATCTGCAAAGCTGTTGCTACATCTATAAGCTCCGTGCATCTTGTAAGCTTTCAGCGGAAAGTCCTTGAGGTTGAGAATGGTATCTTGCGCAAAGATTCTGGGAGTGTGGGTGCATATAATATTGTGCCGCTAACATTTATCGTGGAGAAGTTTTCTGGATGGACAAGGCGGATGGAATGGTTCTTGGAGATTGTGGACTTCATGATGCAAGATGTGGGCGGAAAGAAGTGTAGTGGGGCAATGGTCATCGACAAGTTATGCAATGCTATACAAACAGGATATGCAGATATAGAGGAGGCAGCACTAAGTCTAGTGAAGGTTGCGCAGACTGCTTGGCTGAAGCAGGTATCGGCCTGGATTCTCTACGGACGGCTACCGAGTTTTGGTCGCGGGGATTTCTTCGTTCAAGAGGATGATTCTGAGGTACAATTTCATGCTCATTGCTTGAATAAAAAGCCGCTGACTGGTCTGATGATAGGACTACAAGACTAATAAGGACTTGTTGCCAGCATTCGTGTCGGATTCCACTGCCTCATCGCTTCTTTTCATCGGACGATCCTTAAACCATATTCGAGTCAAAGGCATCTCTTCGGCATCATCTCCAGAACTCGACCTATTATCCTCTCATTTACGACAATTGTCTACCCTCCAGTTTCCAATCAATGGCGCCAATTTCGCCAGAGTCATAGCCGCTATCCGTCTTTCCCTATCCCAAACTACTTTACAAAAGCTCTTGCCGTTGAGCAAAGTCATTGAAGTCTTGACATTACTACGAGAGTTCTTTTTGCTTGGTCGAGGGGAATTTGCCATAGCGTTGATATCTGAGGCCGATGAAAAGATTCGATCACGATGGAGAAGATCCGGAAACTCGGGATATGAGAAGAAGGAAGGCCTGGGAAATATTGTTGTGAAGGAAGGGGAAGTCTCTGCTGTCCTTGCTAGGACCTGGGCTGCGATGGGCGCACAGCAAGGCCAGAACGATGAAGAGGATGATGACGATTTGCTTGAACTTGCAAGAGATCTTGTTCAGTTGAGTATTACAATGGGAAATCCGAACACACAAGGAAAAGCCAGCTTAAGAGCTTCGCAATCTTCTGTGATTGTCTCCACCCCTTTCCGGAATCTCCTTCTTTCGATTCCCGTGGCTCTTACAATGCACATCCCTTCGCCATTAGATCTATTCCTTACTTCATCTGACATTCAGATGTATTCAAGCATTAATGCTTATCTTTTAGCAGTTCACAGGGCACATCTGCGGCTCACTAATCTTTGGAAGATAACTTCTTTACGTCGCGATCATCCAGCACCTCCTGGCCCACCGTTTGGAAGTTCTACTTTTGGCCGAAAGAACGTTCTCACGCTTCGAAGTAGAGCTAAAGAACGTTCTCACGCCATGCGTAGCGTATGGGCAACGAGCAGCGCTGCAGTCTTCTTTTTAGGCGAGACAGAAGCATATCTTCAAGGCGAGGTTGTACAAGGAACATGGTTAGGCTTTACAGCTTGGCTCACAGGAGAGACGCAGGCATCAACGTCACAAGATGAGGATGATATCTGGCTGCAAGCTGCCAAACAATCGACCTCGAGGAATACCAGCCACAACCATGATCCACAAACACTCGCAGATGCACATAGGAGATACCTCGCTGCTTTAGCATCCAATCTTCTTCTAAATACATCAACTTTTACAAACCCGTTATACTATCTACTGCAGCAAATCGACCACCTCGTAGCTCTTGTCCACCGCATTCATTCTATCTGGCAATCGCTGGATCTTGAAGCTGATGAGGGAGTAGTAGATGCATTCTCTGACTTTCACAAAGAAGAACAGGATATCAAAGAACAGCTTGTAACAGTTGCAAGACGGGTGAAAGATGCAATTGAAGAATTAGTTAAAACTCTACGGGACATAGACCAAGATAAGAATGGCTGGGACAGTGGATATGAAGAACTCGTCTTGGGAGAGGAAGGTGCATACGTTCCTGCTAAAGTTGGCAGAGTGGACAGGCTACTGATGAAGCTTGATTTTGGAGGCTGGTTTGATAAAAGGGGTAATGAGGAAACAGGAGATGTTTTTGATGATTTGGGCGATTATGATTAAATGAATTATTGGTTTTTGAAACCGCAAGGAAGGGAAAATGGACAATACCCAGGCGTTCAGGCAACGGCTGTATGATTATGAATTAACAAGAAAGCGTATTGATCAATAATCATTTTGTCAGCCAGTTTATAGAACTACTATTTCAAGTGGGTGAAAGGTTGTTTAGTTGGATTTGATTGCTTCACAAAAACCAGTTGGTCAAACAGGTAATTCAAGTGTGCGAGGACCTATTTGGTACGTCAAATCCGTACTACTTTTCTCTTCTTTTTTTCTCTTGTCCCGAGATTCCACCTGGTATTCTAATGATTTTTCCATCTTTCAACTCCTACAGTTCCCATCTTCTCTTCCCAATTCCGATTTGGCACATAGAGAACAGTTTCACAGTCCACATTCCATATTCCATATTCCATATTCCTCAGAGATTCTCCATTTCCTTTGCATACAGCTCCATTGCCTTAGCCCCATGAATCGCTCCTTTCGGATTCCTCGCAGGAGCTTTTGGGAATCGGCTATAATTATACACTTCTTTTTTGCGCCCGAGCTTCTTTTTGATACCATTAACGATGCGATAATCTAAGGTTCTTCTATTAGTTTCTTGTTTTTCATCCACACTCTTCTGTGTTACTTACATCTTTCAGTTCGATACGGAGACTTGTTTTCGTGGTAAATCTCTTGTGGAAAATCTTGCCGGTGGGGACCATGAGTTCATTCCTAACATCCGGACGGTTCGTCACAGTATGATCAATGTATTGCTTGCAGATTGAATGGATGGGATGTCATATTATCTCACTTACAACTAATTATCAAAATCACATCGTCTGCGCGCAAGGTATGCCCATAAACTTCCCTTTGTAAGATTGGGATGAGGAGGGAATAGATCCTTGGTGGAATATTCTTTCAAATCCGGGTAAATTTCGAATACCGGTTGTTCGAATCCAGGGTCGGAGTTGCGTACAATAACTGTTTCATACATTTGGACATCTTTGGAGAAAAATTCGATATTCCAAACGTGACCTGCAGCTGGGTGGGTATATTGATATTTCTAATCTTCCACTGGTCATCTCCTAGTTGCGAATATTTGGAAAGAGAGATCTTTCGAACCATATTGTGTCGAGTTCCCGGGCAAGCATTTCTTCTAATCCGTGTCTATTGATGGCAAAACGTAAACCATCCATGGAGGTGCACATATTGAATCTTTTGGGGTTGTGTATCATAATTTAAGCGAGAGGTGAAGCGGTAGCCTGTATCTGTTCCATTGGCAGAGGAAATATGACATTGTTTTGTTTAGCTAGTAATCTTGCGAAACAATCGCCGCCGGTGCCTATTTCACAGTCAGTTCTCTGAATGCAATCATGAAAGATCAAAAAGCATATTGAATAGAAGAGATCCTTGCATGGAATCGTGGAAGATCCATGAGGATTAGTGTACCTTTGCTCTTTTTCCCTCGACTCAAAACTCTCTGGCGGGACTTATTAACCCATACTCATAGATGTCACTACCAAGCCATGGGTCCAGACAGCTGGTTTTGGCAGACCATTCATACCAGATATGTTAAGACAGACTAGATTTCATTTCTTAGCCTTGTCGAACTTTTTCTGAAGGGAAAATGTTCATAGTTTTTATCTAGGAGCTTGTCGACACTTTGAGCGGTAATCGTACGTAGTTGCGATATGCTGTTTATTATCGTATCTCGGATATTCCTAGTGGAACCGGGTCTAAAGTTGCTAGGATGTGACAATCCAGAGTTTTGAAAAGGTTGAGTTAATGTTTCCCCCCTCATTACCGTTATAGGTGGAGATAAGAATGTAATTATCCCACATCAATATATTTCACATACCAATGTATTATATCAATACACACTTTTTAACCAGCTCTCGCAGCTCTCAAACCCATAGTAAGATTAGTATACTTAAGATCATTCCAATTCATTAAGCAAATATTTGAAAGTCCTATCGGACCCAGAGCCAAGCTCATTGGGTAGTCACCACGCAATACAATACCATTTACGGGATTTCAAGCGCAGCGTAGGTCCATTTTCGAAATACTTCAGAGTAGGGTTGGAGGAGATGGGTACTACTGCCTAAAGTGCATTTGGTCGCGTACTGGCTATGCCGTCGAGGACATTGTTTAGAGGTTGTTTGTTTGTTGATGGGAGACATCTTTGGCGTGTTTTGATCCTGGATTACCTTCATTGAATAGGCTCGTGGCCGTGTTTATTGCTGGGAAATATCTTGGGGGAAATGGATGGGAAGTGTTTAAGGGATTGATGGTGAGATGTTCATATCGGTATATATTATCTTTTAAAACCCAACTGTCAATATCTACCACAGACTATGGCATATTAACCACCAACCTACCTCCGGTTGATGACTGCATGCTTCCAATATTTTCCGATTCAGACATGTTTTACGAGCCCAGCTACGTATATACTTTGACTCCACGAACTGTTTATTCCAATCTTAACATTATTCGTGAACTTCCATCCATCAATCCAGGTGCCAGCCACATACACTAAATCGACTCCAGAGTCCACTCGCTTGAAAGCCGCACATTCATTTACAGTGTAGTCTGCTTCATACATGTAAATTCTAAAACAGACTGACTACTGGGGAGATCTGGCGGCTCAGTGTTCTCTGTCTTTTGAGGATTCCACCACGTAATGAAGATCGCGCTGATTGAAGTCTTTTTCTGGTATACTGCGAAAATTCCATGTTCATCTGATTATTGTAGCCGTAGTGATGATTTCTTTGCTGCTTTTCCTCCTTGGGCGTTACCGGCGAAAAGCTCCACCATTTGATCCAAGAAAGCTTATTTTCCTTGTATGGCGGAGACGAAAAACGATATGAATTAGATATACAAGTATGAGTTTGCGCTACTTGTACATATTCAAGATAATTATCTGTGGCTATAGCTTAAGGACTTCCTTCCAAATATATGAAAGAGTGCTCTCTTCTTTGAACTAGTTCTAACTTCCAAACCGACATAGTCATCTGGACTACTCTATTATCCCAATAAATTATATTTGTTTAAATATTATATTCGGCACGAGAATACCACAACGTCTTTCGTTGCATATCTGACGGATCCCGACTGAATTCTATTCGGAAGTTCCGTCAACCGACAATTGGAATCTGTTCGGAATTTTCCAGATATGCAACAATAAATTTTATTTCAGTCTCAACCAATCAAATCTAAGGTATAATTGTATGAATATACTTAACATGAAAGTGATTTAAAGTTTTGTTGCATATCTAGCGGATTCCGATTGTAGTTTTGTCTATATATACGGAACCATATCGAGAACCTGGTCGGAATTTTTCAGATATGCAACAATACATTGGGTTTGAAGAGATCAGCCAATCAAAGCTAGTACATTATATTTGGGACAAGGGCTGATTCGAAGTATTGTTGCACGTCTGTCGGAATTCCGAGTAGGGGGTATATCGCAATCCGAGTTTTGGACGGGGGGAAAGTCACCTAGGCGGAAGGGTTCCAAACAAATATTCTGAATGTTTTGGGAATGTAGAATAGCTTTTGACTTGAGAGATTTACTGAGTTAAGCTACGATGTTGTGTTGTGATATAGCTGGGACAAGACCGCTTTGGAAGTCTGATCTGCTGGGGTGGAGTTCTATTCAAATGGAGGAGAGAAAGAGAGGCATTAAGCTGCGCTCATTCTAGTGGACTTACATGCTATTTGAGTGAATGCCTCGAGTTTCTGAAAAGAATGATAACATATCAAAACAGCCAGCTGCGCCAGACTCGAAAATGGTTTAGCTACCACTATGTGATTGAACCTTCTTCAAGCTTTTCTACTCCTTAGAATATGTCTCTTTCGCTCAATACGAAATCATGGTAGCAGGAATGATGACAGCTCCCAAGTCATGTTAATAAACTGGGTAATTATTACCTCGTTCAAGGGGTTGTGTCTCTCAGATTATCAGACACGATTATTGCCGAGCTTCTACTTCGTGTTTCAGATGACAATCACAATCAGAGATTTGAAAGTTAACTGAGAACGACAGTAGAGATTTGTTATCAGACAGAAATCTGATATCCTACACTTTATATCATCCAGTCTTCTCATAATCATTGCCACTTTTGGCTATACCGCATATGGTTCTCCTCAAATCCACTCAATCAAAGGTAGAACCTCTAAATATATGACCCAGTGATTCACTTCAACTCAATTTTTCCCTATAGCAAGTTCCCCCTAGAGAGGTTGAGAGATGCGACGTCGTGTTACCTGCTTTGTTTTTGAGCTTTTTGGCGGTCCTAAACTTGGGATCTCTGAGATATATATACCATACTAGGGTAAAGTGTTAGCAGGACGCAATGTGTGGGAATTTGTGAGGATATAGCGTCTTCTTTTCGTGATTCACTCATTAAACTCCCTATTGCAGATCCAAATTTGAAGATAGCGGGGAAGTCAGGGGTTTCGAAGGAGACAGAAGCTCGGAAATTGAATTCTTTCCAAACTGTTGTGACAGAAACGAACCCAGGCTTCATTATTTAAGAAGCTATTACTTCACTGATTCAGAGGAACACCAACGAAAGAATCTGTTTGCACGACGTCGCAAGGACATGCACTTCTTTCCGTTTGTAAGATTCTGATTTCTGATTTTTATAAGGAAATATACATAGCTTTTTTGAAAGAAAGTTACATTATAATACTGGATTTGAGCTTAGAGTACTTTGTCTCGGATGAAATTTCAAGAATGATAGCGAGAATTGAATTTGTTTTACTAATATTACCTATAGCGAACATGTCTAATCATTTGATATCAAATCGAGTACGATATCAAAGTTAATAAATATACAATACTCCTGAAGACAATCAACTGAATATATCTCAACTTCTATTTCATTTGTGTTGTCTAATGAAGGAGTGAAAGCATGTCGTGTTATCTAATTCCAAATTTCCTTGAAAAAACAATACAATAAAGGAATCTTTTTCTTTTATGCACCAAAAACAAGAAATTCGAGATTGATGGATTTGGAAACTGGTGAAGACAGAAATATCATGCTTTCCCCACCCCCACCGCTTCCTGTATATTCACCCACAAGAGCGAGGCTCAGTAGAACTTTCCGAAGGATAGAATGATCGGTAATTATGATTGCAAGAGGTGAATGTGATAAAAAACACAAATCTAACCTTTTGGGGTTCCTTTGTTATCACTACGGCTACTATAAAGCAAGTGGAGTTAGGATACTTTCTTTTACTTCCCGGGTATCAACAACTTGTACAGCTTAAAGGCTTTAATAGAGATCGGGAGTTGGGCTGTGAGTCCTATAACCTGATAAGATCGAACTTCGAGGAAGTTTATATTATCTGATTTCGTCAATATCTTGAATGTTGTGAATAATAATGTTTATATAATAATAAATCTAACTATTAATAACAGTGATCTTTTATTTGATTATATAATTTCAAATCAGATCGTATCTTTCAAAAATCATATCAATAATCCCATTCTAAGGAATTCAGATCAAAGATCATCATCTCATCTGAATTAAAAATTCATAATTGAAAGATAGTGATGAATAATCGTCGCGTTTACATGTCTTCAATAAGTATCCGAAAACGTTATATAAAAAGTATTCAAGTTGTGAAAGTAGATTTTCTATTAAGATAGCAGCGGCGAAGAAGCATAAATTAAAAAAATATACTATTGTATTATTTAAAAGAGTTCTTCAAATTTCTATATACAGCTCTACAAGTAAGGAAAAGTATTCTGGAAAAAGAAATAGGATTGTTTTAATTATAATTAAACAAACTGAGGAAATACATTGAGTAATTTTTTGAGATTAATAAGACTGATAGAGAAAATTACATATATATTTTATTTAAAGCTATTGAGATTTTTATTTTATCCGATGAAATCAAATAAAGATATAAAACATAATAACAATCTGATAAAAATGACAATACAAAGATAAAATTCAACTTTATTAAAAAGTCCCAATAATAAAAAGATCTTGTAATCTAACGCGTATACCCATCTCTCTTTCAAACAAACACTTGCACTATATAATCTGGAAATTCAAGCTTGATGTCGTCAGTGAACGGCCATAGTAAGATTTTAGGGGGAGTTTGACTACCCACTGGGTTCTTTTGTGAAGG